GGTTAAGCTCACGGCAGCCCTCACTGACCACATAATAGCTCAGAACACAACAGGGGAGGTGAAAACCAGTGAAGTAAACAAGATTCAAAGGTCCATTACGACAGAATGACAGCACGGCCAAAGTGATAAGTTGCAGCAACTGATGATACAAGTACCAGAGAATTTATAAAAAAGGTAGCTATAGCGCAGGAGGTGGGCGCCTCGAACTGGTTAACTACGTTACCGATAAGGGCAAATGGTTTCAGTCTCAATAAACAAGAATTTACAGAAGCCAATGCTCTAAGGTACGGTAGGCCAGTAGAAGGTTTGCCCTCCCAATGCGTGTATGGCTCTTCCTATAACGTCGATCATGCCATGGTGTGCAAGAAAGGGGGCTTCATATGCATGAGGCATAATGAAGTAAGGGATCTCACAGCAAATATGTTGAAAGAAATCTGCCATGATGTCAGGGTAGAACCGACCCTCCTTTCATTGGACGGTGAGAATTTCCAACATAGGACTTCAAACACATCCAACGAAGCCTGTGTTGATGTCAGTGCTCGAGGATTGTGGACGCGGGGACAGCAAGCCTTCTTCGACATCAGGATTTTTTATCCCATGGCCGCATGTCACCGTAACTTATCTCTCGATGCTGAACACAGGAGGAACGAGAACGACAAGATAAGGGCATACGGGGAGAGAATTCAGAACGTTGATCAAGGCAGCTTCACTCCTCTGGTGTTCACAACCTCTGGTGGGATGGGACCAAGTGCAAGATGCTTCTACGCCAGACTCGCGGAGGTGATATCCGAACAGAAGCAGCAGCCCAGAAGTTATGTTACAGCCTGGATGAAATGTCAACTGTCCTTCTCTCCTAAGGTCGGCTTTGCTCTGCCTCAGGGGAACGAGAGCATCGGCCCCAAAGCCGACAACAGTTTCAGATATTGAGTATGAGGCAACAGTCACTGAATACTGCATAGATCTGCGGCTCAACTAACTCAACACAGCTAGGATAGCTACTTATGTATTAGTTTATTTAATTTTAAGGTAATAAAATGGCAGCGAAGGTGTGGCTATTAGGGGAGGATGGAGGCCATGTTTGGGAGAGAGAAAAAAAAAAGTAGTACAGTACCTGTAGTAGTAGTGTATGTATGTGTGTGTGTGTGTGGAAGTACAATGCAGTATTGATAACTCAGCATGTATGGGGCTCTGCATTGCCGAATTATCCCAAATTCCGACTTATTGAGGCCCCCCAGGGTGGATTCAGGAATAACAAAAGGGATGTCCAAGAAGTTTTGGGTGGGGGAATGTGGCAAGCAAAGCGAGCCCACCCAGCTGGAGGGTTTTGGGGGGCGCGCTGTAAGCCCCCAGAAAATCTTTTGAAATCATTTTGAAGCCATGTGCACTTCATATTAGGAGATATTCTGAGGTCAACAGTAATTACTTTTTACCATACAAAAATGCCTGAATACAATACTGCATTAAAGAAAATGTATTGGAATATTCTGATGAAAAGGTGTCCCTGCCCTTACAAGAATACAACAATAAAAAATTATTGGCCCATATACAGTATGTAAACAAGCAATTACTAATTTTGAAAAAGTAACACTTACCAGCATGCAGGCGAAGAATGAAGCATTGTAGTAGGTGAAAGACATGGTAGGTGACACAGAAGCATGATAGGTAATGCAGGGGAATGGTAGGTGATGCAGGGGAATGGTAGGTGATGCAGGGGAATGGTAGGTGATGCAGGGGAATGGTAGGTGATGCAGGGGAATGGTAGGTGATGCAGGGGAATGGTAGGTGATGCAGGGAATGGTAGGTGATGCAGGGGTAATGCAGGAATGGTAGGTGATGCAGGAATGGTAGGTAATGCAGGGGAATGGTAGGTGATGCAGGGAATGGTAGGTGATGCAGGGGAATGGTAGGTGATGGTGCAGGAATGGTAGGTGATGCAGGGGAATGGTAGGTGATGCAGGGAATGGTAGGTGATGCAGGAATGGTAGGTGATGCAGGGAATGGTAGGTGATGCAGGGGAATGGTAGGTGATGCAGAATGGTAGGTGATGCAGGGGAATGGTAGGTAATGCAGGAATGGTAGGTAATGCAGGGAATGGTAGGTGATGCAGGGAATGGTAGGTAATGCAGGGGAATGGTAGGTGATGCAGGGAATGGTAGGTGATGCAGGGAATGGTAGGGTAATGCAGGGGAATGGTAGGTGATGCAGGAATGGTAGGTGATGCAGGGAATGGTAGTGATGCAGGGGAATGGTAGGTGATGCAGGGGAATGGGGGAATGGTAGGTAATGCAGGGGAATGGTAGGTGATGCAGGGGAATGGTAGGTAATGCAGGGGAATGGTAGGTGATGCAGGGGAATGGTAGGTGATGCAGGGGAATGGTAGGTGATGCAGGGGAATGGTAGGTGATGCAGAGGAATGGTAGGTGATGCAGGGGAATGGCAGGTGATGCAGATGATGGAGGGGAAAGGCTCCATAAACAGTGCAGCACTTATGTATACAGTACAGCTGTAATTTGGTCACTTATACAAAATAGAGAATAAATTTAAACAAAAGTAATTATTTTGTTTGTGTATAATTCAAGTCTGAGTGTGTAAATACACACCTAACTTGTATCACTAAGGATATTATAGTCCACCCAAGTGAAACCGTTTTCTTCATTACAGAGCAAAAGTAAAAATTAAAATATGCTAAGCTGGCTTAGAAATAAAGAAAATATAATATAAAACCATAAATTAAGAACAATGAAGAGTAGGTAGGTAGGTGAAGGCAATGAGCTGTACTGCGCGGCTGACTCGCCCACCTCCCTCTGTTCCATGTGACATCATGGTGCACAGTGCCGGATTTAGACCTGTGGAGGCCCATGGGCAGCCTCTTTGTGGAGGCCCCCCTCATTATAACTACCCAAGAGGGTGGGGTGGCGAGTGAAGCGAGCTTAAACATTTGGGAGTTCCGGGGGGCGCTGTAAGCCCCCTGGGAAAATTTTGAAATTTGAACGCTTCTTTGGAGAATTTTGAAGCTATATGCAGTTATATTGAGGAAATTAGAACATTAAGAAATTTTTAATTAACTGTATATTTATTGATAGTGTACAAATTCCCAACACACACACACACACACACAAAAGTGAGACATGACTGGAGTCATTCATTTGGTTTCAAGTCGACCAGCCCTGATATAGCTACCACCGCACATGTCAAAAATTTTCAAGAGACTTCACAGAAAAGAATATATTATTAGTTATTACAGAGAGATGATTCTTTGCATTGTTAATCAGATAAACCTCTACTGAAATAATAGTTCTGTCCAAGTAGCTAGCCTAATTTCTATCACGCTTCTTGCTGAACATAGTTTTACGTGATGGAATAGATAAACATGAATTTTAAATAATGAAAATAAAAATAATCCAAATGAATAAATAAATAAATAAAATGTTATAATATGTGGAGGCCCCCAGATTGTGGAGGCCCCTGGGCAGCTGCCCACTTTGCCCACTACTGAATCCGGCCCTGATGGCGCATGAAACACACACATCTCAGTCAGTTGGTTGACTGCCTGGCTAAACTGTGACATCACTTAGATGATAGTTTGAGTGTGGAAGGAGCTATTTTTTTTACATAAAATATGTGCTATTGTATTCTATGATATGCTATGTATCAATTTTATTGTTTATCACAGCAATTTTTTTTTAAAAAGCTGTTATAGTGCAACTGGTGTTAGACATGCGAATAAATGATTTCATTTGCTTTCAGATTGTTGGACTAAATTACAATTTTTACCAAAGGGGACAAAGTTGGGATACTGTACCTGGAAAATTTAGATAGTTGAAATTAAGATAAGGTGAACTGCAATGTAAATTAAATAAAGTCTACGACACTGGATTTACCGTAATAGTGGAGACGCTATGCATACAGTGGCTGGCCTGACATGAATGGGGGAGGTTGTTGGGTGTTAATGGGTTAGTAGGGAAGAAACCAAATATTACTAGAGTGCTGATAATTAATTCTGGTGCCCTAGATACTCTGTGTTGCAATGTATAGTACTTTATACCCCAAATATTGGGGTGTTACAGCACCCTCCCTTCCCACATCCATGTACTGGGTCTAGTGAGCCAGCGCGTACTCGACCACAACAACAACAATCACCAGACTGACCAAGTGTGGAACACAGCATGGTGAGTGTTACCCATGCATCCAAATATGGTGAGATTTTCCAAGATAATTTTATATAACTCAGCTATTTATTTTAAAATAAATTTCGAGACCCTATGAGGTACGTGCCAAAGTATATGAAATTTTGAAATTCCGAGATATCGAATGCTGAGGTATCAAGGGTTTACTGTATTGAGGAATAAGTATTTTGACATTTCATGACCCCCCCCCCCCATACACACTCTTCCTCTTCATTTCATCACCACCCACCTCCGGTCTCCTAGTACAGGTACTCCTTGACTTACGATCTACTCGACTTATGACCACCTGGACATACGACCGCCACAGTCGTATAATTTATTTTTCAAATTACGTATTTTCGAGTCCCGACGTTAGTGATCGAGTTGTGTACTGACAAAATTTTCGTTTGTATTTCCCTTTAAAATGGCTGGCAAGCGTAAAAGTGAGAGTTCTCGTGGTGCTGAGAAGAAAAAGAGACACCCATTTTAGATTTTCTATGTTTTATTTTTGCCTTTTCGACTTGCTACCAATTCGACTTACGACCTGGGCGTCGGTCCCTAACACAGTCTTAAGTCGAGGACTGACTGTACAGTAAACTTTATACTCGCTTAATTTCAGCTACAATGAGGGCAGATGACGCATCAAAATCTGATGTCAGGCTTTAGTTAATGAGCTACTGTTAATCAGAGTTAAAACAGTCATCCATAGTTAATGTTCATAATTCTGTGCCTGTAAAAGTTACACCATTATTAAAATGAGTGTCATTAATTCAAATTTTCAATATAAAAGGCAGATATGTACAGCCTTAAAATAAATATTAAGGAAGTATTTACCTGCAAATTTGACTGCACTTTCAGCACTATATCTCCAAAGAGTAGTGTGTAGTCCCTCCCTGTATTTGTTTCATCCCAATCCGAGATGAGAGTAAAGGTGCCGCCCTCAGCATCAGTCACCAAGACATGTGCACACGAAGAGGATAGGCTGTATGTCTGACCATCCAGGCTCACAAAGTTTGTGCTCCCAATGATGGCACCTTGTGCTGAAGTTGATGTGATAATATTCTGCTATACAAATAGTTCAATAAAAAAAATTCTGCTGCGATATAAACAATACTGTACTCTATAATTCGAAAAAAATTTCCCTACTTAAATCTTACAAAACAGAGAAGAATGTGAACTAAAACAAAAGGGACAACGTATGCTATTTACAATATTCATGATTATTTTTGTAACATTATAAACATTATACCTGTACAGGAAAGTATACCCTGTATTGGTATGTTGCAATACAAAGCTGATCAAGGTACTATACCTGTAAAAGGAGGTGTAAGGTAATGGATCAGTTGAGTCGGGTGAGAGAGGAGGTGACACCACCAGAGAAAGGCAGAGTAAAGGGACACCTGATGCTGGGATGTTGGTGATGAACTTGTCACATAATACCAAACATCAAACAATGTGTGACCACACCTTGGTAATGGAACCTACAGGAAAATATCAAGTGGGAGTTAATACACCATATAATTAAGTGGAGCAATGAGAACTGGAAGAGAAGTAAAGGAAAGTAAATACAAGGTATGCAATATCTTTGACATGGATTACAGTACTATAGTTCTTTACATCTGTGCCAACTATAAATACACAATACGTACCCAAATATTCCAGGCTCCAGTAGATGTCTCTTTGTCATAATAATTTTCATCTTCAGAATACAGAAGAGACAGTACCTGAAAAGCAAAGTCTTTTGTGATCTATCTATTGTTTAGAGAAGATACACCAACAATGAGATTTATAAACAAATTTATGTATAGAAAGATAAACAAATGTTGAATTGAATTGAATTGAATTGAAACAGTTTATCTAGCCAGAAAAACACAGATACAGAGTGGATAATAATAACAATATTAACATGGCTAAGCCAGTTGAGAACCTGAGCTCTCTTTTAGGCATGTGATATATACAGTTGAGTCTGGATTTACGCGGTTTTTGTTTACGCGTTTGGTCATTTACGCGGTGCCTTGCCAGAATGAAATGCTTTAATTACACGGTAAATTTGGTCATTTGCGCGAGTGAAGTATAATTTGTTTATTTACTGAAGATATTTGTTTTAGCTCATAAAATTCATACAAATTACCCGGCCAGAATATAATTTACATTGCTGGAATTCTTATAAGATTGTGATTATTTTAAATATAAACATCCTAAAATTTGCATTAGACATACAAATTTTAGATCTAATGTAAGAATTTGGATTAGAGAGAGCCAAAATTTTATCTTTTGTGCAAAATATATAACGTTTATATTCAAAATATTCCTTGTCTTGCAAGGAATCCAGCAATGTCAATTATATTATCCTAACTTTAGTCTGAGGTATTATTTATAACTAAAAATGTAAGCCTACTGTTTTCACCCAAACATTTCTCTGGTAGGGAGGGAAGGTGGGGGGTAGGGAGGGAGGGAGGGACCCAGCGAGCGTGGGAAGAGGGGGGGAGCGGAGGTGCGGTATTTTGATTGAGAGATAGTGTCTGGGTGAAGTATAATTTGTTTATTTACTGAAGATATTTGTTTTAGCTCATAAAATTCATAGAAATTACCCAGCCAGAATATAATTTACAATGCTGGAATTCTTATAAGATTGTGATTATCTTAAATATAAACATCATGGAATTTGCATTAGACATACAAATTTTAGATCTAATGTAAGAATTTTGATTAGAAAGAGCCAAATTTTTATCTTTTGTGCAAAATATATGACGTTTATATTCAAAATATTCCTGGTCTTGCAAGGAATCCAGCAATGTCAATTATATTATCCTAACTTTAGTCTGAGGTATTATTTATTACTAAAAATATAAGCATTCTGTTTTCACCCAAACATTTCTCAGAGAGGGAGGAGCCAGCAAGCGTGGGAAGAGGTGGGGAGTTGAGTCCATTATTTGAATGGACATTAACTGGTGACTGTATTTCTCTTAAATATTAATTGTGTGTGCATACCATCATAAAATTAAGATGTTATTTTTACTACCACGTAGGTATTGTGTCGGTACTGTGTCGGAAAAAGTGGAGTTTGGGGGTCAGCCCAGTCTCTATTTCAATTAATCCCATATGTTCTGATATTTCATTTACGTGTTTCTCGTTTTACGAGGTACTCCGCGGGTTCAATTGACAGCGTAAATGAAGACCCAACTGTACTATACATTTATCTCAAGGAAGTATTATGTTAACATTTAGTAACATCTGGAATAGTAGCATGGTGATAATAAGAACATCTCATAGTGTGACCACGGTTATCACTTCAGTATTTATTTATTTTATTTATTTATTATTTTTATTTTGTTTTTTATTTATATTATAAGTACTGGAGGTATATACATAAATTACAGTGGAATTGAAAAACATAAGTATAATAGGGGAGCTGTACAACATGGGTTGTATCGTATTAAGGTTGAACAAGAGGACATAGCTGTCAGGATTATGTCTAGTTGGCAATGTTTATTGCAATGGTAATTTCTTATCTATTTACATGATAATTTCCGATAAAACGGTTTTGATGGTACAATAAAAACAGGTACTGTAAATATAGTAGGTGTTACAAGAAATATTAATACTTAGACAATAGATATTTTTTAAGAGATGGTTTAAAGGAAGGAAGCGTAGTCTTTGCTCGGATGGGTGGGAGTAAGTTGTTCCACACCTTCACACAGTGATATTTCATGGAGGTCTGGGACTGAGAGGAGCGCATGGGGGGTGGTCTTATTAGCTCTGCGTGTCTTAAGTTTTATCTCTGATTATTCTGGAACTGGAAATAATTATTGTCAAGCAAGTGACTGATAGATTTGTAAACAAAGAGGGCACAGCTTTAGGTATTAATACTTTCGAATTTTAAAATTTTCAATTTAGCAAAATGTAACAAAATGTAGAAATAATCTTGAGTTTACTCTCAAGTCAACTCCATACTTTATTATTAAAGTTGGGTTGGTTGGGTTGCCATACGGCAATTTTTCCCTTGCAAAAATTACTGTCTCTAGAACGAATGGCATCTGAGCGCCAGCTGGGGTGATGCGTAGATCAAACTTACAGAATTTCTTTTGTAGCCATCTAGCCAACCCAACATGAAGGATGTCGGTAATTGTGCTGTAATACTGTATTTTTTTCACAATATGTATGTAGGATGCTGTGAGCATGTAACTGAGAAAAATAAATGAAGAAAGTTACATGTATCAACCCAAAAAACGAGTTGAAAAAGCCATTTTTTCTAAAAACCAGCTTTTGTGATATACGATAGTCCAAAATGCGACGTCTAGCTTTATACCTAGGTATGTAAATGCCAAGATGAGGATATCATTCCTCAAAAGGAGAGATCCGTCAAGGGAAGTGGAGCAACTACCTTTGAGACAAACACATAAACATAAGAGAATTAGCAGTAGTCCTTTTTTTTTTGTTGGCAAACCCAAATTTACAAAATATGACGATCCTGTTTGCCATGGACAACAGAGCGGCAGACAAGCGCAGTGAGGTGAGTAACAGGGCAGACCCCAAGAGTCTCACAGGAGAGCACCCACCCAAACCCAAGAGAGTTAACACAAAGAGGCAAGTGACTCACCTTGTGAAGGTAGTGACCAGTGGATACTACAATGTCTTTCATGAAGGCAAATACTGTTGAATTGTAGAACCATCTGACTCGAGTCACGATCCACTGGGTCACGTTTCCTAAGACAGGAATTGTTGAAGCTGCACAGGAGAGGTTTTGGTGTTTAGAACAAAACACAGATGAGAATATAATCAATTAGCTCTATTAATCAATAATTTCTTTGTTACTATAATGCATGAGATCAGAAAAATTATTTCATAAGAAGTTTATGACAGAAACAATAAATATTTCAACATATTTTGGGATTAGATGTGTGTGTATACATGTGTGTGTTTGTGTGTGTGTGTGTGTATAACTTTTATTTGGGTTCTAGGTTATTCTTGCATATACAGTACAGTGCAGTGCAGTACATATTTTCCTAACAAAAATCTCGTGTTGTGTTCCCATTTCAATGTTAGAAAGATCATATCAGCAGGCACTTGCAAGATTTTGTTCCCACCAAAAGCTTCTCATAGCTATTGAGAAAAGGAGTACAGTACAGTACAGTACACACCAGTGGTAGAAGAGTCTCTATAGCAGAAAGATGGATGGCAGGATGAGGAAGAAATACAATATTTAAGAATAGAACATACAGTAGAGTCTGGATTTACGCGGTTTTTGTTTACGCGTTTGGTCATTTACGCGGTGCCTTGCCAGAATAAAATGTTTTAATTACGTGGTAAATTTCATCATTTACGAGGGAAGCGGCGCTGGTAGGGTGCGCACAAGGTCGCCCAGTCATCAAAACATAACCGAGTTCTTCACCCGCCACCCACCACAGCCGGCCCAAGTCAGTGATAGTGATAGTGTGGATATGGACTTTGAGGGGTTTGACAGCTAGCGGCGGAGGGAGGTAAGGATGCGTGGCCCAATCACAGTCCGATACGTCATATGACGTCAGCGATAACGTAAGAGAGGCCTAATTCGCACCACTCACCGCGCCACTTCCCGTGTATGGTCAAGACTGGACCGCATGGGTAAAAAATGGCATGGCGTTCTGGACCTCTCCAGCTGCTTGGCGTGTAAATGACCAAATTTACCGCGTAATTAAAGCATTTTCATTCTGGCAAGGCACCGCGTAAATGACCAAACGCGTAGACAAAAGCCGCGTAAATGCAGACTACAGTAATACCCCGCTTTACGCGGTTTCACTTTCCGCGATTTCGCATTTACGCGGTACCTCGTCAGAACCGGACTTTCACTTTACGCGGTGCATCTACTCATATACGCGGGAAGCGGCGCGGGCAGGATGCGCACAAGGTCGCCCAGTCATCAAAACATTTCCGAGTTCTTCACCCGCCACCCACCACAGCCGGCCCAAGTCAGTGATAGTGAGAGTGATAGTGAGAGTGATAGTGAGGATATGGACTTATATGGACTTTGAGGGGTTTGACAAAGAGGCCCTGCAAGCCTATGTGGTGGATAGTGATACAATTGATACAAGTGATACAGGTGAGGGCCAATAATCTGCCCTCTGCCACCTTTTCTACTAATGTAAGTGTTAAAAAAACTAATATTATTGATATTTCTCTTAATTATTAATTGTGTGTGCATACCATCATAAAATTAAGATGTAATTTTTACTACAATGTAGGTATTGTGTCTGAAAAAGTGGAGTTTGGGGGTTGGGCCAGTCTCTATTGGAATTAATTCCATATGTTCTGTTGTTCACTTTACGCGGTTTTCACTTTCCGCGGTACCCCATGGGTTCAATTGACCGCGTAAATCGGGGTACTACTGTATGTGTTTAAAACTGTTTATTTTCATTCATATATGTGTGTGTATTACGTCTTTTGGCCAAAAAAATTTCCTTGGAAATGCATCTCAAATTATGTAATGGGAGTCAATGGCAAAAATGAGTCTCGCATTACAGAAAATTTTTCAGGAATGAAATCCTTCTGTAACCCAGGATGTCTATACAGTACAGTGGTCCCTCGGTTAACGAACGGTTCGGTTAACGAAATTTCGGTTTACGAATTACCTTCCATAAGAATCTTCAATTCGGTTAACGAACAAAAATTCGATTAACGAAATCCTTACAAACATCACGTTTTGTTGTGAGCATCAGCTGATCAGCTGATGGGCTAGTCTACCATTTCAGTACTCTGTTCTATGTTTACATTCGTTTCCATTGGAGTAAATATAAATAAAGTTGCATTCTTTAATATTTTTTGCATTTTGTATATAAAAATTATTAGTCATTTTAACATTTAACATATTGATAATATATGCAGTAAAGGGAACTAGTTTTTTGTGCGCCTATCAGCAGCTTGACTCAGCCATGAGGCGCCAGTTGGGCTTTGAAAACAGTGGAGTGAACATCTGTTTTGTTGGTGTCTTGAATATTTTAGCATTTTTCATTGAAAGTATTGGTCTTTCTGAAATTTAGTTAACATATTGATAATATATAGCACAGTGCAGTGTTGATTTAAAGAAAATAATCTTGAATTACACCTAGTGAACTTAAAATTTAATTGGTGAAATGACGGCATCAAGCATGGGGTGATTTCTCCTCCATCCCCACTTCCTTCTCCTCCACCCCCACTTCTAATTCCCATCATCATCATGAACCAGGAATCTTCTACATACACACCTCAAAGTAAGTGTACTTTACTGCATTTTTTCTTTACTTTGTATGTACTTTTTGGTGAGCTGGAACCAATTATCCAATATCCCATTGAAACAATGGATTCGGTTAACGAAATTTTCGGTTAACGAACGACCTTCTGGAGCGAATTGTGTTCGTTAACCGAGGGACCACTGTACTTTCATAACTATAGGGCATTCAAATATTGAGAGAGGCCTTTAAATGTATATTCTTTCTAATATAATTTACCATGAATTCAAACAAAAAACAGCTACAGTAATTATTGAACCTATATTAATATAGAGAGGATTGTATTAAGCCCTGAACAGGTTAAAGCAGCAATATCTGCAACATGACTTACCATAATCCAACAGCAACTCTGGGAAGCTGATAATAAAGCTAGTAGTGGATGTGAAAATGTCACTTAAGCTTTGACCAAGGTGGATCAGCCAAGTTCCTGAGTTCATGAGAACTGCCTCAAACCACACTTCAGCACCAACAGCCAGATTGGTGAAGATTTGGCCAAAGTTGTGACTCAGATAGGCTGCAGTTGCTTCTATCAGAACACTGGGGAGATATTATTAATCTGTAGTAGAAGATATATACTGTAATATATTCCTTGTCACTGCTAACTAATAAAAAAATGAAAAAAGTACTTTCAGTTACTAACAATACCTGCACAAGACACTTAGTGAACCTCTGTACAATTATTTTTGTTTGTAGTTTTGTAAATTCAACTAATAATTGATATCTTCAAAAGCTTTCTAAATTTTACTAATCTACAAATGGAAAAGATATGAAAGAATTTTACTAAAAAACATAAGATGCAACAACAGTACAGTATTCCTATATACCAGCAGTTTTAATATCATCCATATAAAATTCTCTGTCTTCTGAAACCCAATATCTGGTATTCATTTTCATGAGTCTCTAAAACTCTTAACATTACAATAATTCCCTCTTCACTTCCAACTTCATATCTTTTCACAGACAACATTCAATTAAGTTTCAGTCTTTCTGTTCAAAGATGATAAATACATTTCATTCAGAGAGAAAGAAAGGGATACTTATTCTCATATTTCTGAGAAACTTAAAAAATACAGTAATTTCCTTGTCAAACCTACACATATTAACAGTGGGTCCCATAGACATGACTGCCCATTAGAGACAGTGTGGGTAATGTACACTGTACAGTAGTTTCTTGATATAACAAACTAATTCGAGCCACCCCTGTTCGTTAAATTCAAATTTCCACTAAATCGAGCTCTTGGTCAACTATGTATACACTGGAGCACCTTAGCTTTCGTCTTTATTCAAGATATCTTCAGAGGCAACTTAATTTACACAGATGGAGTGTCAGGTCGCCCTTTCTTAGGTGGGGGATTAGTGGGTCTGATGACCTGAAGATATCTTGAATAAAGACAAAAGATAAATTATTGAGGAGACCTGACCTGACCTGATGCAATGTCAAGTGGAGGTAGGGTGGGGGATTAGTGGGCCTCAGGGGCAGATCCAGGATTATAAAAAAAGAGGGGTCCAAGAAGTTGTGGGAAGGGGAAATGGCAAGTTCAGCAAGCCCACCCAGCTGGGGGGTTTTGAAATGTGACCAATATCATAGGCATTTTGAAGCCATTTTGAAGCCATGAGCACTTGATATTAGGAGATATTCTGAAGTCAATAGTATATACTTTTTGCAATACAAAAATGCCTAAGTACAATACTGCATTCAAGAAAAAAGTATTGGAGTTTTCTGGTGAAAAGGGGAAGGACCTGAAGAGGTCTAGAATAAATACAAAGGCTAAAGTGTTTTTAGGGAGATTATGATAAGTATAAGTATACATGAGCAAAGTTGTATCCCTTCAACATTACGTTACATAACATTTTAAAATATGGAGTGAAAAAGCAGAGAGAGAGAGAGAGAGAGAGAGGAGAGAGAGAGAGAGAGAGAGAGAGAGAGAGAGAGAGAGAGAGAGAGAGAGAGAGAGAGAGAGAGAGAGAGAGAGAGAGAGAGAGAGAGAGAGAGAGAGAGAGAGAGAGAGAGAGAGAGAGAGAGAGAGAGAGAGAGAGAGAGAGAGAGAGAGAGAGAGAGAGAGAGAGAGAGAGAGAGAGAGAGAGAGAGAGAGAGAGAGAGAGAGAGAGAGAGAGAGAGAGAGAGAGAGAGAGAGAGAGAGAGAGAGAGAGAGAGAGAGAGAGAGAGAGAGAGAGAGAGAGAGAGAGAGAGAGAGAGAGAGAGAGAGAGAGAGAGAGAGAGAGAGAGAGAGAGAGAGAGAGAGAGAGAGAGAGAGAGAGAGAGAGAGAGAGAGAGAGAGAGAGAGAGAGAGAGAGAGAGAGAGAGAGAGAGAGAGAGAGAGAGAGAGAGAGAGAGAGAGAGAGAGAGAGAGAGAGAGAGAGAGAGAGAGAGAGAGAGAGAGAGAGAGAGAGAGAGAGAGAGAGAGAGAGAGAGAGAGAGAGAGAGAGAGAGAGAGAGAGAGAGAGAGAGAGAGAGAGAGAGAGAGAGAGAGAGAGAGAGAGAGAGAGAGAGAGAGAGAGAGAGAGAGAGAGAGAGAGAGAGAGAGAGAGAGAGAGAGAGAGAGAGAGAGAGAGAGAGAGAGAGAGAGAGAGAGAGAGAGAGAGAGAGAGAGAGAGAGAGAGAGAGAGAGAGAGAGAGAGAGAGAGAGAGAGAGAGAGAGAGAGAGAGAGAGAGAGAGAGAGAGAGAGAGAGAGAGAGAGAGAGAGAGAGAGAGAGAGAGAGAGAGAGAGAGAGAGAGAGAGAGAGAGAGAGAGAGAGAGAGAGAGAGAGAGAGAGAGAGAGAGAGAGAGAGAGAGAGAGAGAGAGAGAGAGAGAGAGAGAGAGAGAGAGAGAGAGAGAGAGAGAGAGAGAGAGAGAGAGAGAGAGAGAGAGAGAGAGAGAGAGAGAGAGAGAGAGAGAGAGAGAGAGAGAGAGAGAGAGAGAGAGAGAGAGAGAGAGAGAGAGAGTGTGTGTGTGTGTGTGTGTGTGTGTGTGTGTGTGTGTGTGTGTGTAATAATAATAATAATAATAATAATAATAATATAATAATAATAATAATAATAATAATAATAATAATATTAATAATAATAAAAATAATAAACGGTTCATTGAAAAAGTTTGCATTGTGGTTGCACTTACTAAGCTTCGTGACATCACTTGTGTATAATATTTCTTCATATGCCCTGGTTTATTCACTGATTAGTTGTCTAAGTGCAAAAGTAGCTAAATCGAGCCATCATGTGTCAATTAATTTTAAAATAGAAATTATAAAGTAAAATATGAGGATGCGGCTAAACATGGTGCAACCTTTGTCCCCAGACCCAGAGCAGATTTTCCGGTAATTGCTTTATATCATTTATTGTTTTTATACATTTATTACATTCGCCGTAGGCTGAAGTAGGTTTTACCGTATCATGTGTCTGAGATGTCTCCATAGGTATAAGCATATTAACGGGATTGAACTCGATTTAACGAATTAGTTCACTAAATTGAGTGAAAAATAACGAAAAAATGCCTTCTGCTAAATCGAGAGTTAGTTATATCGGATTCTGTTGAATCGAGAGTATACTGTACGTATATACATTATGGCCAGCACTGCATTCAAACATATTTACCTCCATAATTGTACCCATTTTTAGTTGGGTGGGCTGAGGGTGGCCCAGGGTAGAGCTAACAACCCTTATAAAAGGAGGCAAGGACTGCATGTACAGTATTCAGTTACTGCATCACTAAAACATCATGCGACATTAAAAATAATATTTGCTACAATGTCATCCGTATTTTTTTCACATTCACTAATGCCTGTGATTAAATAAAAAAAATTGCAGGTGAGCAATAAAGGTTGATGATTTGTTTGTATACAAATCAATTTGTAGATCCCATCACCACTGTGAACATTGTTGGTAAAAAGACTTAATACTGTATTCTTCATTTTCAAACAAAGGTTCTGTTCTCAAAGTGCAATAATTATCAAGAGAGACTCACCTGGTTACATCAAAACATAATTGTGCTCCATGAGCCATGTCAAGTAGCAGCTGATCCCCTTTAAACTCCAACAGAATATGGTGGGTGTGGTTGCTGATGTACTCTGCCAAGGTTGAGGTTGGGGTAGAAGTGGATATCTGTGAGAGGCCATCCATCACCCTCAAGTCTGATGCCACAACTCTCATTGCAGTTTTTGCAGCTAATATCAAAGTAGTAACTTCTTCATGAACTTTGTCCTGTGATATACAATGGTTAGATAAGACTGGCATAAATTAATGAAATATATATAGTATACAATTTCAGAAGAGCACACGAAATGTTCATAAACTACAGATGCTATTGAAATGAAGTTGATTCTCATTTCAAGAAGATTTAATATAATTTAAGAGATAAAGAAGCAATATATGTAAAGCCCAAAAGGTTTCAAGACCTATTACAAAAAATTATGCCACACTCCTTACCATAATATCCCCCAACCTATCCCACATGCTGCCACCAGAATGAGCCATGGCATGAAGTAAGAATGGAGGATGGAGTTGAAATCTGATGTGAACAGTATCCAGCAGGTCTATTTCAGCCTTCTGTACATCTACAAGTCCAAACTTCAGTGCAAGTTCTTTCATGCCTTCTTGTGCTGTAAGAAAAAAAAGGGAGAATTGAAGTTTGTTAAGGCTACTTTTTGGACACACACACACACACACACACACACACACACACACACACACACACACACACACAGCAGCGGGCCCCCTTGGCCAATGTTCGGCCCATTCCCCAAGTCCCTCTCCCCAACCCATCCTCACCACTGGGATATCAACATAATCAAAAGTGACAATTTCGTTTCGGAAAGAAGTGGGACCAGTGTTGAACAGTGATGAACAGTGCTTAAACCAGGAATTCAGCACTAGACAGTACCAGTGAGAACCATGACCCACCCATGAGATAAGCACCCCTGGGAACTGACCGCCATCTTCTGACAAGGAGGTGCTAATGAGTCACCCTGGGAACAACAGTGGGTTGGCTTCACACCTGACTTCGAAATAACACAACACCACCCAGTAGGGTGGAGAACTGTGACACCACCCCACACCACCCTGTGTCTCCATGAATACGTGAGGCCCTTCATATCAACACCCGAGGACGAGTTACTGCACCAAGTGAACACCACACCACCTGTTGTCCCCATGACCACGTGAGGTCCTTCATATCAACACCCAAGGACGAGTTACTGCACCAAGTGAACACCACACCACCTGTTGTCCCCATGACCACGTGAGGTCCTTCATATCAACACCCGAGGACGAGTTACTGCACCACGTGAACACCACACCACTCGGGCCCTGGGGGGCAAAAATTTAATAATAATAATAATAATAATAATAATAATAATAATAATAATAATAATAATAATAATAATAATAGAGAAATACAAAAATGAAAAAAATCAAGTGAGAAACAATATATGTATGTTGTATTGTCAATAGTAAGAGAAACAATTGAGGCTCTGCAATTGTGTGTAAATGAGGCAGAAGTCAGACCATCAACCTGGGACTTGGTCACAATTTTTGTGATGCCATATGGCAGCAGGGTCTACCATTAGACAACACATTATGCTTCCAATATCTTCCCCGGCGGTAGTACCTCCCTGTTTGGTAGCTGCTTACTACCTACTACACCACGTGAACACCACACCACCTGGTGTCTCCATGACCAGTCCAGGCCGGGGCCATCAACTGTAAACTATAATAATTTGTATGTTCAATTCATGTTCCTTCTTCTTTCAGGAATGAAACCTTTTGTTAAACGACCCACCCACCCCATGTCTTTGTATGTAGTAGGTCATTTTTGTCCAATGTATATTTTCAGCCTTCGGGCTGCCAACTTTTTCAATAAACAGTTAATTATTATTATTATTATCACTATTATTATTACACACTACTACTACTTTGCTGTCACTCGGAATCAAGTATGACGATCATCCAGCTATGATACAATGATATGAGTTATTAAGGATGTCACCTAGGTTGGTGAGTTCTGAGGTGACTAAAGAGGCCGATATGGGACCGGCAGGGTTCATCACAGATGTTGCACACGTGGGGGGGCTGCATCTAGCGCGGGAGGGGCGGGGGTAGCGTCCTTCCGGAGTTGGCGCTTGTTTGCCTCGGTATGCAGTCAGGCTAACTCGAAAGTATTGACACCTTCTTGTGTGGTGCTCCTCCAAGCGTTACGGTGTGGAGTAAACGTCTCCCAGGTGAGGGGGGTTGATTTGGCACTTTTCAGGTTTGTCTTAAGAATATCCTTATACCTTTTCAGTTGCCAGCCTGCATTACGTTTACTATTCGTTAGGTGACTGTAAAGTAGCTGCTTTGGCAGTCTACTGTCATCCATGTAGGCAACATGGCCAGTCCAGTGTAGTTGTTCATGGACAATGGTAGCCTCGATGCTTCTACAGTTGGTGTCAGCAAAAATACTGGCATTTGTTCTCTAGTCTTCCCAGTGAACTCGGAGGATGGAACATAGACTATGTTGGTTTCAAGTGCCTTGAGGTGCCTCCTGTATGTGATCCATGTCTCGCTGCCATATAGCAGGGTAGGAAGGACCACTGCTCGATAAACGTGTAACTTTGTAGATAACTTCAGTGCCCTATAGCTGAAAACATGGTTTTGGAGTCTGCCAAAAGCTTGAGATGTACATCTGATCTGATGCTGAATCTCTTCATCGATGTCCACGGTGGTGAACAGGTGGGAGCCGAGATACTGAAAGTTGGTAACATTAGAGAAGGTAGTACCGTATCATTAAGCTAGATGGATGGTGGAGGTGTGGCTGAACCAGGGGCAGGTTGAAAGAGAATCTGAGTCATACATACAGTACATTCACCTCAAGGCCAAAGTGTGCATACGCATCTGCATAGGTGTTCAGGATCTCCTGAAGGTCGCATTCAGTGTGAGCAACAAGGGTGCATACTGAAGCTCAGTAATGGAAGCTGCTGACACCTTTGTTCCTGCCTGGAGCTGTCTTATGTTGAAAAGACCCTTCATCTGGTACTTGATGTCCACCCCGCTGGCTAAATTGGCACTGGCACGAGTAAGGAAGGCAGCCAAGAAAATGGAAAAGAGAGTTGGTGCCAGTACACACCCTTGTTTAACCTCCATTTGGATGGGGAAGAACTCAGACTGGGTGCCATTGTGCAGGACACTGCCATTCATGTCATTGTGGAGTTGCTTCACAATAACGACGAATTTTGGTGGGCAGCCAAAACGTCTTCCCTGATGACCAAGTCGAAGGCCTTGGATAGGTCAATGAAAGCCATGTACAGGTCAAGACGCTGATCTCTGCACTTTTCCTGTATCTGACGGGCAGCACAGATCATGTCAGTGGTGCCACGTGATGGTCTAAAGTCACATTGAGATTCTGGGAGGAAGTTTTCTGCCTCAGGAAGAAGTCTGTTTAGAAGGACTTGGGCGGTAATCTTGCCAGCTGTTGACAGCAGCGAGATCCCACAGTAGTTGCCACAGTCTGACCGATCTCCCTTGTTCTTATAAATTTTAACAATGAAGGCATCATATGAGCTTGGGGATTTCCTCCTTTTCCCATATATTCTCCAGGAGAGAGTACAGATGGCTGGTAAACAGAGGTCCTCCTGCTTTATACACATCAGCTGGAATTCCATCAGGCCCTGAGACTTTGCTAATTTTCATCTGTTTGATGGCAGCAGCTACCTCATCCAGGGATGGAGGAGAGCTGAGGTGGGTCAGCTCTAGATGCTGAGGGACTTGACAGGAAGTCAGGATATCAACATCGGAGTTTCAGTTGAGCAGTGAATGGTAGTGCTCTTTCCAGCACTGAAGGATGCCTTTATTGTCTTTAATTAGGGAGTTACCCTTGGATGAGCGGAGGGGGCCAGCGCCACGAGTGATTGGCCCATTAAATCTTTTAGTGGAACTGAAAAATTCGCGCATCTTGTGCTGATCTACATTTTTTTTATTTCACATGCTTTATTTTTAATTCAGTCACACTTTAGATTGCGAAGTTCCCGCTGAGCCGCCGCTTTCTTGCAGAAGGTAACAGCTTTGGTCGAAGACTGAGGGTTGTTCTGCTTGTTAGTTAAAGCAACACATTTATCATCGACGAGTTCAGTGATTGCCGGGTCATTTTCATCAAACCAGTCCTGGTGTATTCTTTCGATCAGGCCAAGGGTCTCTCTGCAGGTTTTTGTCACAACAGTGTCAAGAATATCCCATTCCGCACTGGGATTTGGGTTGTTTGTTGTCGGGTTGATTATCAGCCCATGTTCGAGCTGCTTTCTGAAAGCATGTGCTACAACTGGATCCTCCAGACACTTAAGTGTTAAAACCTCTTCTAGAGGCTTGCTGCCTTAGTCGTTTTTGGGCAACGTGAAGTGAGAGTTTGGCTTTGATGAGCTGATGATCAGTGTTGCAGTGGTCTGAGCCATGCATGGCACGGGTGATGAGGACATCTCAGCGATCTCTTTCTCTGACAAGGATGCAGTCAATGAGATGCCAGTGTTTGGATCGTGGATGTTGCCATGAACCCTTGAACTTGCCAGCCTACCTAAACAAGGTATTGGTGATAGTGAGGTTGTGTGCAGCACATTTGCTGAGGAGGAGTAGGCTGTTGGGATTACACTTGCCTAGTCCACTTCTCCCTATGGTTCCATGCCAAATGTCAGCATCTCTACCAACTCTGGCATTGAAGTAACCAAGGAGCACAACCTTATATTCTCTGGAGACAGAGGTTAGCACTCTGTCGAGGTCGGCGTAAAAGGCCTCCTTGATGTCATCCTCTGCATCCAGTGTTGGGGAGTATGCATTGATGAAAAAGGCATGATGTGAGTGATTCAGTGGGACTCGGAGCGTCATGAGGCGCTTGTTGATCCCAACAGGCATTTCAGTTAGCCTGTGTAGGATGCATTGGCGTATGCCAAAGCCAACTCTATAAATGCAGTTTCTCTCTGCAGCGGGCTTACCCTTCCAGAAGAAGGTATAGCCAGACCCCTGTTCTGTGAGTTGACCGCATCTGGGAGCTGGGACTCACTAATGGCTGCTATGTTGATGTTATACCTAGTCAGCTCTTTTGCCATAAGGGCGGTTCTTCTTTCAGCATGCTCATTTGTGCCAGTAACCAGGAAGGTCCTGAAATTCCATATTGCAACAACCACAAGAGGTTGTATAGTTTGTTTTTGTTTGGATCTGTGATTATGATTGCATTTTCAACCACATAAGGATGACCTTATTGGGTGCAGTTGCCCAGTCAGGTTGGTGTTTTAGGCAGGCTATGTTTAAGGCACCTTTTCTAGCACCCTTCCCATGTGGGGTGATCAGAGTGACTCCTTGAAAGGGCTGCTCAGTCGCACAGACAGGACCGGATTGCACTGCTGCCCAGAGCCCAGTGCATAAACGACCATCTTATCTGTGCCGCCCATGTGCAGAGTTGTGACTAGAGACTCCGAGCAGTCATCTCTGCCTGTACCCGTCACCATAAGACTTTTGGGGGTACAGGTATAGGGGTTTTGATGATGATGATGATGAGAGGTATGATGAGATGGATTAGGCAGGAGCACAGGCTGCAATCACATATCTTGGCTCTCCTTTTTCCTGATCTAGTGGTGCAAGTGTTGCAACGACTGGGGAGAGAGAGAGTTGCAATGGACTGCCGATAGCCCAATTTGTTGGGTTTCGCCTTAGTAGCCTGTCCATCATGCATTGCCTTCGTCCGCCGGTGTAGTCGTTGGGTTTCCATGATGGTCACCTCTTAGGCCTATACCGCCACTGGGGTCTTGTTGGAGCTCTGTAAGCATGTCTGCCTGATGTGGGGCTCCACCACAGATTTTTCGCTCAGGGTTTACTCCCGTAACCTTATGCCAGGCCAAGGTTAATCCGCAAGGCAGCGGGGCAATGGTTGGTTGGCGCCAGGACATGTCCACATGCCAATGGGCCTATGCGCCGTCCCTCTGGAGCCCACTGCTACTCCGAGGTTCCCCTGCTGGTCTAGCCTGGGCCAACGAGGCACCCAGTTACCGTGTGTTGCCATGAGGAGGCACATCAGGAGTCTTGATGGTGAAGAGGCTGTGTACTGGCAGGGGAAGACTTATGCAAGTTGCTTCCCTGTTCGCCACGAGGGCTAGCCAGCGGCGGTAGCTGAAAGCGAGAGAGGGCAAGCAGTGCTTGCACCTTAACACTAACATAATGCTGCCACACTAGATGCATTTCACCACCCTTTGTGCGAACACACAGACACACACACACATAAAGTCATCATGATTCTTATATAGTACTACATAATATCTATTCATATCTTACTTTTCTTTGACAAAGTAGCTTGAAGGCTGGTGGGGCTGGTACACATTTTCTGGTGAGTGTAATAAGTGTGGTTAAAGATCCCAACCAAGGCCATAAAGCCCAAACAGCCGGGAACATCAGAGGGTTGGTATCTGAAGAACACTTTCTCGTGTACTGATGGGGTCATGAACTGAAGTGCCAGAAAAAAATATATTATGCAAATAATATACATGATCCAAAATTATCAATATGCAGGAGGCTTTTAATTATTAACTGGTATTCAAATGATGCCTGGATCAGATCAAAATATTCTTTTATCTGATAACAGGAAAGTAATATCCCAAACTCATATGTGCTTTTATGTTTTGTGATAGGCTGTGCATCAATTTTATTGTTTATCATAGAATTGAATATGGCAGCTCATCCCCATTATGTGTGGTGTTCAAATTTATGATTCTAGCTGATTTTGGAGATTTTTTATTCGTATTTCATTCTGGTGCCGGTTAACTGAATCTGCAGGTTGCCTGGACTCCAGTTAACTGGAAGCATAAAGGCATTATAAGGGTTGTCTCTTGTAAGTGGTGAGATTCATCAAATAACTAAAAAATATTTGTTTCTTTAGCTGTTTTGAGTTGTAAGAATGAACCAAAACTATGGTTTAAACCACTGAATTACAAGCCAGTTAGGAGGTCAGTGTATGAGACTATCTATATAATTTCTGAAATGATGAATTACACATCTAAAAGCCATAAAATGTCTATTGATAATTTTATACAGTACAGAATATGAAATTTCACTTTATAAATGAAATATAAACTGGATACAGTATATGAATTGTAATTATGTACCAGTAATATTAATTTCAGGATCAAATATTCCTAAAAAATATATCACATATATATAGTCAAATCTGATTCAGTTTAAGCTATCAAGGTAAGACATTAATTGCATGTGCTATACAAAACAAAACTATCAATGTACAGTATTTGTATTCATATTATTCAGCTAATGAACCATACAAAATAAGTACAGTACAGTACCGGGGTTTTCAAATTGGCTTAATTTTTCATAGCCACATACCTTACAAGACAGTACAGTGTGTTTGTTTCTGACATCCATACCACACGTGAGGGTGAACCGAGTGTCAAGAGTTGTTTTAGGACGAGTCACTTTTGGTGTCGTGGCCGACGTACTCGGCACAACCAGCACGACGCTCACCTCACCGCTGTCAGGGGATGGCAGGAATGACACAATCACACCCATAATATTCGAGTTGTTATCCATGTCTCTCTGTGATAGAAAAATAATTAGCAATATAAGATGAATGGAGAAGGAAGAGATAATGATACAGATAACGAAGTGGTCCTACATACTGTACTGTAGTTGTATAATGCATTGCAATTACTGGAGTGGTCATGGGTTCAGTATAATAATATAGTCTCTTTAATAAAGGCTGTCAGAGTACATCAATAGATATTGCTATATTATGTGCAGAGGCAGGATTTTGAAACAGATGCAAATATGAAAACATAGTTGACAAAAAATTTCAACAATAGCAAACAATTCCTATATTTTGCCCCCATGATGCCATGAACATAGTACTCCTATAATTGATAATTTGTCTTTCACACTATGGACTATGGAAAAATTAAACAAGCTCAGTTTTTTAAATATAATTACTTTTTGTTCAGTCCGGAATGCGACGTCTATCTTTATACCTAGGTATGTAAATGCCTAGCATTAATTTACCAGGCCAACATACAGGCAATTAAAACATCTAATAATTACTTAAATACGTAATATTAGGAGCACACATCATTACCTGGCATTTAAATGCAATTCTCAAAACCCCCTCCCACACCCTCCATCACAAGCATTGCTACCATCATCTTCTTGCCTTGCAAATCAGCTGTAAATATGCGCAAGGAAAGCTCCGCTAATTTGTGTTGTAATAGCTGAAATATTATGTGCCACGAGGATTTTATTTTGGGTATTTATACATCTTAGCACGGTGACGAAATCGAGTGACTTTTATTTTGATTATGTCTCTCAGATATTGTGTTTGGGGCAATTTTTTTATACGGTCTGGTCAAGCATGGCGACCACGGCTCGTCTTCTATCTCTAGGAAGACAGTCGATCTTCAGTGACAAATTTCCTCTGCTTTCAAGTCACTTAGTGAATGACGTTGTTTCATGCCACACTTGAGTGAGGAAGGGGAGGGGGCGGGGAGAAAACTAACCGCACAGCCGTCCTCCCCTCACACCCCAAAAAGGTTGATTCCCACACTCTTCAGCAAAACATCAACATTAAATCCATACATCACACACACACACTCCAGGAACCAGCCAAACACACACACACACACGCACTCCAACGCCACTCACATACCCCCAACAAGGGATTTAAGACAGCAGACATAAGGAGTGAGGGTTTCATTGTGTGACAAATTTGTGTGTGTTTGACTGCGAGTTAAATAACAGCTGTTGAGGAGTGCTTGGCAACACTCATATCTACTCCATCTCTCTAATCACCCACACCTTTCTGCTTTCTCACTCCATATTTTAAAATGTTATGTAATGTAATGTTGAAGGGATACAACTTTGCTCATTTATACTTATGGCAATCTCTAAAAATGCTTTAGATGTCGTGTTTATTCAAGACATCTTCAGGTCATGAGACCCACTAATCCCCTGGCCAAGAAAGGTTGACCTGACATTCCATCAGAAGGTCAGTAATACGCGACCACTAATCCCCCATCCAACCTCGACCTGACATTGCGTCAGGTCAGGTACACGAGACCCAATAATCCCCCACATCTCCATGAGAGTGGAAAATACCAGTTTTTGCTGTAACACATAACTTCATTCATGCCCATATCATAAAGATTTTTAATTTTCAAATATAATTATTTTACCAAACTTTTAGATAAACTATTCTGGATTATTATAGTGAAGAAGTTGGAGTTTCTAACTTAATTAGAACTGCATTTACGGACTCTTGTAGTTTAGACTTGAGGAAAACATCCCAGCACCCAGAAACATTCTGGGGAAGTGGGCTAGTGTCCATCTGTGCAAGATGTCTAGTTAAGACGCTCAGAAACTTTTCCCATTAACCGGAAAAGATTCCGGGGATAAGGAATTTTTCTGGGCTTGAGAAAGTCGTCTGGTTAGCTGGAAATCTCTATTCCCCGGAAGTGCTCTGCACCAATTGTTCCGGCTAACGGGGATATCACTGTATCTTCATTACCTGGAATTCCTCTAAATTGGAATTCTCCGATAGACAGAACTGAAATTTGCTCAGAATTTTCTGGAAAATTCTGTGCTTGGGAACGATTTGCTGAGGGGCGCATTTTCTGGATAATTCCGAGAAGATTTTTCGGTACCCAGAAAATTTCAGGGAAAGAGGATTTTTGGGGGGATTTGAGAGATAAGAATGAGGCGCCTTTTCCGATAATTCCGAGAAAAATTTTCCAGTACTCGAGTTTGAGATGAAATAATGCGCCATTCTGGAAAATTTAAGAAAATTCCATGGATGGGGGATTTTTTCCCGATTTTGAGAGTCGTTTCATTACCCGGACATCTCTCATTCCCAGAAGTGCTTTGCACCAGTTGTTCCGGCTAATGGAGATATCACGGGTCCCGTTCCTGAGGACTTTCATAAGTCGAATTTGTATATAAGTCAGAACACATGCTATATATTATTTCTTTTTTTTTACGGGAATTAGCCCACCCAGGCACAGGCCGAACGACCCACAAAGGGGCCTAGGGGACGAAAAACTAGGAACAGAAATAAATTAAAAATAGAGAAAAAGGGTTATATAGATATAGTCTTCATTTACGCGGTCAATTGAACCCGTGGAGGTCCGCGTAAAACGAGAAATGCGAAAAAGAAATAACAGAACTTATAGGATTAATTGAAATAGAGACTGGGCCGACCCCCAAACTACACTTTTTCCGACACAAAAGTACGTTGAAGTAAAAATAACATCTTAATTTTATGATGGTATGCACACACAATTAATATTTAAAAGAAACACAGTTTCCAGTTAATGTCCATTCAAATAATGGACTCAACTCCCCCCCCCTCCCTCTCCCCCCTCTTCCCACGCTCGCTGGCTCTCCTCCCTCCCTGAGAAATGTTTGGGTGAAAACACTAGGTTTACAGGTTTAAAAATAAATAATACCTCACACTTTGGTAAGGATAATATAATTGACATTGCTGGATTCCTTGCAAGACTGTGAAAAATTTGAATATAAACGTCATATATTTTGCAAAAACGATAAAATTTTTGCTCTCTCTAATAAAATTCTTAAATAAGATCTAAAATTTGTATGTGTAATGCAAATTTTAGCTTGTTTATATTCAAATTAATCACTATCTTATAAGAATTCCTGCAATGTAAATTATATTCTGGCCGGGTAATTTCTATGAATTTTATGAGCTAAAAACAAATATCTTCGGTAAACAAATTATACTTCACCCAGACACAATACGTTACGTACGCACGTTGTAGTAAAAATAACATCTTAATTTTATGATGGTATGCACACACAATTAATATTTAAAAGAAATATCAATAATATTAGGTTTTTTAACACTTACTTAGTGGAAGAGATGGCTGGGTACACGAGGATGGGGGGTTGGTTCCGAGGCAGAGGGCAGATTATTGGCCCTCACCTGTATCACTTGTATCAATTGTATCACTATCCACCACAACCCACAGAGGCTTGCAGGGCCTCTTTGTCAAACCCCTCAAAGTCCATATCCTTACTATCACTATGACTGACTTGGGACGGCTGTGGTGGGTGGCGGGTGAAGAACTCGGTAATGTTTTGATGACTGGGCGACCTTGTGCGCACCCTGCCCGCGCCGCTTCCTGCGTAAATGATGTAATGAACCGCGTAAATAAAAATTGTCGGTCTAGCTAGGTGCCGCGTAAATGACCAAACGCGTAAACCAAATCCGCGTTAATCTACACCACGAAGATGTTGGAAAATCAGCTTTTTAAAGTGAGACAGATTGTATAAGTATGGAAACACAGAAGAAGGCAGAGCATTCCACAGTTTCACTGTGTGAGGAAAGAAGGATGTACTAAAACGGGTTATTCTAGTGTGACCGACATCCACAGAGAAATGGTGGGCACTGCAAGCAAGATGAGTGTTACGAGCCTATGGCCTTGTCGGCGGTACACAAGATGCCAAATCCACCGAACATTGACCGTTAAAGTACCTGTAAAAGAGAGAGAGTGAAGCAACATTGCAGTGAAAAGAAAGGGAAGAAAGATTGTCAACTAAAGGAGGAGAGTTAATAAGACAAAACGCCTTTGATTCCACCCTATCTAACAGTTGGACAGAAGAAGAGCCACCCAAGATATGAGAGCAGTACTCCAAGTTAAGACAAATGAATCCTTTATACTTGAAGCAACTGCTCAGGAGTGAAGTAGCTATGGCATCTGTACAGCATTCCCAACTTTCGGGAGGCAGCTTTAGCTATGTTAAGGATGTGTGATTTCCATGACATTTCGTACTTAAAAAACAATGTTTAAAATCCGACTATATCATAGCCTAAGTCCTTATATACATCTAAAATCACTTAATTTAAGGCAAAAGAAGAAACAGAATGACAAAATACAGTAAATGAAAGTAAAAATTAAGTCATTGGGTAAATAAAATATTTTAAATTTCAAGTTTAACCCCGTTCGTATCGTCGGGCGTTCGTAAGTCGGTGACCTCCTATATTTCTTTCTTTCTAATGGTTGTGCCATCAACAAGCTTTACGGTACTAAGTCATGAGTAAAAGCATTAGGATGTTGGATGTGTGGACACAGATTCTGGAGTGTGGTGGAAATACTAACAATATATACCTTGACTTTGCCAATGCATTCTATAGCTTACCTGGAAGAGTACGGAATTTGGAGGAACACACTGGCATGGATCAGAGACTTTCTTCATGACCACAAGCAATGTGTGGTAATTAATGGCACTAAATCATCATGTGTACCCATGACAAGAAAGATACACCATTGTGAGAAGAAGGTAAATCAATCAAATAAACTAGTAGGGCTAATCTTTACTTTATCCTCTTCGCCTCTATAAGAAGATTGTATACAAACCTAGATGGTCCGTCCCTCATAATGCTCTTCAATAGTGAGGTGCTTCTCCCTTTGGAGTTCTGTACTGTCATCCCAATTGGTCCCCAAGATATGCTAGAGACTGTCAGTTAATTGAAAACGTCCAAAAGAGGGCCACCAGACTGGTGCCTGCATTCCAGCACTCCAGGAACCAGGAGAGATTACAGCATATGAAGCTGCCTAGTTTATATAATATAGATAGGCAACAGGTGATACAGGTTGTACCTCTCTAGTCCGGCATTCTGTGGTCCGGTAAGATTTTAGTTTATCCAATAGGTAGATAGGCAGCTTTTTTTTTTTTTTACTTATCTGAATTATTATTATTAATACAGGAGTATTAAATTTTTGCCCGTCAGGCCCCAATGTGGGTCAGTGACCTATACCCGGGTGGGCTAATCCCCTTAAAAAAAACAAAAAAACAAAGCCACGGGAAATTAAGGTTTGTTTACATCCGGCAGTTCGGCTGCTCTCTCTCTCTCTCTCTCTCTCTGCTTGTCTATACAGAGTACAACATTTAACCCTTCAATATATATGAGCAGTAAATAAGTGTTGCTTTCATATTCTTATGTACAGTAATGACGATATGTTTTCACATGTGCGCACTTACATACGAGCAGTCTCACTTTTTTTTTTACCATTAATGGTTAGCTACTTATATTGTTCCATTTATTAACATTAAATAACATTACAGGTACTTCAAACAACCATATTCATTTTTTTACATTAATTTTACTACAGCTAAAATCAGGGTCTTATTTTCTTCAGTTTTATATGTAGAACCAATCAGTCACTGGTTTTGTAAGCTTTAACATAAACAATGCCGGCAGCCGTCTCGTCCCATCGTGTGTTTTAATATTCCAGTATTATTAATAAATTGTATTGTTACTTTTGCACACACATACATTAATTCAATAAAAACAAATTCAGAAACATAAATTAAAATATATATGAACAGTAAATAAGTGTTCCTTTCATATTCTTATGTAAAGTAATGACGATATGTTTTCACGTGTGCGCATGCGCACTTACATACGCGATCTCTCTTTTTTCTTTACCATTATCGTTAGCTACTTCTATTGTTCCATTTATTAACATTAAATAACATTACTTAAAACAACCATATTAATTTTACTACAGCTACAACCAAGGTCTTATTTTCTTCAGTTTTATATGTAGAACCAGTCAGTCACTGGTTTTGTAATCAACGAAAACAATGCTGTGTCATTTCCTCGTGTGTTTTAATATTCTACGTATTATTAATGAATTGTATTGCTCATTTTGCACACATAAACATTAATTCAATAAAAAAGACATTCAGTAATAAACAATAATGAATCATTTGTACATAAGAGAAATGACGCTGTTTACACGATTATGCACGTCGTCTGCACGTTGGCGGGCCGTTCAAACCCGTTGAAATTCAAGTTTCCGCCGTCAAAATTTTTATTTATCTATTTTTTTGCGTGTTCCAATAAAATACGTTAAGAATTAAAAGCTCGCGAAATTTGATTAGCTACTATACGACATTTAACCCTTCAATATGTCTTCAAAGAGACCATGATGCAGAGAAAGTGGTGCTAGTGCTTCCAAGCATAAGCACAAGTCACTATCTATCCAGGAAAAGGGTGAATTTCCATGGTCCGGCACCGGTCAGGTCCCGAGGTTGCCGGACTCGAGAGGTACAACCTGTATAAGCATCTCATTGGCCATCACTCACTTAATTGCTCATACCTAAAGCTAACAGATACCTGCACCACCAAGGGTTAAAGAAGCCACAAGTGCAGATAAGAATCATACCTAACTTTTTTGGAGTTAGAGTTGTGAACTCTTGGAACAGTCTGCCAGAGAACATTGTGACAGCTTTGAGTGTGAGCTCATTTAAGACCAGATTTGACCAAAAAAGGTGCAGGTACAGATAAATTCTGGAGCAAGTACATGTCCAGTACCTGCCAATAGTGCTTAACAGAGACATGATCAACTGCCAGACTGGCTAGAATGCTGACCAATGGTGAAGAGGATAAAGTAAACTACAGTAATTAAAGTTAAAGCACCTCATAACTCAATGCAATAGACTTTTCTCATAAATTATATTAGTACTGTATTCAACTTGTGAAGTTGTTAAAAATCATCAGCTAACAATTTTATGTACTGTACTCACTGTGAGATTACCAACAAAGATATAACTGCCATGCTCTTGAAGCAACTTAAGGTCAACCCTGAGGGAGTCTTCCGTGGTAGTGAAGACATCTAACAGTAAGACAGCAGAAGCAGATGTTGGATCAGCATTGATGTTACCACTTACTCTCAGTACCTGTTGGAGAAATAAAATGGGGATCACCTGAATATTAGATACCCAAGCTCGAGGGGGGGGTTGGTTAAGTTAACAATGGGATGACTAATCTTTAAATTAAATAAATTGGGGTGTTTAATCTTCAGATGATCCTAGTCATTTATTTCCAAAAGAAAAAGTTCACATTTATAGTAATCAATTCCCCTTCATAGTGACGAATAAAAATCAATAGAAATTGTTTGCATATCTTATATACTGTACAGTAGCCTTAGGTTATTTTGTAATAACCCCTGTCTTATAAGCAGAAGTATTAATATAAATGGGTTAATTACATTTGATTTATATACTTTATCACCCTCTGTAACTTTCCACTAGCTATGAGGTAGCATGTTCAGAGCACGTGATAAGGTGTGCCCATGGGAAGTCGTGTCACTTAGTGCTAAGCTAAGGCATTAAGTAGCCGGCTCTCTGGCCACCTCTTGCAGCAGTAGTTCGATATCCTTGAGGAGAGGAAGATGCTATTGAGAGCCATCGTAGATGGTTCCGTCTTCCCTCGACGGAGGACGTATATTACCGTTCTCCCTCGACGGGTATTACAAGCATTCTTACTCACTCTCTCACACAAGCAGGACGTATTTAGAAGAGCTATTTAATATAGCCTCCGTCCTCATTTTAACACTCATAGCTACAGTGATTAAGTTATGGTGATATACACTTGGAACTGTATAAAATATATTTTCTTAATAAATACAGAAAGGACAGTTGGGTTTTGCTACTCAAACCCTATATACTTTTACATGTTCCAGCCCCATTAACCCAGCTAGAATCAACGGTTAAAGAGCCAGTTCAATTTTGTGAATTCTTACTTTTATTTTTTATTTTGTGGCCATACACTTTACTACCAGAATTCTTTTGACATGCTCTCATCAATACTGGATGGAGTTGTACATTAGAAAAATAACAAATAAAATTCTATAATTGTTACTCCCACAGTGGGATAAATTAGAAGTGAGGGATAGAGAGAGAGAGAGAGAAATGGAGACAGGAGAGAGAGAGAGAGAGAAAGTGAGTGTTTACAAAGAACATTGCTGAGGTGTTAATGTGAAACAGATGGCCCTTGCCTCAGGGCTGGCTAACTCGCTCCCTGTGGGGTTCAGAAGATCGTCTCTAGCCGTCCAGTGAGCTAACAAGTCAGGGAGCTAATAAGTCCTACATTAGACCCGAAACACGTAAGTTTTTAATATGGTTTAACATCCCACTCTACTCAAATATATCATATGTAGTTGTTTATAGCGAAGGAATGTACGAGTGAATTAATTATCTCATATGTAACATATGTAATTTGTACTCTGCAGTTTTTGACCGAATAAAGAACAATCGAGTCCTACGTGCAAGGGTCTCATTATCCCACAGTCGCTCATCGGGAGGTTACAATAATATTCACAACACTGTATCAGTCAAACCCACTGACTCCTGCCTTAAAAAACAATTTTCTCTCTCTCTTAACCTTTCAAAGATACAACATTTGGATGGACAAAATGCTTATTATACAGTACAGTACATTGTACAGCTCCTCCCCAACTTACGACCTACTCGACCTATGACCACCTGCACTTACGACCTGCCTCAGTCCGTAATGACCATCCGCACATACAATCGCCGCAGTTGGGACCAAAAATTTTTTCAAATGACGAGCATTTTCTATACCAAAACGTTTCCGTCCCGTACGAGAGCGTCGTCGCGTGGCTTGGGTTACCGCGTGGAGCGCTTAGTTGGTGTTTGGCTGTTGTTGTATCCGCAACTGATTGCGCTGTGTACTGACATTATATTTGTACTTAATTGACTTTAGAATGACTGGAAAGTATACAAGTGAGAGTGCTGGTGGTGCGCAGAAGAAAAGGAGACAGTCAATTACTTTTGAGACGAAAATGAAGATAATAATGCAGTATGAAAATGGAAAAACTGTAGCAACAATTTCATTCAACCTAGGGTTTTTGCACTCGATCATATCCACTATTCTGAAGGACAAGGAGCGTATTCATGATGTAGTGAAAGGATCAGCACCTATAAAGGGAACGATAATAATGAAGAAAAGACAAGGTCTCATTCACGAGATGGAAAATTACTTGTGATATGGATGCAGAAGCGTGTACCCTAAAGCCTTCTAACCTTACAGGCTAAGGCAAGAAGCCTGTTTGAAAACCTGAAGGGGCAGGCAGGAGATGAGTGCGAGCAAACCTTCACAGCAAGTCATGGGTGGTTTAACAGATTTAAGAACCGCTACAGTTTACATAATGTTAAGGTGAGTGGAGAGGCAGCTAGTGCTGATGTTGTTGCTGCCGAGCTTTTAAGGAGGAGCTAGATCGTGTGATCGTGGAAGGAAATTATTTGCTTGAGCAAATATTCAATGTAGATGAAACTGGATTATTATGGAAGCACATACCTGAACGGACATACATCCACAAAGAGGCGAAAACAATGCCAGGATTCAAGGCATTCAAGGACCGAATTACACTTCTGTTGGGGGGAATGTAGCTGGTTTCAAGATAAAGCCCTTCATGATCTATCATTCAGAGAACCCCCAGGCTTTTAAACATGTCAGCAAGCACACACTGCCAGTGTTTTATAACAGTAACGAGAAAGCCTGGATGACCCTAATACTGTTTGAGGATTGGTTCATGAATTGTTTCATTCCTCGAGCCAAGGAATATTGTTTGCAACAAGGCATTGCATTCAAGATTTTGCTAATTTTGGATAATGCTCTGGGACACCCACCACACCTGGACGACATGTACCCTGATGTTAAGGTAGTCTACATTCCACCTAACACTACCTCTATCATCCAACCCTTGGATCAAGGTGTTATTGCAGCTTTTAAAGCTAATTACAGTCAACCCTTGCTTTACGCGGTCCCACTTTACGCGTTTCCACGTTTACGCGGTACCCTGCCGAACACGGAATGCTCACTTTCCGCGGTGTGTGTACCCTTTTACGAGGAGAGCGGCGCGAGCAGAGTGCGCATAAGGTCGCCCAGTCATCAAAACATTACCTAGTTCTTCACCCGCCACCCACCACAGCCGGCCCAAGTCAGTGATAGTGATAATGATAGTGAGGATATGGACTTATATGGACTTTGAGGGGTTTGACAAAGAGGCCCTGCAAGCCTCTGTGGTGGATAGTGATACAAATGATACAAGTGATACAGGTGAGGGCCAATAATCTGCCCTCTGCCTCGGAACCAACCCCCCATCTCCGTGTGCCCAGCCATCTTTTCTACAAATGTAAGTGTTAAAAAACCTAATATTTTTGATATTTCTCTTAATTATTAATTGTGTGTGCATACCATCATAAAATTAAGAAGTTATTTTTACTACAACGTAGGTATTGTGTCTGAAGAAGTGGAGTTTGGGGGTCGGCCCGGTCTCTATTTCAATTAATCCCATATGTTATGTTGTTCACTTTACGCGTTTCTCACTTTACGCGGGCCACCGTGGGTTCAATTGACCGCGTAAAGTGAGGGTTCACTGTATTTATGTACGACCTTCGCTCAGGCTATTGCTGCTACTGAAGTTGAGAAAATGCTCAGACAGTTTTGGAAGGACTACAACATTTTGACATGCATAAAGAACATTATTGCAACATGGGATGAGGCTACAGAACAGTCCATGAATGGAATATGGAAGAAAGTACTGAAAAGATATGTGAACAGTTTCAGAGGATTTAATGAAAATGAAGTTATTTCTGAGATTAGTAACAAGATAGTGGAGTTGGGTAAACAGCTTCAGTTAGAAATTGATAATGAAGATGATGAACAGTTGGTTGAAAGCGTAACAGAAGAGCTGAGTGACGGAGATCTTATCGAACTGGAAGCACACAAAAATGCAGAGGAAGAAAAGAGTCGAAATGTAGAAGAAGGACCTGCACCCCCTAAAAAATTTTCAGTGAAGCAAATGGCAGAGGCATTTGCTACAATTAATAAGGGGGTGCAAATATTTGACGGAATGGATCAAAATTAAGAGCGTTTTGCCAAAGTTGACAGAATGGTCCAAGATGCACTTGCTTGCTACAGGAAAATTTATAATGAAAAGAAAAAGCAAACTGTGCAATCTAAGTTGGACATCTATTTTAAGAAGTCCCCCAGTGCTGTCTCCTCGTGCCCCACCAGTGCTGCCTCTTCACTCCCTAAAGATGATCCAATACCTTCAACCAGCAAGTTTCCCCTGTACATAAACCTGTCTGAAGAAAGCGACATTGGTGATCCATCCAGCCCTGTCTCCTCCTCTGCTTCATCCAATTAATATAGTCTCCGTGTATCCTGTAAATAGAAAATTATGGGGGCCCCGTGTGCATTCAGCTGACTACATTAAAGGTAAGTGCACAGTCACACTGTATCCATTCTTCATTATTGATTACTTTTACTGTACTGTATTTCATTTTAGATTTTATACGGTATGTATTATTTTTTGCATTTCCGACTTACGACCATTCCGACATACGACCTGGATTTGTGTCCCTATGTACTGCGCACATCATGAATCTGGCAATATACCTAACCCCGTCGTAAGTCGTGGTGGAGCTGTACTGTACAGTATAGTGATATATAAAATGGAAAATAATCTTCGGTACTGAAGCTGGAGAAAATCTCTACCTTGTTAAAAGACTGATGATGTAAACTAGACTGGATGACCCACTCTGATGCCCTGGATGATGCATAATGAGCTATAGTGCAGGTCCAGCTGATCATACCCTCAGGATCACTGTCTCTATCCAGCCAAAGGTTAGTCTCTACAGTGGATGTGTTAACCAGGCGGCCTCCTGGCAACGTTGCTGGAGCAAGTTCCTCTCTGGGACCCTCGTAAACAACTGTCCTGAGCTTGATGGTGCGGTTGGTGGTGTCCAAAAGAAGGTCTGGGGAAAAGGAAGAAGTAAACCTGGAGGTCAATACTTAATGTTCAACATGCCAAGGAGTTAAGTTGATATTTATGGATATTGTTATAAAATAATACATCACAAATATTACATTAACATGCAATATGATGTATAATTTATTGACATAGAATTTAAAGAACTTATCTTTTGCAAGAAAAACAAGACTCACAAACTATGAGTAAATAAACTAATGGAAGATCAGAGGACATCTTACTTCACAATGTTGAACCAGAAGCATGTGTTGTATAAATTACATACATTGTCCCATAACCCATTGTTATCTGAACTGTACCTTCTCTGCCCAATTTCTTTTTTTTTTCAAGCTTATTTTATAATCATCATCAATGTTTTATGGCCATTATTACATGATGGCAGTTCTCCATGCTGCATGGTCTTTTGCAATATCTCTTGTCAGTTTCTTAACTCTAATGTTATTTCTTACAACCTCTCCTCATGTAATTCTTGGCCTACCTCTGGTTCTACTCCACTTCACATTTAATCTCATGCACCTCTTGACCCAATTGGTCTCATCCATTCTCTCCATATGCCTGAACCATCTTAGTCTGCTTCAATGCAAAACTTCACCAATACTGAACTATCAAGACCCAGCTCCCGATTTAGCTCTAAACAGGGCCTCCTGTCTTTCAGTCTCATACTGCACATCCACCTCACCATTCTCATTTTAACTCGCTCAAGTCTACTCATGTCATCCTCTTTAACTGGCCATGTTTCACTGCTATACAACATCATACTTCTCACACCAGCCACATACATTCATCCTTTCATGTGGAGGGAAGGTTCTCTTGCCATCAATAAAGGCAGCAGCTACTTAAACTTCCTCTTGCAACTTCTGAATACAACTGTATTTGAAAATAGTCTAGTTAAAGTTTTTCACTCCTACAAACCCTCTCATGCTACAGTACAAAGTGACTGTACCAGAGAGCACCACAAACTCGCCTGCATCTGCTACCATCATACATTCCAGGTCCTGCTCTAACATAGGTGTGCTCTACCACCAAGCTCCCCTTCCAAACCAAGGCCCCAACACTTCCATCTGATTTCCCTTCTTGTTTAATACTTCACCTTTAATTAATTTCCCATGAAAAAGGAGAAGTTAAGAAATGCAGTCTTACCAAGAGCATCGTCCATTACATGCAAGGTAGCGTGCAGAAGACCACGAGTTCTAAAGTTGCTGCAGGTGACTCGTTCACACTCTACTCTACGAATACCACCAGACACTGTCACCTTCTCTGTCTAGGTATATAATTTGAAATAATGAGTTTATCAGTGTAAATTATATCATAAAACATACTTTATTGTTACAAGGTAAGTTGTCAGTACACAGTCAGCATTAATATGATATATATAATACAGTGGTCCCTTGGTTAACGAACGCCTCGGTTAACGAGTTTTCGGTTAACGAATTAACTTCCAAAAGAATCTTCATTTCGGTTAACGAACAAAAACTCGTTTAACATTATTCTTATGAAAATGTTTCGACATGCTTTAGCTTGCTCACCAGTTGGAAGATTAGTCCGCCAATACAGAAATCAGTTCTAGGGCTTACATTCGTTAAAATTAGAGTAAATATCAAGAAGGTTGTACTATTCAATAATTTTCCAAGTTTTATATTAAATTTTTTAGTCATTTTAACACTTATTTAACATAATTGCAGTACAGGGAACTAGTTTTTGGTGCGCCCATCAGCCACTTCACTCACCTACCAAGGCCTCAGCTTATATCTCTGTTCAGTGGAGGAAACATCTTGCTTGTGGGTCTCTTGAACACAGAGTATTTTTACATTTTTACAGTACAATTATTGGTCATTCTGAAATTTATTTAACATATTGACAATATATAGTGCAGTGCAGTGTTGATTTAAAGAAAATAATCTTGAATTACACCTAGTGAACTTAAAATTTTATGGGTGAAATGACGGCATCAAGCATGGGGTGATTTCTCTTCCACCCCCACTTCCTTCTCTTCTCCCTTCTCCCTTCTCCTCCACCCCCACTTCCAATTCCAATCATCATCATCATCAACCAGGAGCCTTCTACATACACACCTCAAAGTAAGTGCACTTTACTGCATTTTTTTTTACTTTGCATGTAATTTTCGGTGAGCTGGAACCAATTACCCAAAATCCCATGGAAACAATGGTTTCGGTTAACAAAATTTTCGGTTAACAAATGACCTTCTGGAACGAATTGTGTTCGTTAACCGAGAGACCACTGTACTGTGATAAGGAGGGAATATAAAAAAATTGAATAATTTTAGAAACAAATTTATGATTGTAATATCTTAAGTCCTGTAAAAACTCGCAAAGGCAGACTAATTGGGGGGTAGGGGTGTTTGGGATAAGAGGTTGTCCACCTTAGAGCAAATTTTTCCCAAAAGACTGCCATTTTAAACAAAAATGAGTACAACACCATTGTATCCAATTTTCATGAAAGAAATACAAGTTTTTTAATCACAATTAATTTTAAGAAGTAATGTACATAAGGTACTGTACACTTACTTTTAGTTTCACTGATAAGGTCTTAGGCTTAACCTTCTCATCACCCTTACGTTTACCAACCATTTTCTTAGGGGTCATAGTTATTGTTTAAATTTTCAATAATAATGCAAAAAATATGGATGCTACTTCAGCCTACTGCGAATGTACTAAATGTATAAAAACGGTGAATAATGACATAAAAAATACAGTGCGTGTACTCTATTTTATGGCAGGGAGTATTTAGGAAAAACTTTCTTGTGTATTTTCCTCCTGTAGCCACAGTTTTCCTAAAGTAATATTATGTACAGTACCGGGAAGTGCAAGGAATAAATAAATACAGTATAATACCAACAAAAAATATTGTACGTATTGCCAAATCAGTAAATAAGAGTCAACTGAAAGTTTAACACATTCGCCATTTGCATACACTCCCTGTTTCACCATAGTAACGGAGATCAGCTGGAACACCGATTTCCTAGCGATAATCGCCTAAACAGGGTCTGCCTTAACAAGGTTTTACTGTACTTGTAATGTAATTGAAATTACTCTAAAAGGGTGATACAAGGTTCACAGATTGCTCAGGTGCATTCCCATCTGAATTCTTATCTAGAAGAGTTAGTTTATTAAAATGAATCTTTAAATAAAGGGCATATTAAGCTTAAAATATTTATGCCTGCAAACAGATGCATAATCATCCCTATGATGCCAGATGAACCTGGGGTTCTTGTCACAAAGTTTCATCATTTTATGCCAAGACAAGAATCGGTTCCCATTACCGTAGATCTGGAGGAGAGATCAACAAAAGACTCGCACATCAATACAAGACACTGTACGTCACATCAACACAAATGTTTCAGGTTTGAAGTGACGATGTTGACTTACTGCCCAGAAACACCATAAAGTAAACAATGGATAACAAATATAGTATTGACACATTAGAGTCCAAGACTTTCCACTCCTTGATCATGGAAATAAAAAGAATCAAGTAATGATTAGTCTCCTACAATGGCCATTAACCAGTTATAGTGATATCTAAAGATTAACGAAAAAAAAAATAGAGTGCCTAAAAGATTATGAGAGTGAAAACCACCCACCGTCTCCTTAGCCATGAAAGTGATGGAGTTCTGTAAAAGAGGATCATCTTGGCCCTGCCAAAATAGGGAGTTGAGAGCGTGAACAGCCATGGAGAAGGTTCTAGTGGATGGTGTAGTCTGGGCGTGAGTGTGAACACGAAGACGAACACATTCGTCACTGGTGGTGCAGACCGAGAGGATAACTGCCCGTGTCTGGGGTGTCACCTTGACCCCCACACCAATGATGGGAGTCTCTCCCACCGTCAGGTTGCTCTTGATCTGCCCGAAGTAAAAGTGTGATGTAATTCTAATACTGTACTGTACAGTGCTGTAAATAATCACGATTTTATTGAAATATATATACAGTCTCTCCTCGACTTACGAAATATTCGACTTACGACAACCCGGACTTACAACGGCCATGGTCGTATAAAATATTTTTCATAGTATGTATTTTCGAGTCCCGACGTTAGTGATCGCACTGCGTACTGACAAAATTTTTTTTTGTAATTCCCTTTAAAATGGCTGGCAAGCTTAAAAGTGAGAGTTCTCGTGGTGCTGAGAAGAAAAAGAGACACCCATTTTAGAATTTATATGTATTATTTTCGTCTTTTCGACTTACGACCAATTCGACTTACGACCTGGTCGTCGGGACGGAACCCTGTCGTAAGTCGAGGAGAGACTGTATAGGGTATGAACATAATAACTAAAATGTTTGGCAGTTACTTAAAATTCAATATTCTGTTATAAACTAATATGTGTTTTACCTCTTAAGTTTGAGGATACAGTTGGGGGTCAGACAGAAGTGTAGCATTAAAAGAAAAATTTTCAATAAACTGAATATAGTTCCAAAAAGCTATATTTCAGTAAAAATATATTTCAGTTGATCCAAAATATCCTGGGGAGAGTTACACTGATGTTTGGAACACTATCCATGTACAGTATAGTCTCGGTTTACGCAGATATTTTATATGCAGTTGGTCATTTACGCAGCACCTGTCCAGACGCGCCAATTATTAGTTACGCGGTACGTTCCTGAATTTACGCGGGAAGCAGGGCGGACAAGCTGCGCGCTAGGTCACTCTTACGTCACCGCTGACGTCAGATGACGTTTCGGACTGTGATTGGGCCACGCATCCTACCACCCACACATCCCCTCCGCCACGAGCTGTGATTGGTCTAATTTAACTTGGATTGCCCTGCCAACAGAGGGAATAAGTCACTGACCTTAGAAGCGTTAATCCCATTGTCCTTCATCTCCGAGTATACAGTGCTCCCTCGTGCCCGCTAATCTGCTCAACAATGGCTTCCACTGGACCCCCACCACCCCTCAAGAAACCTTGAACTACCTGGCCCAAGCCGCCCAAAACCCAAGAAGGTACGACGCGCCTTAAACTATGAAGTGAAGTACAAAATCGTCCAGGAGTTAGAGAAAGGCACAAGACAGGTGGATCTCGCCCGACAATATGGAGTTAATGAATCGACGATCAGCACCATCAAGAAGGATGCCGGCAAGATCAAAGAACACATGAGCATCACAAAGTCTGCAGGTGCGTCGATGGTGAAATATTGCCACAATAAGGTGCTGCTCAAGACTGAAAGTTTATTGGTCTGGTACAGTGGGGTATGCTATAACGAATCTAATTGGTTCTAGAACCTTGTTCGCTATAGCATTCGTTCGTTATAGGATTAATCCGTTCCAGGTCCCCAAATACAACCACTTAACACTGAAAAATATAATATAAAATTGTAAAATGTGTAAAAAAGTGCATAAATATGCATCTAAACCCCTGAAATAAAGAATATCATTAATACTTGTAATAAAAAAACAATAAATTAGTAAAAAAAATAAATAAAAAAATAATCGTTGTAGGAGTTTCGTTCGTTATAGCATTCTCAATTTTATAGGTAAAACCGTTCGTTATAGGAATATTCGTAGTACAATCCATTCGTTATAGCATACCCCACTGTACTTGATTCGTCAGTCAAGAAGGAACATGGCAGTCGACACTCGGGCAGTGCAGGACTACGCGAGAGAACTGTACCTATCAGTGGCGAGAAAAATGGGAGTTGCAGAGCCCAAACCCTTCACTGCTTCCGCTGGGTGCCTGCAAGGTTTCAAACGTCGTAATGAGATCACGAACGTTGAAATTGTTGGTGAAGGAGCAAGTGCTGACCAGGCTACCGCCATGAATTTTCCCCCATTCTTACGAGAAATTATGGAGGAAGGACAGTACACCGACGACCAAGTGTTCAACATGGATGAATCCGGGTTGTTTTGGAAGAAATTGCCATCCAAAACCTTCGTAGTAAAGTGTGTGAGCAAGTGTCGGGGCTGGAAGTTGCAGAAGGAGCGCATCACTGTCCTGTTCACCAACAATGCCTCCGGCACTTGTAAGCTGAAGTTGTCTGTGATCCACAAAGCCCGCAAGCCGCATGCCTACAAAAATATGGACATGAGCAAGTTAAATGTCCATTGGCTAACCTCAGGGAAGGCGTGGATGTTCACTGGTCTGTCCCTCTCCTGGTTTGACAACTGTTTCGTTCCTGATGCCAAGAAATTCTGCGAGCAACATAATGTTCCATTCAACATTTTGTTGTTCCTTGACAATGCACCAGGACACTCACCCCTATTGCTGGATCATCACCCCAATGTAAAATTGGTCTTCCTTCCCCCTAACACTACGTCATTAATCCAGCCCATGGATCAGGCGTTGATATGCAACGTCAAGACTGCTTTCTCAGCAAAGAAGTTTCGGCTCCTGAACGACTTCACCAACACCAAGGATGAATTGCAGAACCTTCTGAGTGGCACCGATAGCGAGGACGAGGATCCAGAAAAAGATTTGGCGGACCATGAAGTGCGAGTCAAGCAGTTCTGGAAACTGTTTACCGTCAAGAAAGCTGTTGATTTCTTGGTGGAGGCATGGGGGCAGCTGTGTGTGGCAACAATTTGTCACGCGTGGCGGCATGTGTTGGAGGGTATCCCAGGTGGGAGGCAGAGTCAAGTGGTGGCTGGTGAGGCTCAGTCTGTTGCTGTGGCAATGGACATTGCAAGAGAGGCTGCACAAAGTGTTAGAGCTGCAGGCTTCTCCGAGACCACCAACGACGACATCCTGGAGGTAATCAGGTAACCTGAGGTGACTGCGGATGAGATGTTGGAAGATGATGACGTCAGTGAACAGCCAGGTGTTACAGAAGAACAAGAACAGAAACTAACACATGCTGATGTGAAGGAGGTCATCGAGTTTGCTGAGAAAATCAAGCTCATCCTTGTCAAAGACCCAGTCAATCATCGCTATGAAGTGTCAAATAACCTTCTGTTGAAATCTATGGAGCCGTATGTCCAGATGTATCACGACCACATCAATGCTAGCCGTCAATGAAACATTACCGAGTTCTTCACTCACAACCCACCACAGCCACAGCCAGCCCAAGTCAGTTGTAGTGAGGATATGGACTTTGAGGGGTTTAACACGGAGGCCCTGCTAGCCTCTGTGGTGGATAGTGATAAAGGTGATACAAGTGATACAGGTGAGGGCCACTAATCTGCCCTCTGCCTCGGAACCAGCCCCAAATCCCCGTGTGCCCAGCCATCTTTTTTACTAACGTAAGTGTTAAAAAACTTAATATTATTGATATTTCTCTTATATATTAATTGTGTGTGCATACCATCATAAAATTAAGATGTTATTTTTACTACAATGTACGTATTGTCGGAAAAAGGGTAGTCTGGGGGTTGGCCCAGTCTCTATTTCAATTAATCCCATATGTTCTGTTATTTCGTTTACGCGTTTCGCGTTATACGTGGACCTCCATGGGCTTAATTGACCGCGTAAAACGAGACTATACTGTACAGTATGTTGAGTTTAATGGAGGAATCAAACATCAAGGTATATTTGAAAACTGGGTTGCAGGATATGGTTTAATATAAATATAAATAAATCTAGAACAGTAAGAGAAAAAGGAATGAGATGGAAAAAATATAACATGACGAGATGACGGATAGAGATAAAAATACTGAATACAGTATTTATGTAACACCCTCCATTGTGACGGTAAAATGAAAACTGAAGAATCAAAGACTGACAAAGACTTGTGCAGGTTATGTTAGGATATGGAAAATCTCCATAACCATTACCTCCATGCCATCAAAGGGAAGCATCATGGCATGAGACACTATCAGGTCACTGTACTCCTTACTACTGAAGATCACGTTCCTTGCTCCTGCACGCCAAATTTTCTCATCTGCTGCATCATATTTGTAGAACATCAACCTGTGGAAGAAAATTAAGAGTTCTCAAAACATAACGATGATTCTACTGTATTGTACAGTACTTCTGGGAGGCACCTTGCAATATTGTACTGTATCTTTAATTTACAAGCCAATTTATTTTTTTTATTTTACAGTACTATGTATTTTGTTCAAGAGTATACAATAAAAAAATTCTTCCAAAAATGGTAATAAAAGAAAACTTATCACCACTAGAACAGCATCTTGGGATAATTCTTCTTTAGTGTCTCTATGCCTGAACCAGAAAATATCTTAATTATAAAGTTCTTCATTCATTTGAACCTTCCTTGTCCTTCCATATTACAAAATTGTGAACAACCTAGAGATAATCTCCTACACGTATTCAAGGAAATAATTTAAATTCACCTGTCTCACTAATCTTTCTATCTTTCTCACCTGTCTCAATAATCTTTCTATCTTTCTTGCCTGTCTTGATAATCATTCTATCTTTCTCAGCTGTCTTACTAGTCTTTCTATCTTTCTCACCATCCTCTACCAACCTGATAAACAGCTTATAAAAGTTGTGTATGAACAACATTAATCAATCAATATTAATTTAGTATCTTGAAACACAAAGCTTGGGATTATTACAAACACACAACACTGCTGTAACTGTGAGAACGACTTATATGATGCTTATCCTACCTATTCCAGTGAACAGTGACATATACAAGTCCTACCTGGCACTATGAACAGTGACATATACAAGTCCTACCTGGCACTATGAACAGTGACATATACAAGTCCTACCTGGCACTATGAACAGTGACATTTTCCTCTTGGAACTTCATCTGGACTGCATGTTCTCCACTTGTCTCGCCCAAACTCTCCAACTCGACCATCACATCATTAATGTAGAGGTCTGGGGCATTTACCTCAACCTTGACAAACCAGTCAGTGAAGCTGGGGAAGTTTACCTCATCATGGTAAATAAAAGTTCTCTCTTCCCAATTGAGACTGACATCTGTATGCCAGTGGTCGAGGGCAATTTTAGTACGATTTGTTGTCAGCTGTTTTGATGAAAATGAGATTTTATTACAATAAACAACAGTTATAATTTCAACACAGTACACTACTATACAAAAACACCTGAGTACAATACTGCATTAATGGAAAAATATTGAAATTTTCTGATGAAAAGGGGGGTGGAGACCCCCAGGACCCCCACCCCCCCTTGATCTGCAACCTGATATTCTAAACAGATGTAGATGAGTTTTGTTTTTGCTTTTTATGGGGATTAGCCCACCTGGGCACAGTTCAACGACCCACATCAGGGCTTAGGGCGGCGAAAAAATAAGAATAGAAAAAAAATTTAAAATAGAAAAGGAAAAGATTATATTAATCTCCACCACGAAGATGCCCGAAAACCAGCTCTATAAAGTGAGACAGATTGTATGAGTATGGAAACACAAAAGAAGGCAGAGCATTCCACAGTTTGGCTGTGTGAGGAAAGTACAGCACAGGATATATAAAGAACAAGTAACTAAAGTTATTCAGTGTTCGATACCATACAATAGACACTTTAATGAGCTATATTAAACACTTCACACAATATCAATCAGTTACTCACAAAAGGTCAAAAATTAATGTCATGGTAATAAATAAATTTCAATGATGAGAAAGTGATTGTCATTTATAATGAGAGATTTGAAGTTAATTAATGTAACGAGAGATGCCCAAGAAATTGATACATGTACTGTGTACTATCACTGATAATGATCTGTGCATTAATGACCAAGAAAGCTAATAATTAATTATTCATTATTTTTTTTTTTGGGGATTAGCCCACCCGGACACAGGTCACTGACCCACATCGGGGCCTGGGAGGAGGAGGAGGAGGAGGAGGAGGAGGAGGATAAAATTTGATAAAACAAAAAAAAATAAAATAATAAAATAATGATGATAATAATACAGTAACTGTAATAATAATAATATTAATAATAAAGAACTATAAATACAAAAATGAAAAAAAAGATCAAAAGTGAGCAACGATATATGTATGTTGTTTTGTCAATGGTAAGAGAAACAATTGAGACCCTGCAATTGCGTGTAAACGAAGCAGAAAGTCAGATCAGCAACCTGGGACTTGGTCACAATTTTTGTGATGCCATATGGCAGCAGGGTCTACCATTAGACAACACATTATGCTTCCAATATCTTCCCAGGCAGTAGTACCTCCCTGTTTGGTAGCTGCCTACTACCTACTACAGTAATACCCCAATTTATGCGGGTGAAGTATAATTTTTTTATTTAGCTCATAAAATTCATACAAATTACCCGGCCAGAATATAATTTACATTGCTGGAATTCTTACAATATGATGATCATTTTGAATATAAACATCATGGATTCTGCATTAGACATACAAATTTTAGATCTAATGTAATAATTTGGTTTACACAAAGCAAATATTTTATCTTTTGTGCAAAATATATGAAGTTTACATTCAAAATATTCCCTGACCTGCAAGGAATCCAGAAATGTCAATTATATTATCCTAACTTTAGTCTGAGGTATTATTTATTACTAAAAATGTAAATATACTGTTTTCTCCCAAACATTTCTCTGGTAGGGAGGGAAGGTGGGGGGTAGGGAGGGAGGGACTGACCCAGCTAGGGCGGAGGTGGGGTATTTTGATTGACAGATAGTGTCGGTGAAGAATATTTTTTTTTTATTAACTGAAGATATTTGTTTTAGCTCATAAAATTCATACAAATTACCCGGCCAGAATATAATTTACATTGCTGGAATTCTTACAATATGATGATCATTTTGAATATAAACATCATGGATTTTGCATTAGACATACAAATTTTAAATCTAATGTAATAATTTGGTTTACACAAAGCAAGTATTTTATCTTTTGTGCAAAATATATGAAGTTTACATTCAAAATATTCCCTGACCTGCAAGGAATCCAGAAATGTCAATTATATTATCCTAACTTTAGTCTGGGGTATTATTTATTACTATACGTTAAAATCTAGTGTTTTCACCCAAACATTTCTCAGAGAGGGAGGAGCCAGCAAGCGGGGGAAGAGGGGATGGGGGGAGTTGAGTCCATTACTTGAATGTACATTAACCTGGTGACTGTATTTCTCTTAAATATTAATTGTGTGCATACCATCATAAAATTAAGATGTTATTTTTACTACAACATAGGTATTGTGTCGGAAAAAGTGAAGTTTGGGGGTCGGGCCAGTCTCTATTGGAATTAATCCCATATGTTCTGTTGTTAACTTTACGCGGTTTTTCACTTTCCTCAGTACCCTGTGGGTTCAAATGACCGCGTAAATCGGGGTACTGCTGTATTTCTAAATCTGCCAATACCTTGGTTCCTTCAGAAATTCTGAACTGCTACTGGGTCAAGAGATGCAAGTGTCTAAATGAGGAGGACAGGAGAACTAGGGGCAGGCCTAGAATAATATGGGGAGAGGTTGTAAGAAATGATACCAGAGTTCAGAACTTGACAAGAGAGTGCAAGAGACTGTGCAGGATGGAAAGCTGTCATCAGATAACTATGGCTAAGCCATGCAAGCATGGGAAATGGTTTAAATTGATGTTGACACTGAAGATGGTTGCCTCCACAGAAGTGTACTGTACTGTATATGCAGGAATATTTCTTATGTTCTATGCAGGAATATTTCTTATGTTCTAATGAAGTTAATTTCCACTGTGAATCAGTCTATAAATTACAGCCATGTTTGGGTAATTGATAATCAATATTTTTGTTGGACAAGTATTTACCATAAAAACTTTGCCAAAGAATGGAGAGAGTCTGAGGACAGATGAAGCTTCTGATGGAGTGATGGATAAGTGATGGTGCATCTTTGTCCTCTGATCCTGGTACAGCAGCTGACCAACTGTTGTCAGAGAATATGATGTCCCGTTACCCTGAGAACAAAGAAAAAATGAATACAAAGAAGTAAGATGTGGAGGAATCCAACATATATAATCAGTTGACCTTTAATATTATTCTTGTCATTAACATATGGATGTCAACTATTCAACACAAGAATGAAGGGAGTGAAATTATGCAGTTCAATTTTATGGTTGGAGAAAGACAAAGGTATTAATCAGTGGAAATGCATTTTCTTCAACAGATGCACCTGTAAAGCCAAATGATGTTCTCTGTCAATAAATCAAACACATGTTGAACCTTAGCTGAATATACTATAAAGACAATGGATATATTGAGATATTAAGAAATAGCACTGAGTCCTGCCTCATACTTTGACCATCTTCAACAATCCTTTCACTTTCCTTACACTGAGTAGAGGATTTTGGTTAGACAGTCGCATTTGGACCACATCTTCACCCAACTCTGTCTTGATGACAATAAAACTTTCATAAATTCTTTTAAAATTTGGGTGTTGTTAAAAATCCCAATATGGGAAGAGTACTCATAAAGACCATCATTAAGGATCCATGGTCAAAAGTTATAATTTTGGTAATAAGTTGTGTAAATGGGAACTTTTCTTGCAAAGGAATCTCATATACTTTATTCTCAGTTTAACACACTAAGTATTTATTAAGTTTAACAAATGCATTTCATTTGTACAGTACAGTGCATACTAAGTTTGCTTTAAGCAACAACCTTTATGACTGTAAATAGCAGAGGGAACTTGCTATTAACTTTACCTCACACTAACAGTATGTTGTGTGAACATAAATCTCAAGGTCCATTTGTTAATCAACATACTTTCCTGATGCCAATGCTGATATCCTTTAGCTCTGTGGTGACAGACAAGCTGAGGTAGCCCTCCTCCTGGTACATGGCAAGGACAGTTACCTGCCGACCATCAATGTAGTGGAGGGAGATTTTCAAAGGCACCTCGTCAATTGTTCCTTCAATGTGCAGCTCCAGTTCTTTTCCAGTGAAGGTGCCCTGGTGTTAAAAAAGAAAAATCAATGTACAGTTTCAAAAAACTATATTTAAAGAGGTTCTTACTCTTGGATGACCTTTACTTTCAAGACAAAACCTATCTAAGGTGATGCTTCTCAAATAATCCTTAAGAATGCCTTCAATTGTTCTCTACATTTTATGTATGTTGGTGTTTATTGGTAAATGCTATTTTTCATTCTAAATTACCTTCCTGAAGATGCTTCTCTGATATCCATCTTACTCCATCTGGTAAAGCTACACTTAAGTAAGGTTAACTGCTAACATTTCCCAACACACATTCCTCTTTGCATACTGACTTTACCTTTACATCTCACTGGATTTACACAAAGTCTACTGCTGTCTCCTCACCTCATCTTCCATGGCTGCCTTCCTATCATACCTACACAAAATCTTTATCACTAAACTTTTTTTCTAAAACCTTTATAGGACCTTTATGATGCTCATTTTAATAATAATTTGTTTCTCCCACTACCTTATCTCATTTCCTACCTTCACTGCTTCATTTTATATATATTTTGGAATTATTATTTCTCATTATAACTCTTGTCATGTAAATTTTTTATATGACATACAGTACAGTACTCACTTGCAGGGTATATATGTGACTAGTGCCAATGGAGCCAGCATGGGTGAAGGTGAGATGACCCTCCACCTTTGGAACATGTACCATAACATCACCATTGCAATTGAAGATTTCCTGATAATTTTTTTCTATAATCATCAAGTGAGTCACCTGTAAAGATACCACATTATGCTTACATGGTGAGTGCCAACTAGTTTATTGCAAATTTATAATCAAGAAAGCACACTTCATTTTGGAACTGTTTGAATTTACAATGAGTGGATATATTGTAGTGGCTCCTCTCCCCTACAACTCCCAACTGAGCTCCGGCCGCGTGCCTACCAGCCAATCAGCGTACAGCCAGCTACGCCGAGAGACTAGGTCTATGCAGAGGACGTAGGGGTACGATCGCCGACCTAGTCTCGACCATCAACCTCCAGTTCAGGATCAGAGCATTTCACACCTTACGCTTAAGCCGCTGTGATTGGCCCTCTCGCTACTCTCACCCCAAATCCTGATCCTCGTAAATTGTATAAATACGGCCATGCCTGGCCAGGGAGACCATTCTACACTCGGCTACTGGACCAGCAACATCTCTCACAGCTCCTCACCACCCAGCTTCCTCAGAAACCTCGTTGCCCTACAGGACCTCTGAGCAAGTTTCTCCTCACCTAGTCACTCCTAAGCACTGCGCTGTACAACAATATATATACAGAAAGCGCGTTGAGAGTTTCTATCTTAACTCATTCCTGAGTGTGAGATATCTACATGTACGTACGTTTGTATGCCTATACTAAGAGAATTGACAACTGGCCACATACAGTACGCTACAATATGACAACAGTGAAAAATATCAGAGAGATGATGTATTAGGACACTAAAAGTGACCCTTATGTATCCAAATATTTATATACTGTACTACAGAGCCTCTCTACTGTTATATCAACTCATACAACATCTGCCAAAGTCTGTTGATGACTCTTACACAAGTACAGATATCCCCCAGGTTACGGAATTTCTGGTTACGTAATTTTGCGTTTACAGAATTTACAAATTCAGACATTATTTTCAGGTTACAGAAAAAATATGCCCTTCTGGAATTTGGAAAAATTTTCAAAAAATTTCAAATAACCCCCCCATTTCTCCTCCTCGCTCACAAGTGTGATCCTGAGGGGGCGAGGCTTATTCCCTTGCTTTTGTCCCAGTCTCCTCACATCCTGAGGGGTTGATGGCATCTTCAAAACCTCTGTACAAATATTCTGAAACTGCATCTTATTTACACTCTCAGGTGTAAATTGAATCAGGTCCTAAATTAACCAGGGTTTCAAATACGAATCATTGTGGCAAAATTGGTAAAAAATAAAAATTATATACAGTACAGTATAGTCTGCATTTAAACGGCTTTTGTTTACGCGTTTGGTCATTTACGCGGTGCCTTGCCAGAATGAAAATGCTTTAATTACGCGGTAAATTTGGTCATTTACGCGGCGACCAGCTGGAGAGGTCCAGACCGCAGCGCCATTTTTTACCCATGCGGTCCATTCTTGACCATACGCGGGAAGCGGCGCGGTGAGTGGTGTGCATTAGGCAACTCTTACGTTATCGCTGACGTCATATGATGTATCGGACTGTGATTGGGCCACGCATCCTTACCTCCCTCCGCCCCTAGCTGTGATTGGTCTAATGTAACATGACGTGCCCTGCCACCAGAGGGTAGAAGTCGCTGACCTAGCAGGGCCTGTCTCATTGTTCTCAGTCCGCATATACAGTTCTCTCTTGTGACCCGCTATTCCTCTTACAACTCACAATGGCTTCCGTGGGACCCCCACCGCCAGAGAAAACCCTTGAATTACCTGGACCAAGCCATGATAATGTGAAGGAAATCATCGAGTTGGGGGAGAAAATGAAGCTCACCCTCGACAACGACCCAGACAAGCATTGGTATGACAAAAGTTATGGAGCCGTATATCCAGATCTATCTCGACAACATCAATGCTAGTCATCAACGTAGTACAGTAAAACCTCGATTAACCGACCCTCGACTAACCGACTTTCGGATTAACCGTCCATCCCGGACCCCTAATTTTTTTTTTTTTTTTTTTTTTTTTGGGAATAGTCCACGGACACAGACCCAAACCGGGCCTGGGATGATGATGATGATGATGATGATGATGATGATGATGATGATGATGATGATGATGATGATGATGATGATGATGATGATGATGATGATGATGATGATGATGATGATGATGATGATGATGATGATGATGATGATGATGATGATGATGATGATGATGATGATGATGATGATGATGATGATGATGATGATGATGATGATGATGATGATGATGATGATGATGATGATGATGATGATGATGATGATGATGATGATGATGATGATGATGATGATGATGATGATGATGATGATGATGATGATGATGATGATGATGATGATGATGATGATGATGATGATGATGATGATGATGATGATGATGATGATGATGATGATGATGATGATGATGATGATGATGATGATGATGATGATGATGATGATGATGATGATGATGATGATGATGATGATGATGATGATGATGATGATGATGATGATGATGATGATGATGATGATGATGATGATGATGATGATGATGATGATGATGATGATGATGATGATGATGATGATGATGATGATGATGATGATGATGATGATGATGATGATGATGATGATGATGATGATGATGATGATGATGACGATGATGATGATGATGATGATGATGATGATGATGATGATGATGATGATGATGATGATGATGATGATGATGATGATGATGATGATGATGATGATGATGATGATGATGATGATGATGATGATGATGATGATGATGATGATGATGATGATGATGATGATGATGATGATGATGATGATGATGATGATGATGATGATGATGATGATGATGATGATGATGATGATGATGATGATGATGATGATGATGATGATGATGATGATGATGATGATGATGATGATGATGATGATGATGATGATGATGATGATGATGATGATGATGATGATGATGATGATGAATGATGATGATGATGATGATGATGATGATGATGATGATGATGATGATGATGATGATATGATGATGATGATATAATAATAATAATAATAATAATAAAGAACCATAAAGAAATAAAAAAATAAAAAAAAAATAAAAGAGGAGAAACAATATACCTGTATGTATGTTGTGTTGTCAATAGTAAGAGAAATAACTCAGATCCTGCTATTGTGTGTAAATGAGGCAGAAGGTCAGATCAGCAACCTGGGACTTGGTCAAAATTTTCGTGATGCCATATGTTCTTTGACTTTTCCATTTTTTATTCACGGTTTCTGTGCTGGTTCATATATACGGTATTTATTTACTAAAGTGGTTAATGTTTTAAAGCAAATTCTATTGAAATATGAATGGCAAATGAACAAAAGTGAATAGAGGGATTTAAATGAAGAGGGATTTAAATGAGGTAGGTTAGGGATAGGTACTTTGAAAATGTATGTTTTATTTTCGTAGATTTTATTTACTATTAACCGACCTTTTGGATTATCCGTCGGCCCCTTCCCCCCATATGTGGTCGGTTAATCAAGGTTTTACTGTATTGAGGACTTCCTCGCCCGCAACCCACCACAACCACAGTCTACCCAAGTCAGTGAAACTGATATTGACAGTGAGGATATGGACTTTGAGGGGTTTGACTGGGAGGCCCTGCAAACCTCTGCGAGTAGTAAAAGTGAAAGTGATTCACTGGAGGGCAACTGATCTGCCCTCTGCCTCGGAACCAGCCGCCATCCACATGTGCCGACCCAGCTTTTCTACTAACGTAAGTGTTAAAAAACTAATATTATTGATATTTCTTTTAATTATTAATTGTGTGTGCATACCATCATAAAATTAAGATGTTATTTTTACTACAACGTACGTATTGTGTCGGAAAGAGTGGAGTTTGGGGGTTGACCCAGTCTCTATTTCAATTAATCCCATATGTTCTGTTATTTCATTTACGCGTTTCTCGTTTTACGCGGTCCTCCACGGGTTCAATTGACAGCGTAAATGCAGACTATACTGTACTGTATGTATTCTCTGCTTCCTTACAAATACATATCTTTGCAAATTCATCTTAAATGTATGAATCCTACTACCCCTTCTGCTCTTAGAGACTCAGGTTTCAATAACAAATCTAATTTTAACTTTTGAGCTTTGAGGACAGAAGAAAAGTTGTTCAAGACTACAGTAGATCTTTCTTTTTTCTATTTTTCTTTTTATCATATTCGCCATTTATCAGCTTACTAGCCATTTGGGCGGTCTATCCAGTGTTAGTACAGGAGGAAACGGGGGACCAGGAAAGCTGTGGTGTTTGGTAGGGTCGCACCGGATAACACCCTTCTCATGTGTGGCCGGGGCGAGGCTCGAACCCTTGACATATTGGTGAGAGTTATGCATGTTACCATTGTGCCACCAATGCCCCTAGTCTGTGAACAAGAGGCCAAGGCATTTGTGACTAAATAAGAGGATTTTCCATTCACTAAAGAGAAGTAATTTTGAGGAACTTGGCTCAGAAGTTTTGCCATCCTCTCCATCTTTTCAGTGATGACATCCTCAAGAAATAGATCTTCCCCAGAAAGTCTCAGTCTGTGCCATGAGTTTGATGAACTGTACAGGTACATGATTGGCTGAGTGTGAGGGAAGGTCTAGCACTGTGAAGGCTACAAGTGCACTGAAAACAATGTGCAAGAGTAAATCTGTCAAGTAATGGAAGTTTCCTTTTTTAGTTATACAGCAGAGAGATACAACTAAATAATATATAAAGTGAACACCAACCACAAGAACACATCACTAACATAAAACTACATCACTTATCCTTATGTATGTGACTGGTTAACCACATTAAGACCACGTTATACCAAACTTAACATAGGAAATACATAAGCAAATGTTTTAACATCAGGCAACAACTAGTTATGTACAGTACAGTCCTCCTACAATGACATAGAAAAAAGGTAATGATAATAAAGTGGACGGTACAGACCTTCAGTCTTCCTGGGCTATGGCCAACACTGAATGTGCCATCCAGTGATGATTTCAGTTGTTTCCAAGAAATTGATGAAGGAATCCTAAGTTCAGCAGAACCCATCACCTGATGTTCACTTTCAACAAGCCTGTAGGATCCAGTAGCATCAAGGTTAAGGGTATCATTCCCCAAGTTTCCCTCTACTTCAATGGTTATTGTTGTACCATCCCTGACTCCTGATGCCTTAACATCAAGAAGTTCCCAATAACTGGCTTCCGAATAGGTTCTAACCTGTAAATGTATAATATTATGATAAGTCTTACTGCACAAGTTTTACATCACTTGAGGTGACAAGTACAGTGAAGTTCAAGACTTAATAAGGATAAGGTAGTGGAGAATAAAAATTTTGGGGCTCAAAGAGGAAAGAACGTGCCCTTAAGCCTTCAAAATCCTGAGTCAGGACCATCAACTGGCACTAAGCCACAAAGTATAATACAAATAGCATCTGGCAGACAAGCGGCAACGCCAGAAAGACGCTGCCGCCGCCCCTCCCGCACTAGATGCAGCCCTCCATACGTGCAACATCTGTAGACGACACTGCCGGTCCTGTATCGGCCTCTCGAGTCACCTCAGAGGTCACCATATCATTGTATCATCATAGTAGCAGTCGTAGTGTGTATAAAAAAAAATTACATCGTGTAATGGTTGGTCTTGGGTAACACATATGACCTAGGACCCAGAAAACCAGAAAATCCTCAAAAATGGTTCAGTCGTGGTCCCAGACTTGAGGGTCTATGCCTGTACTGCACTACTGTACTAAGAGGCGAAAGACACATTTGGAGTAGAGTCTGCAGACAGATTGAAAATAAATATATTTGTTATACTCTTCCAAGGCTCTCCTTCCCTTTCTTATCATTCATTCTCTCTAACTTCCATAAGAAATGTGTTCTACTAAATGTTCCCCACCCACAACCATACAGTATATAAATATCATACTTATGTGTCTCACCACATGATAAGGCAAGGAGCTAAATAAAATAAAGTTATAGAGAAAATTAGAATGAAGTCAGCATGAAATGGTTAAAATATCTTTACGAAAAATATGTGACAAACCTAAGGCTACCAGGAAAAGGAGAGTTTGTGCATGAAATACAGAGCCCTGTTATGTAATTTACTACAAATTCATTGTATATTTGTGGTAAGAGGAACTCCAGAGACAACTATTTGGTGATTTAGAATATTATTGATATGGATATGTATTTTTGTAAGCTCCGAGGAGGAAAAACGTAAATATATTTTGTGAATCCGCGCTGGAACGAATATGCATCCCAGCCGGGGGGGGGGGAACGCCATGGCGTTGTTTACATCTCAAAGACGCGTCGGATGGGCCCAGTAACAGGTGTGTCCCACGTATTTCATGCTCTGATAGGGTGTGTTTGATAGAGTGAGCATAATAAATGTTATATGAAGAATGTGATGATCTTGTGGAGGTAGTCTGTAAGCCAGAATAAGGTTAATTCTAGCTTTGCTCTACAGACATTCACCCTGGAGTGAGTCGACAACAACAGCCACTCCCCTGTGTTATGCTGGTGGGTTGGGTTTATTATTTATTGTTTAATTCCTACTACAGTGACCCCTCGGTTAACGAACTCAATCCGTTCCAGAAGGTCGTTCATTAACCGAAAAGTTCGTTAACCGAAACCATTGTTTCAATGGGTTTTTGGGTAATTGGTTCCAGCTCACTGAAAATTTCCTAAATTCAACAAAAATGGTAGAAAAGTTCACTTACTTTGAGGTGTGTATGTAGAAGGCTCCTGGATGATGATGATGATGATGATGGGATTTAGAATGGGGGTGGAGGAGAAGGAAGAAGAGAAGGCATTGGGGTGGAAGAGAAGTCACCCCATGGTGCCATTTCACCCATAAAATTTTAGCTCTCTTGGTGTAATTCAAGATTATTTTCTTTAAATCAACACTGCACTGCATTATATATTGTCAATATGTAAAATATATTTCAAAATGACCAATAATTTGCTTGGAAACACAGAAAAATAGCGTTTAGTTGAAGAGAGTCTCAAGCCAGATGTTACCTCCAGTGAAAACAAAGAGAGACTAACGCCTGTTTGCTGTGTTAAGAAGCTGGATGCCGCGCATTAAACTAGTCACTTTACCTTCAATTATGTTCAATAATTGTTAAAATGACTAAAAAATTGAATATTAAACTTTTAAAATTATTGAATAGTATAAACTTCTTGATATTTACTAAAATAGTAAGGAATTTAAGCCCTAGAACCGATTAATGTATTGGCGGACTGACACTAAAGCTGGTTGCCCGGTCAGTGCAAGCGAAAACATGTTGAGGCCGGTTCGTAAAAAATTCGTTAACCGAATTTTTGTTCGTTAACCGAAATTTCGTTAACCGAGGCGTTCGTTAAACGAGGGGTCACTGTACTGTGTGGTACCAATATGTGAATATGACAACAGTTGATGCTTGTTTTGTAAGCATAACGTAATAATGTATAATGACTAGTTATGTCTGATCTAGGTCCCAGCCTTTTCCTTCTCGGGTGATTTCTAGAGTAAATAAATGAGAGAAAACTACAAGTGTGTGTCCTATCCCTGCTTTGTGCTTTGCTACATATTTTCTTGGCAAATAAACAAAATACACATTTCAGAAACTTTACGAATTTACTACAAGTTACACCATGTGACTCTTCTGAGAGCTCTATATATACTCACAGGGGCAGATCCAGGGGGGGTCCTGGGGGGTTTGGAACCCTCCTCTTCTTCAGAAATTCCAATACCTTTTCTTTAATGCAGTATTGTACTCGGACGTTTTTGCATAATAAATAGTAATTACTATTAACCTCAGAATATCTCCTAATATAAAGTGCACATGGCCTCAAAATGCCCATGATATTGGTCAGATTTCAAAAAATGTCTTGGGGGGGGGGCCTAACAGCCCCCCCCCCCACCACCACCACCAAAAAAAAAGGCTGGGTGGGTTCACTGTGAGCACCATGTTCCCCAACCCACAACTTCATAAACACCCCTTTTGATATTCCTGGATCTGCCCCTGACTCAACACTTGGTACATGATCCCCTCCTCTCCTCCTTCCCCACAGACCGTCAGTTTGGAGTTACTGTCCCCTTGATCCAACTCACAGAAGTGGGAGAGAAGTAATAATCAATAAATAAATAGATAGATAAGATTATAAACAGGGAAAATTTACCATCAGTCCTATGTCACTCCGGCCATTAGCCTCTTGGTTTATGAAGTGGAGATGGAATTCTATGTCTTCACTAAAGGGAGATTCAACTGTGAAGTTCAGACTTACATCTGCTACTTTGTGTCCAGTAAGAAGCCCACTCGCATTAACAGTCAACTGCCAACAATGTAAGACGATAAAAAATAATAAAGTGACAAATAATGATCTTTATCATTTTTTTTTTTTAATTTACAGTTTATATGGATTTCATTATTGAGACACACCCTATGTAGCTGCAAAGTTTGCATCCAGCTTTACTGTAACATTATGGAAAAATAAATCTATAATATATGTACTGTACTTTACTAATAAATTAAACACAGTTGCAATTATTTCATACTCAATACAGTACAGTAATAAAAGTTATATCATTACTCACCTTGTGTGTTGCTCCTGAAGGCATATGGACCACAAAACTAGTCAGTAGAGTCAAATAATTTTCCCCAACAAAGAAGCCAAGCTGTGACCCAAAGTAAAAGCTGCAAAAGGGATAATGAAAAATATTATTTACAAATATTAAAGATATCTAAGATATTTTTCAGTTGCACACTGTAGAGTACTCTACAACCAGGACCCACTGCAGATTTTATCAATGCAGGTGATTGGCAGGCAGAATGAGGTGCATTGGGTTAATCTAGAAATTTTTGTCATCTAATTCATTTTCTTTGTATTCTTCAATTGTATGTGAAACACATTGTTAATGTAGTTATCCTAAAATGAAAAAGCAAAAGGTAAGAATAAAATCAGCGATGCCCAACTAAATCACCAACCCTGCACATATTCACTTGACATGACTCGACCAATCACAAGCTTCCTTATACATATTTGGCCCAGTTGCAAGCTTGGAGCGAACAGAGTATGTTTGCCTACATATTAATTTATGTAGAGTTGACAAAACATATTTTTATTTATATATAGCATATTAAGTCTGAAAAAACATAAGGATACACCTCCACCTGTCTATCAAGGCACCAACATTTATCACATAGGTTGACATGTTTTCCATGACACTATGGCATCCCTCAATCTGTTTAGCAAGATTTCTTGCCCAGAACCTACTCGGTACATCTGTATACGTGATGTCTCAGAGAGATGTACATCATCACACAACCTTACAGAGACTGTGTGAGTGCTTGTAACACAAAAGCAACATTGTCCTCATTTGTGGAAGACCTCGCACATCAACAAGTGAGGACAATGTTGCTCTTGTGATACTGTACAAGCATTCATGTAATCTTCACAAAATCTTCAAGGCAGAGTGTATATATTTCTCTGAAACACCCAGAAAACTTGAAAATAAACAGTAAATCATAATCCATTTAGTAAACAGACACCAGAATATTGACATCTGTTGTAATGATGTGCAATTGAGTTTGTGTAAATTTACACCAAAAACTGAATTTCTATTGTTCTAAAATATATTATTACTATGGGACATAAAATGGTGTAACACAATTATTTTAGTTATTCCTCTGAAGGAAAGAAAATGAATAACAAGCCGGTAAACCATTGTTTAGATAAGTACTTTAATTGTGAACTAATCAATGATAGTTATATTATGTAATGTAATGTAAGAGAAAGTCTGATAATTGGAGAACATTGAATTTGTATCGTATTAGAACTTTGTATGTTATTGTAATACATGTACATACATAATTTTCTCAGTAAATATACAACATTAACTTTTTAAATGTTAATTGCAATGTAGCTTGTTGATTATAGTTCATTTTGATATCCAGTCAGTTCTGCTATAACGCGATACAGTGGGGTATGCTATAACGAACGGATCCTACTACGAATATTCCTATAACGAACAGTTTTACCTATAAAATTGAGAATGCTATAACGAACGAAACTCCTACAACGAACATTATTTAAAAAAAATTTTTTTTTTTTTTTTTTTACTAATTTATTTTTTTTTATTACAAGTATTAATGATATTGGTTATTTCAGGGGTTTAAATGCATATTTATGCACTTTTTTACAATTTTTACAATTTTATATTATATTTTTCAGTGTTAAGTGGTTGTATTTGGTGGCCTGGAACGGATTAATCCTATAACGAACGAATGCTATAACGAACAAGGTTCTAGAACCAATTAGATTCGTTATAGCATACCCCACTGTAGTTGTGTTCTTGTAAAACATCGTGTTATAGAAATTCACGTAATAGAAATAACAGGGCTTATGGAGAAAATAGGGTTAGGTGCAGATTACTACTCGAAATCCAAAAAAGTTTATTAGTTAGCCTAACACAAAGGTTAGCACAGTCTAAATAAATGTTACATTCATATCTAATAATGAAATCATACAGTAAATGTAACACTTTACCTTGAAAAATATGAATATAACTTGATGGGGGAGAAGGGTGATTTTGAGGTTGATAACATCGAGCTTCTCTTCAAGGGTTATAGCCTTTCTTTTAAGATCATCACCCGGAATGCGATCACCAGAACGCTTCTTGGAGATATTCTTCTTTACCACATTCACAGTTAATACCACAAAGTTGGAGAAATAGTAAGCAAAAATTGCCTTACAGCAAACAAGCATTCGCGTTATACAAATATCGTTCCTCTATTCATAAATCGCGTTAGAGCCAATTCACGTTCTCAAAACACGCGTTATAGCAGAACTCACTGTAACTGAATACCAATAAATAATTCAGACTACTTTATAAATTATGAATTACCGAGGGAAAGTTTTGGGAAAATTTGGAGTGTAGTACAGTACAGTAGTGAGTGGGCAGGATAAGTCTGGTCAACCTTGTTTACATGACGCATTTGAATGTTTGAGTTACAGGTTGTGCCTCTCTAGTCCGGCATTCTATGGTCTGGAAATTCCCGTGGTCCGGAACGATTTTAGTTTGCCCAATAGGTAGATAACCATCTTTTGTTCAAGCTCATGAATGCTATGCTCAGCAAATGCTACCTAGGTATGTTAATTCCTAGCCAATTCGCCCAACATACAGGTAATTTAAACATCTAATAATTACTTAATAAGTAATATTAGGAGGACATGTCGCTACCTGGCATTTAATTGCTATTTTCAAAGTCCTTCCTTCATCTAGCCACTATGCGCACTGCAAACCTCTTCTCTTGCCTGGCGATTAAGCTATAATACACACAAAGGGAAGCTCCGCGAATTTGTGCTCTAATTGCTGAAATACTCACCTCCGCAAGGATATTATATACGGTATTTGTACTTAATAGCACAGTGATGAAGTAGAGTGACTTTTATTTTGTTATGTCTCTCAATTATTGTATTTGGGACAGTTTCTTATACGACTTTGGGTCAGCATGGCGACCAAAACACATTTTCTTTGTGAGTCGTTTAGATCGTTGTGACTATCCCTTGCCTTTAAGTCACTCAGTGAATGTCACTGCGCCCTCCCGGGCTCGTCTTCACTAAAAGAGAATATGTGAATATATCTATTTATATATACTGTATACATAGACAGCTAGACCCCGATTTACGACTACATGGACTTACGTCTATTGGTACTTACGACCTGCTTTGACCGTACGTCTGTCGGGACATACGACTGCGACCGTTGTGACCAAAAATATTTTCAAATGACGCGAGCATTTTCTATACCGACACATTTCCGTCCCGGGAGAGAGGGTGGTGCGTCTCGGGTCGCCTCGTGGGTTCACTCACTCAGTGGAGCACTTTGTTTGCGTTTGGCTATCGTATCCTATACTGATCGCGCTGTGAACTTTCGTTATTATCGTATTTAATTGACTTTATAATGACTGGAAAGCGTAGAAGTGAGAGTGCTGGTGGTGTTCCAAGGAAAAGGAGACAGGCAATTACTTTTGAGATGAAACTGAAGATAATAACACAGTATGAGAATGGAAAAACAGTAGCAACAATCTCACGCGACCTAGGTTTCTCACGCTCGACTATATCCACTATTCTGAAGGACAAGGAACATATTCGTGAAGTAGTGAAAGGAACAACACCTACAAAGGGAACTATAATATCAAAGAGAAGACAAGGTCCTATTCACGATATTGAAAAATTATTGGTGATATGGATAGAAGACCAGATACAGAAGCGTGTACCCTTAAGCGTTCTGACCATACAGGCTAAAGCAAGAAGCCTGTTCCAAAGCGTGAAGGAGCAGACAGGAGATGAATGTGATCAAACCTTTACAGGAAGTCATGGGTGGTTTGATAGATTTAAAAAATGCTACAGTCTACACAATATTAAGGTGAGTGGAGAGGCAGCTAGTGTCTATGTTGGTGCTGCCGAAGCTTTTAAGGAGGAGTTAGATGATGTGATTGTGGAAGGGAATTATTTGCCTGAGCAAATATTCAATGTGGATGAGACTGGATTATTGTGGAAGCGCATGCCTGAGCGGACATACATCCACAAAGAGGCGAAAACAATGCCCGGATTCAAGGCATTCAAGGACAGAATTACACTTCTGTTGGGGGGAAATGTTGCTGGTTTCAAGCTAAAGCCCTTCATGATCTATCATTCAAAGAACCCCAGGGCTTTTAAACATGTCAGCAAGCACACACTGTCAGTGTTTTATCGCAGTAACAAGAAAGCCTGGATGACCCTAGTACTGTTTGAGGATTGGTTCATGACTTGTTTCATTCCACGAGCCAAGGAGTATTGTCTGCAACAATGGATTCCATTCAAGATTTTGCTGATTTTGGATAATGCTCCGGGACACCCACCACACCTGGACGACATGCACCCTGATGTTAAGGTAGTGTACATTCCACCTAACACTACCTCTATCATCCAACCCATGGATCAAGGTGCTATTGCTGCCTTTAAAGCGTATTATTTACGCACGACCTTCGCTCAGGCTGTTGCTGCTACTGAAGGTGAGAAAACACTCAGACAGTTTTGGAAGGAGTACAACATTTTGTCATGTATAAAGAACATTAGTACAGCATGGGATCAGGTTACAAAACATTGCATGAATGAAATATGGAAGAAAATCCTGAAAAGATATGTGCACAGTTTCAAAGGATTTAATGAAGATGAAGCAATTTCTGAGATTAGTAACAAGATAGTGGAGTTGGGTAAACAGCTTCAGTTAGAAATTGATAATGAAGATGTTGAGCAGTTGGTTAAAAGTGTAGCAGAAGAGCTAAGTAACGAGGATCTTATTGAACTGGATGCACAGAAAACTGCAGAGGAAGAGGAGAGTCAAAATGTAGAAGAAGAACCTGCACCCCCCAAAAAATTTTCAGTGAAACAAATGGCAGAAACATTTGCTACTATTAATAAGGGGATGCAAATGTTTGACGAAATGGATCTAAATGTTGAGCGCCTTGCAAAAGTTGACAGAATGATCCAAGATGCACTTGCTTGTTGCGACAGGGAAATTTACAATGAAAAGAAAAGGCAAACTGTGCAGTCTAAATAGGACATATATTTTAAGAAGTCCCCCACTGCTGTCTCCTCACACCCACCAGTGCTGCCTCTTCACTCCCTAAAGATGATCCAATACCTTCAACAAGGAAGTATCCCTTGTATGTTAGCCTGTCTGAAGAAAGTGACATTGATGACCCACCCAGCCATGTCTCCTCCTCTGCTTCATCCAATTAATGTAGTCTCCATGTATAATTAAAAAATCATTGGGGACCCGTGTGTATTCAGCTGACTACATTAAAAGCAAGTGCACAGCCACACTTGATTCATTTTTCATTATTGATTACTTTTACTGTACTGTATTTCATTTTAGATTTTATATGTACAGTATTAGTTTTGCATTTTCGACTTACGACCAATTCGACTTACGACCTGGATTTGGGTCCCTAACCCAGTCATAAGTCGGGGAGAGACTGTACAGTGATAGAGTGGAACCAGTGGGATATTCTAACCACAAAAGAAATATAATCGTAAAAAGCAATGTACTGTGTACAAACAAACCTTGACTTATCAGGAAGAACAAGGATGTAGGTCATCTGGTGGTTATCTCCGATCTCATTCCCAAACACAACCTCGAGCTGCGTCTCCCACACCCACGTCAACACTGACAAAGATCCACTGCCAGAGAAAAATCAATACAGAGCAACTGGTTAATGAATGTAGGACATTTGATTTGGGCCAGGATAGTTACGTCCTAACCAAACCATATGTGGCCCAAATCGTCCACTCACCCTGGTTAAACTCACACACACACACACTACTACTACAACTACTACTATTACTACTACGTTGCCCCAGGTGCATCCTCTTACACTTCGTGACATTGAATCTCAGCAGCCATTTCTTCATCCAATCTTGGAGCTTACAGAGATCCTTCTGCAGCTCTTCACAGTCTACATGGTTCTTGATTTCCCGAAATAACCTGGTGTCATCGGCAAACATTTGTATGGAGGAGTGTACAACGTCAGGCATGTCATTTATGAAACAAACAAACAGCAGCGGGCCCAATACACTGCCCTGTGGTACCCCGCTTGTGACAGGTACGGATGATGATTTCATGCCATTAATCACCACACACTGCTTGCGGTCATTTAAAAAGTCTTCTATCCAAGCTAGGACATTTCCCCGAATTCCGTACCCTTCCAGTTTTATTTTCAGTCTTTCGTAGGGTAAACTGTCGAAAGCCTTGGCAGAATCTAGGTGCACTATTTATTGTTCATATTACCACCCGTTCCAGAATATGGGTCCAAATATCCAATACCTTGAGCAATTGTGTTAAGCAGGAGCGCCCCAGCATAAAACTGTGTTGGCAATCTTTTACAAGGTTGTTTCGTAGTAGATGTTCCATCGCGGCATCTCTGATAATACTCTCAAGTACTTTACATATTATGCCGGTCAGGTTCACTGGTCTACTGTATAGTTGTTCGTGGAGTGACGATCGCCCTTCTTGAAGATAGGACTCACATAAGCCACTTTCCATTCAGTGGGGACCTTTTGTTAATCCAGGCATTTACAAAACAGGATCTTCAGGGACTCGGCAAGCTCGTTGCACAACTCTCTTAGCACTCTGGGATTCACCATGTCAGGGCCGGGACTCTTATGGATGACAGATTGGCAGTCATCACATTAGTCCATTGAAATAAACTGTCCAATAATTTTTTTTTTAAGGAAACAGCCATTCACTTACCGGAGCACAAGTGGTGTGCCATCCCTGGGCAGAATGAGGGCGGATGACACAGTCAGTGTTCTGGATGCATCTCCTCGAGCATCCCATGCCAGCTCCCCATCAACAGACCCAGCACACTCACTGTGGTTGAGGGCAACTTTACCTGAAAAAACTTTACTGTTGGATGGAAAAGAAGGTGGGAAAGGGAATTTTGCAGTGTTAGATACATTCTTGGTACAGTACAGTGGTCCCTCAGTTAACGAACGGTTCGATTAACGAATTACCTCCCATAAGGATCTTCAATTCGGTTAACGAACAAAACTTCGATTAACAAAATCCTTACGAACAACACGTTTTGTTGTGAGCATCACCTGATCAGCTGATGGGCTAGTCTGCCAATTCAGTAATCTGTTCAATGTTTACATTCGTTTCCAGTAGAGTATATATCAAGAAAATTATGCTCTTTAATATTTTTGCATTTATTATATTAAAATTATTAGTCATTTTAAAATTTAGTTAACATATTGATATTATATGCAGTACAGGGAACTAGTTTTTTGTGCGCCCATCAGCCGCTTGACTCAGCCACCAGGCGTCAATCTGGCTTTGTTGACAGTGGAGTGAACATCTGTTTTCTTGGTGTCTTGAATATTTTTGCATTTTTACATTGAAATTATTGGGCATTCTGAAATTTAGTTAACATATTGATAATATATAGCGCAGTGAAGTGTTGATTTAAATAAAATAATCTTGAATTACACCTAGTGAACTTAAAATTTTATTGGTGAAATGACTACATCAAGCATGGGTCCCCCTGAAAGGTGATTTCCCCTCCATCCCCACTTACTTCTCTTCTCCCTTCTCCTCCACCCCCACTTCTAATTCCCATCATCATCATGAACCAAGAACCTTCTACATACACACCTCAAAGTAAGTGTACTTTACAGTATTACCCCGCTTTACACGGTTTCACTTTCCGCGATTTCTCATTTACGCGGTACCTTGCCAGAACCGGACTTTCACTTTCCGCGGTGCATCTACTCATATACGCGGTGAAGTATAATTTTTTTTTTCTTTTTTTATTTAGCTCATAAAATTCATACAAATTACCCTGCCAGAATATAATTTACATTGCTGGAATTCTTACAATATGATGATCATTTTGAATATAAACATCATGGATTTTGCATTAGACATACAAATTTTAGATCTAATGTAATAATTTGGTTTACACAAAGCAAATAATTTATCTTTTGTGCAAAATATATGACGTTTACATTCAAAATATTCCCTGACCTGCAAGGAATCTAGAAATGTCAATTATATTATCCTAACTTTAGTCTGGGTTATTATTTATTACTAAAAATGTAAATAAACTATTTTCTCTCAATTGCTTCTCTGGTAGGGAGGGAAGGTGGGGGGTGGGGGGTACGAAGGGAGGGAGGGTGGAGGTGGGGTATTTTGATTGACAGATAGTATCCTTGAAGAATATTTCTTTGTTTATTTACTGAAGATATTTGTTTTAGCTCATAAAATTCATACAAATTACCCGGCCAGAAAATAATTTACATTGCTGGAATTCTTACAATATGATGATCATTTTGAATATAAACATCATGGATTTTGCATTAGACATAAAAATTTTAGATCTAATGTAATAATTTGGTTTACACAAAGCAAATATTTTATCTTTTGTGCAAAATATATGAAGTTTACATTCAAAATATTCCCTGACCTGCAAGGAATCCAGAAATGTCAATTATATTATCCTATCTTTAGTCTGAGGTATTATTTATTACTAAAAGTTAAAATCTAGTTTTTTCACCCAAACATTTCTCTGGTAGGGAGGGAAGGTGGGGGTGGGGGGGAGGGTTGGGACCGACCAAGCTGGCGTGAGTGTGAGGAGGGTGGGGAGGCAAGGTGGGGTACTTTGATTGACAGATAGTGTTGTGAAGAATATTTTTTTTTTTATTACCAGAAGATATTTGTTTTAGCTCATAAAATTCATACAAATTACCCGGCCAGAATATAATTTACATTGCTGGAATTCTTACAATATGATGATCATTTTGAATATAAACATCATGGATTTTGCATTAGACATAAAAATTCTAGATCTAATGTAATAATTTGGTTTACACAAAGCAAATATTTTATCTTTTGTGCAAAATATATGAAGTTTACATTCAAAATATTCCCTGACCTGCAAGGAATCCAGAAATGTCAATTATGTTATCCTAACTTTAGTCTGAGGTATTATTTATTACTAAACGTTAAAATCTAGTGGTTTCACCCAAACATTTCTCAGAGAGGTAGGAGCTAGTGAGCTGGGAAGAGGGGGGGAGGGTGATTTGAGTCCATTATTTGAATGGACATTAGCCTGGTGACTGTATTTCTCTTAAATATTAATTGTGTGAGCATACCATCATAAAATTTAGATGTTATTTTTTTACAACATAGGTATTGTGTCGGAAAAAGTGGAGTTTGGGGGTCGGGCCAGTCTCTATTGGAATTAACCCCATATGTTCTGTTGTTCACTTTACGCGGTTTTCACTTTCCGCGGTACCCTGTGGGTTCAATTGACCGCGTAAATCGGGGTACTACTATACTGCATTTTTTTTTTTTACTTTGTATGTACTTTTCTGTGAGCTGGAACCAATTACCCAATTCCCATTGAACAATGGATTCGGTTAACAAAATTTTTGGTTAACGAACGACTCTGTGGAACGAATTGTGTTCGTTAACCGAAGGACCACTGTATTAGATAAGGTCTAAGAATGCACAACTGCTGCAACACCAAAAGGGGTGCTCTGAGGCATGAAACAAGAATTATGTCTTTGGAGATTCAACTTCAATGATATTGCAATCAGACACAAAAAACAAGTCTCACTTATACTTTAGATATCCAGACTTAGTTCATCCAAAGTCACAGCTTCATAAATTTATTCATTATGAATTGCCTTAACATTAAATACAGTACTGTACCTCTGCCCTAAAAAGACCAGAGAAAGGTGCTGTAATTTTTTGTAATTAGGAAAGCCTCTGACCACATATCAAAGCTCAATACAATCAACACTAACTCCATCTCTCATCTTTGTAAGAATATTCAACACTGAAATTCTAAGCAACAAATATACATACATGAAATGTCTTTAAACTTGTTAAGTGAACTTTTGGATAAAATTGTGTAATTTGTTCATAATTTGATCACATCATTTATTTTCCTTTACAAAACTATTTCTTTGATGTACTGTATTCAACTACTTCTTATTTAAAGATTTCCTTCACACTTACTTGTAATTTCCCTGTTCAGAGGAATCATAAGCAATGCAAAGTTGAAGTTGGTCTTATGGTCCTCATTACTGAGCAATACTTCACTCTCATATAAGTTCTTGATCCAATTTTTAAAATGGAAATAAATTCCTTCTGAGTTCAACTTCTCTAGACATATTTCTAGGCCAAAGATGGTGACTCCTCCTTCATTAACACTGGCCTGAAGATTGAGGTGTGTTGGTGACCACTTAAAGGATTCTTCTGCACTGAAAATTATTCTCACATATTATTCAAATTTTGGGCAGTAACTCCATAGTATATATACTAAAGAAAAAAAACTAAGTTTAAATATTACTTTAGTTCTGGGTGTAATTTTAAAAAATATATATTTTCTTTTCAAGTTCATAAATGAACAAAAGAACAGACTGAACTTGGTATCCCCTTCAATGGCTCAGTCAACTGCCTAACTCTGGCATGAAGCTAAAAATAAGAGATAAACAAAGTGTTGGTGTCCAACCGAACAACGTCCGATCGCATATATGTCCGTGACCCTCCCCCCCGCAAAAAAAAAACTTCTGTGACGCCTGCTGGACCACCACTCCACAACCCCCTGACGGAGACACGATGATCCTCCCCATACTGGCCAAATATTATGTGTTAAAGGAATATGCTTCCTTCCTTAGGCATTTGCCTCCAGGTGTAATGTTAACCTACATCTATTGAGGATAAAATCTTTCACCTACAAATTGACAATAACACATTTGCTGTAATCAGACATATCTAGTTGCCTCAACAATTGCAACCCCAGTTGCAATTGGGGTTGCAATTTCAAATTCTGTGTCATTACTAAGGAATAACGAAGTCTCTGGTGCACTTTAAGATTAAGAGAGAAAACGGAGGACTCAGACGACCTGTAGTGAGAGAAAACGGACTCGTATGATGGGGGACCAAATAATAAAAGCATAGCTACACGTTTTGTGGGCTACAGTATTAAGCGTACCCTTTTCATTACTTTGTAATAAACCTAGCCATGCCTATGTGTGTTTATGATATTTACCATAACATTATATACTGTATATATATTTAGTGGGTTTAAATGGTCGTAAAATGGGAAACTTGTGGTTGGATCTTGGGTGCCTGGAACCAATTAGAATAAATCCCATAGGTTCTGTACTTTCGTTATCGCATTTTTCGTTATCACGCACTCGGCGGGGTCCCAATTAGGTGTGATAACCAAGGGATGATTGTACTGTACTGTATATACTTGTGACACTGGCCAGTTGCTTCTGGTGTTATGGTACAGGGGTACCAAGTGACAGCACTAGGATCCCGCTTCCTCTACAAAATTGTCCAGTTTGTACATGCCATTACTCAAATTCATGTTGAATGCTTCGGTATGTTTAATGAGACTAGATTCTATGATGTTCCTACTATCAATTGAATTACAAGGTAATATTGAGGAGGCATTATCCCAGTCAATGCAATGCTTGTTATCCCTCAAATGAACAGACAGAGCATTGGATAGGATAGTAGGAACATCATAGAATCTAGTCTCATTAAACATACCAAAGCATTCAACATGAATTTGAGTAATGGCATGTACAAACTGGACAATTTTGTAATTAAGAAAATTTGTAACCAGGTGAGAAGGTTGGGTCATCTTACCCTCTGACCTGACTACCGACCATTGCGGTGCTATTTAAAGATTAGTAGGGTCATTACCTAATACCTGACAATTGTGGACCTGGTCTCACCCTCCTCTGTATATATACGCCTTGTTTTGTACTTATCTTTAGTCTGTACTCACCTGAAGATGTGAATTACACGAAAGCGCTTGGGAACTTCGTGTTTTTTTCTTTCCTTGTGGTTATCAGCACATATATATATATATATATATATATATATATATGCAAGTAAATCACTGTAGGTGCATGTGATCTAGGTATATGCTGATAACCACAAGGAAAGAAGAAAACACGAAGTTCCCAAGCGCTTTCGTGTAATTCACATCTTCAGGGTGTGAGTACAGCATATATATATATATATATATATATATATATATATATATATATATATATATATATATATATATATATATATATATATATATATATATATATATATATATATATATATATGAAAATGCAAACTTACATCCCAGAATGCCAGATTCAGCAACTCACAAAAATCTTGTTGGCAGTTGTGAACAAACCACAAGCAAAAATGTTTAGAAATACAGTAGTATGAACTTACACTATCTCCCAAGTTCGTGGACCATCACGGATAAGTATCTCATAAGATAATTCAAACACAACATTATCATCTTCAGCCTTTCTGAAGTACCTAGAAGAAGTTGTGGAAGTTCTCCCAGAAGGCATTACAGCAATGCTCTGACCAACCACATCACCTTCTTCACGTTGTTGGGTTGTGTCAGTGTAAATGAACTGCCACTCTGCAAGGATGACCTGTAACACACAGTAACAGTGTGAGCATTGTTAGTATCAAGAGTTTGGCTTTAAATGGAAAAGGGACCGGAAAACAATACAGGAGAGTATTTTTAATTTAATGATTTTTTTAGGGAAAACAAGAATTAGAAGCACAAAAGAGACTCAAATTTTTAACAATAAATGTCAATGTAGGAGGAGGCATATGGAGAGCTAGAGAAGAAGACCAATAGAAGGAATTTAGAAGAGAACAAAGGAGGGAGCTGCTAAGTGAGAGAGAGTAATGCTGTAATGCTACTTAATAAATTTTCTATGTAGTGACATATGGGTCATCTCTAACCTTTAGACCCCGGGAGTCATAAGAGCCACTGAACCCCCACATGGGCATATTTTGGCAAAAAACACTTTACTTTTAAACCAATTGTCACCTTATAATTGGGTTAATCAATACATGTATAAGAAAAATACCAGAAGAATGTAGTTACATTCAACTTTTATTGTAGCATAGTTGGAGAGTTGTCTGAAGTGTTGATGAGCAGTGTGGAGTGATAAAGGATGTCTTGTTTGAAGCTACTGCTCACAGTAAGCGGGAAGTGAATTTGACACTCACTTGCAACACACAGTTCTTACTTGATGGTCCTTATGTATCATATTTCTATCTTATAGCTATTACAAAACACAAAATATTTATATTTTTCTCAAAAGAACTATAAAATACCAAACAGTAGGAATATTTAGGCAGCACAAACCTTATCACTATTTTCAAATATACACATTACTGTATTAACATGTACTTAAACTGAATTTAGAACTTCTTGATTGTGTGAAAGACTTTGCAACATGGAATGCATAAGGCAACTCCACACTCCTTGCCATATCTTTGCCCAGTGGTTCACGGTGGCTGGCAGGGTGGGGAGGGGAGGTAGCATCAATCAGTCTGTAGGACCCATCATTGTCTTCATCACCCAATATTATATCAATGCCACTCAAATCAAGCAAAGTAACACTTGATGAACAGCACTACTGTCAAGCAAATGCCTTCGCTTGCACTTGGATGTGGAGGAGTGAGGTGGGTCATAAGAAAGGTCTAAGGACGTGCATCTATCACAATGTCTGGTGGGTAACTGATCATGAGGCACGAATATTGACACAAATACACACGAATTGAGTTGCCAATTACACAAATATCCCATACAAAGTATTTCCTCCCCCCCTGGACATTCAAAACATGTCGGGGCTTAAGGGCTAATAAGGCTTAATACAAGTGTGGTGCTACTGTCATGGTCACAATAGCATGGCTAGTATGTTCAACACTTAAATATTCATATTATGCCCCACCGTCCACAAAACATGTGTGAAGTTAATGAGTTACCCCGAGAGAGAGAGACGTGTTTTCCCGAGCAAGGGGTGCCATCCATTTTCTCTTCAACATCCTGAAATCTCTCTTAAAAAGTAAATTTAAATTTAAGACAATGTGTAAGAGTACCCATAAGTCAGATATACCTACAATGAGATAAATCATTCAAGGTGTATTGAGTATACATTGAAAGTATCTAATGTCTTTGTGTGTAGAGTACATAGTGTCAAGACAATGTGTTTTGAGTGCCCAGCCACCATCTGGAATCAGTTTATGTTTCTCGTGAACTTACGGGATAGCAATTCAAAACTGAAGCCACATCTTTTTGATCTGTGAACCTCAGAGAATCCGATGAGAGTATTGAAATTATTGTCAGCTTTATATTTTAGAAAGTCATTAATCTTCTGAAAGAAACATGTCGACTTCTTATCGCCTACAATCTAACTGTGAAAAGAGAGTAGAACCTTCTTCAGTTTTTTTATGACGTTGTAAGAAAGGACGTTATCAGCTTGTGTGTTTAATGTCAATTTAATTTTTGCCTTACAAGCTCGTACACTGATTAGATTATAGAAGTTACTCTTAGAAAATTAATATAAGCTCATAGCCTAATTTTCATAAGCCAATGTGTCTGATAAATAGGTCTGTGAAAATCCCGACTCAGGGGTATAAAAGAGGCTGCGAGAGGCAGGAGCAACATACAGTGGAGTCTGCATTTACGCTGCTTTTGTTTACGCGTTTGGTCATTTATGCGGTGCCTTGCCAGAATTATATGCTTTAATTACGTGGTAAATTTGGTCATTTATGCGGGTGAAGTACAAATTTGTTTACTGTATTTACTGAAGATATTTGTTTTACCTCATAAAATTCATATAAATTACCCGGCCAGAATATAATTTACATTGCTGGAATTTTTATAAGATTGTGATTATTTTAAATATAAACATCATAAAATTTGCATTAGACATACAAATTTTAGATATACTAATGTAAGAATTTGGATTAGAGAGAGCAAAAATTTTATCTTTTGTGCAAAATATATGACGTTTATATTCAAAATATTCCTTGTCTTGCAAGGAATCCAGCAATGTCAATTATATTATCCTAAGTTTAGTCTGAGGTATTATTTATTACTAAAAATGTAAGCCTACTGTTTTCACCCAAACATTTCTCAGAGAGGTAGGAGCCAGCGAGCATGAGAGGGGGGGGGGTTGAGTCCATTATTTGAATGAAAATTAACCGGCGACTGTATTTCTCTTAAATATTAATTGTGTGTGCATACCATCATAAAATTAAATGTTATTTTTACTACAACGTACGTATTGTGTCGGAAAAAGTGGAGTTTGGGGGTTGGCCCAGTCTCTATTTCAATTAATCCCATATGTTCTGTTATTTCATTTACGCGTTTCTTGTTTTACGCGGGCCTCCACGGGTTCAATTGACTGCGTAAATGCAGACTCCACTGTACTTTGTCCTGACTCTCAAGCACCTATTCCTCTGTGTAACAGGTATGTCCAGTACTTTGAGTCTCACCCTGTCATATTCAGTGAATCCAACTTAGTTGTGCTTTGTTTGAATACAGTGACCCCTCGTTTAACGAACGCCTCGGTTAACGAACTGCCTTCAATAAGGATCTTCAATTCGGTTAACAAACAAAAATTCGGTTTACGAATTTCATACGAACCGACCTCAACATGTTTTCGCTTGCACTGACCGGGCAACCAGCTTTAGTATCAGTCCGCCAATACATTTATCGGTTCTAGGGCTTAAATTCCTTACCATTTTAGTAAATATCAAGAAGTTTATACTATTCAATAATTTTAAAAGTTTAATATTCAATTTTTTAGTCATTTTAACAATTATTGAACATAATTGAAGGTAAAGTGACTAGTTTAATGCACGGCATCCAGCCTCTTAACACAGCAAACAGGCGTTAGTCTCTCTCTGTTTTCACTGGAGGTAACATCTTGCTTGAGACTCTCTTCAACTAAACGCTTTTTTCTGTGTTTCCAAGCAAATTATTGGTCATTTTGAAATATATTTTACATATTGACAATATATAATGCAGTGTTGATTTAAAGAAAATAATCTTGAAATACACCAAGAGAACTAAAATTTTATGGGTGAAATGGTGCCTTGGGGTGACTTCTCTTCCACCCCAATGCCTTCTCTTCTTCCTTCTCCTCCACCCCCATTCTAATTCCCATCATCATCATCATCATCCAGGAGCCTTCTACATACACACCTCAAAGTAAGTGAACTTTTCTACCATTTGTGTTGAATTTAGGAAATTTTCGGTGAGCTGGAACCAATTACCCAAAAACCCATTGAAACAATGGTTTCGGTTAACGAACGACCTTCTGGAACGGATTGAGTTAGTTAACCGAGGGGTCACTGTACAAGTGATCCAGTAACATAACTTTAATGACTTTAGTAAAGTGTTCATGTGCCATCAACTTACAAGATGTATTTTATGACATTCATGTCAAACTTATATTGTCCTGACTCTCAAGCACCTACTCCTCTGTGTAACAGGTGACTTAATAGACCACGGGTGGTCGTTGTAAGCAAGGCTGTAAGATCTGATAGCATCATGGTGGTGGTGTGGTGAGCTGAAGATCATACATACAGCCAGCCATTCAGAGGAGGTGGCCAGAATGTGTTTGTTGTCCACGTGTTGATATCTCAAGTGTGGAGTAAACACAGCCCACTCATAAGCATTGTTTTGAGTCCACAACAATAAGTAGAGTTACCTATTGGGTATACTATTCATCAGATTATTCCTGTATGTAATCTATTCAGTTGTATGGGTCTGGAATGAACCAGTGCGTGAGGGTCACCACTTTACTTGTCGGAGAATGTAACTAAGTAGCACAAGGAGGCTATTATTAAGAGTCCTGTTTGCAATTAAGAGATAATTTCTCAGGTAACCTGTAATTGTGGTGCTCAAGTGTGTTACCTGTAAGATTATAATATGGTGTGTCATTATAAAAGTAAACCAAATACTGGTGGATGTTGAAAGGTGTAACTAATTGAGAAGTACAAAATAAGTGAAACCATGAAGATGATCCTTGTAGTTTTGTATTATTGAAAGTAGTCATAAACCTAACTTCATTTTAATAAACCATCTATATTGTATGTTGAGGGTATCATTATCCCCGCAATATTGTTTACCTTTGTTTCTCCCCATATCTTGTTACCAGTAATTACAGTAAACCCACGTGTCCTAATCCTCGAGCCATGCTACCATAGATAAGAGGTTAGGGGATATTTATGGGAAGAAAAGTAACTAAAAAGTAAATAACATAAGGATTTAATAAAGTAATAATTGATAGAAAGAAAGTTTGGAGATGAAAATAAAGTAGAACCAATTATAAGAGAAATACAGAGAAGAAAGAAGGTAGACAGAAAGGAGAAAATTAAATATATTTAAAACACCCCCCCCCCCCTACAAATTGGTTAACAGTAGTGAGATAGATAAATAAAAATAGTCTCCCTTATAAAATGGTGGCAGCGGCGGGATAAATAAATTAAAATAATCTCCCCTATAATATGTCGACCACATCTAGTGTAGCATATTTAATATTTTTTACTTTATACTACAGAAAGGAAAAGGGTGATATAATAAAAGTTCATTGGCACATGAAAGGTATTATTCAGTCAAGTGTGCACATCCTAGGTTAGCAGATGGCTGCCCCACTCATGGTTACAGCCTCATGTTCAATAAACTGTCAGATTTAACTTCTATAGAGTGAGAGTCGTAATTCTTGGAAGAACCTGGCAGAAAAGATTGTATCTGTACCAAAAGTGAAATCCTTTTAACTTGGGATTTGACAAACACTGAAATATGTGCAGTTAAATTCAGAACCTGTAAATAGTAATACAGGTTGTACCTCTCTAGTCCGGCAACCTCGGGACCTGACCGGTGCCGGACCATGGAAATTCACCCTTTTCCTGGATAGATAGTGACTTGTGCTTATGCTTGGAAGCACTAGCACCACTTTCTCTGCTTCATGGTCTCTTTGAAGACATATTGAAGGGTTAAATGTCGTACAGTAGCTTCTCAAAATTCGCAAGTTTTTAATTCTACGTTTTCTATTTGAACACACAAAAAAACAACACATTTAAAAATTTTGACGGTGGAAACTCGAATTTCGACGGGTTTGAATGGCCCATCAACGTTCAGATGACGTGCACAATTGTGTAAACAGCGTCATTTCTCTTATGTACAAATGATTCATTATTGTTTATTACTGAAAGTCTTTTTAATTGAATTAATGTTTGTGTGTGCAAAATGAGCAATACAATTCATTAATAATACGTAGAATATTAAAACACGAGGAAATGAGACAGCATTGTTTTCGTTGATTAAAAAACCAGTGACTGACTGGTTCTACATATAAAACTGAAGAAAATAAGACCCTGGTTGTAGCTGAAGTAAAATTAATATGGTTGTTTTAAGTAATGCTATTTAATGTTAATAAATGGAACAATAGAAGTAGCGAACGATAATGATAAAGAAAAAAAGAGAGATCGCATATGTAAGTGCGCACACGTGAAAACATATCGTCATTACTTTACATAAGAATATGAAAGCAACACTTATTTACAGTGCATATATATTTTAATTAATGTTTCTGAATTTGTTTTTATTGAATTAATGTACGTGTGTGCAAAATTAACAATACAATTTATTAATAATACGTGGAATATTAGAGGAGACGAGACGGCTGCCGGCATTGTTTATGTTAAAGCTTACAAAACCAGTGACTGATTGGTTCTACATATAAAACTGAAGAAAATAAGACCCTGATTGTAGCTGTAGTAAAATTGATGCAAACAAATTAATATGGTTGTTTGAAGTACCTGTAATGTTATTTAATGTTAATAAATGGAACAGTATAAGTAGCTAACCATTAATGGTAAAAAAAAAAGTGAGACTGCGCGTATGTAAGTGCGCACATGTGAAAACATATCGTCATTACTCTCTACATAAGAATATGAAAGCAACACTTATTTACTGCTCATATATATTGAAGGGTTAAATGTTGTACTCTGTATAGACAAGCAGAGAGAGAGAGAGAGCAGCCGAACTGCCGGATGTAAACAAACCTTAATTTCCCGCGGCTTTGTCGTTGTTGTTTTTTTACGGGGATTAGCCCACCCGGGCATAGGTCACTGACCCACATGGGGCCTGAGGGGCAAAATTTTAATACTCCTGTAATAATAATAATAATTCAGATAAGAGGAAAAAAAAAGCTGCCTATCTACCTATTGGACAAAGTAAAATCGTTCCGGACCACGGGAGTTTCCGGACCACAGAATGCCGGACTAGAGAGGTACAACCTGTACTGTAGTGTATTGCTGTGTCACAGTTTGCTTACATTTTAGAGTAATAAATATTTAAGTGTGTATTACAGTACAGTATAACTATTTCATTTTTTTAATAACAATCTGTTTAATGCATAAATATTATCACTTTTGAGTAAGGAGAAATTTAACCTAAATATTTTATATAACTGTGTAATTACAGAGTTCTAATTTCATTTTAAGGAATATATATTGCTTCTGAATAATTTATACCTACAATATATCACTTGCAACAAGATTTTTATGCAAAATATAAGCAAAATAGAATTAACTCTCTAATTTATACAGATTCTTGGGAAATGTTAACTTAAGAAAGTGGATTGTACTGTACAGGTACAGTACTGGGTCCTATACAAATAGGTAATGTACTGCAACAGCAACTTGGCTGACTGATCTCATCCATAATAAGATTTAATTCTTGTATTTACATAATCTTGACACATGAACAACTACTCCTCTTAAAAATAAAATATTGTATTCTGAATACACATGTACAGTACAGTAGACTGAATTAAGAGAAATAATGAAACGGATTTATTAATTCAGTGAAACTTCCATTTAACGGACTATACAGAGATGAGTGTCCATTGTGTAGAGGGTCCATTCAATGTGAAGCCTCTCATCTAACAGATTTCATGGAAAGAGAAGTCTGTTATATGGAGGTTTCACTGAAAACTAAGAACACATATACCAGTCAGTATAGCCCTGTATACACCTACTACTCTGGATAATTATATTTCCCCATATGTTATAGTAATACAACTATAAAACAGCAATGTACTGTACTAGAGAGCAGCTGCCCATACATCCTCCTACCTCAAGCTCGGTGTGGTATTTCCATAACTCTTCAGACTGGTCGTAAAAATTGGCTGTGATGTTGTGGTCCTGGCCATTAATTTTAGCAACAATCTGGTTTTCCAGGGATACATCTGTGACCTGCACTTTATAGATAACATCCCAGTCCATGTCAGCAGTGGGAGATGTAACTGAAATAAAAATGAGTCTTGTTCTGCTTTTTACTCTTTCATAGATAGATAGATAGATAGATAGATAGATAGATAGATAGATAGATAGATAGACAGGCAGGCAGATAGATTCAGTAAAATCACCATTAAAGTTAACACTGATTCAGCATGCATATAAACAATACAGATTATACAGTAAGCCCTCCCCAACGTGAATTTGTTCAACGCAAATTCACTTATATGCGCAAAAATAAATACTGAACGACTAATGTATTTGCCAAACATGAAAATTCACACACACACACGATAATACCAACCTGGTTTTTGCCTCTATCCCTTATGTCACAACATAAAAGGTCATACTACACAGATCTTCCCATTAAAATTACAATTCATAATCAACTTTGTTATCAAGATTTTTTGTTATCAATGTTAAAAAGAGATCTTACAATTGAAATTTATAAGTTATTAAATACTGTACAGTATCTCCTTGACTTACGATGGAGTTAGGGACCGATGACCAGGTCGTAAGTCGAAAAGGCAAAAATAATACAGTCATGCGCCGGTTAACGTCCTAGATACGTTCTTGGAAATGTGATGTTAACCGAAATGGACGTTGTCTGAAATTACAGAAACCTATGGGATTTATTCTAATTGGTTCCAGGCACCCAACCCCAAGTTTCCCATTTTACGACCATTTAGACCCACTAAATATATATATATAATGTTATGGTAAATATCATAAACACACATAGGCATGGCTAGGTTTATTACAAAGTGATGAAAAGGATATGCTCAATACTGTACAGTGGGTAGTCCACAAAACATGTAGCCATGTCTCTTTATTTGAGTGCCCCATCATAGGAGTCCATTTTCTCTCACTTTAGGACACCTGAGTCGTCCGTTTTTTCTTAATCTTACAGTGCAGTGCACCAGAGACTTTGTTATTTCTTAGTAATGACACAGAATTTGAAATTGCAACCCCAATTGCAACTAGGGTTGCAATTGTTCAGGCAACTAGATATGTCTGATTACAGCAAATGTGTTATTGTCAATTTGTAGGTGAAAGATTTTATCCTCAATAGATGTAGGTTAACATTACACCTGGAGGCAAATGCCTAAGGAAGGAAGGATATTCCTTTAACACATAATATCTGGCCAGTACGGGGAGGATCATTGTGTCTCCGTCAGGGGGTCGTGGAGTGGTGGTCCAGCAGGCATCACAGAAGTTTTTCTTCTTTTTTTTGGAGGCACGGACATATATGCGATAGGACGTTGTTCGGTTGGACATTAACCTGCGCATGACTGTACATAAAAATTCTAAAATGGGTGACTCTTTTTCTTCTCAGCACCACGAGAAGTCTCACTTTTATGCTTGCCAGCCATTTTAAAGGGAATTACAAACGAAAATTTTGTCAGTACACAGTGCAATCACTAACGTTGGGACTCGAAAATATGTAATGTGAAAAATAATTAACACAACCATGGCCGTCGTATGTCCGGGTTATCGTTAGTCGAATATGTCGTAAGTCAAGGAGAGACTGTACAGTACTGTGATATTTTGGAGTACTACACCATGTCGCTGCATCTACTCTTACCTTGCAGCTTATTAACTATTTTTGTAGCTAATCCATTGTAGTGAGATGACCAGTGTTCTGTGCGTGTTACGGCTGACTGTTTAGGTTGTGTGATCCTCCAAGATGTGGAATGAATGACTTGAAATTCTCTTGCAGTTGCCTCAGGGCCTACTATTACAGTGAGATTATTTATAACCTGAAATGGAAAGATTTCTTTTAACATTCCACACAACAAAACATTAGAGGCATGTTTAAGACTTCACACTATTTGGCGCAATTTTCTTTGGGGTCATCTGTACACAAGTTTATATTCTAATTCTGTACAAAATCAGTAAATACTTCAATGTATATCTACTACAGCATACTGCATGCCCATCCAGACAGCAGCTTTAGTAATGAACATAAAATGAGCACATAACACTTAAATTCTTCCATTACAATGATCTTTTGCATTAATTTAAGGGCTCACTATAAAAGGGGCCCCATCATTGTGTTGCACCAATGGTACCTATATTAAAAACCCCTTGTAAACCATAACATGTCTTAATAAAAAAATAATATAAAAAAATCCACTACTCTGACTATGCTCTAGAAAAATCCATTTCAACCAATATATTAAGCTATCATTCTGCCAAATTCAAAAAAAGATATGCTAGGCCTCACCATTTCCTCTAATATATCATGGAAGCCACACGTCCTCAACATTACTAAAGCTGGCTCCCTTAAGCTGGAAATGATGTACAGATGCCGTAGCTACTTCACTCCTGAGCATTTGCTTCAAGTATACAGTATAAGGGATTCATTCATCCTAATTTGGAGTACTGCTCTCATATCTGGGGTGGCTCTTCTTTTGTCCAACTGTTAGATAGGGTGGAATCAAAGGCATATCGTCTTATTAACTCTCCACCTTTAGTTGACAATCTTTCTTCCCTCTCTCTTCGTCGCAATGTTGCTTCACTGTCTCTTTTTACCGGTACTTTAACGGGCAATGTTATGGGGATTTGACATCCTGTGTACCGCCGGCAAGGCTGTGGGCTCGTAACACACGTCTTGCCTGCGGTGCCCACCGTTTCCCTGTGGATGTCGGTCACACTAGAATAACCCGTTATAGTGCATCCTTCTTTCCTCACACAGCCAAACTGTGGAATGCTTTGCCTTCTTCTGTTTTCCATACTCATACAATCTGCCTCGTTTTAAAAAACTGGTGTTCTGGCATCTTCGTGGTGTAGCCTAATGTAATCTTTTCCTTTTCTATTTTATATTTCTTTTGATTCTTATTTTTTCCCCCTAGGCCCCAATGTGGGTCAATGACCTGTGCCCAAGTGGGCTATTCCCCATAAAAAAAATTTTTTTACTTTGAGTAAGTAGTAGTAAATAGTTCCATGAAGTACAATACCTGTATGGTTAAATTAACATAAATTGTATCATCTGATACTCTGTAAGAGCTATTTCTTCCTCAAACCTTTAGCCTCATATGGAAAAGACTACAGGTGGTCCTTGACTTAAGTTGTTTCAACTTGCACTTATGGCAGGTTGCCAACTACCACCCATATTATATTTATAGCAGCCAGACCTGCCCTTACAGCATGATGTCACTCAGACACCAGTTGTGTTTACAAACACACACCTATCACCCAGTCAGTCTGTCTCTCAATGTGCTGTGGTGTTAAACCTCTCGTGTATTTTTTATTTATTTCCAACTAGACATAATCCTGACAGCTCTGTCCTCTTGTTCAACCTTAATACTGAACAACCCATGTTGTACTGCTCCCCCTTTATACTTATGTTTTTCAATTCCACTGTAATTCATGTATACAGTATACTTATAATATAAATAAAAAAAATAAACTAAAACAAAAAAATAAATAAAATAAATAAATATTGAAGTGATAACCGTGGTAACATTATGTGATGTGCTTATTACCATGCTATTGCACTATTCCAGATGTTACTAAATGTTACATAATACTTTCTTGAGATAAATGTATACAGTATTACCCCGCTTTACACGGTTTCACTTTCCGCGATTTCTCATTTACGCGGTACCTTGCCAGAACCGGACTATCACTTTCCGCGGTGCATCTACTCATATACGCGTGAAGTATAATTTTTTTTTTTTTAGCTCATAAAATTCATACAAATTACCCGGCCAGAATATAATTTACATTGCTGGAATTCTTACAATATGATGATCATTTTGAATATAAACATCATGGATTTTGCATTAGACATACAAATTTTAGATCTAATGTAATAATTTGGTTTACACAAAGCAAATAATTTATCTTTTGTGCAAAATATATGACGTTTACATTCAAAATATTCCCTGACCTGCAAGGAATCCAGAAATGTCAATTATATTATCCTAACTATAGACTGAGGTATTATTTATTACTAAAAGTTAAAATCTAGTTTTTTCTCCCAACATTTCTCTGGTAGGGAGGGAAGGTGGGGGGAAGGTGGGGGGTGGGGGGAGGGTTGGGACCGATCGACCATCTGGCGCGGTTGGAAGACGGGGGAGGCAAGTTGGGGTACTTTGATTGACAGATAGTGTCGGTGAAGAATATTTTTTTTTTTATTAACTGAAGATATTTGTTTTAGCTCATAAAATTCATACAAATTACTGGACCAGAATATAACTTACATTGCTGGAATTCTTACAATATGATGATCATTTTGAATATAAACATCATGGATTTTGCATTAGACATACAAATTTTAGACCTAATGTAATAATTTGGTTTACACAAAGCAAATATTTTATCTTTTGTGCAAAATATATGAAGTTTACATTCAAAATATTCCCTGACCTGCAAGGAATCCAGAAATGTCAATTATATTATCCTAACTTTAGTCTGAGGTATTATTTATTACTAAATGTTAAAATCTAGTGTTTCACCCAATCATTTCTCAGAGAGGTAGGGGCCAGTGAGCTGGGAAGAGGGGGGGGGGGATTTGAGTCCATTATTTGGATGGACATTAACCTGGCGACTGTATTTCTCTTGAATATTAATTGTGTGAGCATACCATCATAAAATTTAGATGTTATTTTTACTACAACATAGGTATTGTGTCGGAAAAAGTGGAGTTTGGGGGTCGGGCCAGTCTCTATTGGAAATAATCCCATATGTTCTGTTGTTCACTTTACGCGGTTTTCACTTTCCGTGGTAGCCTGTGGGTTCAATTGACCACGTAAATCGGGGTACTACTGTAGTATATATCAGGTGCCTAAAAGAGAGCTCAGGTTCTCAACTGGCTTAGCCATGTTAATATTGTTATTATTATCCACTCTGTATCTGTGTTTTTCTGGCGAATTAAACTGTTTCAAAGGATAAAAGGAAAGATGAGTACTGTAGTGATGGTGCTGAGAAGAAAAAGTGAAGGGAAAAGTGATAAAACTTAGAGATAGTGGATTGTTGTACAGCTGCTCCTCTACTTATGAATGAGTTACATTCCTGAGGTTTGTTCATAAGTCTAACTTTATTTCTATAGATACAGTAGTGATCTTACTGTAAAAATTAAACAAATAAAGGATGTACAGTATAACTATATCCTAATAATAAATACAGCACATTACTTTAAATTATATCTTACCAGTCTTTAAAGGTATTTTAATACATACCCGGTAAATACCTTATTATAATTTTGGTGGCAGCTGTACTTAGGACTTACAGTTTGAATACTTATGGAATGTAACCTGACATAAATCTGAGGACTTGCCTGTATAAGAGAAACCTCCCACAAACATGGTAACAGTACCTCAGAAGCATTCACTTGTGTGATGGAGAGGACCCTTGTGTCAAGTTGTGGGTAATCTGGAAGCAGCATCTCAAATTTAACCCCAAAGTGTTGATTATCTTCCCCAGATCCTGGACTAGTGATGCTGCCATCAAGCATCACCACCTGGCCATCCCAAGTTAGCTGAAGGATCAAAGAGACAAATAGCAAAACGTGCAAAAAGAAAATAAAGAACAAAGGTTATACACCAACATGTAATTTATTTTTCCAAACACAATATCGAGTGTATTTTTTTAAGTCTATCTTCTATCAACTGTATAAATCACCGAAAACGAAGTAAACATTTTAATACTGACGATTTAATTATTTCTAATGAATTTTGTAGCATATGTATAATAATGTGCTGGGTATGTAATGACTACTATTAGGAAAGCTGACAGCAATGTGTTTGAGTACAATAGTCTCATGTATGACCGAACCTAAGGGCACAACTCATCTCAATGATATTCATCATTAAGCTAGTTCATCCTCTACCTCATCCTTCATCCTCACCTGAACTTTGCCCTCAAAGGCATTATTCTTCATGGAAAATGCAGCTTCTAACCCAAGTGCAAAGAGTGGGACTGAAAAGTAGATATTCTTAAGGGTGATGACCTTGTCTCCATTTGGTGCTTGCTTGACTTCAGCAGTACCTGGTGTTGGGAGAAATAAAAATAAAGTGAGAGGAAAGTGTGTGTGTGTATATGAGCGTGTTACTCTTGACTCTGACAACCCACCACTGTAGTAGGAGAGATATTGCAAGAGTGAAAAGAAATTATGATTTATTTTAGATATCAACTACAAATACTAACCAAGCTGACAGGCAATCCATTATAAGTCATCCATTTTATAGTGAAGTACAGGTATCCTCGATAATCGCGTGGGCTTGGTTCCAGAAAATTACCGTGATAAGCAAAACCGTACATATCGAAACACTTAACATATGGGAAAAATTAGTTTTGTCCCCTAACTGACCAAAGTATACCCCCAAAAATAGGCTAAGTACACTAAAAGATATAATACCAGTAACATGTCCTTACTAATTAATGAATAACAAATAAAAAATGTACAGTACTGTACAATATTGGATCATGAATGACTCATAATTTTTTTTTTTTTTTACGGGGACTAGCTCACCCAGGCACAGGTCACTGACCCACATTGGGGTCTGTTGGGTGAAAATGTAATAATAATAATAATAATAATAATAATAATAATAATAATAATAATAATAATAATAATAATAATAATAAAAAACCATAAAGAAATAAAAAAATACAAAAAATAAAATAAAATCAAAAGTGAGAAACAATACTTGTATATATGTATGTTGTATTGTCAATAGTAAGAGAAACAATTGAAACCCTACAATTGAGAGTAAATGAAGCCGAAAGTCAGATCAGCAACCTGGGACTTGGTCACAATTTTCGTGATGCCATATGACAGCAGGGTCTACCATTAGACAACACATTATGCTTCCAATATCTTCCCAGGCAGTAGTACCTCCCTGTTTGGTAGCTGCCTACTACCTACTACCATTAAATGGGTGAGAGAGGCAGAGTGTTGGTGAGACGCAGTGGGTAGGAGGGGGAAGGAAGGTGGGAAGTGGGTGGGAGACAGTGGATATCTTGCTAATCTGCTCTGGCTAAAGCAAAGCCATCACTGAAATTATGATTTAAGTAGTAATAATAGAGGTAGTGATAGTGATCACGAAGCTGGTGGTGGAGGGGGAGATTGTGGTAAGTGGTGAGGAGATGATGCGTCAATCGGTTTGTTTGATAACTCTGGCTGCAGCACTGCCAGACACAATTGAACAACTGATGTCTACTCACAGAATTGAGTGTAAGTGTAAATGAAGAGCGTTGTATTCCTTCCACATTACGTTACATAAATTTTAAATTATGGAGTGAGAAAGAAGAAAGGTGAAGGTGATTAGAGAGGTGGAGTGGAAGGAAGTGGTAACATATAATGGGCGTGTTGCCAAGTGCATGCTTATCCTTGTAGGGAACATCGGAACATTCAACCAGAGAATACACACATCTTCGTCGCTTGGCTGGATCAGGAACCTTAACACTCTTCTTGTTCACAGGTGCCATGGTGGAGGGTAAGTTACAAAAGTTGCACCAAAAACAAGCATGGAGCAGGAAACCGTCTTTAAACACCGACCAAAACAGCGCGGGGAAACAAATGCTATTGCTGGAAGCTGGCACCACGAGCCGTGCTGCCATCTCTTGGAAGTCGCTGCTACTGCTGGCTCTCGCAGACCCGCCGCTGTCCCATGATAATTCCGTGATAACCCAGATCAATCGGTGATAAGTGCACACATGGTCGCAATTGAGGACACTGTGATAAACCAGATCAGCGATTATTGGGTCCCGTGATTATTGAGGATACATGTATAATGAAGATTGAGAGATTAAATAGGTGTGTGACTCCTACACTCTGGTTGCAAGGTCAAAACATGAGCTGAGATTCACAAAACATTTATCCCAATAGGCCAACATATGTAGTGACTCTACACTGCTTCTGATTTATGCAAATGGTACAATCAACCAACACTTAGAATGTCACACTAGTTATATGCACTCTATAGACATTACTTATGAAATGAAAACAATATCACAGGATATATCAGTTATTCAAAACCAACTATTAATTATCTGCATAAGAAGAAAGGGTAAAACAAATCATTCCTGCACACTTCATATGTCATACTGACCTTTAAGAGTGATATCAAGGTACTTCTTCAGTGTACCCTCTGTGTAAAGGTCCAGAGTCACACTTCTGACCTTATCTGACAGATATCGTACGACATATCCCTCTAAAAGAGCATCTTCCTGTTGACCGGGATATGCTATGACTAATCGTGGTTTCACACTCACCTGAAGAAGAATATAATGGCATGTTATAACATAACACCAAGTAGACATCTCTGATGATGATGACTCGTTGTGTAAGACATCATATAGTTTATATCTTACAATTATTTTCATACTTTATTGTTTTAATGATTAACTTATAATATTTCTACGTAAAGGAATTCAGCCATATACATTTGATAGTCCTGATTAATCCTGTTCCCACTTCTGAAAGCATGATGAAGGAGCAACAGTGGATGAATCACATGAAGACCCTAAACCCTATGTCTTCAGCCTTCGGTCTTAATGTCTGGCACCTTAACTTCCTCCACAATTTTCAGATTTTTCTCAAGTATTTTGTACATTGTTATATCAGAACTAAAAAAAAACACTAATTACACACTCACATGGCCTCCATCTTCCACAAAGAGCAGTTCAGCTTTGAAGCCATACACTAGATTCCCGAAGCTAATGTGACCCTCAGCACGCTTAAGATTTGGGTCATTCACTAGTGATGCTGTAAAGGAAATTACTATGCAATAAGAATACAGTAACATGTTAAAGCACAAACGAGGCCAATTCAGCCAACTCTCAAACATTTAAACACTTCAGGGAAAGAGTAAAAAGTATAAAGAAAAGAGAAGAGACAGTTCACAAAAAATTAACTATTATACAGTACAGATACTATATAATATATAATAAAAGAGGAGACACTGCAAAGAAATTCTTCTTCTAAATCAGAGTACAGTACAGTATGTCTCCCCACAAGGAAGTTGTTTGCCTGATTTAATTATGCCAATCAGAAATTATAAACATTAAATAGCTACATGCTGAGGCAATCACCAACTAGTGACACTATAGGCTCTAGTGACACTACTGTATTACTGTATTCTGAAATAACTGTAGCTGATGTAGCTCAACATTTGTGTTTTCCTAATTGGTCACTAAAACATTTTTGTATGTTTAGCACTTGTAGTAATTTCTTTGATTAAAATGAACTAAAGCTTTTGAGAAATAATGCACTAATTACTGCAACTATAAAGTAATATGAGTTCCTAAATATGAAAGCAGTGTAAGTACATTACTGTACTATTATTCATTATTTAGACACCAATCATCACACTCTTAATTACCTATCTTACCTAAAGCCCACCAGCACTAAAGGTGGCTAAAGTGGGGGAAGAAGACCAATGGTCTGTGTAAGAATGACCATTGTTCAGCCACCCTTCCAGCAAGCCACTGTTAAATGGTCACAGTTTAGTGATGAAGCAAAAAAAAAACAAAAAAAAACAATGTATTCCTTCTGAAACAATATGAAGTAAAACATATACTTTGTACAGGTATTAAAAAAAAATATTCCCTGCCTATAAAATAATCAATAGGAATTATACTCAATCTTTAATTGTTCAAAACCACCTACTCTCTGCAAAGGCGGAGAACTGCAGGCTAAAGAACTGTAGCTTGAGGGTAAAGTGCGGACTGTAGGTGAGACCAAACACCACACCGACCTTCTTCTCTGTGCTTGAACCTTCAGTCTCGATATGGATATCAAGGAACATGGAGTTTACACCTGGAAGATACAAAAAAGAGCAGTGAAGTAGTCAATGAAATACCAAATATAAAATGAAATGTAAACCTAAATAAAGAAATACCTGTATACATGGACATTAATACATTAGTTACACATTCATCCATCTACACTGTAGAAATACCAACTAATTAAATCCACCAATTAATATACTGTACATAAATCAGCAAACTCATATAATTCAAAATCATTAACTTCCATAAATTTTAGGGAATCTCTCTGTACTATTAAAAATAAATAAAAAATTGGCATACAGTACCATATACAGTACACTGTTTCTGCACACACTTACCCGGGTTCTTCCACGAGAAGCTAATTCTATATCCAGTAATACTCTCCTCACTCTTCCTGAGATAATTCCTTAACTTGATTACTGCCTTATGTCTACCTTGTATCCACACTGTGTCTGTCCTGGCGCTAATCCCCAAAGCTGTTTCAAGTGCACCGTTGCAGACACTCTCACTACCAGAGCCTTGGGACTGACCATCAAGTCCATCCACATTGAAATCATCCGCTGTACCATCTTCACTTGAGCAATCTGTTCCACTAATTGCAGCACCATCATACAAGTTTCCATCATCATCATTGGCACCATCCACTGCTGAAGGGTAATCAAAACTGCGTGTAATCTGGGCCAAATAGCCATTGAAGGAACCTTGTGGAATATCCATCTTCAATTCCATACTGTCAGCACCCTGGGGAAACAGATTTAAGCTAAACCAATGTTCTGACAACTAAAAGATTGCACAATACAGCCTGAGCTCACATTTCTCTTCCCTCAACACACATTAAAGAGAAACATACCATTACAACTGTAAATATTATCAATCCTATATAGTACACTTGAGTAACATGAATCCAAAATGCTTGGTCACAAGTTAGGTTAGGTTAGGTTTTTACTTTTTCTTTGATACTTAGCCTTTAGTTTTCTATTGAACTACAGTTCTATACTGAGATAATTTAAAGGCTGTGCACCTGGTCCTCAGCAGACAATATTCCCATTAGTGGATCTTACTGGATTATTCCGATAATTATATATTTCTTCGGCAGTCGTTGGTATCACTATGTGTTGCCTTTAAAGTATTTCTCACCACACTTTTGATCTTCCATTGATTTCTTTTTCTTTTTTTTACGGGAATGGCCCACCCGGGCACAGGTCATCGACCCACAAGGGGGCCTGGGGGCGAAAAAATAATAGTAAAAAGAAATTAAAAATAGAAAAGAAAAAGATTATATTAATCTACACCACGAAGATGCCAGAAAACCAGCTTTTTGAAGCGAGACAGATTTTTTGAGTATGGAAACACAGAAGGCAGAGCATTCCACAGTTTGGCTGTGTGAAGGAAGAAGGATGTACTATAACGGGTTATTCTAGTGCGACCGACATCCACAGAGAAACGGTGGGCACAGTGGCGAGACAAGTGTTACGAGCCCATGGCCTTGCCGGCGGTACACAGGATGCCAAATCCACCGAATATTGCCCGTTAAAGTACCTGTAAAAGAGAGACAGTGAAGCAACATTGTGGCGAAGAGAAACGGAAGAAAGATTATCAACTAAAGGAGGAGAGTCAATAAGATGAAATGCCTTTGATTCCACCCTATCTAACAGTTGGACAGAAGAAGAGCCACCCCAGATATGAGAGCAGTACTCCAAGTTAGGACGAATGAATCCCTTATAAACTTAAAGCAACTGCTTTTGAGAGGAGGCTTTAGCAATGTTGTGGATGTGTGGCTTCCATGAAATATTAGAGGAAATGGTGAGGCCTAGCATATCTATTTTAGAATTTGGCAGAATAATTGCATCCTGAAATGTGATTGGTGGGAGATCATCTAATTTGGAAAGTGTAATTGGTAAATACTGAGTTTTATTATTACAGTAAAGCCTCGAATAACGACGGTAATGTGCCCTCCAATATTGCAGTGTAAGGTGAATCGTTGTATCATGAATCATTTATTACCATTAAAATAAAGCAATAATAATAAGATGCATTCCAAAGTCTGACCTTTTCAAATATGTTGTGTGTTTTTTTACCCTTTTTTCCCACCCAAAAGGAAAATTAATGAAAAATATGCTTATACACTTTCTTTTAGCTTTTGAACTAGCAGTACCATCACTTGCTCTCTTGCTCATGTTGAATAGGGACACAAAAATCCCGTAAGAAACCTGAGAAAGTTTTTCTCCTGGTCCTGTTCAGATGCGTGAAAACAAAGGGACCGCCAAGCTCCGACTCTTGTTTACTATACTTGTACTCGCTTTACACTAGCTTGGCTCAGAAGCCACGCCCCCTTTCTACGCTAAAAAGTAGCTGATTGGTCCATAAAAAGTGTTCGTTTACCTCTGCATTCATCATACTAATATGCTCACAATTTATAATTAGACCTGTTTTTCCCAATAATAATGTTAAAAACTACAAACATAAAAATGCAAGTGATTTCAAGGCATTAGCACTTCAAAGAGAATGTTAAAAATGTTAAAATACCTGTATGTACGTATTACGAACGTTCGATGTCAAAGACAAAAGTTGCATTCGGATGAATCCTACCTATCATTTCTTTGTTTTGTAGCAAACAGAAAACAAACAGAAACAAATAACACCAAACATATAGCAACATAGACAATTACCTACAGTTTGTAAAGGCTAGATATATCGCAAATCATTGTTTCCTGAAAAAATTTATAAACATACGCACAGTTTGTGGGGGGGTGTCAGTTGTGTCTCAGCAGAATATAACTTGCATTGCTGGAATCCTTGCAAGACAGCGAATAATTTGAATATAGACTTCATATATTTTTCACAGGAGATAAAATTTTTATTCCTTTAGTGTAGTGTACTGTACATTTAAGTACAGTATAGTCTGCATTTACGAGGCTTTTGTTTACGCGTTTGGTCATTTAGGCGGTGCCTTGCCAGAATAAAATGCTTTAATTACGTGGTAAATTTGGTCATTTACGCGGGAAGCGGCGCGGGCAGGGTGCGCACAAGGTCGCCCAGTCATCAAAAGATTACCAAGTTCTTACCCGCCACCGACCACAGCCGGCCCAAGTCAGTGATGGTGAGAGTGAGGATATGGACTTTGAGGGGTTTGACAAAGAGGCCCTGCAAGCCTCTGTGGTGGATAGTGATACAATTGATACAAGTAATACAGGTGAGGGCCAATAATTAATCTGCCCTCTGCCTCAGAACCAACCTCCCATCCCCGTGTGCCCAGCCATCTTTTCTACTAACGTAAGTGTTAAAAAACCTAATATTATTGATATTTCTCTTAATTATTAATTGTGTGTGCATACCATCATAAAATTAAGATAATATTTTTACTACAACGTACGTATTGTGTCGCAAAAAGTGGAGTTTGGGGGTCGGCCCAGTCTCTATTTCAATTAATCCCATATGTTCTGTTATTTCATTTACGCGTTTCTCGTTTTACGCGGGCCTCCACGGGTTCAATTGACCGCGTAAATGCAGACCCCACTGTACAAGTTTTTCAACTCATATTTTGGGGTAGATATACGTAACTTTCTTCATTTATTTTTACTCATTTATATGCACACACCATCCTAAATACATATTATGAAAAAGTAAAATTAATAATTGTCTTAAGGGCAAACCTGTACTTCTCAAATGTCCTAAATAATTACTAAAATTTTTATGTCTAGTGCTAACTATATCATGTTTATATTCAAATTAATCATTATCTTACAAGAATTCCAGCAATGTAAGTTATATTCTCCCAAGTCAATTCAGTGACATTTTATAAGCAAAAAATTTAAAACTCCCTCTATGTGACAGATAAGACGCATTGTGTAATCTCCCCGCCGGCTGGTCAATACCTCACCTCAACCCCTCCCCCCCCTCCTCACCCCTGCCTGGCTGTCAACACATAAGAAACATAAGAAAATAAAGAGTCTGCAATAGGCATTGCTGGAATCCTTTCAAGATAGCAAATAATTTGAATGCAGACATTACACACCTCAAATTAAGTGTTAAAATACTTTATTGATTCTTATTTATTATTGTACAGTATACTGTACAGTACTGTAATTTGTTTATATTTAATATTTTGTTAATTCTATTACCGGAATACTGAACTTTGTATGTACTGTTTAATTCATATTCATAAGGTTCGTTGCAGAAATATTAATGAGTTTGCTGAAGAGGTGCTGCCACAGACCCCGCTAGGGTATTACCCGAAAAATTCAGAATTCAGAAACACATCTGGCCCCAAGGGTTTCGGATAAGGTATTGTGGACCTGTATTATACTTTTGTCGTAAATACGAATAAAATAACGACGTAAATTGAATTGGGTCCTAAATTAACTAGGGTCTTAAATACAAATCGTCGTTAGTAGAACGGTCATTATCAGAGGCTTTCCTGTATTGAATTTAACCAAGTTTCTACCTCCCCGTTTGGAGATACTGCACAGATCCGCATTGATAGATGAAATGATATCAGCTCTAGAAACAGATCTAGTTTGAGAATTAAAGGGAAGGGAAAAATGTGAAGAAGAGTGAAGAGTAGAATCATCAGCGTAAGAATGGAGAGAATTAGTCGCAGTGTGAAGTAAATCGTCGATAAAAAGAAGAAAGAGAGTACGTGAAAGAACAGAACTCTGCGGGACACCACTATTGGTAGAGAAAGAGCAAAAGATCGATCCTTCAACAACAACTGCCATGGACCGGTTCTCAAGGAAGCTAGAAATTAGAGAACAAAGTGGGGGAGTGAAACCATAAGAGGAAGTTTGGAAAGCAAAGACTTGTGCCATACCCTGTCAAATGCAATTGCTTACTTTCCAGATTTACCTAATATTAAGTACAGTACTGTGTGTAGTTTACATGATAACATATACAGTACCTTCACTACTAACTATACAGTGGTCCCTCGGTTAACGAGCACAATCCATTCCAGCAGGTTGCTCGTTAACCGAAACCATTGTTTCAATGGGTTTTTGGGTAATTGGTTCCACCTCCCCGAAAATTGCCTAAATTCAACAAAAAAGGTAGAAAAGTACACTTACTTTGAGGTGTCTATATAGAAGGCTCCTGGATGATGATGATGCTGAGAATTAGATTGGGGGTGGAGGAGAAGGGGGAAGAGAAGGCATTGGGGTGGAAGAGAAGTCACCCCATGGTGCCATTTCACCCATAAAATTTTAGTTCTCTTGGTGTAATTCAAGATTATTTGCTTTAAATCAACACTGCACTGCATTATATAATGTCAATATGTAAAATAAATTTCAAAATGACCAATAATTTGCTTGCAAACACAGAAAAAAGCATTTAGTTGAAGAGAGTCTCAAGCAAGATGTTACCTCCACTGAAAAGACAGAGAGACTGGCGCCTGTTTGGTGTATTGCCAGGCTGGATGGCGTGCATGAAACTAGTTTCTTTCCCTTCAATTATGTTCAATAATTGTTAAAATGACTAAAAATTTTAATATTAAACTTTTAAAATTATTGAATAGTGTAAACTTCTTGATATTTACTAAAATAGTAAGGAATTTAAGCCCTAAAACCGATTACCGTATTGGCGGACAAATACTACAGCTGGTGGACCGCCAAATGCAAGCGAAAACATGTTGAGGTCGGCTCGTAAAAAACTCGTTAATCGAGGGATTGCTCATTAACCGAAGTTAAGAATCTTAAGGAAGGTAACTCGTTAACCGAGGTTCTCGTTAAGCGAGGGATCACTGTACTATCGCCTAATGCTGAATAATCAAATACTGTATAATACTGTAATTTCTAATAATAAATCATACTATAGAAACATCAGACAAATAAATCAATGACAATAGCATTCATTCACCTGTAGAAGAACATATTAAATTTTAACCAAAAAATTACTGAGGACACTGTATGTAGGTGAAAAATCAAAATGAGGATATGAAATAATCTCTAGTCCTGTACTGTATATACCTGGACTGTTAAGATGGAAGAGACATCAACACCGGCAGAAACTTGTGCGATGGAGGAAGCTGTGAAGTCACCAGTGAGAGACACCACACCAATCTGTGACAGTGAATACACACCAAGACTGTGGAGGAAACACACAACAATGTAGTACAGTACAACTGTCTTTCATAAACTGTCAGAATTTAAGTATATTAATACAAGGGCTGGGATCCATGGTGATAGATGAGACAAAGTTTAAATTTACCGAAATCCATTAAATTTTTTAAATGACTATACTGTACAGGGGGGCCCTGAGTTACGAACGTCCAACTTACGAATACCTGCTGATATGAACGAGGTTGCATAAGTTCAATTATTTTAAAAATCCGACACAGGTACAACTGATTTGTAGTATTAACATACGAGAAGTAGTTTGCATGGTGTAGCGGTGAGGCGGAGCAGCGGGTGAGGAGTACTGCATCAGAACACCTTACCCTCACCTCAGTAACATGTATGATCAAGTGCAAATTGTTGGTTTTTATTTATTAACCCTCTTTTTCTACCCTCATCATGACTCCCAAATGCAAACCTGATGCAAGTGATAGTAGTGCATCTAAGAAAAGGAAAACAATTACAATGAAAGTGAGAGTTAATGTAATTAAATATTCTGAAAAAGGCAAAACACCCTCAGTCATTGGTAAAGTGTTGGGTTTCAGTCGGTCAACAATTAGAACAATTTTGAAAGAAAAACAAAATTCTTGAACATGTAAAAGTATCTGCACCAATGCACTAAACTGTGATAACAAAACAAAGAAGTGGAGTATTAATTGAAATGGAAAGATTGTTAGCAATATGGGTGGAAGATCAATTAAGTGCTAAACTTTCAATTTTACTTTTCTTCACTGTCTTTTGTCATTCAATGTTTTTTTTCTCTTAAACTAAGTAATTCTAGATGTACAGAAGGACTTAGGCTAAGATATAGTGCACAGAGGTTATGTGTTCCGACTTACGTACATTTCCGACTTAAGAATGTCCTCAGGAAAGGAACTCATTTGTAACCTGGGGACCCCCTCCCCTGTATAGTATGCAATGTACAGTATTTCAAAAAAGTATCAGCCAGGATGGGTCCAATGATTCCCGAAATGCTGCATGTAACTCATGATGTTCCGGGAGAGTTGGTATGCATACTGATCCTACTATATTTGGTAATCGAACATCATATTAACTACTCTGAAATAAATACACATTGCATTATGTATGTTAAATTATATACCAAAGTAAGTGCATGTTCTAATACCTATCATCCATGGTCTCATAATGTTTCACACAATGTACGGGAAAGTTAAGAAGAAAACTCAGGATTTTGAGACGTGGGTTAGGACAAAAAAAATCATGAACAGGACAGGAGGATGTATGCCAGATCCAGGAACCAAGCAGAGTCAAACTGTAGAAGGGCTGAAAAAAGTTCCAGAGGCAGATTGCAAGTGAGGTCAAGTCAAACCCAAAGGCTTTTTACCGCTCAGCAAGTTAAATTAAAAATGCGAGTAGGCATATCGGACATGAGGCTTGAAGGCGGTAGTTACCGGTATGCAGATTCTGACCAGGGTAAGGAGGCTTATGCGAGTCCTATGTTCAAAAAGGGCAATCATTACTCCACAAATAATTATAGACCAGTGAGCCTGACCAGCATAGTGTGTAAAGTAATAGAGAGCATCATAAGAGATGCCATGATGGAACATTTACTACGAAGCAACCATGTAAAGGACTGCCAATACTGCTTTATGCCGGGACGATCCCGGGACGATCCTGCTTAACACAATTACTGTATTCAAGGTACTGGATGTTTGGACTCAATTTCTATAACAAGGCAGAAATATCGACAATATATATCTAGAATTTGCCAAGGCTTTCGACAGCGTACCCCATGAAAGGTTGAAAATTAAATTGGAAGGGTACGGGATTCAGGAAGTGTCCTAGCGTGGATCGGAGACTTTCTGCATGATCGCAAATACACCTAGACCCCGACTTACGACGGGGTTAGGGACCCAAATCCAGGTCGTAAGTCCGACATGGTCGTAAGTCCGACATAGATGATAAAAAAAAAAAAAAAAAAAAAAAAAAATTAATAAAAAATCTACAATGAAATACAGTACAGTAAAAGTAATGAATAATGATGAATGGATACAGTACAGTGAAAGTAATAAATAATAAGGAATGGATACAGTGTGACTGAGCACTTAACCTTTAATGTAGTCAGCTGAATGCACATGGGGCCCCCATAATGTTCTAATTATACATGGAGACTACATTAACTAGAAACGTTTCGGTATAAAAAAGCGTGTCATTTAGATTTTTTTTTTTATCTATATCTGAGGCGGTCGTAAGTCCCGACGGTCGTAAGTCCACGTAGTCGTAAGTCGGGGTCTAGGTGTAGTGTGTGGTGATAAATGGTACGAAATTGTCATGTTTACCCGTGATAGCGGGGTACCACAGGGCAGTGTATTGGGCCCGTAGTTGTTTGTGTGCTTAATAAATGATATGCCAGAAACTATACACTCCTGCATACAAATGTTTGCGGACGATGCCATGTTATTTAGGGAAATTAAGAACCAAACAGACTGTGAAGAGCTGCAGAAAGATCTCTATGAGCTTCAAGAATGGTCGAAGAAATGGCTGCTAAGATTCAATGTCACGAAGTGCAAGAGGCTGCACCTAGGTAACACCAACAGTAAGGAGGCGTATCACATGTCCCAACAAAACGAAGAGATTTCATTAATTGAGACCGAATGTGAAAGGACCTGGGTGTGTATCCAACAATGAAAAAAGATCTCGGGCCATAGTGAGAAGGTGAATCAGGCAACAAAACTAATAGGTCCATTGCTTGTCACGATCTTCAAGAGTGAGGTGCTTCCCCAACTGGAATACTGTCACCCCATCTGGTCCCCGAAGTATGCTACGGACTGTCAATTGATTGAAAATGTCCAAAGGAGGGCCACCAGACTGGTGCCTGCTCTATGGAACCTCAGTAAACCCAGAGAGATTAGAACACTTGCAACTGCCTAGCTTATACTACAGGCAGGCGAGCGGCGACCTAATCAAAGTGTATAAACATGTCAGGGGGCACTACTTGGTTGGATGTACATACCCGGAGTTAGCGGACGTCTGCCCCACAAAGGGTCACAGCTCAAGGTTGAAGAAGCCACAAGCCCAGAAAAACTGTAAGGGCAAACTTTTCCGGAGTGAGAACTGTAAACTCTTGGAACAATCTACCAGAGAATGTTGTAACGGCACCGAGTGTGAACTCATTCAAGGCCAGACCTGACCAACACTGGAGCAGGTTCCGATATATTCAGGAGCCGGTGCATGCCCAGTACTTGCCAACAGTGCATAAGAGAGATGTGACCGGCTGCCAAAGCGGCTAACGAGCCGATCAGTGACGAAGAAGATAAAACTGTACATGATATAAAAGAATTACGTTTAATAAATAAGCAGATGTTAGCAACAGTCCTCCTGCATATACGGTAATTCATATAATGTCCCGGTAAAGTGAAACATAAGAAACCCAAGTACTGTACTATACATATAAATATTCATCAATTATATTACTGTACCTTCAAATGTTTCTTTGCCTCTATACAAAAGTTTTCTAGATGTGCAGGAAACAGTGTCATGTTTTCCAATGGGAGAGATTCAACAACACTTCCTATACACCTGAAGCTGGTGTAAGCCTGAAGCTGGTGCTTCCCACAACAAATGTACAAGTTAATAATTTTTTCTCTTGTACTGTTTAAATCTCCATGTTGAATCTTCCTAACCACCAGCTAATTATTGTATTGGTAAACATCACCAACAGAGAGCAGTTCATCAGCATCATACACTTATTGAAGAGAGATGTTATGGTGCACTATGAGTTTCAGGAAGTCTTTGATATGAGAATTATGCAATCTCTCATCATCATCATCACCATCAATGTTATATGGCCATTTTCTTGTAAATATATTAATGACAGCAATACATCAGACAAATACAGCAAATAAATTAAATCTAATAAGAACATAAGAATGGAGGAAACTGCAGTGGGCCAATTGGCCAATACTGGGCAGTCCCATATACATCCAACCCCTATTGCTCTTATATCCATCCAACCTATGTTTGAAGCTATCCAGCGTATTCGAGTTCACGATGATGTTTGGCAACTTGTTCCACTAATCCACCACTCTATTTCCAAACCAATGTTTACCTATCTCGCACGTGAATCTAAATTTGTCTAATTTAAAACCACTGCTACAAGTTCACTCTTAGTTGGATAGCTTGAGTGCCTTTGTTATACTGTATCACCTTTTTTAGCCCTGACTTCCATTTATACTCCTCGATCATATCGCCCCTCACTCTACGTCACTCAAGGGAGTGCAATTTAAGATGCTTTAACCTGTCTCTGTACTCAAGGTTCCTAATGCCCAGGATTAATCTTGTCATTCTCCTCTGAATTCTTTCTAGGGATTTTATATCCATTCTGTAGTATGGTGACCAGAACTGATAAGAGTTCTGGTCTTTGTGAGCACCACTTGCCATGATCTCAGCTAATTTCTTCTTACTATACATATCAGGTCTGTGTGATAATGATGGTGGCAAGTGATGACTGAGAGTTTTCCAGCAGCATCACCAGAAAGCTACATAAGGGACCCGGGAGTCATCATAATATACTGTACAAATAACGAGTATACAGACGACTTAAACAAAAGAACACAAGTTACACCCGGCAAGTAATAAGTTGATGAGCCCCTTTACTTTTAGTTTGAAGTTACATTCTGACCAGCTACTATTGGAATCCCTAATTCTCTATCAACTTTTTTGTCTAAATCAGAGGCCGGAACTTTATCAGGTTGCTTTCTAAAGGGTCAATCTCTATCAAGGGCCAACTGTAGTCCTTCTAACTTACCTGGGCCAGACAGCAATGTTGAGAGTCGAAGCTCTTGGGTTAGTAAGAAGACTGAGAAGGTTGACCTGTGAAGAGGCTCCAAGGGTCATCAAACCTCCTTCTTGTTGTGAAAACTTTAGTGGCATCCCGAGCAAACTCCATGACCAAATACATTCATCAATCCCTGCCCAACCAGTTGTCATTTCCACCTATGAAGATAGTTATGAAGGTAACGCATACACCTTAAATGACAAAAAATCTGTAATGTATGTGAAACATAATTAAAGGATTGATGATACTGTACTGTATATCAGACATTTTTGCTTATGTAAATATTTCTTTGCATATATCAATCAGCTGTTAAAATATTTGCAAAATAATAATTTGAAACATCTGTATGTACAACATCACTAAACAACGGCAGGACATATACTGGGGAACAAGTCAAAAAAGGCTGTCTTTAAAAAGGAATTCCACTGATAAGACTTTCAAGATATAAAAGCTGTAAAGAAGGAGGATGTTCATATTGCATGAGCCTCATTGGTCTGTTAATAAAAAGCTATGGAAAGGTGAGTAAAGTATCTGATGATGAATGAGTGTAAGAAGGTTTATTGGACAACGATCAATGGATAAGGAGTAAAAATCAAATTAAAGTTGGATGAAACAAAAAGTGAAGCTGAGTGTGAAGACTGAGACACCAATACTGTGATACTTCAGTATTGAAGCCAAAACACTACAGTACACAACTCAGTGACAAAAAGGTACCAAAATTAGAAGCCACAAAACTTCAGAACTTCATCTGAACCAACAATTAACAGAATGTTCCATCAATCCACATTTGCCTAAGTTTTAAGTTTGGTTAAAAGGTAGATAATGATTACGTCACCTTTCTTTTTGTGAAAATCGAATTTTGGAGTCATTTCAAATTATTTACTACAGTAATTTAGTCATAATGTACTTTCAACATAGCAGGAACCTACTTCACTTCAGTGATATTTTTCCAAGGCAAAGTCATATTGGTGATCTGTAAATCATGTTGTTAGCAAAACACAAACATAAGCTACAACACTAACAAATTAATATACAGTACTGTACTCACATCTGAATTGATGAGAGATGAATATGTTGTCTCAAGCAGTTGTTCCAGCCAGTTGTTGATAAGTTCCTCCCATTCGAGAGCAAGAGGGTCAACAGCAAATGAAGAAAAGTAACGCTCTTGACCACCTAAGCCGGCGAACACCCATCCATGCAATTCTGTTACCACCTGATGCTTCACCTATGCCAAAACACTTTTTCATTAATTCACCTGTACAAACTTGATACATCTACTGTATTTACAAAGTTTTGTAAATTGATATCAAAGATGCTCCATCATGCATTTACCTATTATAATTTTACAAGGATGAACAAAGTTTACAAGGATGAGCAAAGTTTTCTGGGATGAACAAAGAACAAAAGATTCTATATGATGAGAAAGGTGAATGATAGGGAAAGTAAGATCTTGGTTCACTAACAGGACAAGCAGATAAAATAAGATGGGAAGGATATCTGGGTGATAGTATGTGGTAACAACACTGAGTAGTGTACTATATTGTAGTAGGTTTTCATAGTAACAAGATGAAGAGGAAATCTGGGCAATAATATATATATATATATATATATATATATATATATATATATATATATATATATATATATATATATATATATATATATATATATATATATATATATATATATATATATATATATATATATATATATATATATATATATATATATATATATATTTTTTTTTTTTTTACCTAATAACCACCCAACTAGAAGTGGCCAAGCTGAGGGAAAAGGAGGCCATTGGTCTGTTTAGGATCCATCCATGAAGTAAGAAAACTGTGCAGTTGGTTTTACAGTAACAAATGTACTGTAACTTAAATTCCACTCAGAAAATTCCAGACCTTATTCTAACAAATAAATCAAACTCTAAATGTAAGCAAAACCAAATCAGGGAAAGTTTGCAAGTCAAAATTTATTAATTTACATTCCGTCATTTCCTGCATGGGGACTGACCTTACTCAACAGCTCCGTGACATCAGATAGACTAAAACTCCTCTTTTGTCTCCTGTGGTTTCTGACAAACTCCTTTGAGGCACTAGTGAAGAGTTCATGAGCCTTATGTATGAGTGCCAACACCCACTCCTCCACTGTACCCCCAGCTGTGCCCTTATGACCAAACACAGACTGTATCACGCCCTCCAAATTCTGCAGCCGTCCTCCAAACTGTAATGAAGGATCAAACTTTTGCCATGTCTTGAAATGTATAAATGTACAAGAATTAAAGTTTCTTGTATATACAGTACTATATCATACTTTATATATTTATGATGTATATTACAATGATGATATTCATATTTTACATCAAAATAAGTTTTTGTTACTATTTTTCATGTGAAATTTCCTGTAACAATACTTTAGCTATTATGAAAACTTGTAAAAAAAAACTTCATATTGCTTATACTGTTTATATCACTGGTCAAAGTTCCTGCATTCGTAAATACAACATTTACACTTTCCAGACATATTATTAGAAATAAAAAATTTTTCATCAGCAAATACATGTATGAAAATTAGAAAACTTCTTTACCTGAACACTTCCACCAAAATGCTTCAGTAATGTAGATGTCAAGTTGAAAGCAACACTTCGGGGCAGGAAAGAATTTTGAAAAACAATGTCAGTCTCCAGCTGGGTGTCTGGAAGACCTGCCAGTGCTGTAAGATTTGCCACTAAATGTTGGGAAAACTGACGTACATCTCTAGTAGTGTCTTCCTCGGTCACAAAGGCACTCACGTAAGATTTCACTGAGAGAGATAAGATTAATTTTGCGTCAAATATATGGAGCATTATTATTCACTATCATCAAGACTGTACAGTAATATTGTATTAACAGTTGGTGCAACCAACATTTGAGGTTAACAAAAAAAATTACACAATGAATATCATTCTTAAGCATAATATTAATAATGAATTAAAAGATTAACTAGTTCATAGTTTGTGATGTCTTTCACCTTGTATGTCTGATTCCTTTTTAGTGATGAGAATGGCTACTGCTTCAGCTTGATTTGGGTCACAGGAACGTAGAGACTGGAAGGCAGTGATCCGCAGCTCTGTCTCAACTGTCTCATTGAGTACCTCCCACTTCAGCCAGTTCATTATCTGTGTGGCAGAATGCAATCAAGATTCATCATCTCAGTTAAACACCCGTGTCATTATAAACACTATACTGTACTGTACCTAAACTATAATGCAGCTACGGATCTCCTTATTGCTTCCACATCCTGGGCCCCATGATCAAATTTAGCACACGATAGTTTATCTGCTTATCCATGGATCATGTGTTATCTGTCCTTTTACCAAAAATTCCTCTTTAAATATCCTGTCTATTGTATTTCTGCTTACATTTTCTGTCACACATCTATTTTTATTCTACTTTCCACTCTCAGCTACATCTTTTTCTCTACGTTCTGGATTGAGATTCTTTCCTTACTCCTGCCCCTCATAAACATGTTTGCATCTGTAGCAAGAAATGTTTAGATGTTCACATGAGGTGGAAGAAGAGGATCCAGGTAACAATGCTAATAAAGGTAATTAATGCTAGCTCATTATCTCGCAAGTAGACGGAGTCAATTACTGTGTGAACTGTGACAAATTGTGTGCTGAAAATACTCTTGTAACCTCTAATGCTATAATTATCAGAGCCCTGAAGCATAATAAAGACAATTCATTTGTTGCTGCCTGCAAAATATCCTAAACTTAAATTAGCTACCTGTACAGTACTGCTGTAAATTCTTGTGATATTTTCCTGATGTGCCCTTTACTGTGTCATGCTGTTGATTAACAGTGTTGTGGCTACAAAGGCTGATATTGTACTGTATCACAAATACAGTACAGGTTGACAACCCTTTATCCGAAATTCCAAAAACCGAAAAGCTCTAAAAACCGAAAAAAAAATTTTAAACAGGGATTAGCCCACCTGGGCATAGAGCACTGACCCACTTTGGAGCCTGGGGGCGAAAATGTAATAGTAATAATAATTATAGTAATTATTCATAGTAAATAAAAATTTTAATAAAAAATACACCAAAATACAATAATAATGATAACAATAACAATAATAAAATCTGATAACAAAATTAATAATAATAATAATAATACTGTAATTATAAAATAATAATAAAGAAATACAAGAATGAAAAAAAAAGATCAAAAGTGAGAAACACGACCTAGATGTATGAATTGTTATTATTACTATAATTTTTATTATATTTTCGCCACCCACGCCCCAATGTGGGTCAGTGACTTGTGCCCGGGTAGGCTATAAAAAAAAATAAAAATAGCGATTCTGAAAACCGAAAAATTCCAAAATCCGAAATGTCTCTGGCCCCAAGAATTTAGGATAAGGGATTGTCAACCTGTACTGTACAGTGATATCTCCATTAGCCAGAACAATTGCTGCAGAGCACTTCCAGGAATGAGAGATTTCCAGGTAACGAGACGACTCTCAAAGCCGGAAAAATCCATCATCCCCGGAATTTTCCAGAAATTTCTGGGTAACAGAAAACTATTCTCGAAGTTCCAGAAAATGTGAATTACGTCCAAACCTGGAAAAATATCCCCTATGCCCGGAATTTTCCGGGTACTGGGAAATTTTTCTCAGAATTTTCCAGAGATTGTGGCCCTCGGAAAATCACTGTCAAAGCCAGAATTTTCCGTAAAATTCCGGCTGTGGAAATGATTTTCAGAGAAAATTTCAATTACAGTTATCGGAGAGTTCCGAGTTTGAGGGATTCCGGTTAACGGAGATATTACTTTTTGCTGTTTCATGTATAATATTGCATTATGTTTAATAAAGCCTCCAAGTGCTCAACTATAGTGTTCGTAACAATACCTCCCAGGCACTTTTGTTTATGTTTTTATATAACTGACCTGTGAAGAGCATGGACCCTGCCCGAGGGCCTTGAATGCTGCCACACGGACAGCTGAATCAATATTAGCCATTGATCCACATTCACGAAGTGCACTCTCAACGTCACTACCAAATGCACCCACGTTCCCTAGACCTCTTATAGCCAGCAAAGCCTGCAAATAAAGTATATCTTTTAATTAGTAAATTATTAAACAAATACAGTATTTTGTCATAAATATAAATAAACTATTAGTGTGTAGTGATGTACAATCTCATATGCTACAAGTCTTATCAGTTTCAACAATCATTTCCTAGTCATTTTAGAATAAGACAAAAGACTTAAACAGGGCCGGATTAAGCTTAATAGGGGCCTGAGGCACAGATCAACTTGCGGCCCCTAGCCCCAAGGTGTATATATAAATAACAAGAACAAAATATACCCAAATTTATCAATGATTTCATCAATATTAAGCTTCTGCAAATAACACATTTAATGTTGATAAGAGACAGAAAATTAAGACTTTGCTAGGACATCGTTGAACGAAGTTCATGTTTTATATGCTTCAACTTCGAGAATGTTTGGATTTGGGGGCCCCTTAGAGTCAGGGGGGCTTGAGGCCAGTGCCTCATGGTCAATCCGGCACTGGACTTAAACATACAAGCTGTACATACAGTAAACTATTGTCCACCACTGTAAATAAAGTAAGTGAAAAACTCCAAATTCTAATTAATGTTAACTTAATTATTCATACGTTCATTCACTAATACATTAACATATAAATAATTCAGTGCAGCCAGAAAATATGGTGAAAACTGCTGAAACACTGTTGAAACATTGTAGAGGTACAGTACAATAGTTTAAGTGAATAAACACAATTCATTTTAATGCAACTCAACTGTTTCAAGAAATAATTGTACAGGTAATTTAAGGGCTTACGTAAGAGAGGAGAGAAACGGTTAAGCTGCTATAGTAGTAATAAATGTAACGATGAATGCAAATTCTAAAAATTAAATAATGCAAAGCTATGCAAAGGTCATGTTTGGAGGAAACTCAAAACAATATTAAGAGCTGTACATAAGGAAAAGGCATAAGTAACACAGTATAAATACCGGTCATTATCAGAAATATTTACAGAATAAATGTCATTATACAATAATAATAAATAATAACCATTAGAAACAAGATTAACAAGAAGTACCGTAGCCCAAGGCCTAACCTGCTGCTTATCACCCTCAGAGGAGCAGCTCTTCAGCCTCTCCATCAACTTTTTTATGATGACCTGTACTGCCTGGTCTACCTCCCAGTCTCTGTCCTCATCTGTAACCCAATAAACTATATTAATCAATCACAACAAACATGTAACATATCACTGTACAAATGACAAACACCATAAAAGTTACTGGGGTCCATAAAATACAAACTGCCAATCTTAAAAAGTCAATGTTATCAAATGTGTCCATGGTCGACCTACCATTTGTTTTCAGGACTAGAATTTATGGATTTTTTTTACAATGGCATTATGAAAGTTATAGTACAGACATATCCCAATAACCAGTTATCGAAGCAATTAATCCCATAAGAATATAACAAATGGGGTTTAGGGACCGGCCACCCTTCAAAAACTCCCACCTACCCTTGATATATCCCTGTACTGCAAACTGTCAAGCAAGAAAATAAAGCAGACATATAAAGGAATCATAATAAGCCTTAAATAAGGAATGTAAAGCATAAATTGAGGATGGTACTAACAATCTATGATAGCAAGTTCAAGTCTCTACCACTCTTTGCTGGTCCGTCACCACTTTTATTATACCTTATTATGCCATTTTATACCTTATCACATCACATCAAGTTGCCCAGCATAAGAAGAACTATCACTGGGGTGTTTAGGCATGAGTGAGTAACACACTAAGTCAGGAAAAAAAACCAAAAAACACTAGGGCAGAGACACATAGTAAATGTAAATAAGAGTAAAGATTGTGGGAACGAGTCAGAGGCAGTGCACAGAGCCCTCTGATGGCAAGAATTTGCACCACGCCAGCTCTGCCAATCACCGGATCTCTGGGGTTAGAACAAAACTTCCGGGGTATTTCCCCTATATGTAATCGTCGGTTTTGCGAATTGATGGTCAACGGGACATTAGCTATTGAGGTTCACCTCTATTTACATTCAACCAGTGCTATGTCACTGAAGAATATCTGTGAAATATCTTTCTCAAAGTATTCCCTGTCTCATAAATTCCTATAAATAATGTTAGTCCAATCAGTAGCATTTAAAACAATTCAGCCTCCATTAATATGAGTGGTAGGGAAGAGGTCAGACAGTGACTTTCATTTCTGGTTCCTCTTTGGGCTGATATATAAAATATAAGACAACCCTGATTAAACAAGAGTTATCTAAATGTGTAGTAGTAGTAGTAGTACAGGGGACCCCCCCAAATTCGCGGGGGTTAGGTTCTCAAAATGGCCGCAAGTCGCCAAATCCGCAAATAACATTTGCGGACCGGGGGGATACATTTTTACTTGTGTACAAAGAAATGTATATTCCCTCCATGTGTTTGCCCTTAGGACATTCTTTTTTTTACTTGCAGTATTGTGTGCACACACACACACACACACACAAATAAATAATAGTGGGAAAATACTCTCACATATAATTAGAAACAGATTTATTAAAAATGTGAGTCTACCCTCAAGTCCATTCTCTATTACAGCTCTTTATTAATAGAGCACTGACTTGAGGGTAGACAGTCACACTTTTAATAAATTTGTTTCTGATTATTTGTGAGCCGGCAACTTTAAAAGTACCTACAGATATTCTTGGGTACATCCAGGGTGTCATCCGCGAATAACCGAGAACCGCAAAGTAAAAATCTGCAAACATAGGGGGCCCCCTGTATCACATTGCAAACACTGCTTCTTGTATGATCAGCAAAGTTAAGCAACACTGAATCTGGTTAGTACAAGTTATATATCCGTTAGCCAGAATCCCTCAAACCTGGAACACTCCGATAGCCAGAATTGAAATTTTCTCGGAACGATTTTCCAAGGGGCACATTTTCTGGAAAATTATGAGAAAATTTTCCCAATGCCCAGAAAATTCCAGGTATGGGGGAGTTTTCCCGGGTTTGAAAGATGAAAAGCATGCACATTTACCGGAAATTCCGAGAAAAATTTTCCGGTACAGGTATCCGGAAAATTCCAGGGAACGGGGATATTTTTCCAGGTTCGAGAGATGATGTAATGCGCAATTTCTGGGACTTCCAAGAACATTTTTTCATTACAGGTGCTTCCCGACTTACGACGGGGTTAGGGACCCAAATTCAGGTCGTAAGCCCGAATGGTCGTAAGTGCGACATAGATAAAAAATAAATAAATAAAAAATTTTCAAAATTTAAAAAAAATAAATAAATAAAAAATCTACGTACAATGGAATACAGTACAGTAAAAGTAATAAATAATGAGGAATGGATACAGTGTGACTGAGCACTTACCTTTAATGTAGTCAGCTGAATGCACAAGGGGGCCCCCATAATTCTCTAATTATACATGGAGACTACATCAACTGGAAACGTTTCGGTATAGAAAATGTGCGCGTCATTTGGAGAAAAAAAAAGGTCAGAACAGGTCATAAGTACCGATGGATGTAAGTCCAAGCAGTCGTAAGTCGGGGACTACCTGTACTTGGAAGATTCCGGAAAATTCTGGGGATGGGGGATTTTTTCCAGCTTTGAGAGAGTCGTTTCGTTACCCTGAAATCTCTCATTCCCGGAAGTGCTCTGCACCAACTGTTCTGGCTTATAGAGATATCACTACTTGGATGGGTGACCACCTGGCCCTAAGAACACCAGATGCTGCTGGTGTAAAGACTACTGGAAATAAGCATCTGATGGTTTTGTCAGCTTTTCTTTGTCAAACTGACTAAAAAAATCAATATTCCCCAAGTCACAGCTTTGTTGTCTGCCATGAACAATATGAGAATGGTGTTGAAAATATAACTAAAGCATATTTTGATATTAAAGTGATCTTAGTAATAAATCATAAAGACATCAATCAGATGAATCTAGAATTCCTTGATATTAACATAAACTTTAGGCCATCTCCTCTAATTAATGGTAATCTATCTTGAAACCTGAAGCCATAAGAGTGAAGATGGATCCCAAAGGACTGACAGCCCATTCAGGGCAATGCATATACAGTATAGCTCACGAAATGCTCAGCCTATAGTACACAAGGAAGCAGTATCAATACACATGGAGGCAGTACCAATACATATGGAGGCAGTACCAATACACATGGAGGTAGTACCAATATGCATGAAGACAGTACCAATACACATGGAGGTAGTACAAATATGCATGGAGACAGTACCAATACACATGGGAGCAGAACCAACAGTACATACGGGGGCAGTACCAATTCATAGTAGGATGGTCTGGGAGTAAACTACCAACCTTTAGAACAAGAGGTGAGTGTTGTCCCCATTGGCTACCACATTTCATGTCATTATTTTTCTCATAATATTTGCTCAATGATAAATTTCACACTTCAGTGGGGCACAACCACTATATTCATGTAGCAACAGTGATGGTGCTCTATAACAATGTCTGATACTTTCATTTACTTTACCTTCATGACCCCAGGAGTCATCAACACCACAATGACAGTGTTCTGCCGCACCACCACCACCACACGTCACCCTTGCTGCATGACCTGCCATTGCTGTCACACCCAACACAGAGGCACGCCAGTGTTCATCATCCAACAAACCCTACAAATATTTAGAAAGTAGAGTAAGTGGCCTCAAAGTCACCCATTAGAGAAAGTACATGGGACTACGCTGTAACTTAAACTGTTTAAATATATATCTTTAGCAGTGAATCTTTATTAGCTATCACCCCCCCTCCATGGGATAGTTCTGAGACATATGTACCATAAACTAGTAAACATATACAGCGAGTTGACTGTTTACAGCTAAACTGATGTCCCAGATTTTTCAGTCAGACCAAAAGACATTATACACTGTATCTTGAACATTGTTTGTTAAAATTAATGTAATCCTTGTCATGAGACAGAGAGAACCCAGGAATATACACACAGCACACATAAGAAGGGACTCCGATGAGGGATGCTGAACATTTGCAAGTGATGATAGCCAACTGGGTGAAGACACAACAGCTTCTGATGTCATCAGAGAACACTTTGCAGCAGCAACATTGGGAGATGTGGAGTCTCGCATTGCAGCAGAAAGAACGCCTCTAAAATAAATATTAAAGAGAGATCACTTTATTCCCCTTTGTACAGTTTTACCTAAAAACTTATAATTTTCAGAAATACTCAACAGAATACATTTGGTTGTATGTCTACATATTTATGTCTTTCCCAATAATTTCCCAGATTTAAGATGAAGGGGGCAAATGAAAATATTTCCTTAACTGACATTAGATGTGAACAACAAACCATAGGTGTTCATGCTGACAAATAATTAACAAGTCGATGAGTGGTGAAGAGGATAAAAGAAAAAAAAGGAAAGAGGGTGAATTTTCCTGATAAACTTGTCATTTCAAAATTTAAAAATCACTTGCATACTAAGATGACTCATTTCTCATAAGGGTTTTCGAAAGTGTTGGTCAGTATTGCTTCATATTCAACATCTACAGTATTGCTATTCAACTCACATAAACTTTATTATACTTAAATTTTTCTCACATTCTCTCTACATTGCTAGGTGCAGTACTAATAAAACTGACCTGACCCTCCGGTGATCAGAACAGATTTTTCCAGTGTTAACCTCTGTAAACAGCTGCACCAGCATCTCTTTTGGTAAGTATTTCATTTCTGACAATAAATGAGGATATGCCACAGCTGCCTTTAACGTCACTCGTTGACCAAGCTCAGTACACAGTTCACTGAGGAGCCTGTGTACTTTAACAGTGTGGTCCATGACTGATGTGGAGGGATGGACTGCTCTGTTTAAGTCCAACTCATGAATGGTCACTGCAATAGTAAGTTTATATATAAATTAAAAAGTAACATATATAATATAATATATATATATACAGTATATATATATATATATATATATATATATATATATATATATATATATATATATATATATATATATATATATATATATATATATATATATATATATATATATATATATATATATATATATATATATATATGCAAGTAAATCACTGTAGGTGTGCATGATCTAGGTATATGCTGATAACCACAAGGAAAGAAGAAAACACGAAGTTCCCTTCGTGTACAACACTTATTATACTTACAAGGGAAGACTGCTTTAAAATGGCTGGCAAGCTTAAAAATAAGAGTTTTGTGGTGCTGAGAAGAAAGAGAGACACCCATTTTAGATTTTCTATGTATTATTTAAGCATTTTCTACTTACGACCATTTCGACTTAAGACCAGGATTTGGGTCCCTAACCCCATCGTAAGTCGGGCAGGAGCCGTATATATTAGCCTTGTCAAGTATTACTCCTTAGTCTGTACTAACCCCTGAAGATGTGAATTACACGAAAGCGCTTGGGAACTTTGTGTTTTCTTGTTTCCTTGTGGTTATCAGCATATCCATGTTTCATAATTTTCATGTCATTCCTTTCATATGCCTTAGAGCCCTACAAATTGAGGTACAAAACAAGGTACAAAACATAGTCTCTAACTCACTTGTTTCATCACTGAAGTGCAGCTTTTGAGGTTGGATGTCTATAAGGCTAAGTGTCAGGTTAGAACTAAAGGTGGCAGCATCAGGAAGTGAGAGGTCTTGGCTGCACATTACCTTGTTCAGGGACAACTCTCCACCAACTATAGGCTGGTACTGATGATAGCACTCCAAAGTCTGAGAAATGTAAAGCACAATATACAGTATTTAGACCCTTACATCTGGGACAGACCAAACCAGATTGAGGAATTTCTGGGTTCCTGGGTCCTAGGTCTTCCATATTATCGAAGTCCTTGTAAAGGATTGCCAACACGGTTTTATGCCAGGGTACTCCTGCTTTACACAATTGCTCAAAGTATTGGATATTTGGACCCATATTCTGGAACGGGGTGGTGATATTGACATTATTTACCTAGATTTTGCCACGGCTTTCAACAGTGTACCACAGGAAAGGCTGAAAATTAAACTGGAAGGGTACGGAATTCGGGGAAATGTCCTAGCATGGATAGAAGAGTTTCTACATGACCGCAAGCAGTGTGTGGTGATTAATGGCACGAAATCATCATCCGTACCAGTCACAAGTGGGGTACCACAGGGCAGTGTATTGGGCCCGCTGTTGTTTGTTTGTTTCATAAATGACATGCCTGACGTTGCACACTCCTCCATACAAATGTTTGCCAATGACGTCAAGTTATTTCCAGAAATCGAGAACCGAGCGGACTGTGAAAAGCTGCAGAAGGACCTCTGTGGGTTCCAAGAATAGTCGAAGAAATGGCTGCTGAGATTCAATGTCACGTAGTGTAAGAGGATGCACCTGGGGCATACCAACGGTTAAGAGGCGTATCATATGTCCCAACGGGATGAAGAAACTGCACTATTTGAGACTGAATATGAGAAGGACCTAGGTGTGTATGTTGACAATGAGCTGAAGTTCTTGGACCATTGCGAGAAGAAGGTAAATCAGGCAAATAAATTATTGGGTCTTATAAGAAGGTCGTTCAGATATCTAGACGGTCCGTCCCTCGTAACAATCTTCAAGAGTGAAGTGCTTCCCCATCTGGAGTACTGTCACCATCTGGTCCGTAAGAATGCTAGGGACTGTCAGTTGGTGGAAAATGTTCAAAGGAGGGCCACCAGACTGGTGCCTGCACTTTGGCACCTCAGCTACCCCGAGAGATTGGAGTGCCTGAACTTGCCTAGCTTATATTACAGACGGGCAAGGGGATACCTAATTGAGGTGTATAAGCATCTCAAGGGGCACTACTCAGTTTGAGCTCTTTCAAGACCAAACTTGACCAACACTGGAGCAGGTTCAGGTACATTCAGGAGCCGGTGCATGCACAGTACTTGCCAACAGTGCGTAACAGAGTCGTGACCGATCACCCAAGCGGCTAACGAGTCGATCATTTGGTGAAGAGGATAAAAGAAAAGGAAAAGTAACAGAGACGTGACCGATCGCCCAAGCGGCTAACGAGCCGATCAGTAGTGAAGAGGATAAAAGTAAAGTAAGTAACAACAACATTGGCAAGGTAATTTGCAAATGTAGGATGTTTGGGCCATGAACATTTGGTTTTGGGCAGGATGGTTAGGACCAAATCTAATAATAATAATAATAATAATAATAAATAATTAACGGTTTATTGAAAAAATTCTGCAGCCCGAAGGCTGAAAATATACATTGGACATAAATGACTTATTACATACCTTCATTAGAGAAAGGTAAAGGAACATACAGTGAACATACAGATTAATGTAGGTGTTGAACAGCAAATTCGTAGTGTAGTAACTCCCTCCCAGATGGTGTTAGGAGGAACTCACGTGGTGTAGTAGTTCCCTCAGATGGTGTTATGAGGGACCTGGCGTGGTGAAGTAATTCCTTCGCAGATGGTGTTATGAGGGACCTCACGTGGTGTAGTAATTACCTCACAGATGGTGTTATGAGGGGCCTGACGTGGTGTAGTAATTCCCTCACAGATGGTGTTATGAGGGGCATCACGTGGTGTAGTAATTCCCTCACAGATGGTGTTATGAGGGGCCTGACATGGTGTAGTAATTCCCTCACAGATGGTGTTATGAGGGACCTCACGTGGTGTAGTAATTCCCTCGCAGATGGTGTGATGAGGGACTTGACGTGGTGTAGTAATTCCCTCACATATGGTGTTGTATGAGTGAGGTGTGGTCTTAGGCCTTCCTATCGTAGACGGATTAACACATCGCTGGTTGTTGTTGGGTCTCACTGGCCGTTATCACTGGGTACCTGGGACCTCACTGTGAGAAGGTTAACTTGGGTACGACTGTTACTGTTGAGTTGTTCTCACTGACTTAAGCACTGTTCACCACTGTTCACCTCTGTTTAACACTGGTTCCGTTCCTTTCCTAAATGAAATTGTAACTTCTGGCGAGAACTTGTTGATATTCCGGTGGGGAGGAGGGTTCAGGGGAGGGGGTTGGTATGGGCCAACTTAACAGTTGACCTGGCTGCTCCGAGAGGAGCGCCAGGTACGTCTTGACCCTTCGGTGGTCAAGGATGTATATATCCTAATATATCCTAACCGCCCAAGCGGCTAAGAGCCTATCAGTGGCGAAGAGGATAAAATAAAAAGAATGCAGGGAGCAATCAATTTCTAAATAGACTACAGTAAATTTGATGTATTGTACTTAAGCAATGCTGTTTATTCTGTTATTGGTAATTATTGACAAGATACCTGCTGCCGATTTCTCATAGAAAATGATTTTGCAAATGCAGCAATTTTGCTGTACAGGTATTTTGTGGTGGGCACTGTCATATTTTGGGCAAATGTGATAAAGTGGTTATTTCTGTATTAAACCTAACATAACCTTAGGTGATAAGAAAAACAAGTGGCAGAAGCATTTTTAGAAGGTTGCACCAGCCTAACCTTACCTAACTTCCACATTTGAAAACACACCACTATTCTCAGCACGCTTACGCTCAGTGCATGCTTATGAACCATTCAGTCCGAGCAGCTGCTCTCATGTCCACAAAAACATAAAATTACACCATATCATAGTAAGTTCTTTCTGTTTAATATACTGGAGCCCCATGGCTAGGAAGTTAGGTAAGGTTAGATAGTTTTCTTTGGTTAGGTTGAAGTCTTCTAACAACACTTCTGCCGCTTGTTTTTCTTATCATCTAAGGTTAGGTTAGGTTTCATTTTGAAATAACCACTTTTAACATATTTACCCAAACTACGACAATGTCCATTATAAAACACAGTGAAATTGCAGCATTTTAAAAATAATTTTCTACAATAATTCGGCGGTGTGTCAGTCATCAATAATTACGCGAAAAAAATTAAAGTTAACAAAGTCATCCAGAGAATCATTAGGAATTTAACTACTAAAATCAACAGTTTAGACAATTCTAAGACAATATTCTTCTATAGCATTTCCATCGCAAATTATCCGTTTTTGAGAAAATCACAATTATTTGTTGGGGTGGTTAGGTTTAGATACATTACATTAGGTTACAGTAGGTTGGGTTAAATATCCAAACTATGCTTTTCCGATAGCTTATGTGTTTTAGACAATTTGATTTGGATATCTAAATACAGGGATGACCGAAACTAAAAATTTACTCAGTTTACTTTTAACCTCTTCGCCACTAATCACCTCGTTAGCCACTTGGGCAGCCAATCGCATCTCTGTTATGCGCTGCTAGCAAGCACTGGCTCCTGAATGTATCTAAACCCGCTCCAGTGTTGATCAAGACTAAAGTCTGGTCTTTAAAGAGCTTCTACTCGATATCGTCACAGCACTATAGCAAGTTGTTCCAAGAGTTCACAATTCTCACCCCGAAAAAGTTTGCCCTCACAGTTTTCGGGACTTGAGGCTTCTTCAACCTTGAGCCTGAACTTGCCTAGCTTATACTACAGACGGGCAAGTGGGGACTCAGTTGAGGTTCATAAGCATCTCAAGGGGCACTACTCAGTTGAGTGTCCTTACTCGGAGCTGGCGGACGCTCGCCCACAAGGGGTCACAGCTCAAGATTGAAGAAGGACCTAGTCCAGAAAACTGTGAGGGCAAACTTTTTCGGAGTGAGGGTTGTAAACTCTTGGAACAATCTGCCAGAGAGTGTTGTGGCACCGAGTGTGAGCTCTTTCAAGACCAGACTTTAGTCTTGACCCACACTGGAGCGGGTTCAGGTCAGGGTTGCCAGATGTACGACAAGCTTCACGGCCAAAATCACGCCATCTCACGGCCAAATCGCCCAAAATTCGGCCAAAACTTTTGGGATGGGAATCACAAGGCTATTTTTGCAATCCACACAAAATAAAAGTATCCCATACAATATCCACTTAAAATGTGGGAATAAAACCAAATTTTCACTTAGAATTGAGAGCCCAATAATTACATAAACATAATATCTATAATCTGCAGTGAAGATTTACCTTAATCTGAAATGGTGGTGGTGTAGTGGATTTCTCCCCTACAAACGCTGTTTGTCGCTGAGTAGCCGACCCCGCGAATTCCACAGTGTGTGCCTCGTGGTCTGGGTCAACCAGCGCCGCCATACATCACGGAGCGGGGGTCAACTACTAAGCCACGCTTACCCCCCGCTATTTAAGACCTGACCTCGTGGTGACCTGTGTAGTGGACGTCTCTCCTACAAACTGCGTAGCAGCCCACCACCTGCTATCACATTCCAACGTGCCGTTGCCTAGCAACGAAACAATTCACCGGCGACTTTCTGGGTTTTTCCAACATGACTCATAGCGGCTGCTGCTGGGTATATAAGCTCTGTCTCTCCATTGAGATTCATTCTGACCATTCTTCTTGAACAAGCAACACCTCCTTCTCCGCCGCTGCCTGGCAGCCCTCGTATCTCCTCGCCTGCCTGGCGGCCCTCGCTCCCGCCAGCGAGCATGGCGACCCACCAGCTGTCCTCTGAGCTTCCTCACCAACCAACTCTCATTCTGCACCTCCAGCACCAGACTGTCTATCATATATCTTATATTATACAAGAAAACCACATTAGAGTTTCCTTCCATCCTGAGTGCTAGACAACAAAATATCTCGATACCCCTACACCTGTCTCTTTCTACCTACACCAACCAGCCAGCAACACCTCCTCCTCAGCTCAGTAGGTCACGTAAACATGTGAAGAGGTGAGGTCATGACAAGGTGTGGTCACTGAGCCAGCATTTTCATTGTGAAATTTGAAAATCTGCTAGAATTTTCTTCAAAATCCAATATATGAGGAATTAATGCGCGTTTTACAAAATTCGGCCAAATAGTTTGGCCGTCATCATCCATTTTTCCACGGCCAGGCGAAGTTTTTTGCGGCCAAATTAGATAAATTTGGCCGTGAAAACGGCCATCTGGCAACCCTGATTCAGGTACATTCAGGAGCCGGTGCATGCCCAGTACTTGCCAACAGTGCGTGACAGAGACGTGACCGATCGCCCGGGCGGCTAGCGAGCCGATCAGTGGCGAAGAGGATAAAAGAAAAAGTGTTTAAGTGGTTGAAAGGAATGAATAAAGGAGATATTGATAAAGTTCTTATAATATCCGAGCAGGATAGGACTCGTAGCAACGGATTTAAGTTGGATAAGTTTCGGTTTAGGAGGGAGATAGGAAGAAACTGGTTCACAAATAGGGTGGTAGTCGAGTGGAACAAGCTTAGCAGCTTTGTAGTACGTTGTGGGACACTGGAAAGTTTTAAAAGGAGGCTAGATAGATTCATGCATGATAGAGAGTGGTAGTAACTCTCGACAGGAGCTGCCATGCACAGGCCAACCGGCCTATTGCAGACTCCTTATTTTCTTATGTTCTTATGATGTGGGTCATTGACCTGTGCCCTGGTGGGCTAATCCCGTAAAAAAAAATCCCTGGCTCGCCGAGTCAACGCCGACGACTGATTTAAGAAAATTTATATTTTTCGAGTATTTTAACCGATATAATAACTAACAATAATACTTGTTTAAAGTGGACAGAGCTTTGAAGTTTAGGGAAAATGTGGGGTAAAATACTAAAAACTAAAAAAAAATTAAAACATTACCAAACCTTTAAAAATCCTAAAACTATAAAAAGCTTAGCTACCTTATTCATATTTTGACGGTTTATTATGTGATGGTGTTGTTTTCGGTGCTCAGATAGGAGGTACTGTATCCATAAATTCAAAAGCGATTCTTAACATTTTTACAAGTCAGGAAAGGTTATGTAAGGTTTTCAAGGGGTTATTTGGTTACCAAAGAAGGTAAACGTTACTCTACAAGCCATGGGAGGACGGTGTAGCGCGTGGGCGGTCTGAATTACATTACCACGCTATATAATACATGTCTTAACTCCCCCAAAAAACATTTTCCCATAGAAGACAATATATAAGGTCAATAGAAGCAAAAAATATGGCGGAATAGTGTTGTTGCAGAAATTGTGGACGGCACCGAGTGTGAGCTCTTTCAAGACCAGTCTCAACCAACACACATTCTAGAGCCAATACTTCGCAACAGTGTGTAACGGAGACGTGATCAATCACCCAAATGGCTAACGAGCCGATCAGTGGCAAAAAGTAAAGTAAATCCTAACCCAAGGATGAAATGTCCAATTTTCTGAGGTCCAGTTTTCAGTGTCTGTACCTTTAGTATGACATCAAATAAGATATTAACATGTTAACATAATGTTTTCTTTATGCACAGTAAAATTCCCCGAACTTACTGCCTTATTAGTGAGTCCTGTCAGGTCACTGGAGGTTACAAAGTGTCCCGCGCTGGTGGTGTGACAGGTGGTGAGGTCTCGGGTTCTCACAACTTCATATCCTCCTGGCCAAACTCTACCACTGTGGTAGCGGGTCTCACATTGGCCAAAGTGGTCACTCTGTGAAACACAATGGATTTAATGATTATGAAAAAGTGAGAAACATAAGTCAAAGATAAATTTAAAATATGTGCAGATATTTTGGAAATAAAAGACAAAATGGTGTTGAAATTTCCTTAATTTTTTCTTTTATTCTTGAGGGAAATTTATGGGGCCTCAGAAGGTAGAAGTGGATATAACTCCTTCCCAAGACCTTATCTTGGCAAACTGACCCCCAGAAAGCTTACCTTACTGATCTCCGAGAGCTTAGTTAACCGAGTCCTAAGAGAATGTTTACAACATCAGCATGATGAGCCGTCAGGGCTTAAAAGAGTCAACAATTACAAACCAGCTGAAATACGACAAACATACTTCTCTCCTTTTGTTGTCTATTTTGCTGTTGAACTTGATAATGTGGTGGGTAATAGGTTAACATTGTGTATGCAAGATGCCATGTAAGACGAATATACTTTACGTGTGGCTACACATTTCTTCACGCAGACCTAATGGAAAGTCTACCAGCCCGAGTGTGGAATAGAGATCAGTATTGGGCTTCAAATTATTCCTTGTCAAGACTATAAAGAACAATGAAGATTCTAGACAAGCCACTGGCTTTCTTCCCTCGGCATGCCCACCCCTAGTTTGTATGGTCATTAGGTAAATGAGATAAATATATTCCCACTGAGCATTACTCAATTCTTCCCTGCGCATATTAACGAAAGAAAAAAGTCTAAATATCACATTCATTATGTCGTGAGGGACAAATACTACCTCTGTCAATGTCAACGGCTGGTCATCAAGAAGGGGCGCCACATTCAAGGTGGCAGACATGATACTTCGTGCTAGGGAGTGAATGTGGGCGTCTCGCTGTGCACCCGGCTGGTGACCAGACTCACGAGGTCCACACACAGCAAGAACTGACCCGCCACTTACTACCACCCACGTCTCCACCAACTCCGCCTCATCCTGGTACGAGGGTACAAATGTAAATATTCATTGAAGAGAAAAATGTCATGTACATGATCAACCGTATTCCTAAATATGAAATATTATACAACAGTTGTCAAGATGAAGATCACAATCAGTAGCATTGTATCATAATTATCTCATGTGTAGACAGTGTAACACTCACCCGCTGCCAGTCGCTGAATACAATGTGGCTAAGTGTTATCTTGACACGACATTGCGACTCCCGAGTGATGGAAAGATAACTCTCAAGTGTAACCTTCCTGCTTGACTCTTGAGGATTATGGTTGTCTGAGTCTAATACGAGATTCCACCATCCTTGGAGGGCGTAGCTCAAAGTCTGGCCCACAGGAAGGTGACCTACACCAGTGCCTGAAAAAATGTTCGGAGGTTGGTATTCTTAGAATTGTCTCAATGTCTTTTAATAACAGTCATCATGAAAAGAAGCATCAAATTATTAGTCACACAAAAAACACAAAGATCAATTTCACAACATAACTTTTACTCTTATTCTCCGCCATTGGAGACTCGTTAGCCGCTTGGGTGGTCGGTCACGTCTCTGCTACGTACTGGCTCCTGAATATACCTGGCCGATCGCCCAAGTGGCGAACGAGCCGATCAGTGGTGATGCTGTGGGTTCGCTCACCCCAGTTAGCTGTGTTATCTCAGCATTACGTATACCCCAGTTGTGAAGACCAATGAAAGCACCTCTCAGATCTTGCATTGTAGGGATGGGTAAACTGAGTACTTTGGAAGAACCGAGTATTTCGGTACTTATTACTCTTCAGAACTGAGTAACCCGAGTGCTACTCGATCAAATTAAAACAAAAACAAAAACGATGGCCACCAGACTGGTGCCTGCACTTCGGCACCTCTGCTACCCTGAGAGATTGGAGCGCTTGAATATGCCTAGCTTATACTACAGACGGGCAAGGGGTGACCTAATTGAGGTGTATAAGCATCTCAAGGGGCACTATTCAATCGATTGTCCTTACTTGGAGCTGGCGGACGCTCGCCCCACAAGTGGTCACAGCTCAAGATTGAAGAAGCCAGGAGCCGGTGCATGCCCAGTATTTGCCAACAGTGCGTGACAGAGACGTGACCTATCGCCCGGGCGGCTAGCGAGCCGATCTTTTAGTGAAAAAGATAAATGAAAAGGAAAAGTAATCAGAGACGTGACCGATCGCCCAAGCGGCTAACAAGCCGATCAGTGGCCAAGAGGATAAAAGTAAAAAAAAAAAGTACAGAAAACTGTGAGGGCAAACTTTTTCGTAGTGAGAGTTGTGAACTCTTGGAACAATCTACCAGAAAGTGTTGTGACGGCACCGAGTGTGAGCTCTTTCAAGACAAGACTTGACCAACACTGGAGTGGGTTCAAGTACATTCAGGAGCCGGTGCATGCCCAGTACTTGCCAATAGTGCGCAACAGAGACGTGACCGATCGCCCAAGGGGCAAACGATCCGATCAGTGGTGAAGAGGATAAAGGTAAAGGAAGAGGATATAAGTAAAAAGGTGACCGCCTGCCCAAGCGATTGATTGAACGAACCGATCAGTGGCAAAGAGGGCAAAAGTAAAAAAGTAAGCAAAAATGAACTGTGTTCGGGTCCAGAAGCGTGTGCCCTGCGTACCCGGACAGTTATGCCTATGAAATATCAGTATTTCTTTAGTTTATCAATAAATATCCACGAACAACAAATCTATGAAGTTAATTTCACTAACATTTACCATAATGTAGTACATGCCATAACGTAGTACCTTCTAAGCTTATCGTCATCCGCCCAGTCTGACGCCCCTAGTTACACCCACTATAATAGTGACTATACATTAGCCCACACACGAAGAAAATAATCCGTAACACTGGCGAAGGCAACATCGTTTGGTGTTGCTACCTTCCCTCACCCGTCCACATGTGTACTGTGGTAGCGCAAGTACTGTACTAAACTCTCGCCTTACACCTGCTCTTACATGCTCATCGGGAAAACCAATTTATTTATGACATACACTTAATATAATTATTTAATCATCCGGCCGTCATGTGATAGAAGGCCAATAGAAATGAGTGATAAAGAGGTGTGTATTTATACGGCGGAGTGGAGCTTGTTGCTGAGAGGAAGCAGATGACCCTTGCCTTGGGGGTCTTCTCTGGTTTCCTCGCCTGAACTCAGCATGCATCCCAGATGGGCACTATAAACGCTTCTGCACTTCACCTTGCACAGGATGTAAGGGTGTGCCCAATAAACTAGCCCCCTCCGGGGCAATCTATAGAAAAATCTAAATCTATCTCCTGTTATTTATAGGTTGTTCTCAGCAACTGCCTGCCACGGTGACGTTTGTTTGATTTATGACAGGAGTTGAGTATGTCGTGGATACTATTAATTGTTGTTTCTTTCTTCATTAACGTGTGTAAGCTTGGTGTTTGTATATAATGCGAAATGCTGTTGTGTACCCATTGATCAGTGGCAGTTTTGTCGTCGCTTGTTGTACCATTGGCGTAGATTTGTTGTGATTGAAAAGGGGGGGATGACTTCCGAAACTTGTCGAAATGTGCTTCTAAGGCCAAATTCACTAACGACTAAAGATCACTTCTTGTACTGTACCTTCGGCCACCCTGAATGCCATGACTTATTGTAACAAATGCTCGGGTGTTTTTTGTTATGAATATGTTCACAAGCACATTTCTACAAGTTTCGTGGGGGGAGGGGGGGGGTCCCTTTTAAATCACAAGTTACGTTAATGATAGACCCCCATACCAAAATTTTGCAAGTTATCTACTTGTCGTAGCTTAAGTTAGAGAGCAAGATGAGTTCTCGGATCTCAGATTAGGAATAAAGTTAAGATAGAAATATTCCCTAGCTTATACTACAGACGGGCAAGGGGTGACCTAATTGAGGTGTATAACTCAGTCGAGTGTCCTTACTTGGAGCTGGCGGACGCTCGCCCCACAAGGGATCACATCTCAAGATTGAAGAAGCCGCAAGTCCAGAAAACTGTGAGGGCAAACTTTTTCGGAGTGAGAGTTGTGAACTCTTGGAACAATCTGCCAGAGAGTGTTGTGGCGGCGCCGAGTGTGAGCTCTTTCAAGATAAGACTTGACCAACACTGGAGCAGGTTCAGGTACATTCAGGAGCCGGTGCATGCCCAGTACTTGCCAACAGTGCGTAACAGAGACGTGACCGGTCGCCCAAGCGGCTAACGAGTCGTTCAGTGAAGAGGATAAAGGTAAAGTAAAAGTATTGGAGATTCCCGGGCGAGGGTTATGGGCTGACGAGAAGCGGCCCGAGTGTGCTGACAGCCAAGGTATCGTAATACCTTGCTGACAGCTACACCGGCTGACGGATCACACCCCCAGCCTCCATCCCCAGAGTCTTACCAGACCGTACTACTGGTTACCAACACCCTCCAACTTTTACTTATCATATGATATTGTAACAGCATCCTCACCCTTATTACACCTGCAACATACTGTATAACACATACAAAAGTGACATGACACATAGAATACACTAACATCCCCACCCTTATTACACCTGCAACATATAACACATACACGACACTCGTAATACATGATGAATAAATAAATAAATAAGTGAACAAAATAAAATACACTTAGGGAATATGTTCAGGTACATTCAAGATTTTGTGCTTGCTAAGTACTTGCTACCAGTGCGTAACAGAACTAACCGATCGCTGGACTCTATCAAGTTAGCAAGCGAGGAAGAGGATTAAAGTAAAGTGAATTAAGGTACTGTATAGTAGTAGTACACTGATAAGAATTCATAACTCATTTCTGGCTGGACTAATAGGAAGATCTGCAACCCCAATCCCGCCTAACATACACTCCACACTAAAACAGCTGATCAACGATTCTTGGTTACCTTTGTTTTATGACACCAGGGTGGAAAAGAGCATGTACCCATGACGCACATCCGCTGAAGGGCCGTTTAAGTGATAAAAACGACTACCCGTTAAATCTAGACTGATCCAGAAGACAGCACCACGTGAAAATTTCACTAACAACGTTTTTTATCGGTCAAATGACAATACTGTAATGACAATGCCTGGGAACTGATTTGCACTGATCATCATCAACAGTGCTGCGGTCAACTTCCTGAGAGATCTACCGTCTTGTAGTATTTGTGTTTTGTTCCAGCATTGAACAAAGTCCCAGGGACCTCAACTAACTCTCATACTGTAGAAGAGTTGACAATATGGTGGTGGTGCAGGAAGTCACCCCCTGAGGCAGCAGCTGACCTAAGCAACACTCGTCAGCGCCCTCGATTGGGTAAAAACCCACGTGTTTTTAAAGGCAATAATGATCGTTGATTGGCTGCTGTATAACATAACGTTCACTAATATTCCTTTTAAACCTGACACACCACCCTTATCTAATACCCTGATGTAATGTAAATATACATTATCTTGTACGAGTAGAGTAGGAGTGAAAGCAACGGTAGTGGTGGCGACAAGAAGCAGGGCCTGTTTATGTGCACTTGGCTATTTATCTGACGGCTTAACACCACGCATCGTCCAAGGCGCACTGATGATAGTGGGCCTGTCATGTGGTGTGTAAAAGTATACATCGTATAAATGCATGACTCAAGAAGGCAAGCATGAACTCCGCATGCTTCCTTGTTCGGCGCTATAAACACTTTTGCGCTTCACAAGATACCAGGGGGTGCCCAATAAACTAGCCTCCTCGAGAGGTAAATCTGAATCGTAAACGTATTGTATTGTATTTCACTGTATTGTGTTACTATCCATACCAAATGGCACTTTGACTTGATATCTTTTTGATAAATACAAAAACCGAAGCATTCAAAATAATAAAAATAACAATTTGGCAGTATCATTAGTTCTTCAAACCTCGTACGATTCATTTTCCTCGTAACTGGGAATGAGTGAATAACTCTCGTTACGGCAGTCTTGGGGGAATTTCGACGCCATTGCAGCTGGCATCTTTGTTGTGTAGCTTGAGTGAACAGCTAATTAGATAAGCTCTCACATGACCAGTTAAGAAAGAGAATTTGATTTGTGAGTTTCTAAGACTCAAGATGAGCAGAGAGAGGTGGAAAGGAGAAGGGGAGATGGAGAAAGGGAAGGATGGTGGAAAGGGGGGGAGGGAGAGGAATGGAAGGTATGGAGGAAAGGAGGTAGAGGTGGAGGGGACGAGAGAGAAAAATGGTGGGAGGGATGGAAGGAGAGATATTGTGGAATACTTGTGTTACTGTGTGATTAGAGTGAGAGATAGAAAGGGGGGAGATTATTAGGAAGGACAGGAAATAGGAGGGGAGGTATAATGAACTTGAACCTTGTGGCCACAGCGATAATAAAGGAGAGGGAGGGATGGTGTGGGAAGGAGCACCGTAGTAGTGTATATACTTAGTAAACAGGACTCCACCAACTTGTTACATCACAGGAAGGCCTCTTATTGGGTGAACAGTACACATATATAATAATAAACCAAAACTGAGTCAATATACTAACATTAACTGGGATAATATATAACAAGTACAGTATATTTAAGTCAACGTACAGTCATGCCAAGTTGGACAAGTTAGATATGTATGGATGGGTTAGAACTGAATCAAATCTTACGATGTTATTTACTTAGACTTTAGCAAAGCATTTGACAGAGTACCGCATCAGAGGCTTCTGAGAAAAATTAAGGCTCATGGTATCGAGGGGAAAGTTTTAAATTGGATAAAATCATGGCTCACCGATAGAACGCAGAGGGTCAGCGTAGATGGTGTTAAATTTGAGTGGGGTCGTGTAACCAGTGGGGTTCCCCAGGGGTCAGTACTAGGCCCACTCTTGTTCATAATCTACATAAACGATCTAGATACTGGGATCAGCAGTGACATAAGCAAGTTTGCGGATGACACCAAAATAGGGCGGCAGATTAAATTCAGGGCAGGATGCAAATGCATTACAGGAGGATCTAAATAAACTGCAGGGGTGGTCTGAAAAATGGCATATGAAATTCAACACCAGCAAGTGCAGCGTACTTAATATTGGAAGAACAAATACTGTCAATGTATACAGCCTTAACAACATCAACCTAGAGAAGTCGATTTGTGAAAGAGACCTAGGGGTACTTGTAAGCCCGGACCTACGGCCTAGAAAACAGTGCGTTAATGTTCGAAATAAGGCAAACAGAGTATTGGGTTTTATATCTAGAAGTGTAAGTAATAAGAGTGCAGAGGTCTTATTGCAACTATATCTTGCGCTAGTCAGGCCGCACCTCGATTATGCGGTTCAGTTCTGGTGCCCTTATCATAGAATGGATATCAATTCACTAAAGTCGGTGCAGCGAAGAATGACGAAAATGATTCCGGGACTTAGAAACCTTCCATATCAGGACAGGTTAAAGAAACTAAACTTGCATTCCCTAGAAAGACGAAGAGTGCGGGGAGATATGATAGAAGTATTCAAGTGGGTGAAAGGAATCAATAAAGGTGATATAGATAAAGTTCTTATAATATCCGAGCAGGATAGGACTCGGAACAACGGATTCAAGTTGGATAAGTTTAGGTTTAGGAGGGAGATAGGAAGGAGCTATTGGTGGACGATGGAACAAGCTTAGCAACTTTGTAGTAAGTGCTGGAACGCTGGAAAGTTTCAAAGGGAGGCTGGATAGATTCATGGATGATAGAGAGTGGTAGTAACTCTCGACAGGAGCTGCCATGCACAGGCCAACCGGCCTATTGCAGACTCCTTATTTTCTTATGTTATAATTACTCGTGGGTTTAATATCGTTTCTCATTAATATAAATACACTCGAAGGTTGCGTGGGGCATCTATATTCGGATAAGGACAACGCTTCACAATTTTCATATCTCGGTGACTTTGGTCAAATCTTACTAAGTGTTGGTGTTACACGAGACGGGAGTACATCAGGAGGCTCACTACTCCTCATGGCCACAAGAACACTGACGTATGCTCACACCCTTCACCAGGAACAATAATGAGAATCTCAGTACACTCACCATCACAGTCTGGCGGATCTTCAATACAGAGGTTGTCTAGTGCCCGTCCTCCTCCCGCATTTCTCTGGCTGCCTCCACTCGTGTCTGACGGGGCTGCAATAATGATTAATGAACATAAGTCATATTGATATTTTCGTACACTTAGTCTAATGGGGGAATCATCGATGACACGAACTATCCTCATCTAACTGAAACAAAAAGGAACCCAAGTTTGTGAGGTTGATTAGTGTAGGTTAGGTTGGTTAGCTAAGTTCAGTCAGGTTGGTAAGTTCAGTTTACTTTGATACTGAATATCAATTCCAAACATTTTTTCTCCTATTTACACAATATACGACTAGATAGAAGTTATTCTCTGTATATATCCAAGGGTGGATCCTGGGGGTCCGAACCCCCCTTTTTCACCAGAAAATTCCAATACATTTTCTTTAATGCAGTATTGTACTCAGGCGTTTTTGTATTGTAATAAGTAATTTATATGAAGTTTAGATATCTCCTAATATCAAGCGCACGTCTTCAAAATTGCCTCCAAATGCCCATGGTACTGGTCAGATTTAAAAAAATTCTCTGGGTGGGCTCGTTGTCCTCGCCAAGTTCCCACACCCACAACTTCTTGGATCCCCTTTTTGATATTCCTGGATCCTCCCCTGTTATCGTATATAAAAAATTTTCCTCCATGATGACATAAACCATATATACAGGTATCTATTCTTAAGCCGACAGGTATCAAACAAATTTATATACCTTCTCATACACAAGGTAAATCCAGTCGCCTGTGCCTCCAACAAGTGTGGACTCGACCCTTGCAACACTCGGCCTGTGTGTGTGTGTGTTCCTCTTTTTAATGTGAAGAAGTACCCCGGCACCTGCCACACCTCAGATTGATCCACCACACCCGTGAACACTTGCTGGCACACACGTAACACTCTGTGAGTCAACAGTGTGGTATTTATGGTAACATCGTCAGGAGTGATTGTGTCAGCTGGGGCATCACATGACCACCACAAGTAACCAATGGTAGCAATTGAGGCGTGACAGGATGCACCTCACACTCCCCCACCACATACTGTACCCCACCTCCCCCCACATACTGTACCCCCACCACCCACCACATACTGTACCCCACCTCCCCACATACTGTACCCCACCTCCCCACATACTGTACCCCACCACCCACCACATACTGTATCCCCACCACATACTGTACCCCAGCTCCCACCATACTGTATACTGTACCCCCACCATACTGTATCCCCACCACCCACCACATACTGTATCTCCACCACCCACCACATACTGTATCCCCACCACCCACCACATACTGTACCCCCACCACCCACTGTATCCCCACCACATACTGTATCTCCACCACCCACCACATACTGTATCCCCATCACCCACCACATACTGTACCCCCACCACCCACCACATACTGTAACCCCACCACCCACCACATACTGTAACCCCACCACCCGCCACATACTGTATCCCCACCACCCTCGCAGCTGAGTCATGACACAACCAACTACTGTACTAAGAAATCATTGGTGTAGGAGGCTGAACCATCACCCAAGGCGACTTATACACTCGTGTCGTCCCTCACAATCTTCAATGATAAGTTGCCATCATTTTATAATTGATCAACAGTGATAATTTTCATTTCAAAACTCTTAATAAGATGCAACGACTAGACTTGAAGATGAACGCTTGGACGATCGGTCACGTACAGTAGTCTACATCACAACTTTTCAACTGAAGATTAACCATCCTAAAGCTATCTAGGACGATTTATGTAAGGTTGGATTTAGGTTAAGTTAGATAAGATTAGGCTAAGCTACTGTAGGTTTAGGTTGGTTAGATTAAGTTAGCTTTTGGTTAGATTAAACTAGATTAGGTTAGGTTATGATAGTTTAGTTCAGGTTAAGTTATACTAAATTAGGTTAGGCTAAGTTATACTAAATTAAGTTAAGTTAGGTTAGGCCAAATTAATCTTCACTAGATTATTCCTCATTAATTTCGTCTCACATTCACAAGTATTTCTCATTTTTGAAATATTGAAGTTGTATATATTAATTCTTATGGGTTTATAAATCACAAATTATTACAGTATCTCTACACACTCGCGTATAGTGCGAGGGACCAAACGTACTAAATGAAATGATTTAAAACACGTAGAAACTAGCTAATATAATTGGCCTTAGGATAAACATAATATGGTGTTAAATATATAAACAATTAATATATCATAAGCCTGAAGTATTTTACAGGGGAAATCTGTAATGTTTGACTTTAGGAAAAATCTAGACTGCTTTGACTGTTTTACTTTGCGGAAAATTTGAACAGGGAAGTACTGCCTGGGAAGATATTGGAAGCATAATGCGTTGTCTAAGGGTAGACCCTGCTGCCATATGACATTACAAAAATTGGGACCAAATCCCAGGTTGCTGAGTTGACTTTATGCCTCAATTCAATTTCAATTTCAATTGTTTATTCCTTGATAGAGGAAGCGGGATCCTAGTGCTGTCACTAGGTACCCCTGTACAATGACACCAGAATCATCTGGCAAGTGTGAAAAGTATATACAGTATAAATATTATAAAGGGGCTTACTAAAGCCTAAGGAAGGAAGGATGTTCCTTTAACACATAATTAATATTATTTACAAAATATCTGGCCAGTATTGGGAGGATCATCGTGTCTCCGTCAGGGGGTCGTGGAGTGGTGGTCCAGCAGGCGTCACGGAAGCGTTGTGTGTGGGGACATCTTAGGAGGTAGTGGATAAGGGTGCGGCTGTCGGGTCTTCTGCATAACGCACAAGAGCGTTGCTCAGGGGATGTGGGGATACCAATCTCCCAAGCAAAGTCATACCCGATGATGATACGGGCAGCAATCACGTCCCCCTTCCGCGACCCTTTCCCGTAGACGTACGAGAAGTCAGGAAGTTTACGGAGGACATCGTACCATGTGGGCGGGGAGTCCAGGGGGATGGCTGCTTCCCGAGCTTCTCTCTGTTTGCGGCGGATTTGGGTCCTAATCTGTAAGAGTGTTCGAGGAACAACGTAGTCAGGTGTGGCCTTGTTGCAGCCAGTCTTGGCAAGGTCATCTGCTGCCTCATTCCCCAAGATACCGACATGACTAGGTATCCATAGGAATGTCACAGGACGGCCTTCATCCTGAAGTGTGGATGTTAACCCTCGTATTCGGAGGATGAGGTCCTTATTTTCCCCAGATCCAAATGCGATCCCGTCGAGAGCAGACCTGGAATCGCAGCAGACAAGCAAGGGGCAGAAACCATCTGCTTCTTCCTCAGCGAGAAGGGCAGCAAGGAGGGCTATTAGTTCAGCCTGAGTGGAGGATGCCCCGTCAGAAACTCTGAGAGACAGTTTGATAGGCTCAGGGGCATGAGGACGGGAGATGTAGACACCAGCCCCGGCCCTACCTGTAGCGGGGTCAACAGAACCATCAGTGTAGAGGACGACCCTACCTGGGGACCAGTGAGCGATCCTGGAGAGGTGGTATTTGCAGAGAATAACAGGGTTCACCTGGGATTTCGGGAGCGGTCCACCGAGGGCAATCACTTCAGGTTGAAAATCCAGCCAGGGAGAAGGAGACGAACCAACAGCAGGGGTGACAACAATATCAGGCAGGAGGTCGTGTTCCTGAAGGGCTCGGATGAGTGACCCTCGCCACTGTCTTCTAGATGGAGGTCGGTCTCGGACAGCAGGAGTCAAGTTGGTTTGGACATAGTTGCCCCGAGGATCCCGTAGAATGGAAACGGCAGTTTTTAGGTAAAACTCCTGGACACGATCCTGTAAGGGGGAAAGACCAAGTTCGGTATATAGAGAAGTAGAGCGTGTCCACTGAGGAGCCCCAAGGATGATACGAGCAGCTTTCCTCTGGATAACTTCGAGACGGTTGACAGCAGTCCGACTAATGTTGACGAGGGCAGGGGCGGCGTAGTCGACACAGGAACGGACAAAAGACTTGTACATGGTGAGAAGTACAGGGATGCTGGCACCAAGGGAACCCCTGCACATGGTAGAGAGGGGAGCGAGACGCCGAAAACATATGTCTCGAAGATAGCGGACTTCAGGGATCTGACAACGTGTGCGAGTTACATACACACCCAGGTATTTTGTCTCATTAACCCAGTCCAAGGGCGTTCCTGATAAGAAAAGGGGTGGAGGTACAACACGACCGTGCCACATGGCTTTTGTTTTCGCAGTTGAAAGAAGGAAACCAAGTGAATCACACTCTCTGGAGACCAGATCAAGGGCTTCCTGCATGCTGAGGTAGTCAGGGGCTTGGAGGAGGACATCGTCGGCATATCCTGAGTGGACAACTTCTGTCGGCCACGGGAGTGATGCAATGGAGTGCATGAGAGTGTTAAACAAGGTGGGACTCAGGACTCCACCTTGAGGGGTGCCGAGGTTCATTTCTTGAACAGGAGACATAGAGCCTTCAACGCGAACCCGGGCCTGACGTCCAGTGAGGTAAGAGGCGATCCATTGTAGAAGTCTCCCTTTAACCCCTAACCGTGCAAGTTCAGCTAAAATGAGGGCAGGCTGAGCCGTATCAAAGGCTCCCTTGATATCAAGGAAGACGGAGACGCGGGCAGTCTGATTGCAATAAAAGGAAGCAATGGAGTGTGCTGTGCTGCGATGTTGAATGAAACCATTGAGGGAGTTGTGGAAGCCGCCTATGGTGTGAAGAAGGCGACGATGGAGTATCCTCTCCATCATCTTGCAAACACAGGAGGTAAGACTAATGGGTCGATATTTCCCAGGATCTCCCGGCTTAGGGATGGGGATAATAGTGGCATTTTTCCAGTTGGACGGGAGAACCCCATGTTCATAAGACATATTGTAGAGAGCAAGCAAGGGGCCGTTAAGAATATTAGTACAGGCGTTGAGGACGGAGTAGGTTATCTGATCATCCCCAGGAGAGGTGTCTTTTCTAGAGCGACGAGCACTGTCAAGCTCGAACTGTGTGATGGGATGATCAGTGGGGGCAGGGGAGGTAAGAGCAGCACGAACAACAGGCTCAGACGCATCGATGCGGGCCTGCACTGCCTCCTGCATTGGATCTGGAAGTGCCTCTGGGGAGGAAGCTCGTGCCCAGTCCTCCATTAAAGAGCAGGCAAGGGAGGCGGGATCAGGGTGGGGAGGAGGCCTCCGTCGAGTACCCCGTATAGCATTAATCCGATTCCATACATAAGAGGGTGACGACTGGAACGATAGAGACCCCGTGAAGGATAGCCAGTCCGCCTCACGTATCCGACGGCGCTCCTGAGTTGCAAAGGAGCACCAATTTTTGAAGTCTTCCCAGTCCTCTGGAGACCGAGACCTCCGTATGGCAGAGTGGAGATCACGGGTTACCTGCCGGAGATGTCTCATGGCAGGGATACGATACCAGTAGTTGGTGGCACTTCTGGGGTGACGGGGAGGGCGTGGAGGGGTAGCGCGATTGACAGAGTCATACACGGCATCAACAAAATCAGCGCTGTAAGAGTCAAGGGACTGAGGGACAACATAGGAATCCGCCCAGGTAGAAAGGTATTGGGTAAAGGAAGGAACAGCATCTTGTGTGAGACGAAGGCGAGGGGATCGATAAGGAGTTGATGTCGGGGCAGAGAAGGAGAGCCTGAGATGGGTAGTAACGGCAAGATGGTCACTATACAGAGCAGGCTCGGTGCAGACGGTAGGATGAAAGGAAGTATGACCGTTCAATAGTAAGCCAACATCAAGGAAACTATGGGGGAGGCGAGTAGGATCGTCAGGACAAAGAAAGCGAACATCATCATCCCCATTAAGAAACTGTGAGAGATGTGATCCATTAAGGGTACATGGAGTGGGATGATCCGGAGTAAGAGTGGGATGGCGGGCATTAAAGTCGCCAAGAACAATAGTGGGAACCCCATCATGGAGGTCGTGAAGAACCTGGGGGTCCAGAGAATCACTCTTGAAATGAACATTGACTACACGAAGGGTCCGGTCACCAAGAGTAAGGGAGACAGAAAGTAATTCAGACGGGGGTCCATGTGAGTCAGGTGAAGGGAGACGAACAGATGGAATGGTGTTACGCACAAGGGTGAGGAGGCCACGAGCCTGCCCACGGTACCGAGGCAGGGTGTAAACAGAATAGCCAGAGAGGCGGAGTGGAGTAACATCGTCTGTGATGGTTTCCTGAAGTAGAGCAACATCTACTTGATGGGAGAGCACAAACTGGGCGAGGTCTGTCCGGCGAGGTCTAAGTCCCTGGATGTTCCATTGTAAGAAGAGGAGGGAACGGCCTCCGGTGTGAGATGAGTCGGAGGGGCTAGACAGGGCTCCAGAGGAGGTACCAAATTCTGTTGAGAGAAATGGAGAGGGAGGAGTGGGAGAGCGAGGGATGGATCCTCCATCTCGGGAGATGGAAGGAGGCGGGTCATCAGGGCTTGCAAAGCGCGCCCCTGTTGGGTCAGGGTGTCCAGAATGAGTTGTTGTTGCTTCTGCAATGTCGCAATTGTTTTCACAAACAAGTCGAGTTGGGTTGAGAGAAGGTTGATTTGCTTGGAGTGGCGATCCAGACGGAGAGTGATTGTTTCCATAGAACCAACTTGGTGTACCTGTGCATGAGCTGGAGGTGGCGGCGAGGATTGCCGAGGGCCCGACTGGGCATGTGGTGGTGGTAGCGACGGAGAGGGACGGTGAGGGTTCAGTTGAGTAAGAGGTGGTGGTGCTGGTGAGAGACAGCGGGGGTCCGGGTGGGCAGGAGATGGTGGTGACTGTGTGGCAGGGCCGGCAACGACCTTGTTCCAAGAACGGTAGGGAGAGGGAGGGAGGGGAGAAAGGATGGGTGGTAGGGGTGATGGAGGGGGTGGTAGAGGAGAGGAGATCAATGGGAAATCCTTGGTGGATGGAAGAGGCGGTGGTGGATAGGATTGAGGTTTGGTTGACAGGGGCTTCGTCAGAGACGAGGGCGGTGGTACAAGGTAAGTTTTCCCCGGGCGAGTGCCAGGACGCTGTGGGCAATTGGCATTCCAGGCGTGGTGACTGCCATGGCAATTGACGCACCGTGGAATAACTGGGATTTTGTTCTGAATTTTCGATTTGCATTCCACTGTGTCGTGAGGACCTGCACAGAAACCGCAGGCGACCATCCTCGTGCACTCCCAGGTGCGGTGTTTCCACGATTGGCAACGACCACAGATTTTCGGGGTTCCGATAAATCGGTCGAGAGGACAGTTGTGAATTGGTCCTACATTCACCTTCGGGGGGAGGGGGCCCACCCACCAGCCGATGAGTTCGTTGGATGGATGTTTGGAGACCGGGTTGATGCGGCGCTCCATGTCCAGTAGTTGTGGGAGAAGAGGGCAAAGATCGTCGATAGGGATCTCCCAGGGTACGTGGCGAACCATTACCTTGGTACGACGAGTTTCTGGGGTGATGATGGTGAACTTCAGCATCACCTCCCCCTGGGGAGCAGGAAAGCCCACCTGAGTGAGCAGGCGTACCGTCTCGTCCATTTGTGTGGTGACTATCACGGCTGTGGGACCTCGGCGGAGGCGAAGTGTTGAGTCCTGAAGTGGAGAGCAGTGACGGAAGAACCAGGTCGTCCGTGTGCTCAGAGGCAAGTCCCGAGGGAAGGCGAGACGACGAAGGCGCGACGGGGCAGGGAGACAAAGGGAATCCCCTATGTCCATCGTCGGCGGAGGGTCGGTCATTGAGCCACATGTAGGCTCACTTGGGGACCCTGATGACAGGAGTCCACCCTCTACAGCCCCAGAAGGGGTGCAAGGGGGAGCCGTGGCCCCTGCTGGAGACCCTGACTTCTGAGGTTTCTGCTTCTTCTTTGACGTGTCTTCAAGAAGAAAGTCGTCAGCATCACTGTCACCTACTGCCGCCGTTTCCAACGAACGGGAGCGTTTAACGGCGGGCATAGGACACGTTGGCAACACTGCAGTCAGGTGGAGTGGTAATGACGTCACACTATCACACTGCGCATGCGCAAACTTGAAAACTTTGCTCAGAGGGATCGGGTGGTAGGACCAGATGTTTTATCCCCAAAAAATGACAAAGTCCAAAAGTAACAAAAAAATATATGCCACTGTGCTGATAACTGGGTCTTACTGTAGTTGTCTACACAGGCTGGGATTGGTAGACTCTCTGAATTCGTCAGAAATACGAATTTTAAGGAGCAGTCTCTTACAGCCTTTGTTGACACTACGCACGCATGCGCGTTTCCCTCCTTTATGCCTCATTAATACAATTGCAGGGTTTCAGTTGTTCCTCTAACTATTGACAACACAACATACTGTGCATACTGTATATTGTTTCTCAATCTTTATTTTTTAATTTATTTATGGTTATTATATATATATATATATATATATATATATATATATATATATATATATATATATATATATATATATATATATATATATATATATATATGTATGTGTGTGTGTGTGTGTGTGTGTGTGTGTGTGTGTGCTGATAACCACAAGGAAACAAGAAAATACGAAGTTCCCAAGCGCTTTCGTGTAATTCACATCTTCAGGGGTGAGCACAAACTAAGGAATAATACTTGACAAGGCTAATATATACAGTAGAGGAGAGTGAAATCAAGTCCCTAGGGGACAGCAGGTGTCCACAGTGTTCCGTTCATAAGGCAGTGACCCTGACTAATCTTCTTAATAAAAAAAAATTGACTCTGCCATCTCTAAGCACAGCAGCTGTCCGTAGTCAGGTCATAGGGTAAGATGACCCAACCTTCTCACCTGGTTACAAATCTTCTTAATCACAAAATTATCCAGTATGTACATACCATTACTCAAATTCATGTTGACAGATTCGGTATGTTTAATTAGACTGGATTCTATAATGTTCCTACTGACAATTGAATTACAAGGTAATATTGAGGAGGCATTATCCCAGTCAATGCAAGGCTGATTATCTCTCATATGAATGAAGAGAGCATTGGATTCCTGGCCTGTCCTAACACTATATTTATGCTGTTTAAGTCTAGTTATAAGATCAAATTGGTCAAATTGCTTTACTGTTTACTATTGTTGTAGACCTACACTGTCTAGGAACACATTAGGAACTCTATACCTCCACGGTTTATGCACACCCTATACCTACACTGTCTATACACATGTTGAACTGTATACCTGCATAGTCTATATGCATGACAAACCAAAATAATGTAAACTTGTATGGTAATTATTTTACTTACCTGCCACCACGAGCGCTGTCATCGTCGCAACCACCACAATCGCACGCCGCATCATGCTCTTAATCTTGGTTAGGCTTTCTTAACCTTGGTAATCGTGTAGACGTATTAATCAATTTAAATTAAAAAAAGAAACTCCCTTGATTATCTTTAAACTATAATGTCAACTGTACTCAACTTGTAAATAGTCTCATATTAATTTTACGTGGTTTAAATATTGTAGCTCGATTAGGTTCATTAATTCAAGATTATATAATAGATAACTACAATATTTCTGTTTGTATGTATCAGTAAAGGATGCGAGCTATGCTAGGGTTAGGGAGAGGCACCAGTGTGATGCAGGAGCAGTGTAGGGGCCAGGGATGTGATGGGAGGCCACTGAGCGATAGAATCGATACAGAGGACGTGTGACCGCACTCCACACACCCACCGTACTGAACTACTGATGAACTCTCTCCCTCCCCTTTAAGTCTACAGTCCTCTCCCGTCACCCCCCTCTTTAAGGCTCTTACCAACCATTCTCATTCCTAGTCGCATGTCTCTGTCCCTTACGTCACCCATCGTAGCTTAAGACTGTCTAGGACTCTTGGTATGAGTTACTTTTACTTTTATCCTCTTCGCCATGGTATCGTCACGTCTCTGTTATGCACTGTTGGCGAGTACTTAACTGGGCATGCACTAGCTCCTGAATGTAACTGAACCTGCTCCAGTGGTGGTCAAGTCTGATCTTTAAAATAGCTCACACTCGGTGTCGTCATAACACTGTTTGGCAGGTTGTTCCAAGAGTTGACAATTCTCAATCCGAAAAAGTTTGCCCTCACATTTTTCTGGATTTGTGGCTTCTTCAACCTTGAGATGTGACCCCTTGTGGAGCGGGCGTCCGCCAGTTTCAGGTATGGACACTTGACTGAGTCACGTGCCCTCTCAGATGTTTATATACTTCAATTAGGTCACCCCTGTCCCGTCTGTAGTAAAAGCTAAGCAGTTAACATACTGTCTCTCAGATGTTGGTGGTGACGAGGCCGAGATAATGATTTAATGGAGAAAATATTCTAAAGATCCTTATGATAATGAACAAAATTTTAAGGATAAGGGTGATTATATAGAATATTTCTTTAAATATTGATAGTTATGGAGAACAGTACAAGATATGGATAACTATGAAGAACATTAAAAATATGGATAATTATGAAGAACATTTTAGATATTAATGATAATGTATGTTTCTAAGGATCTAATATACTGATGATGGCTATGAATATTTAACTACTGGTAATATACTACTTAGTAAATAATAAATGCCTTATAAACGATTTAAAAGATCGATCAGTTTTTACCCTGAGTAAAATACAGTAATTTATTTATTTCCAATTGTATTTCTCAGATATTACAAGCACATACAAAGGTGCATATTATATACACATAAACATTCTGGTTCCTCTGCACTGGTCCAGTGATTGGGAGTGATCAAATGTATTTTACAAGCGATAACAATTAATCATAGAGAGAGACACTGATGGTCCTATTGTAGCGTAATGTATGTGGCCAGTAGTCTAATTTCTCTTTGTTAGGCTCACATACATACGTACCGGCCGGGCACATGTAGGGGATTTCGCAGTCAGGATGGAGGTGAGAAAGGAAACTCACAATGGCGTTTTCTTTATATGTATTATATGTACAGAGCAGTCAGGTGTTGGGAAGTTGCTGCGCAGTAGAGGAGTTGCTGTGGAGGAGCTTCTTTAGAGGTCTTCTCTGCTTAAGAGCTAGGTGTTGTCTGCCCTCGATTCGAATCGATGGGTGAAGTAAAGTGTGAAGAGATCTTGATGCTGGTGCGCAGATTGGTGGTACGGGAACTGGGCTTGAAGAATGATGGTGGAGTTTGGAGGGACTTGGGGTTAGTGGCTAGTGCAAGAAGAAAGGTGAGGAAATTGGAAAGTAGTAGTAGGCAGGGTTGCCAGATGTACGACAAGCTTCACGGCCAAATTCACGCCATCTCACGGCCAAATCGCCCAAAATTCGGCCAAAACTTTTTGGATGGGAAGCACAAGGCTATTTTTGCAATCCACACAAAATAAAAGTATCCCCTACAATATCCACTTAAAATTTCGTAATAAAACCAAATTTTCACTTAGAACTGAGAGCCCAATAATTACATGAACATAATATCTATAATCTACAGTGAAGATTTACCTTAATCTGAAATGGTGGTGGAGCATGATAATGGTGGAGAACTTGATAACACTAGTTGGCGTAAGCAAAACGTCTAGTTCGTCATCGTCCCCTGGTGTGTTATATTTTCTACCACTGTCCTAGGACCTTTCCATTTACTAGTGGACATTTTGAAAACTAGCACTCGGAATTTCAGAAAGTAACTCAGATGGCTTTGTAAGCTCTGAAGCTTAACCCATATGCTGGACACGTTCAGCCTGAACAACTCAAATATGAGAACTAACAACTAAGGTAGTAACTAGAAAGATCAGTCAGCTCAGTAGGTCACGTAAACATGTGAAGAGGTGAGGTCACTGATTGGGTGAGGTCATGACAAGGTGAGGTCACTGAGCCAGCATTTTCATTGTGAAATTTGAAAATGTGCTAGACTTTTCTTCAAAATCCACTAGATGAGGAATTAATACGCGTTTTACAAAATTCGGCCAAATAGTTTGGCCGTTACCATCCATTTTTTCACGGCCAGGCGAAGTTTTTTACGGCCTAGATAGAGAAATTTGGCCGTGGAAACGGCCATCTGGCAACCCTGGTAGTAGTGTAGTGGATTTCTCCCCTACAAACGCTGTTTGTCACTGAGTAGCCGACCCCGCGAATTCCACAGTGTGTGCCTCGTGGTCTTGGTCAACCAGCGCCGCCCACGGAGCAGGGGTCAACTATCTACCCATGCCTACCTCCGCTATAAAAGACCTGACCTCGTGGTGACCTGTCTCTTTTTACCTACACCAACCAGCAAGCAACACCTCCTCCTCCTCCGCTTCTGCCTGGCGGCCCTCGCTCCCGCCGGCGAGCATGGCGACCCACAAGCTGTCCTTCTCTGAGCACCCTCACCAACCAGCTCTCTCTACATCACGCTTGTAACCACGCTGCCACTTCCCAGCACCAAGCTGCATTGTACATCCAATACAACATGTATACAGAGAGCACATTGTGAGTTTCCTTTCTCCATCCCATCCTGAGTGTGAACCAAACAACCTGTTCCCCACAGTAGGATGATAGGTCTTGGGGTTCAACCCAAGTGCTTTTGTTTTCTCATGTTTGTGTTTCAGCTAATTTTCGTCGTAGGTATTATATTTATGTTAGGTGTTTGTATGTTTAACAAGTGTTGCAATTTTATGCCTTACATTTTCGTGTCTTGTGTCCTAGCCAATGGTGAGGAGTCTAGGGCAGGTACTTGTGTTTCTGCTAAGAACATCCCTTCTGGTTGGTTGATAATAAGCGGACGGCAAGTGACCAATCAGCAGTTGTAGGGGAGAATACCCACTACAATATATTCTAGAATATTCTTACATAATTAATACATCAATATGATCAATATAGTCACGAAAATTTCACTAAATTTGCCTAAATAACTGCAGCATGGGACAGAAAACAATCAAAACACCTAGTTTACAAAACTATAATACGAAATTATGCCTAAGAATTACAGCACGTTTCACAGGAAAAAGATTTTTGTACACCCAGATAACTTGAATATTAGACACCCCAGCTTATTTCACCTGAACATTAGACACCCTAAAGTTAATCTGGGTTAGATCTGGCTAGGTTAGCATTATGTTAAGTTAGGGGTATATTAGTGTTAGATTAACGTTAGGTTAGCATTGGATTAGGTTATAATTATTATTGGTGTCAGGTTAGATTAACTTTAGAATTGGTTCGGTTAGTATTAGATTAGTGCCAGGTTAGGTTAGCGTTAAATTAGGTTAGGTGATCCGTACATCCATATTCCATTTACTCATCCATTCATTATAATCTGCACTGCATAGTATGTAAATCCTTGGCACCGGTAGATATTTCGACCCTTGTGTACGACAGTGTACTTAGGAGGTTGTCATCTCTGCTCAAGGGATTAATACAAATTAACAGAATATAAAGTGAAGACAAATTGATGGCCATCAGTCTAACCTTCAGTAACTTCACCTTAACATTAATATACAGTACGTACATGCAAATACACCATTATACTCATGTTATTGTTATGAGACGTTGTATACATATTAAGATACGAATCACACCGAGGAGAATTTGTATTGCCCAAAAAGGTATGGCGACTTGTACATTGACTTAATGTCTGTTTTCTTGGTGGTTAAGTGAGGGTTGGGTGGTGATGTTGGCGTCGTCCACCGCCTCCTCCACACTGTACACACCCACCTCGTGCACACTTATTTCCTGTCTGCTGATGGTATCCTTGTTATCTTTAGTATGGAGAATTTTTTCCACAAATACTCCGTTGTGATGTTCCATGGGGTGAGTGTAGGATGTAATCATATCAGGGGGCGTGCGTGTAGACGTGTTGTGTGTGGGCGTAGTGGGTGCAGGTGTGACAGTTGAATAGGGAGCAGGACCCAGGAGGGACAGTAGTACGGGAAAGAACACCAGGCCATGATATAGACCGTAAACACACACCGCAAAGAATACCTGAAACACAGACAAGGTAGGGTTTATTATGGTGTTGTGAGAGGATTAAAGACCTCTTAACCAGGCGAAGCTTGAAGAGCTTGCTAATTTTTGCTAATTTAAACATACAGTACATATAATCGTCCTTGCAATTTCATTGTAAATTTTGAGAAAACCAACGTCTATTCCCGTCGTTTTTCAGTTTTTAGGCGATGTATGTTTTTGTAAACGGAACTAAATTTTATTGGTAAGTTGCCTTAGTTTTAAATAAGGTTAACATTTTACTTAACTAATACTGTATCAACATTAATATGTGACTTTAATAAAACTATTCGAATTTCAGAACCAGTTTATCACTAGAGAGAAGTGGTTCCCAACCTTTTCACTCCATGGACCAGAGGAGTAGAATTCTGCAGACCGGGAATTGTAAATAATTTATATTTACAATTTACACAATCCATAATTCCATATACAGTTTCCCGATATATCATTCTATAAATTATAATTAGGGGAAATGTGGTACGGGACAGGACTCTGGTCACCAGAGTAAAGAAAAAAAATGCTTTTGAGATGATTGTTTCAGTAAACATTGGATGCAGCCTCGCAGAGAGGCTCCACTACAGTATGTATACGTGCATACAGTAAATTCATGCCTTCTAATAATCATTACTGAGCATCATGGGCGGTTATAGAAAAAAGGATAACATTATATACAGCAGCGGAACACGAGACAAACGACCTCACTATCCTTCCCAGGCCCACTGACTAAAGAAAATCATCTGCCAAGCCACTTGGTAAGCAGCCGATAGTTACCTGATATTCAATATTTACCAATTAACTGAGCACAGTATTATTATAAATGATTACAGAGTTTAAGAAAATTTTATTTTACTACCTTATTATATTTGAAATTAGGGCCAGTAAAAAAAAATCCGACGGACCGGTAATCTTATGCCACGAACCGGCACCGTTTGTTTTTTTACCCTAGACCCGGAACCACTGCTATAGAAGAATCGAAACATTCTCTAGATGTAATCAAAAGATCCTACTATGAGTAACTTGTGTAATGGTTGTTTGGTTTTGTTTGTCCACGCAGTAAAATAGGAAATCTTACCTTGAAGAAGGTTTGGAAGACGTGTGAGCCTGAGACGGACAAGAAGATGAAGGAGAGGAAGGTGCTGAAGCCGCCGTTGAGGACAGCTGGGCCTATGGTGGTCACAGTTTGCCTGGCTCGCTCGTCTCTGGTGCCAGTCTTGGTCATGAAGGTGTGACCAACATGAGCAGCGTAGTCAACAGACAACCCGATGGCCAAAACCAGATCTATGCAAGAGACTGTGTCGATAGTGAGTCCCCACCAGTGCATGAGAGCCCCCACGTCCACCAGCGTAAACACTACACACACGACCACCATGAAGCTTGTGACAAAACTAGCGATGAGGAGGAGTGTCACCAAGAACACCACCCCCAAGGCGAGACCCATGTTTCGGTACAATTCTTCTGTGATTACCTGGTTTGTTTCCCATTCTCCATAGGCTCTTGACCAAGCTTTAACGTAACTAGTAAAGTTCATGTCTCTTACGACCTTTCTGACACTCTCCATGGCTTGTATTTCTTCTGAGGATGTCGACAGGGAAGTGTGCCTATAATCAATACTAGAGGCAGTCACTGCAGGGGCCGTTTGAGTGCAGTTGAGTTCAGATGAGAAACGGAAGTTCCTAGCCCGGTAAGGTGACCCACTAGGAGAATACAGAAACTGACTCAGTTGGTCCAGAAACTCTTCCTCGGTTTGTTGTGGGTCAGGCACTGCATATCCTTGTTTTCTCCAGTAGTGTTTGTATTTATCGTACCAGCTGTCAACGTCCAATACAGTTTTAGTGTTCTTTAACTGTAAAGTTAATTCTTCAAGTTTTGACAATTCTGAAAGTAAACTTGTATTTCCAAAATACACAGAGCCTTGCTCTCCGGATGAAGGAAAATAATATTTCTGTTTTATAAAAAAATTATAGAGGTAAGAATCCTGAGGAAGGAACCAGACGGGGTCAAACTCCTGTCGTAGGTTAGAGAGTCCCCAGCCAGATACACAGGTAAAAACTACTGTGACAACAAGAATGAGTACCTTTACTGGCGCCAGAAAGAGAAACTTGGCATACACTTCATTGAAGAAAATCTGGCACAGGTCCTTCTGACTGCACTGGTTGGGCGTCCAGTTGTTGAGCTTCCAGCACCAGAAGAGTCCGTGACGTCTGTTCTCCAGCCGTCGCTGGTCGACTGACAGACAAGCCACAAAAAACGTGGCTTGGAAGAAGAAAACTGATGCAATACCAACAGCAGCGTAGATACAGAAGGACCTGAGCGCTGGTAACACAGTTGTACTGCCAACAGCGAATGCAACAAAGTCGGTGACGGAGGTGACGGTGATGGAGACGCCGGCATGTTTTAGGGCACAACCGATACGTTCATCCAACTTTAGCTTCTTTTCTTGTGGGGACAAGTTGTTCCATGCCTGCATGATGACAAACATGTCGTCGATGCCAAGTCCAAGTAACAGGAATGGTAGAATGCTGTTTACAGGTCCATAAGGAATGTTCATAACTGAACAAATTCCATAGGACACACTTACAGCCATCCCCACACAAGAAAGACCAAGAAGAGAGAGTACAGGTCTTTGTTCCACCATGTTGAACTTGCCAAGCATAATAACCACGTATAAAAAAACAACCCCAAAACCAAGACTAAGGTATTGCAAATCGTTTCTAATACTTTCGCCACTGACCTTACCAAAACTGGAAGCGGCCATAAGATGGATAGTAATATTGTCTACATAATCTGTGTAATTCAGGATATTATCGATGAACTGCTGCTCCCACTCATAGGTGGTACTGTCCACTTGCGAGCCGAGCCCACTGTCGAGTTTGTAATCTCCTTTGTCAACGGCTGTGTGGTTTATCTTCGTAAACCAAATATGTCTTGCGGCTCCAGCCTTAACAATCAGTCCGTCTGCATTTCTTTCTATGTTGCCTAAGAATCCAGTAACATTTACTGGGAAGCCGGTCACAATGCTTATGTCTACTGTGTTAATGTCCCTAATGATCTGCTGTTGAGTAAGAGAGCTAATGAAGTCATGGTCATACCCAAATATTTCTAGGATGCTGTTTTCTAAACACACTTGTTCCAGTGACTCCAGGAGCTCACAGTAGTGGTCCCGGGGTAACATTAAACTCCAGTCTAAACCATCGCCATCATCCTCATTATCGTTAACTTGTCTTACATGTCTGATGTCGCTCTTCACAGAGGTTTTCTTGTCAACACTAATCTCTGAATCAGTCACGGATATTTCCTTGATGTCTCGTTTCCGTCTACCAAATAAAGGAATGGACAATGTGGGCACTTTTTCGCAAACATTGTTCCATGTTGCTGAATTAAGTTTGGTTTCGACAACCGTCTCATGAACTCTTAACATCTCTAGAAGAATGTCTTTATCTAGGACATTTTCTGCTTCGTATATGACCAAATGAATTCTGAGGTGGGAGGGAAATTTTTCTTCCAGCCAGTCATTGACTTCAAGAAACTCCGAGTTTTCTGGCGTCCACAATTTGTAGGGCCGCGTCTCCTGGGTGAACTTGGTGATGCCAATGCAGCAGAAGGCGGTGATAACGAGGCAGAAGAGGATAAAGAGGAAGGGTGTTCTCTCGATAGTCTTACCGTAGCTGTAGAAGGCGTGTTCCAACACCTTGATGATGGCGCCGCTCACCTTGGTCAGGATGTTGGACATTGTCTGGCGACGTGGTCTGACAGGCATGGTGCCAGACGTCGATGTAGCCCCCGAGTGGGCCGGTGTGTCGATGGTCTTCATCATGGTGCTTGCCCTATGTGGAAATTTATAGATTAATGCAGGTTATAATTAAGCTATGCTTCTCTAAGCAATAAAAAAAAAAAAATTAATTATCGTACGTAACTAAAAAAATCAAAACTAAATTTGCTTAAAATAATAAATGCGAAGCTTTGTGGCTTATTTGTCACAAAAAGGAATGAAAACCGTGAAATGACAATCCTGTAGGGATTGCAACTCGGCGTGACAATGCACTGGTCATATAATATTATCTCATACAACCAGCTCCTGGAGTCATACGAGAGCTCCCGACCATACAGTGTTTTTTCCTGTCATTATAACCTTTGTCAATTCATATCATTCTGTTTCAAATATATCCAGCCTTTGGCAAAAGCACGAGGGACGAAGCCTTAGAGTTTAGATTTGACAAAAAAGTTTAGTCTGTGCTTTTAATTTGTTCAGGAGAGGCTGAACACATTGGTTTGCATGGCTTGTGACACATGGACTGCACCTGAACATATTCCTGTGTTTTCGGTAAATTTGCGTAAGTGGGCCTAACTCAATTTCTTATTTAAAAACACGTTTTTCGCATTGTTCAGACTATTGTAAGACACTTTTCTTCAATGGGGAACCCACAGTGGGAACCAGGGGTTTTGGGGGGGGAGAAAATCACAACCAAACCTAACTTAACATAAGCCTAAGCTATTCACCGGTGTACTTACCTTAATTAGACTCAGAAGACTCGTAGTTGGGTCCTCGTCATCCACAGGTCGCAATAGCTCTGTGGCTCAAGCGGGTAGCGGGGGTATTCCGAGCTGTGATTGGTTGATCCAAAATCATACCCATGAATCAACGTTCAAAGAACCACTGAGCATGTTTCAGACTCTAACGCATGCGTAATGCAGCATACTAACCAACAAACGGTGATACTGTAGTGGATTCCTCCCCTACAAACGCTGTTTGTCGCTGCCTAGCCGACCCCACGATTTCACCAGCCTGCCCTAGTGGTCTAGGTCAGCAACCAGCGCCGCCTTACACGGCTGAGGTCAACTATTAAGCCACGCCTACCTCCGCTATATAAGACCTCACCTCGTGGTGACCTCTCTCTTTCTACCTACAGCCACCAGCAAGCAACACCTCCTCCTCCGCTCCTGCCTGGCGGCTCCCGCTCCAGCCGGCGACCATGGCGACCCACAAGCTGGTACTCCTCTGAGCACCCACACCAACCAGCTCTCTCTACTCAATGCTTGTAACCATGCTGCCTTCCCAGCACCAAGCTGCATCCAATACAACATGTATACAGAGAGTACATTGTGAGTTTCCTTTCTCCATCCCATCCTGAGTGTGAACCAATATCTAGTACCCCACAAATGGTGACCTCCGGAGATTCGCACTCACACAGGATGGAGGAGAAACTGATCACTCTCCCAATCTTCAAGCAACATGAAAGACTGGCTTACCCACACAGAGGCAGCTCTCATCGGCTCTACAGTTACTGTCTCTACACCGCAGGTTAGACACCCTAGAGCAGCTCTGCTACTCTAAGCAGACAGCTGCTCCTCTTCCTGCCCCAAGCACCACGTCCTACCGACCCCAGCACACCCGTCCTACCTCAAACGCCGCCCCCGGCCCAGCAGTACTCCCTGCCACTGTCCTGGACCCTCCTCCGCTCCTGCCTGGCAGCCCCTGCTCCCGATTCGGCCCATGCTCCTGAGCGGCCCCACACACCCTTTTTTTTTCCTCCCTCAGGTACTCTCTGCAACTGTCCTGCACCCTGCTGCTGTCATAGACCCTCTCCCTGACGCAGCCCCTGCTCCTGACCCAGACCCACACACCCCAGCAGGCGCATCAGAGGACTCTGTACCTGCTGCGAGAGAAGCACAGCATTCATCGCCTCCACAACCCTCCTTCTCCCACAGATCTCGTGTATCTAGACAAAGTTGTCTCCCCTAGCGGCTGGCTCATCCACGCCCTCGCCGTTATGTCTCACATGTGGCATACAACCCAGCCGACAACAAGTCTCCTGCACCGCCCGTTCTGCCTCACATGTGGGATGCAACCCTGCAGACAACAAGTCTCCTACACCGCCTGGAGGGAAGGGGGAGTATTGTAATGGATTCCTCCCCTACAAACGCTGTGTGTCGCTGCCTAGCCGACCCCACGATTTCACCAGCCTGCCCTCGTGGTCTAGGTCAGCAACCAGCGCCGCCTTACACAACTGAGGTCAACTATTAAGCCACGCCTACCCCCGCTATATAAGACCTCACCTCAGCTTGGTGCTGGGAAGTGGCGGAGGAGGAGGAGGTGTTGCTTGCTGCAGCTGTAGCTAGAAGAAGAGGGAGGGCACCACGAGGTCAGGTCTTAAATAGCGGGGGTAGGCGTGGCTTAGTAGTTGACCTCCGTGATGTATGGTGGCACTGGTTGACCTAGACCACGAGGCACACACTGTGGAATTCGCGGGGTCGGCTACTCAGCGACAAACAGCGTTTGTAGGGGAGAAATCCACTACAGTATATTAAAGGATAAACGCAAAGTAAACAAACTTTTATCAATATTTCAAAATTATATAACAAGTTGTGACAAAGGTAAAACACACTAACCCTGGGGTACGTGGTTCAATTAGTTCTGGAAGTCTTAACTTTAAAGTGGGTTAGTACTGTAGTGGTTAGGAATGTGGCCGCCTTGGTGTTGGTGACCTTCAGTTTTTACTCTTGTAATCCCAACTGATTTATAATAGTAAGTAAACACTACTCACACACTGAATACCTTTTTATATGTAAGGCAACAAGTTCCATATACTGTTAATATTCCCTCGTTACTCGAAAAAATTATCACATCACATAGCAGTCTTGATCAATAAGAGACTGGTGTGAGACTGGGTGAGCCTTGACAAGCTGCCGCTGATACCATTTGCGCATGACTGTTATGAGTACTGTACTGACAAACTTCCTTGAAAAATCTGTTTTGCGATTGTTGTTATAATGTTATTACTGTGCTTCAATAACGAATGTATTTAAAGGTGTAGCAAGGTTAGTAATACTAATCCAATCCAGGATAAAACAGACGTAACCGAACGCCCAAGCAGCTAACGAGCTGATCAGTAGTGATGATAGAAAAAAAAGTAAAATCGGAGATAAAACTTAATTTTGTGATAACACTGACATTAAATATATTACATAAATTTATTATTATTTTACTATTATTATTATTGTCATTGTTATTGTTATTATTGTTGTTATTGTTATTATTTTTATTATTATTAGTTATTATTATTGTTATTATTGCTATTATTATTATTGTTATTATTTTATTTTTATTATTATTATTATTGTCATTAATTATTATTATTATTATTGTCATTATTATTAGTTATTATTATTATTGTTGTTATTGTTATTATTATAATTATTATTATTGTTATTATTATTATTATTTCTGTTAGTTATTATTGTTGTTATTATTATTATCGTTCTTATTATTGTTGTTGTTCCTATTATTATTATTATTATTATTATTATTATTATTATTATTATTGTTGTTGTTAATATTATTATTACTATTATTGTTGTTATTATTGTTATTATTTTTATTATCCCACCGTCCTTGGGGCTTGGGGTGGTCAGTACTTATTTTACTGACTGTACACTCCATCAACACATGAAAAACCCAGTCATCTATTGCCAACTTAGCAAGCTTGTGAGCGCTGGATAAACGAAGTTTCCTCTATAGGAAGGAGTAAGAAATTCAAAACACTAAGGGTAAAAGCTCACACTCCAACAAGCAACTTTTACCTAGCCCCTCAATCACCATCCCAAATCATGGGATCAATAGTGATCACTACAGTACAATGGTTGCTCCTCCTGTACGAGGATGATCGACCCAAGGGCCACCTAGGCGTGTATTTGTTTAAGGTGTAGGAGCTGTCGCCAACACAACAACCACACCTCAAGTTAAGGAGTTGCATTACCCAGTGTCAAGGAATTGTCCGAGAAGACCGGACAACTCGCCAACTAAACTGGCTAACCATTACCCCAGAAAAACGATCCACAAATCGATTAACATCCAGGTTTCCAATATTGCTGGGTAGACAGAGGCAAATGGAAAAGAAACTAGCTCATACATAGTTTTACCCTGCCTATGAATCGAACCCTGGGCCACTCACTTGAGGAGAGCATACTGACCATTACACCACAGGTCGCCACAATTTATCACTACATTACCTATGACTACTGTTGTAAGAGGGGGGGGGGTGGGGGTAGCCTATCAATTAGTTTTGTTATTTCTATTTTTTTATCTTATTAAGACAAACCCTACATATGTGTAAGAGGAGTGATTTTTCCTTTTGTAATTTTATTTTCCTATTTCTCTTTTCTGTTAGTATATACTGTAACAGACGGGCAAGGGGGGGACCTAGTTGAGGTTTATAAGCATCTCAGGGGGCACTACTCAGTTGAGTGTCCTTACTTGGAGCTGGCGGACGCTCGCCCCACAAGGGGTCACAGCTCAAGATTGAAGAAGCCGCAAGTCCGGAAAACCGTGAGGGCAAACTTTTTCGGAGTGAGGGTTGTAAACTCTTGGAACAATCTACCAGAGTGTTGTGACGGCACCGAGTGTGAGCTCTTTCAAGAGAAGACTTGACCAACACTGGAGCGGGTTCAGGTACATTCAGGAGCCGGTGCATGCCCAGTACTTGCCAACAGTGCGTGACAGAGACGTGACCTATCGCCCGGGCGGTTAGCGAGCCGACCTTTTGGTGAAGAATATAAAGGAAAAGAGACGTGACCGATCGCCCAAGCAGCTAACAAGCCGATCAGTGGCGAAGAGGATAAAAGTAAAAAAAGTAAAAAAGTATATCACTTCTTTTAATTTCTTTGGTTAATTTTTCTAAGTTATTTTTGTCCCATTTAATTTTCTTATTTATATTATTTTATTTTCTATATTTTTCTACTAATTATTTTCTAAGTTATTATCTATGTACAGTATTTCTTTCAATGTGTTAATTTAGTTAGGTATTTCAATATTCTTTATTTTTCTTTGCTAAATTTTATAAATTTCTTTCAATGTCATTATTTTTTCTTTTTCTTTTTTTCCCTCTTACATTTTCAGTATTTATCAGTGCTTAGTTATGTTCTAGTGAATGAATTAACCTGGGAAACTATAGTACAGTACAGTCAACCCTCACTTTACGCGGTCCCACATTCCGCGTTTCCACGTTTACGCGGTACCCTGCCGAAACCGGAATGCTCACATTCCGCGGTGCGTGTACCCCTTTACGCGGAGAGCGGCGCGAGCAGGGTGCGCACAAGGTCGCCCAGTCATCAAAACATTACCGAGTTCTTCCCCCATCACCCACCACAGCCGGCCCAAGTCAGTGATAGTGATAATGATAGTGAGGATATGGACTTATATGGACTTTGAGGGGTTTGACAAAGAGGTCCTGCAAGCCTCTGTGGTGGATAGTGATACAATTGATACAAGTGATACAGGTGAGGGCCAATAATCTGCCCTCTGCCTCGGAACCAACCCCCCATCCCCGTGTGCCCAGCCATCTTTTCTACCTATGTAAGTGTTAAAAAACCTAATATTATTGATATTTCTCTTAATTATTAATTGTGTGTGCATACCATCATAAAATAAAGAAGTTATTTTTACTAAAACGTAGGTATTGTGTCTGAAAAAGTGGAGTTTGGGGGTCGGCCCGGTCTCTATTTCAATTAATCCCATATGTTATGTTGTTCACTTTACGCGGGCCGCCGTGGGTTGAATTAACCGCGTAAAGTGAGGGTTCACTGTATAGCCTTCATTTACGCGGTCAATTGAACCCGTGGAGGTCCGCATAAAACGAGAAACGCATAAACGAAATAACAGAACATATGGGATGAAATAGAGACTGGGCCGACCCCCAAACTACACTTTTTCCGACACAATACCTACGCTGTAGTAAAAATAACATCTTAATTTTATGATGGTATGCACACACAATTAATATTTAAGAGAAATATCAATAATATTAGGTTTTTTAACACTTACGTTAGTAGAAAAGATGGCTGGGCACACGGGGATGGGGGGTTGGTTCCAAAGCAGAGGGCAGATTATTGGCCCTCACCTGTATCACTTGTATCAATTGTATCACTATCCACCACAGAAGCTTGCAGGGCCTCTTTGTCAAACCCCTCAACGTCCATATCCTCACTCACTGACTTTGGCCGGTTGTGGTGGGTGGCGGGTGAAGAACTCGGTAATGTTTTGTTGACTGGGCAACCTTGTGCGCACCCTGCCTGTGCCGCTTCCCGCGTAAATGATGGAATGAACCGTGTAACTAAAAATTTTTGGTCTGGCAAGGTGCCGCTTAAATGACCAAATGCGTAAACCAAATCCGCGTAAATCGAGACTATACTGTATACTTACACGGTAGACTGCCACCACCTAGGCTTTAATAAGAATATAACTGGTATCATTAAAATGTTAGGTAGCGTGGTAGCAAGCTTAGGCACATGGGTTACAGTGTTCATTTTCTGAGAAGCAGTTGTTAGAAGGAAAGGAACGGTGATACAATTTACTAATTCAATATTTATTAAAGTCAAATGTGAATAAGATGACAATTTTGGGCCACTAGGTCTTACTTTATATGTAACATAATAGATCTTCGATTAACATTCAACATTTTATACCTCATTAAGGGTGTTATATTATTTCTTTGACAATAAAAATGGTCATTTTACACACTTGCCAATAGCACAGATATTAATACAGTACTGTGCTGTAATTTACAACTCAATAGTTCAATTTTAATTAAACTTTTCACCAGTTGAGCAATAAGTATTGACCCCAAGACTAAATATTGTACAGTACTTGTATTTTGCTTACAAATTAACTGCATATTCAAGGCAACAGAGCCAGGCTGACGTAGTATCATCAACATCTCTGGGCGCCTTTCTTGTTCAGAACATTTTCATACCAGGTACATTGATCTCATATTCATTCATCTGATTGGCAGGTCATGATGGTAGAGCCAATATCGAGCCAGCAGCATTAATGAAGATCTTTCATAGGCAGACATTATCCCGGCTGTGTCAAGATGCAAAGAGGAGCCCTGCTTTATTGCAGGTGGTTAGCCTTGATTACTTTCAATGATGTGTAATGCACAGGCAGTCTCTCACAAGCACATGAAGGCTTTGCCCTCACTCACAAGAGAAACCTGCAGTGGATAGTTTCATCATGCCTTCATGCAAACCATAGATGATTTTCTGAATTTGTTCAATTCTCATTTTTTTTTTGTATATAGTTGTCCCAGTTGTCTTAAAAACTTGCGTAAACACCTAAATTAAAGGCTCTAGTATATTGTACTGTACATTATGTGGATGTGATGCTGTATTGTGTATCAGACAATAGTAAAACAGATTTGAGATTTAGTGGTGGACAGGGGTATAGTTGCCATAACAGAACACATTTTTACAGCAGTGAAAATAGGTTCTAAATACATGACTACCCATTGGGGACAGCACAGTGCAGTATATAAAAAGTACTAAGCCTTCAGTAAACAAGGAGGGAGAGTTTAACCAGCATTACACTTGATTGCCTTCATTTCTTTAACCTCTATGGCTAGTTAACCATTTACAGCTAGGTGGACTGGGAGGGGCCAATGATCAAACCTTTAACCCTCAAGACAAGAGGGGAGTATACTGTGTAGTCATGGGTGTAAGGGATAAGTAGTCTCTGGGGAGTTCAGCTGTTTGTACCCAACAAGAACGACGTCGCTCAGAGTGACATTAACAGAACATAAAATTATTGAGCTAGCACAGATGTATACAACCATACCAGCAGTCCAAAAAATTCTTTTGTAAAATAATTTGAGTTTGTTTTGCCTTCTAATCCCATTTTCCTCCCTTTTTAATTTTTCTCTCAATGACACACTGTATTCACTTGATACCCACACCACTTTACAGCAGTAAAAATAAATCGCTAACAGTTACACAATACCAACTGAGCTATTACTCAGATCCCTTACAACCAGAAAAATGGAAAAAGACTAATCCTGTAGCACAGTATAAGATACCATAATGATACAGGATTTACAAAAAATAAAATAAAATAAGTATTTTTTGATATCAAATTACCATCTCTGAAATAACCAACTTCATACTGTACAGCACAGTACTTCCATAATCATTTTTATACAGCATATTCAAGACATTGAAAAACTAAGTTTCCGTTTTGGTTTGGTAGAAACACAGAATTTGGATTTCTCGTTTTCTTTAACCACGATTTTTACCTAATTCATAAGGTAATGTTTGGGTGGCCACTGAAGGGGGCTTTTCTTGCCATTACACAATAACCACCAAAGGCAAAGCTGTATTGCTTAATTATCATTATTTCTTTTGTAAGAAATGTACAGAAACCTTTTTAATGAATGGACACGTAATACAGTTAAATCATTAACAGTTCAGAGGTTAAACAGTCATTTCTGATGCATTAGAATTACTGTACAGTACAGTACTTACAACTCGCACCATACAAACAAAACAAGTAACCCATTCATAGGGAAGATGTATAAATACCTATGTGGCTATGGGAAGGACACAACTTACAGCAGCTAAACATTGCCTAGGACAGCTTCTGTTCTTTTACTGTCATGTACAATGATGAAGCAGGGAATATTTTAAAAGATTTTATACAGTTTCAATACTTTACAACTGGACCCAGTAAAACAACTTGTACAAACCACTAGTTTTAAAATTGCATGAAAATTGAGGAGAGGTAATATTGGACACCTGTGAACATTTAAAACACCATAAAAAAAAACTTTATAAACCACATACTGTACTTCTTCATAGGATGATCAAAGTTTCATTTTATATATCTGGTAGCTACATTACTTACTGTAAATAATAAGACAACCTCCTTTCAAAAAATAACTACTATAAATTTAAGTCTCATAATAATAACATGGGGGGGACCTCACATTTATGGACAGTATATAATGTAACGATGAATTTCTCTTCAATACTGTTACGACCGTGTCGTATTTTTCTATTTTTTTTTTTTTTATATATAACATGCTTCCATGTTGCTCCATATTATACCTCTAATGATGTTATATTTACTATTATATAATCTAGTCACCTTACCCTGTGCTGTTAAGGTTTTAACTGTTATTATTTGTTCAAGCCCATCTTATTTTTTCATTTAGTAATGTAACAAGCATTCTTTGTTCTCTAACGACCATCTGCATCATTAAACGACCCACCGGTGGGTCGCACTGGTGGAAAAAGGCCATATATATAGTAGTCCACCAACTGACGGTTGGCAGTCCAGTCCTCCTTGTCATTTAGTTCACATTGTTTTGGGTGACACTCGTCACCTGTTACTTATACTTAATTTATTTGTGTTGTTCCTGTCGCCACCAATGTGGTATATCTATGTGAGTACCTATTTATGTCTCTATTTATGTCCATCAGTATTTGCTTAGTTACATTTAAGTAATTCAGTGTTGTTTCACGTTAGTTAATAATCAGTGTTAGTTTTTATATGTTTATGCAGTGTTAATGTAATCCAATGCTTTATTTTTATTCTTTTGATGTTTCGATGTTTAGTATCATTTGTGTCTTAAAAGTTTCGATGGTGAATCAATTTGTTGTGACAGCCTACGAGGCTCTTTATTGTGTTAATATTTAATTAATTAAATTCTTAAAGGTTTACTGTATTTATTTTTATTCCCTTTTAATTTACTTCTTTTTTTTTGTTTGGTTACGCCTAGAACCTGGATATTTAAGTAAATTAAGAGACGGCGTAACAATACATATAAAATACTGTCCATAAATGTGAGGTCCCCCATGTTATTATTATGAGACTTAAATTTATGAACAGACACAAAATACAGGTTGGACATAACAAATTCGGGAAGCTTGGGACCAGACCGGTTCTGGATTAGCGAAAATTCCGAACCATCAAAGCCGAGGTTAAACAAGGCAAAATAATACATAAAATGTACTATTACTCTCTAATTTCTTCAGTATAGACATCTTTTTAAAAATAGTTAATGGCACCTGCTTACGTTTAGATTTGTTCGCTGTTCATAAGTGTCAAGAAATTCTATATTTATTAAAACAATGTCTCCTTAGTTTCAAATTAGCCTTCTACCTAGTATGCATTACAGTATAGTCTCATTTTATGCGGTCAATTAAACCCATGGAGGTCCGCGTAAAACGAGAAACGCGTTAACGAAATAACGGAACATATGGGATTAATTGAAATAAGAGACTGGGCCGACCGCCAAACTACTCTTTTTCCGACACAATACCTACGTTGTATTAAAAATAACATCTTAGTTTTATGATGGTATGCACACACAATTAATATTTAAAAGAAATATCAATAATATTAGGTTTTTTAACACTTACGTTAGAAGAAGAGATGGCTGCGCTCACAGGGATGGGGGGTTGGTTCCGAAGCAGAGGGCAGATTATTGGCCCTCACCTGTATCACTTGTATCAATTGTATCACTATCCACCACAGAGGCTTGCAGGGCCTCTTTGTCAAACCCCTCAAAGTCCATATCCTCACTATCACTGACTTGGGCCGCCTGTGGTGGGTGGTGGGTGAAGAACTCGGTAATGTTTTGTTGACTGGGCGACCTAGCACGCACCCTGCCTGCACCGCTTCCCGTGTAAATGATGGAATGTACCGCGTAACTAATAATTGCCGCATCTGGCCAGGTGCCGCGTAAATGACCAACGGTGTAAAGGAGATCCACGTAAATCGAGACTATACAGTACTGTACATTAAGAGCAAAAAAACTAATATTAGTGAAAAAATAATATACTTGTACAATAATGCCAAGGCCTGCCATAGGATAGATGGATCATAGTATAGTACAGTATTCAACAACTTTGTAATGATCAAAATTTTTTAACATAATTTCAAATATATGGCGAGTAAACTACAGTACGCTGTATTCATTTTCATAATTTTCAAAAGGAGTTGCAGGAGATAAGGACCACGGTGGATGGAAACTATGGAATGGATGATATGAGCTTCTTGATGGGACCAGGCCATTCAAAATTTACAGGGGGGTTATCTTAGTTTGTTGACTTATATTGTTAACTACAGTATGGTATTAGCATAGATCTATTGAGGAAGATTGGTTGGAAGGTTGGTGAAAGCTATTGACTCTAGAATTGTGGATGGGCAGTAACACTATCAGCACCTATGTAAAATAAGCCCTGCTGTGCATAGCAAACTTTCTGTGACTGAAGTTTTCTTACGAGTTACAATAAAATAATCTTATCTACTGAACTACAGCACCTCAGGATAAAAACTGGCAAGACTTCTATGAATGAACACTGAAACACTAAGTGACTTTTTGAGTTCCAAAAAGTACGGATATCTAAACTGATGAACAGAACAAAACATAAACATTATGAATTAAATATTAAAAGATACTGCAAATTTTTTTATTTGATCTGAAAGTACTGATCAGAAAACAAACATTATTTAAACCATAGCAGTAATAAAGTACAAACAATTACTATCATGATGAGAAATATCCCTAAAATAATGTATCAGATTCACACCTACCTAATACTGCAACAACAATGTCCTCACCAATAAGGACAGTCTACACCACCATAACAGTTTACACACTAGATACTTGCATTAATGCTGCTTTATTTCCACAAGTGCTGGCTGCAAGAAAATGAAGGTAATGTAATCTCAAGTCAAATCTAAAACAACTATTGTATTGTTCTGCACTGAAACCTCCATATAACAGACTTCTCTCTCCAAATAATCCATTAGTTGGGGAATTCACATTTAATGGACCCTCGATATAATTTGGGGAATTCACATTTAATGGACCCTCGATATAATGGACTTTCTTCTCCATATACAGTATTTCGTTAGATGGAGGTTTCACATCTAAAATATCCTCGGTATACTCTGTACACAAGTTACCAGGAAAATGCTTAACCCCTTGTGTATGGGTCTCTCTGTGAACTGAATAAAATCTTGAGGCAACAGCCAAATTAAAAATAGTGGGGTCTCTGTAGTGAAGACCTTAATGGAGATAATCTACAAAACCCTTGTGTATGGGTCCCCCTCTGAGCTGAATAAAATCGTTTGGCATTAGCCAAATAAGATATTAAAAGTGGCATCCCCAAGGTGAAGAGATTAACACATTACTGTATGGTACTGTAAGCTGCACAACAATAATTTTAACTAAAACTTCAAAGGTGCATAAATTGTATTACAAATACTTAAAAATTCTACCCAAAGACAATGTAAGGTACATACAGTCACCACAAAAATTCCATCGCCTCTCTTCCTGAACCACGAATCCCGAAATTCAGACTCATGAATCTGAACCATTTATGGACAGAGAAATGCATCAGTCTACTACTTCAGGTTCACGAGTCTGAATTTCGGGGTTTGTGGAACAGCAGGAGAGGTGACAGGACTTTTGTGGGTGACTGTACATTTAACTTTAAACAGCTTCACTTGCAAACATCTTCTCTTATTCTACTCTAAAGTATCTAATTCATCACTACTCCCTGGCTTACCATTTGTAACATTAAGATTTGTACTTTTATCATCAAGTGACCCATTATTCATGGGTTTAGAGATATTTTCCTGAGATTCATGCACAACATCTTCATTTCTCTCCAGCTGACATCGCTGCCGATTCTCTGGACACATTTCCTCAGTCACCTCTAGTTCAGTTTCACTGTGAGCACTTGGGTATGCTGCTGGTCCAATTAGTGACAGCAAAACAGGAAGAAAAACTAGTCCATGGAATAGCCCGTACAGTACCACAGCAAAGAAAATCTGTAAAAAAAAAAAAAAAAAAATTAATCAGCATTTCAATTATGATACAACAGAAAATCATAAAAAATTACACCTACAATGTAACACCATAAAGGGCTTAGGAGTTGTAAGGCTTGACTACCAGTTGGCACCACCAATAAAGACAGTCAAGGCGAGTGTCAACACAGTCAAGCTTTGTTAACATTCACCCAAAAGGAACAGAAAAAATTACTCTTTGATAAGTGTTTTTCATTTAACAAATGAGTTTGAGTTAAAGAACTTAAAATAAAAGCAATTATCACTAAATAAGTTGTATGATTATAGTGTACAGTAGTACAGTATCCATAATTATAACACATTTCACATATCTAACCTAAGCTACCCTAACCAAAATAAAGGTTAATTAAAAATTTACCATTTCTTAGTTTCTTCTTTTCCTAGCAAAAACTTTTTTTCACTATTTCTCTTTTCCAAATATTAAAAAAAATACTAACTTACTGTTTTAAAGTGCTTACCTTATACAGTAGAGTATAGGCTGTCAAGAGTGGTTTAAAAGAAGTGGGGGGGGGGGAGCACAAGAGGTGTGTGATGTCCCCTTATTTACTTGATGCCAATATGGATGGAATAATATGAGAATTGAGAGTAAGAATGGCTGACTGCAGAGTGCCAATATATCAAGGTGACAGAGTGGTAGTTAATGGATCATTTCCCTAATGAAATATGAAATAATTTTGACCAATACTGTACTGTAATCAGAACTGGGCAGTGATGTATTTAACATTATTCAAATATGTATTTAAATACATAATATATTTAAAAGACAAACAGTAAATTACTGAGCATTTTTTTTACATTTATCTTTCTATGCACGAGAAATTATAAAACATACCTTAAAGAAAGTAGTAAAGACATGTGAGTCAGAGTTGGCCAAGAAGATGAAGGCGAGGAAGGTGCTGAAGCCGCCGTTAAGTACCGCTGGACCGATGGTGGCTACAGTGACTCTTGCACGGTCATCCCTCATACCTCTCTTGGTCATAAATGTATGGCCGACGTGAGCAGCATAGTCTACACAAAGACCAATGGCGAGGACAATGTCAATGCATGAAACAGTGTCTAAGGTGAGGCCCCACCAGTGCATGAGAGCCCCCACATCCACAAGAGTCAACACCACACACAGCAACACCATCAAACTCGTTTTTAAATTGGCAATCAGAATAAGAGTCACAATAAATACTACCATCATGGCCAGTCCCATATTCTGATACAGTTCCCTCTCAATAATTTTGTCTGTTTCCCATCCACTGTATATTCTTGCAAATGGCTGTACATAGCCACTGAAATTCAAGCTTTGTACTATAGACTTGAGATCATTCATTGCTCTAATTTGCTCCCGTGACCCTGAAAGCAGGCGATGTTTATATTCTATACTTGTTGCCAGGATTGGGGGAGAGGGTTCTGTGCAGTTTAAAGTGCCGTTGAAATGGAAATTCCTAACACGGAATTTTGACCCACTCGGAGAATAAAGAAATATTCCCAGTTGGTCAAGAAACATCTCTTCAGTTTCATCTGGTTCTGGCACGAAATAGCCTTGCTTTTCCCAATACTTCTTGTAGTTCAAGTACCAGCTGTCAACTTCACTGATATATTCACTTTCCTTCATTAGTGTCATTAGCTCCTCAATCTTTGGTAGCTCATCAAAGTAATTCATTTTGCCAAAATAAATCATGCCCATTTCACCTGAAGCTGGATAATAAAACTCTTGCTTCATAAAGAATTTGAAGAGATAAGAACTCTGTGGAAGAAACCAGATGGGGTTGAACTCTTGCCGGAGATTTGAAAGACCCCATCCAGACACTGCAAAGAGAACAGCTGTCAAAAATAGTACGACTATCTTCACAGGTAATTTAAAAAGGTATTTAGCATATACACCATTAAAGAAGGTCTGGCACAGATCTTTTTGACTACATTGGTTGGGAGTCCAATTCTTTAGTTTCCAGCACCATAGGAGCCCATGCCGATGATCTTCCAACCTTCGTTGATCTAGTACAAACCATGCCACAAAGAAAGTGGCTTGAAACACATAAACTGCAGCAATACCTACAGCAGCATATAGGCAAAAGGATCTTAGCGCTGGTAGAACCGTCCCACTACCTATGGCAAAGGCAGCAAAGTCCGTCAAGGATGTCACTGTAATGGAGACACCAGCGTGCTTGAGAGTAAATCCAATTCGATCTGTGAGCTTCTGTTTTTTCTCCTGCTGACTGAGGTTATTCCAGGCTTGCATTATCACAAACATATCATCAATACCAAGACCAAGGAGAAGAAACGGTAGAACATTATTGACTGGTCCAAATGGCACATTAAACATGGAACATATCCCGTACGAGACAAAAATTGACATCACAACACAAACTAATCCCATTAATGATAATAAAGGTCGCTGTTCTACCATATTAAACTTTCCTAACATGATCTGGACATATATGAACACTACACCAAAACCAACGGCCAAATACTGTGCATCTCCTGTTATTGTCTCTTCACTAATCATACCAAAGCTCGATGCTGCCATGAGATATAGAGATACATTATCTGGTCTCTCGCTTTCATTCAACACAGCTTTTATGAGTTCTTTTTCCCACTGAAAGCTAACAGTATCTACTTCCATACCAGTTCCCCCATCATCCATGAAGTCACCAGCAACAATTGCTGTTTGGTTGATGTGTGTGATCCACAAGTGCCTCGATGCTCCAGCTTTTATCACTCGGCCATCACTATCGTGCTCTGTTTTTCCCAGAAACTTAGTAAAGTTTGTTGGAAATCCAAACACAGCACTTGTTTTAACACTGTTTATGTCATCAATAATCTGAGCAGGTGTAAGGTCACTGATTTTATTGTGATCATACCCCCAAATTTCAAGGATGCTGTTCTCTATGCATTCTTGCTTCATGTTCTCCACAAAGCTACAGTAAGATTCTCTACCAAGAATAGTACTCCAATCTAACCCACTGTCTTCTTCCTCCTCTCGCTTTATTCTCAGAGAAGCATGGGGGTGAATATTCTGTCCAGATACTATTTCTTGGCCAATGCTCCGCTTTCTACGACCAAGGAAATTTCCAAAGAATGAGGTCTGTATAACTGGCATTTTGGCACAAACTGAGTCCCATGTTGCATCAGTTGTTGTGGCACCGGCAACAGCATCATGTACCCTAAGCATCTCTAACAATACACTTTTATCCAACACATTCTCTGCCTCATAAATAGCAATGTGCATTCGAAACTCTGCTGGATAATTTTCCTTTTGCCACTCCATAACTTTGATAAAGTCGGAATCCTGGGGAATCCAGAGTTTAAATGGTCGTTCTTCCAGTGTAAAATTAATCAAGCCTACAGAGGAGAAGGCTGTTACTATCAAACATACACAAATAAAAACAGCTGGGTGCTGAGCGATTGCAGTGCCAAAAGTGTAGAAGGCATTTTCCAAACCATTAATGATGATTAAACTGACATAACTTAACACATTCCCTGGTTTCATCTTGACTTTAACTTTGTTGACAGAGTCTGTTGTACTGGCCTTCATGATGACTTGTTCACTCCATGAACTTCCTGAGAAAAAATAAATAAAAAAATTACTATATGTATTAAATACTGTACAATCAAACACTTCAAGCAATATACTGTACATTCACAAACCCGAAGAATTTTTCATATTTTTATCACACATTCTTGGAATAAATGAATTTGGCATTGGTACATGCAAGGGCAGTATTTCTATTAAATAAGATAAACCAATGTAACCTACCTTACCTTACCTTCCCTAACCTAATCTAGGATGGAAGTTAAGTAGTCTGTCCTCATGAGTAATTAGTGCGTGTGATCAATGTACGTACAGGTGTTGCTAGTGTGTGATCAATACACAGGTGTTGCTAGTGTGTGATCAATACACAGGTGTTGCTAGTGTGTGATCAATATACAGGTGTTGCTAGTGTGTGATTAATGTACAGGTGCTGCTAGTGTGTGATCAATGTACAGGTGTTGATAGTGTGTGATCAATGTACAGGTGTTGCTAGTGTGTGATCAATACACAGGTGTTGCTAGTGTGTGATCAATACACAGGTGTTGCTAGTGTGTGATCAATACACAGGTGTTGCTAGTGTGTGATCAATACACAGGTGTTGCTAGTGTGTGATCAATATACAGGTGTTGCTAGTGTGTGATTAATGTACATACAGGTGTTGCTAGTGTGTGATCAATGTACAGGTGCTGCTAGTGTGTGATCAATGTACAGGTGTTGATAGTGTGTGATCAATGTACAGGTGATGATAGTGTGTGATCAATGTACAGGTGCTGCTAGTGTGTGATCAATGTACAGGTGATGATAGTGTGTGATCAATGTACAAACAGGTGTTGCTAGTGTGTGATCAATGTACAGGTGCTGCTAGTGTGTGATCAATGTACAAACAGGTGTTGCTAGTGTGTGATCAATGTACAGGTGCTGCTAGTGTGTGATCAATGTACAAACAGGTGCTGCTAGTGTGTGATCAATGTACAGGTGCTGCTAGTGTGTGATCAATGTACAGGTGCTGCTAGTGTGTGATCAATGTACAGGTGCTGCTAGTGTGTGATCAATGTACAGGTGATGATAGTGTGTGATCAATGTACAGGTGCTGGTAGCCTGTGTGGCGCATCCATGACAAACCCCCAACGGACAAACCCCAGTGGACAAAACCCCAATGGACAAAACCAAACCCATTATATGAAAAGTGGACAAAACCCCAGTCTTGTGAACCTGTGTTCTGATCGTCAGTCAGAATCTAAGAGTGTAGAGGAGTTCCTGCAGGGTGTTGGTTTATGTATTCGATTCAAAGAAACTGATATATTGTCATGAATCCACGAAAAAAAGTCACAAGAAAAAAAGGCCACTGAAAAAAGACACGGAAAAAACCCAACCTAACTTAACTTAACCTAACCTACGTGCAATGCCATCATATATATATAATATATATATATATATATATATATATATATATATATATATATATATATATATATATATATATATATATATATATATATACATAATGTGTTTGCAAACATAAGTGTTTTATTTTATATATGAGACTGGGGTTTTGTCCACTTTTCATATAATGGGTTGGGGTTTTGTCCACTGGGGTTTTATGTCCGTTGAGGTTTTGTCCGGAGATCTGTGTGGCGGCTAACGAGCCGATCAGGGGTCCGACTAATTACCGAAATGTACCCAAATGGTCCTACATGAATAAATCGGACTGCCAATCACTTCTCGACTAGTATTTGGTGTCACGAAGTCACAAAAAATTGGTAAACTTAATTTAATCTGAGTTAATAGATCAAGTGCATGTACCTAACCTAACCTAACACAACTCAGATTAAATTAAGTTTACCAATTTTTTGTGACTTTATGACACCAAATAATAATCGAGAAGTGATTCACAGCCCGATTTACGCTTGTAGGATCATTATTTGACTTCATTGCAGCTACATTTGGGTACATTTGGGTAATTAGTCGGACCGGCCGATCAGTGATGAAGAGGATCAAAGTAAAAAGTAAAAAAGTGATGAATGTAAAGGTGTTGCTAATGTGTGTGATCAATGTATAGGCGTTGCTAGCATGTGTAATCAATGTTACACTAGTGTGTGATGAATGCAATTGTGTTGCTAGTGTGATAAAAGTTGACAAAACAGTAAACCTTATAGTTCAGTCGTCCATAACATTACCCCAAAACCAGGCCTCCGGAAAACTACTTTTACTTTTATCCTCTGCAGTGACAATATTTACGTTATGAAAAGGGCAAAACAGATTCATCAACAATAATATTAAAATTTGTACAAGTAATAGAATGTGACTAGTGTTGCAGAAGATAACTAGTAAAGACAAGACAACAAAAGCAGACGACAGTGAAGAGGATAAAAGTAAAAGACTGCTCACAAATCTACATAAACAATTGTATTTTATATTTACAAATCAAGTTTAATGTGATGATACCTCACCTTATTCCAAAACTTCTCACACTTGAGGTAGCCCACGCAGTAAAACAAAACTGAGAAATAGGAGCCACATGACTACTGTGGGATCACCCAACTAAATTGACCTTTCCCGACACAGTACGAGTCACGAGTGATGGAGTAACACACACTCACAGTATACTATATACTTCTCTAATGGTGGCTGATTGACTGAGTGTATTATTTCACCATTTATCAGCTTACTAGCCGTTCAACTCATTGGTCAGTTTTCTTTTTGTTACTCGCGGGAGAAAACAGTAAAGGGGTAGACAACGCCTACCACCAGAAGGAATTGTCCGATTTGGTTGAGTTTTTTCTACACTCTACTATATATCAAACACTGGGGTACGAGTGACACCACTAGGATCCCGCCTCCTGTCAAGGAATAAACAATTGAAATTGAATTGAATTGATATAAAACACAAAAAAATTGAAGCGGGATAGAGTAAATAAAAAAATTAAAACAAAATACTTAAAATCATAATAGAAAGTTGTTCATTTTAATACGCTTAAAATCAAAACAATAAGTACAGCAAAAAATAAAGAAAATCAACAAACAACTTCTGGCGGTTCACAAATAGGGTGGTGGACGAGTGGAACAAGCTGAGCAAGGTTGTAGTAAGTGCTGGACACTGGGAAGTTTTAAAAGGAGGCTAGATAGATTCATGGACGATAGAGAGTGGTAGTAACTCTGGACAGGAGCTGCCATGCACAGGCCAACCGGCCTATTGGAGACTCCTTATTTTCTTATGTTCTTAATTAATCATATTATCGTATCATAGCTGGATGATCGTCATACCCGATTCCGAGTGACAGCAAAGTAGCAGTAGTAGCCATCACTATCACCCGTGCGGGTGATCACCTGGCGATGAGCATCATAGGCAGCTGCGGTCAAATGCAGGATCATCAGGGTGTCTGCCTCCTCGTGTGAACATGGCGCCACTGCACCAAGTCAGCACGAGCACGCAGTCATTGAGGATGGTGGTGAAGAGCTACTTGCCCTGCAGACAAAATAAATGATTTTGTGAGAGCTGGATGTATATGAGATCAAAGGATTGTAGTGAACACAACACACCTGCTATATGCCTGTATTGTCTTATACAAAATGCACAAAATCTTTCTCAACCATGGAAGAATCATCTGCTTCATGTACTTCGCCATGCAGTTCCACAAACAACCCCTTGTTCTGGTCCACTCACAGGAAAGCCGCTCAGTTACCAAGAACTTTAGTTGCAAGTGTCTTCGAGTACACATCCTAGACGATGTCGACTCTGGTTATTTTCAAACCATTTGATAACATAAGGAAAGAGGACACTTGTACAGTATTGGCTAATCGTCGTGGCATTGCTTGGACGTAGCATCTGCACAAGCACTGGCTCATCGAGCACAGCACAAGTGGTATGTGGTCTGGCATCCACAGCGGTGTCTGACATGATACAGTCAAGGATCTCTCGTTGTGCCGTCGTACATCTTCCCTTTTCGTGTGAAGGCAAGTGATTGTTCGCTGCTCCCATTCTTAAATACTGACTCTGAGATGTTTCTTCCTGAATGTGCACCAGATCCACGGTGGTCCTCAATGTAATCCAGAAGCCTCCACACACCCTTTTTCTCCCTCTCTACTCCCACAGATATTGTGTATCTAGACAGTTGTCTCCTCTAGCGGCCGGCTCATCCACGCCATCGCCGTTATGGCTCACCTGTGGCATGCATCGCCCGTTCTGCCCCTCATGTGCCATGCAACCCTGCAGATAACAAGTTTCCTACACTGCCTGGAGGGAAGGGGGAGTATTGTAGTGGATTTCTCCCCTACAAACGCTGTTTGTCGCTGAGTAGCCGACCCCGCGAATTCCCCAGTGTATGCCTCGTGGTCTGGGTCAACCAGCGCCGCTATACATCACAGAGGTCAACTACTAAGCCACGCCTACCCCCGCTATTTAAGACCTGACCTCGTGGTGACCTCTCTCTTCTTCTAGCTACAGCCGCAGCAAGCAGCACCACCTCCTCCGCCGCTGCCTGGCGGCCCTCGCTCTCGCCGGCGAGCATGGCGACCCACAAGCTGGTCCTCCTCTGAGCACCCTCACCAACCAGCTCTCTATACATCACGCTTGTAACCACGCTGCCACTTCCCAGCACCAAGCTGCATTGTACATCCAATACAATATGTATACAGTGAGCACATTGTGAGTTTCCTTTCTCCATCCCATCCTGAGTGTGAACCCAAACATCCCATACCCCACAGTACCTTCAAATACAAAGTTAAGAAAATATTCCTTCAACTTTATAAGTCTCTCGTATGTCCTTATCTGGATTACTGTATACAGACATGGAAACCTTGCCTCCAGAAAGACTCAGCATCCATAGTCGAGGAACAACACAGAAGGGCAAACTTTGATAGTTTGAAAAGACAGCTGAGAGAAGGGGTATTACATTTGGGGGTGAATTACATGACCTCACATGAGGTGGTAAATAACATTACCTCACATAATGTACCCATAGAGAATGACCTCACTTTACCAGGGGACCTGATAAAAATAACCTCACAAAATATGACCACTGAGGGTGACCTGAACATGAAGTATGAGGTTGACGAGTCCATAAATTAAATAATGAGTCACTTGGAAAATTCAGATCAAATGGATAAATAATTATTTATTAAGAATATTATTGGACAAAGGAAGGCTACGGTATACGTAGGAGAATCAATCGTGGTGACATTTACCTCCGAAATTATTATAAAGTACAGTACCCTGTATTGGCCAGTTCGATTAATACCGAGATAAGAAAAATAAAGAGGAAAAATGAACTAAAGGTAGCAAGGGAGACAAAGTCAAACCCTAAAGCATTCTTCCAAATGTATAAAAATAAAACACGAGACAAAATTGTACCAATACAGACAGATACCAGCAAACTAACTGATGACAGAGAAATGAGAAATAATATGAACAGATATTTCTTCGTCAGTTTTCACAATCAAAAATTTAAATATGATACCCGAGGCACAGACTATCTACAGAGATAGTGAAGAAAATAGATTAAGCGAGATAGTTGTGACTATTAACTATGTTAGTAAACCAGATAAGCTAAAACCAAATAAGTTTCCAGGTCCCGACGAGATATTTGCCAGAGTATTAAAGGAATGTAAGAAAGAAGTTAGTATGCCCTTCGCAAACTTGTTTAACATGTCATTAAAAACCAGTGAAATACCAGAATCCTGAAGGATAGCAAATGTGTGACCGATTTTCAAGAAAGGAGATAGATCACTATCCTCTAACTACTGTCCAGTTACAGTAGTTTAACATCAATTGTAGGAAAATTACTGGAAGCAATAATTTCAAATTCAATTAAAAAAACACCTCAAGAAACACAAATTGATCAATGACTCCCAGCATGGCTTCACAAGTGGGCAATCTATTATAATTTTTTTCAACTGTTTTCAAATCAGTGGATGACGGACACGATTATGGTGTGATTTACCTCAACTCTAGCAAAGGCTTCGATAGGGTCCCCCACGAAAAACTATTATGTAAAGTGGAGGCTCATGGAATTGGAGATGTTCTAAACTGGATTAGGGCATGGTTACAGGACAAGAAAGAGAGAGACAGTATTAATGGCACCAAATCCGATTGGGGTAATGTCATTATAGCGGGGGTTTTCCCAGCTGAGAAAAGATGCCCCGCCCCATCCTCAAAATTTACAGCTGATTGGCTGTTGCAAACCTGTCTGATTTTGTCCTGAAGTAATGATGTATTTCTAAATGAGTTTATTCATCATCGTTGGGATGACCGTTTCTGACGAGAAAGATATTTAGCTGAATTATATAAAGATACATACATTCATTATTTCAAACATAAGCAAGTAGGAAGTTTATCAGAAGTATTATACATGAATTAACTGTTAAACTCTGGAAGCAAATTCACGCTTTCGGAAGATGCATTTAATATACATAGTTATTTTTACCCACAATAAAGCATACTAAGACAAATTACGTATCAGCAATATTACATTATGCAAAACCAACATTTTAAAAGATCAGAATCACGTTGAAATATTACATGACCGTCAGCAGAGGCTGGAAATATGACTGCGAAGAACTTCATATTTTTCCCGCCTCTGCTAACGGTCGTGTAATATTTCAACGTGATTCTGATCTTTTAAAATTTTGTTTTTGCATAATGTAGTATAACTGATATGTAATTTGTCTTAGTTTACCTTTTGTGGGTAAAAATAAGTATATATTAAATGCATCTTCTGAAAGCGTGAATTTGCTACCAGAGTTTAACAGTTAATTCATGTACATAATACTTCTGATCAACTTCCTACTTGCTTATGTTTGAAATAATGAATGTATGTATCTTTGTATAATTTAGCGAAATATCTTTCTTGTCAGAAACGGTCATCCCAACGATGATGAATAAACTCATTTAGAAATACATAATTACTTCAGGACAAAATCAGACAGGTTTGCAACAGCCAATCAGCTGTAACTCTTGGGGAGAGGGGGAGGGCATCTTTTCTCAGTTGAGAAGAAATGCACTATAGTGGAGTACCCTAAGGTTCAGTACTTGGACCATTACTATTTATCATATACATAAAACAACATGATATAGATGTAGACAGCAACATAAATAAATTTGCTGACGACACAAAAATAGGGTGTGTAATTAAATGACGAGGACTCTGCAAAACTACAAGAAGATCTACACAAATTTTTTGCATGGTCTGAAAAATGGCAGATGAAATTTAATGTGGGCAAATGTAAAGTACTTAGCCTCAGAGATGTAAACAGAGAAACCAGATATCAGATAAATAACGTTGATATAGAGAAATCAGGCTGAGAAAGATTTAGGAGTAATGGTAAGTATTAATCTTAAACCAGGACAAAAATGCATATTTGCTCAAAACAAGGATAACAAAGTACAGTATTTGGTTCATACATAGGAGTGTTAGTTACAAGACTAGCGAGGTTATCCTAAAACTATATCTTGCACTTGAGACATCACTAGGATTATGCAGTTCAGTTTTGGTCACTACTACAGAATGGATATTGAATCCCTACAAAGCATACAAAGGAGGAAGACAAGACTAATCCCGAGCATTAAGAACCTGAAGTAGAGACAGGTTAAAGCACCTTAATTTGCATTCCCTTCAAGAGACGTAGAGTGAGGGGCGATATGATCGAGGTGTATAAATGGAAGTCAGGGTTAAAGAAAGGTGATATAACAAAGGTACTTAAATTATCCAACCAGGAGCAAACTCAGGAATGGTTTTAAATTAGACAAATTTAGATTTAGGTGCGAGATTAAACACTGGTTTGGAAATAGAGTTGAGGATGAGTGAAACAAGTTTCCAAACATCAACATTAACTTGAACACGTTGGATAGCATCAAATAAAGGTTGGACGGATATATGAGCGATAGAAGTTGGGTATAAACAGGATTGCCCGGTAGGGGCCAATAGGCCTGCTGCAGTTTCCTCTATTCTTATGTTCATCTCCTGAACTTAAGATAACTGATTCACACCCAGTGTACCCTTAATTCACCCAACTGTGAATGGAAACTAAACTTTCCAGTTCGGGAAACTGATGAAAAAGAGAGTAGAATACACTAATGAGAAAATGATGGTTTAGTCTACACTCTTGTCACTGTTTACTAGTTCTCTCATGTATAGAATACAGGTACACAAGCTGAGGGTAAAATACTTATGTTATCATTCAAGCTTTGCAGTAACAACAACAATCACAAGGGACCCAAGAGGAGAGAGGATCAGTGCTAGGTGACCCCAGGACAAATGTGTACATGCACCAAAATGCATGAGAAATTAAGTGTATCAGGACACAAACAAGCACACTCGGGGGACAGCATAAAGTATCAGATGTTGGCACAAGTAATGGGAAGCAAGAGAACATCCCAAGGATAATACAAGTTGATTCCTCCAAATCCAGTTAGCTGTATTAGAGATTTCTGATACATCTTCTGAGGCTGGTTGCTGTACTATATGATTAATACTGTAGTGTATACACAATGTTTATTATACCAAGTTTCAGAACACCTGTATATCTTGTGTTTCCTGTATTTCAGTTTTTATACTGTATCTTCCTTAGGAAATTTCAGAAAACAAATTCCGTCAGATCAACCTTTTATTGTAGTTTGACCATAACAGAGCCGAGACTGGAGAGAAGTTAGTCCTGATGCATAATCTACAGCATAAAAATACTTCAATAAACCTCTGATGATTATTCAATCTTAAAATAACTTGGGAATAATTGTAAGATTAAAGAAAAATCTTCATACATAAGGTAAACTAATCCTTTTCCATATTTTATACATAAAAAACTTGTACATTTTCTTTCCTGCTCTACATCAATGTAGATAATTGAACAATTGTGCGAAGAAATTTCCTGTCAAAAATACATTTATGCTATAAATAACTGCTACAGTGTACAAAAAGAACCCTTTTTTTTTTTACAAGATCTTAATCAAACAAAAGAGCAAAAAATATCCACAACAAAAGTGCCTGCAGCTTCAATACTGCACCAGAAGCTTCTTACATACAGTAAATGAAGAACAAGAGCAACATCAATTTTGTAATAAGGTTCACATCAAGTTGGGGCGGCTCTGTCAGGGTCATCCAGGGTGGTAATGCTGGGGTAATGGCGGTGGTGATGGTGTGCACAGAGCCAGGACCACCCCACATATACTCTGCCATGACATATAATGATGACTACTGGGATACTGGTACCACCATGCACTCAAATAATTTCTAACATTTAGATGACTGTTCTGTGCACACTACCAGAAAACTGCAGCAAATATGTAGGTAAACTGTTGGAAAAAAAAAAAAAAAAAAGAGGGTACAAATGTGTTAAAATTACAAATAATCATGTAAACTTCTTCACTATACCATTCAACAAAATTCAAAATACTGTACAGTATTATGCTGTAATTACAGAAATGGGAATGCTGAATACACACAGATGTACCTGATCCTTACTTATTGAACAACACCAAAATACACATGTATTTTCATTATATTTGGGGTGTAACATCTTGTATTTATAAAGAACTGTACTGTACATGTATAAGCAGCAGAGTCAAGAGTTTAAAATAGAATGTATGAAGAAGTTTAAGCTGTTATTACTCATTTTAAAATCATAAGCAAATATAATTACCAGTGATTAAAGATTCTGAATTATGATAGCATTTATTCTTGTATAATTCAGACAAAAACCTTGATTCAAGATCTACACCCTAAGATGGTGGATTATTACACGATTTGTTGAAATTCTCAGATCAAGAACATCGGTAAACTCCCTTGCAATCAGATCTTTAAACTTCATCATAATCTACTCCAGTTTTTAATTTTAATTACAAAAATCAGTCAGAAGAGTCATATATATGCAAGTAATGAAAAGTTATAGTGCTCCATGTTCCATAATGGAAAGTTAATCCTACCTCCGACATTTCCATATGCATCACAATGGTACCAGCCCTGTCAGCCAACTACATACTGTATTCTGATATTATCTCTCATGACAATACAACTTGAATTATCTGGCTAAATCTATAGAAGCACAAAGTGCAGAATTATTGAAATACCTTCTGTATTTAGGTGGTAACAAAATTATTCAAATTGTACTCGTATACATTATTATTAAAAAGTTCCATAAACCTAAAACATAACAGTGAGCTTGTGACTCCTCCTTACACACCCTGAATTATAATTATTTCCTAACAAGGTAAAGAGTCACAAGAGAATTTTATTATAATTCTAATAGGTTAATGAATACATGTTTAACATAAGGTCTGAGTACAGTACAGGGGTTCCCAAGGACTTACACCACACCAGATGTGCCGCCACCGTCACACCCCAGGACTCCTCAAATATTCTAAATGAATAGACATGAAGACAACAGCAAAGTCAAAAAATACTCAAGCATCTAAACACTGTAATCCTAAAATGCAAGCAGAAAAAAAAATTGCTGTCAATAAGACACTGACATACAGGTCACCAGAAAGCAAATAGGTTTTTAATGCACAATCACTAAATATATACTGTAGGATCTACCTTCACTTAGAGAGTAAAATAACAAAGCTTAAGATTGAACCACCAACCACATGACTTAAATAAGAAAGTTACACATAAAATAAAGTCCATGCAACAGTGTTCATGGTATGGCTACAAACCTTTCCCAGCACAAGGTAGTGTTCAGAGTGCCAGGATGATAATCGTAGCTGCATCACAAACAGCTGTATCCTTATCTTCTGTGACCTGACCTGTCATTCCCAGCTCTAAACCATATTTCAATAAGATTCACTTTCCAAATCAAGTGGGAGAGAGAAGCTTATGATAACCCTTGGCAAGACTCAAAACAGAAGGTCATATCACATTTTTGGCTTCAAGAACCAAGTTCCTGATGGTGTGGTTAAGTAAATCATAGTACAGTACATCCTTGTTCTTACAAAACAGTAAATTACCATTTTAGTTTAAACTACCTTTCTCATAATGTTCAACAACAGTGATAAGCTAATGTGTTTGTAAATATAACTCCATTAAGCAGTTTGGAGAATACTGAAGGTCAATTAAAAAAAATCTCAGATCAGCTTCCTTACAAACAACTGGGCACTCATCACTACTGTATACTGAGGTTAATACTAACTAAATTATGCCTAATATATCCTTGTGCCTGTGAAACTTAATTACTGAATGACACATCTTCAACACATGCAGGAGGATACTGGCATGCATTATTGCCTCTTGGGACAAGTAATTATAAACATTCAACTTAAAATGTTACCTCAATATTAGAAACAGCATATTAAAAAAAATACTAAATATGTCCTTATTCTAACAAAGAAGTGTTGGACATGATACACACACAGTGCCAACATCTTAACCATTCAAGAATCAATCTAAAGAAAAGTATTATCTTAAAGGGGACTTGGTTATCATGCTTATTTGTAAAACAAATACTAAAACCTATAAATGGACAAAGTTTTAAATAAGTAGATGCTTGATAATAAAGGCATTAACATACATAATGATTGTGGGTATATTGCTAGGCACTTGACCACACCACCAGGTAGTTACGTGAGCCACAATTGGCAGCCCTCTCAGGCAATGTTTTCCGTTGTCTTCATATGTGTTCATAATTGTAATCAGTTCGCACTTATAATGTCATCACAGCATGAGTGTGTTAACCGCCACTGTTGTAAAACCCCCCGTCATCACAAGTAGAAATTCACATCCGTGTCGGATGAATAAATTCTAGCTCTCGACAACTTGTGGGTTAAGGTTAAATTACACGTCCTACAGCTCATAAATGCATTCTAAAGGGGTAGGGCAAGTAACACTACCATGCCCCAATTCTTTCATATCTGGTTCTGTTGGAGGAAGAGCTTAGAGTGGTACTGCTGAAGAAGCTTAGGCAAGAGATTTTTAAAACACCACTTTGTCTGTAGGAGAATAAGTGCTTGAGCAATATATTTTTCAAGACAATCAGCTGTTGCAACATCAGCACACGCTAAAAATGTTTCCACTATTGTTTAAGTGATTGTTTTAAAAATCTAGCCCAGATCAGTTAAAGAGAAACAGATAGCAAAAGTAGGAACCCCATGAGAGTACGTTAATACTACATAAAACAAGAGGGCCATTTCAATACTTGGTACAGTACTGCATATTCAAATTTCCCTCATTTCTATCACCGGTTATTGATAGAAGATAAGCCTTACACTCTTTAGAAAACTTGGTCACTCTTATAAAACTAATTCAATGTTCATGAGCCTTCAAAATTGATGCTTCAAATAATCTCGGTTTGTGCTTACAAACTTTAAATATGGAAAAAAGCACATGAAAAATACCTAGTATTATGCAACAAACATCAATGATCAGATACTGCAAGCAACTCCCTGAATTAACTCTAGTTCAAGGAGAATGTCAACTTAGTCAAGATGAAGGTATTACTAGTTTCGTGGGTTCATATGACACTGGTCACCAAGTGCATGGGAGAACCTGCCTCCATCATTACTCTAGGAGCTGTGTAGCCACTGGTCAGTGTGCTCACAAAAGTTCCCATTTTGGAATTTCTCTTGACAACTCTCAGATATGAATTATTACTGCAATTAGGCTAATTTATTGTCTTATAATTATGATTAATTTATCATAACATAAAGGAGACATTACAACTCCCCAAATTCACAATATATTTACAAACTTTCGTTGCTCTCCAAAACACAAAATAGGGGTTTTCGTGCAAAACTTGAAGCACATACAGGGTATTAATACAAAAGGGTGAAACATGTTCTTCTGTCTAACTAACCTAGGAGTTAAAGTGGATCACATATCCTTGAACAGTAAGACAATTTAAAATACAGTACAAAAAGTATAGAGAGAACTTCAATGTTATTCCCAAACTATAAACATGATGTTGAGAGAGTACAAGACCAACACAGTGGCTACACAGATCTGAGAAATAGTTTCCCAGTGGTTGAAAGATGGAAAATTACAGGTGTCATCTACTCAAGACAGCAGGTAGGTAGGATCCTATGTGGGCCGATGATGATGATACCACAGAGATATGACCAGTACAGAGGCACCAATAAGACTCCCACACAGTGTCTCGTGAGCATGGATGACACGTTGGCTATATAATAATGCCAAGAGAAACCTAGACTGACCCACATATTTAGTCACTGCTTGCTAGTTGCGAGATGTACAACACTAATGCACCAGGAGGTACAGTTTGTGAACTTCTCATAAGGTAGGTGTATATAGACAGTATTAACAGAGACTTTACTGTGATCAACAACAGTAACAAGAGACTTTAGTGTGATCAATAACATAGGAGACTTTACTGTGATCAAGAACAATAACAACAGACTTTACCTTAAATTATATCTGATAACTTTTGTGAACAATTTATAAGGATGACTACTACTTCTTTACTGAACCACTTGTCTCATCCATTTACCAATCGCAAAGAACAAAAATTATCTTATCGGTCTTCTGGCACCGAGCGTAAAAAAGGACAAACACAATAGACAAGGATAATAAAGCAAAGTTGAGGCCAATTTATAACATTACGAGTAGTGAGGAAGGAAAATCTTCAGTAGGTCTCATTACAGCAAGAGGACAGCGCTTTGAAAAGTTGTTGGCATCTAATGGGTACAACTCGTCACATTGTGAGTAAATATTGGGTGCAGAATCTCTCTACGGGGAAGCTCTTATACACTACCAACCTAAGATTATGGGAGTGTTTGAGGGAGGGCCGGAGAGCAATGTGCATCTGAGGTGAAGTCTCCAAAGAGTCTCCTCCCTCCCTCCAACACTCCTCTCCAACAGTAATACCAGATAACCAGCAGTGGCACACTAAAGCCTGTAGGAGAGGCACGATACATTTCTTGTAGTTTATCAGTTTGCTTAATAGGGAAAATGAGCCTTAGTTCAGATACATCTAAAGCTCAATATCACTCAATATCCTGTTTGCCATACTGTTTCACTCAAATTATGGGATTTAGTAATCTTTCTTTCTTCTATAAAAACAATTCTAATCTCGTAACACACGTAATTGCATAATGGAACAGATGAGATTACAAGGAAGAGTAAAATACAGAGGAAGACAAGTAAGAATATACGGCGAGATCGGCAGTTTTGAGATTGAAGGAACCATTTATACCTCTCGCATTTTCTTTAGTAACCCAATTCATATAACTAGCCACCCACAAGGCTTTGTTAAGGCTCAGAATTACTGATCAAGCCGCATATACGTATATCCGTTGTTTCATGCACATCCAAATCAAGATGTTCTCTTATTATTTTACAAAAGTACCTTGATTAGTGAATACACACAAGAACAAGACACCAACCATGATGTCTCTAAGGTTGAGTTCCTGTTACCTTAATATGGGTAACTCAACATTAAAGCGACAATGTTGCCGACTGAATCAAGTCTTGAAAGTCGGTAAAGTAAGTGGAACATAAATGAAGACGGTCTTAAGAACTCTTGAAACTTATGTACCTATTAATATCCATGACCTGTCCTGTACTGTATGTGCTCCTGCTGTTGTTTCAAGAATGATTATTACAATCTTCACTTGAGTGCTAATGTGTGTCACTCAGGCCCAGTCGTAGAAGCACACCGGGAAAATGTTCCTTACTGAAATGACTTAAAGAACTGCATGAAGGCAACAATGCAAGTATTGGTGTCATCCTCCTGTTGGTCAATGGCAGGATTTTAGTCTTGCTTGGCTGCTGTCACTGTATCCAGGCCCATCTTGGCCAGTGCTCGTAGTGCAGTTAGACACGCCTGTTGGAAAAACCTTAACTGAACAACTCGATTGTTCTTTCTCTTAAAATAAATTTGTACATTAATAAACTAAATGATTGGTCAGCATGTTTTAAAAGTTCACTGTATGTTCTACCTTAATTTTATATGAATCAACATTAAAAGATTACCTGGTCATGTGAGTCATCAATTGTAGGGCCAGCACCATGGGAGACATGAGGGGGGTTGGTGGACAGGGAGACTAGGCTAAGGTACTCAATCTTGTTACCCTGTAATGTAAGCAAATTCTCTTGTTTATAACAACTCCACTTCAAGGTGGTCATGACAAAGAGCTTCCAGGCCACCCTATCATCATATGTCTCCTCCATTCACTATCCACTCCTTAACCAAAAGGTTTACTTATACACTGTATACTTATGTATAAACCAATCTCATTGTGTATATATATATATTATATATATATATATATATATATATATATATATATATATATATATATATATATATATATATATATATATATATATGTATATATATATATATATATATATATATATATATATATATATATATATATATATATATATATATATTATATATATATATATATATATATATATATATATATATATATATATATATATATATATATATATATATATATATATATATATATATATATATATATATATGTGTATGTGCATATATATATATATATATATATATATATATATATATACATATACATATATATATATATATATATATATATATATATATATATATATATATATATATATATATATATATATATATATATATATATATATATATATATATATATATATATATATATATGTATATACATATATATGTATATATATATATATATATATATATATATATATATATATATATATATATATATATATTATATATATATATATATATATACATACATACGAAAATTTACCATCGATAAACTTCAAAAATTTAAAAAAGAGCAATCCACTTCAAAACCGACAAAAATGACGAGAGACCTACATACAAAGCTAAAATCAGGAAATAAAAAGTATGAAATGAAATGAACTGGGGAGTATTACCTTAATTCAGACGAGCCTTAATGTGAAAACCATAACAATTCACTAGAGGCCATATCACAAAGCGATGGCTTTTCTTTGTACTGGTGTAATGCCTCCATAATGAGGAGGTCTATATCACAGTCGCTCTTGCCAAGAACTGAGAAATCAGACGGCGAAAACGGGTGGTCATGTTGGTGGGCGTGGTTACGAATAGCTGAATGTGGTGGTTGTGTTATTAAATGGCCTGTTCGAACAGAACGGCCCAAGTGTTCAGGGATGCAAGTTATCAAATGTCTCTTAGTTTTACCTATATATGCTGCCCTACAGCTAGCACACGTAAATTGATAAACAACTAAGGATTGCATGTGTGTGTGTTTATTTCCTGATTCATAGTGCTCCTCAGAAAAGTTTTTATTCTTTTTAATGTTGAAAAGCAGCATTCAGGCTCTGATGTAGTCATAGGAATTGTCAAGAGGATTTTTATCAGTTTCGTAATCTCACTAAGAACACCATCTAAATTATTTTTCAAGATAAATTTCAGCAGGTTAATTAACCTGCAATATTCATGCATATCGGACCTACTGTAGAATACTCCAAGTTCAGTTTCTAATTTGTCTTTGTCACTCATGGGATATGCCTCAGTGTTCAATCCTATCTCTTCTGTAGGCAGTTTATTCTTAAAACTAGTAAAGCTTTTCTTGTTGAATAATTTAGCAGCTACTAATTGTTTAGTGAAAGAATATCTTTCCACTATATCAACACATATGCAGTCACATACTTCCTTTGCTTCAGCCATGAGCATCTTTGAAGGATTCTCACAGTACTTCGAGTTTCTTATTTCTAAAATAGCAGTTTTGAAATTTGTTATATATTCATGAACTTTAAACACATCAATTTCTCGAGACTGCATTTGGTTGTAAATTACTTCAACATGAGGCATGATCTGATGAAAAAGCTCCAACCAGAACATGAATTTTTCATTATTCAGGTAGTGCAAAATTCCTGTTGCTTCTGAAATGGTTCGATCTGCATTTACCATCGAATGGATTTCAGCAAGGCAGCTTTTTAAAGGTTGCAAATTTTCATGAACTTTGTTCACGGTCCGTTTGTTAAAGTTCCACCTTGTAGAGGATGGGCGCGGAATGCTGATGTTCATATGCTTATTGAGAATGGATACACATTGTGGTGATCTTGAGAAAAATGTTGGTATAGCCAAACCGTTAGAGAAAAATATTCTTGAGTCCTGTGTAATACTTGCTGCATTTCTCATTATCAGATTCAGTTGGTGCGCATAACAGTGAAAGAAATGTGCATTATTATAAACTGCTTTTATTTTTGCCTGAACGCCCCCTTTCTTGCCTTTCATGACATTTGCACCATCAAATGTCTGAGCTATCAGTTTTTGTCTATTTCCTTGAAGGATTATATCTAACTGCTCTAGAATACATTTTGATATGCCATCTGCAGTTTGATTTTCTGGAATAAAGAATCCCCCAAAACGCTCAAATATTTCTTCATTCAGCACGTACCGTAGAACAATTACCATTTGAATGTGTTCTGAAACATCTGTTGTCATCAGCCATGACAGCTACAAATGAAGCTTCTTTAATCTCTTTCTTTATCTCATCATGGTATATCTGCAGCAGGCAGTCAAGTATCTCATTCTGAATCGTCTTAGAAACACCTGTGAAGACTGTACTTGTTTCTAAATGGTTCTTTAAATCTGGGTCTAATTTAGATGCAAAATTTATAAATCCCCTAAATACACCTGGATTTACTGAATCATCTTCTACACAATAAAGTTTCTGGAAAAAACAGTGAATACAAAATGTAGTCTCTATGAGTATGAATCATACGCATCATCCTGTTCCTGTGTGGTGCTTAAGCGCCGTCTGCTATATCAAGAATATTTGAATGTGATAAATTGTAGATGATGTGATATCATACAGTATATCATCACATCATGTACAATTTATCACATTCAAATACTCTTGATATAGCAGACGGCGCGTAAGCACCACGCAGGATGATGCATAAACACTACCTCCCACACTGATAACCAGATCGGCACTGTGTGAACCACAGTGCTCGCCCCCGCTTGCCTCCAGGACATGCGCACACGCGTGCGACAAAGCAAACGCCCGTTATTGGAACTGTTGAGTAAAACAGTTCCACATACAGGGATTTTTGTTGTTTTCTCGGAATTAGAGGATGGCCATTGACATTAAGTTTAAGGATAATTGATAATACTGTTAAATATTTTGTACAAGTATAAATAAATAAACATACAGTGGTCCCTCGGTTAACGAGCACAATCCGTTCCAGCATGTTGCTCGTTAACCGAAACCATTGTTTCAATGGGTTTTGGGTAATTGGTTCCAGCTCACCGAAAATTGCCTAAATTCAACAAAAATGGTAGAAAAGTTCACTTACTTTGAGGTGTGTATGTAGAAGGCTCCTGGATGATGATGATGATGATGTGCATTTGAAGTGGAAGGTGGAGGAGGAAAAGGGAGAAGAGAAGGAAGTGGAGGTGGAGGAGAAGCATTTTATTGCTTCTTGGAAGGTGAGCCACCTTCCATGAAAATGTCAGGAACCTCTGGACTGACAGATTCTCCACCATGAACATCCTCTCTCCTCCTTGAAGTGGAAGGCGGAGGGATAGCATCTTGTTCCCTCTGCCTTTTACTGAAGGAAGTGTCAATTGTGGTCTGTGGGGCATCTGTCCTCCTCACCATTAACTTATGTTTAAAGAAGGAGACCACTGAGTCCTCAACATGACACAAAGTTAGTTCAGTTTTTTCCACTTCTGGGTGCTTTGAAGCCAGTTCCCTGAACTTCTCCCAGTAGTAAATCACATCTTTCAACTGTTTAGCTGACATATGGTCATCACTTTCAATTTCCTCCTCACCACTGTCAGCCTCTACCTGTAACATCTCATCCAGTTGCTTCAAGTCATCAGGAGTAAGTTCCTCCTCATGAGACATCACAAGCTCCTCCACTTCAAGGCCTAATGACTGACCAATGGACACAATCTCCTGGTCCAACTCTGTTTCTTCCTCAAATCTCTCAAAATCATGGACTACTGATGGCCACAGTGCTTTCCATGAAGTATTGAGGGATCTAGTGGAGACTTCTTGCCATGATGACACAATCAATTTTACAGCCTCCAGGATGTTGAATTGTGTCTTCCAGAAATGTTTCAGTGTTAGTTCAGGATCATTGGAAGTTGCCTGATGACACCTCCTAAACATTTTCTTCATGTACAACTTCTTGAAGTTGCTGATCACATTCTGGTTCATTGGCTGTATGATTGATGTAGTGTTGGGAGGCAAAAACAACACTTTCACAAAGTCAAATTGATACTCCAAATTTCTGGCAAGGTCAGGGTCATGACCAGGAGCATTATCCATGAGGAGAAGAGCCTTTAAAGGGAGTTTATTGGTGGTTAGGTAGCTCTTGACAGAAGGGCAAAACACATCAACAGCCCATTCATTAGAGAGCTGTCTTGTCACCATGCCTTATGGTTGGACTTCCAATAAACTCCAAGCTTTGTTCTTACCACTTTCTGTTGCTTGAACACCCTGGGGTTTTCAGAGTGGTAGACAAGCATAGGCTTCAGTCGGAAATCCCCTGAAGCATTGGCACCAAGCAATAGAGTGAGACGGTCTTTCATGGGTTTATGCCCAGTTAAAGAGGCTTCATCTCTGGTGATGAATGTTCTTTTGGGCATCTTTTTCCAGAACAGCCCAGTTTCGTCCACATTGAACACTTGCTGAGGAAGATAATTTTCTTCTTTCATCAGTTTTTTAAATTCATCTAAAAACTTTGCTGCCCCTTCCTTATCAGCACTAGCAGCTTCACCATGCCTAACACTGAAAATGTCACTTCTTTTCTTAAATTTTTCGAACCAGCCTTTGCTGGCCCGAAAATCTTCAAATTCTGTGCCTGAAGAACCAGGTTGATCAGTCTTTAAATGTTCGTAAATCTCCCTGGCTCTTTCACAAATAAATTCGGTAGAAACTGAATCACCTTTCATCTGTTTTTCCCTAATCCAGATGATAAGTAACCTCTCAGTTTCTGCAATTAGGGATCTACTTTTAAACACTCTTGTAGATTTGTCTCTCACTTTCACTTCTTTAAATTTGTCTTTCTGTGCAAGAATTGTCGACACAGTTGATGTCGACATGCCATATTCTTTGCATAGCACATTTGTTCTAATGCCTTGTTCATGTTTTTTTATGATTTCCTGCTTGGTTTGGATTGAAATTGCTTTTCTTGATCTTAGGCCCAATGCTGGATTCAAACAATGTCAACAAGTGCTTTTCAAAGTTAAACTTGTTGTAAATAAAGAATATTTTCTTTAAAATAACACTGCACTGCGCTATATATCGTCAATATGTAAAATAAATTTCAAAATGACCAATAATTTGCTTGGAAACAGAAAAAAAGCGTTTAGTTGAAGAGTCTCAAGCAAGATGTTACCTCCACTGAAAACAGAGAGAGACTAACGCCTGTTTGCTGTGTTAAGAGGCTGGATGCCGCGCATTAAACTAGTCACTTTACCTTCAATTATGTTCAATAATTGTTAAAATGACTAAAAAATTTAATATTAAACTTTTAAAATTATTGAATAGTATAAACTTCTTGATATATACTAAAATAGTAAGAAATTTAAGCCCTAGAACTGATTAATGTATTGGCGGACTAATACTACAGCTGGTTGACCGCCCAGTGCAAGCCAAAACCTGTTGAGGTCGGCTCGTAAGAAACTCGTTAACCGAGGGGTTGCTCGTTAACCGAATTTAAGAATCTTATGGGAGGTAACTCGTGAACCGAAATCTCGTTAACCGAGGCGCTCGTTAACCGAGGGACCACTGTATATGATATATTATATTATATAATACATATATATCGGGTGAAATAGGGGGTGCTGCAGTTCCACAGTGCCTACCGATGAGCCACCACTGCCTCTTCCCCACTTAGCTTGCTAACTCTTAACACATGAAGAAATGTTTATTCCTTTCATGTTTTGACCTTATGATAATTATTTATTTTATTTTATTTTGTTTTGCACATGGTGTATGTAAGATTGTGTGTGCATGTAACTGAGTAAAAAAAGAAGTCCAGAATATAAAATCTACCTGAAATTATGACTTGAAAAATGACCATAACAGCTTGACTTGGTAGCAGGAGAGTTAGGGGGATGTGGCTACAGTGGAGTCTAATTTGGCAACAATGCCACCAGCAATGTAAGACACAAATGAAAACATTAAATGTAAATTTTCATTTGCATTATGTATTTGTAGATTTAAAGTGATATATATAATGAACGAGGTCCTGCTTTTTATGGAGCAACATTAGAAATAATCTAGGGGTATGGTAAGCAAGCCTAGGTTAAAGAAGCTTGCTGGTACGGTTAGCATAACCACAAGCATGTAATGAGTGGCTATCGTTCACTGTAAATGACAAACAGAAATGCATGAATTTTAACCCCTCAAAAATATTACATGTACAGGCAGTACCCGAGTTATGAACGAGTTCTGTTCCTGAGGACGTTCTTAGGTAAAAAATGTATTTAAGTCAAAACACATGCTATGTGCATACCGTACTTACAGAACAATGTTTAAAATCCCACTATATTATAGCCTAAGTCCTTATATACTTACATCTTAAATCACTTAGTTTAAGAGAAAAGAAGAAATAGAATGACAAAATACAGTAAATGAAAGTAAAAATTAAGTTATCAGGCAAATAAAATCCTGTAATGTAAATTTAAAATTTAACCTTGTTCGTATCAGCGGATGTCCGTAACCCGGGGACTGCCTGTATATAATTTTTGCATAAAATCCGATTATAAAAACTCGCACTATACTCAAGTATACGTATACAGTACAGTATTCAACAAAGTTCTTCAACATGGAGGATGAGCAAGAACTGAAACACTAACTTCATCTATCAAGAACTTCCCAAGATATCTTCAAAATGAGAAACCTGTACCAGCTAAAGATTCAGAAGTTCAGAAGCCAATTTCTACAAACATCTTACCTTGGGAAAGTCAGTGAACTGCACTTGTAACCCAAGAATCTGGGCGAGATACATCAGCTGATCCTTGGGGCGCACTGCTTGAGTTGATGACACGTTGGGGCTCTGTAGATAACATGTAACAATTCCATTACTAATGAAACCATCAAAATACTAAGATTGAAATAAAAATGATCTGAAACAGTATTGGCAATTAAAACTACAATATACATGAAATGACAAATAAAGTGACTCTCATCCTAACTGGCCATTCATAAATCAGCATTGTCTATCCAAGCACTGAAACCTTAATCTTCAAAAAACAAACTTTTCTAAATTTATTTTCAATGTTTTCCATCCTGTCTTAGAGAAACATTATAAGACAATGTGTATATTTACCGTACCTGATTAATCATAGACTGCTGCTGCACTGGCACCTGCTGCTGTTGAGCGACTTGAGGCTGAGGTGGAGGCTGCTGCTGTTGTTGCTGTTGCTGTGGTGGTGGTTGTTGCTGTTGTTGTTGAGGAGGCCCTGTCATGGGTGATTGTTGCTGCTGAGGTGAGTGCATGGCAGCCTGTTGACTGGGAGGTGGAGGTCCCTGGTGAGAAGGAAACATATTTACTTAACAGTCCTACATAAGCATTAACCTTTCACACCAGGCAATAGGGTAAATAGAAGTACAAATGTCCCTTCTGCTATATATTGGGAAAATAGAATCGAATTTTATTTTTTCACATTAGATAATAAAATCTAAGGATTACTGCTCAAGTTACAGAGTAAAGAAACTTAAATACAATAGGCAATACTTATGCTACAATAACTGGATTGCGAGAACCAGAGGAGAAAGTACAATGAAACCCCTATTTAACAGATTATATGGAGAGGTAAGTCCATTATATCATGGGTCCATTAGATATAAATAACCCATCTACCAGATTATATGGAGAGAGAAAAATCCATGGAAAGTACCTGAGGTGGTCCTTGGGGTCCTGAGGGAAGGTTCTGTTTCACCATGGCTTCTGCTGTTGGGGAATTGCCAGATTTTAACAACTCTTTGGCAATTGTTGCAGTTGCTTGCATGTTCACCATTGGACCAACACTCACCATACCCATACCTGTTTGCACATCAAAAGACAAAAGTAGATATGACCAAAGAAATTCAAGTAAAATAGAAATCAGAGATTGCAAAAACTGAAGGGATATCAAACACTAAACACTGTACGCAGGGCACCTGACATATTTATCTGGAGATAAAAGTTCTCTTAAACATGACAACATAATAGGTGCCATGATACATCCAATGTACCTTGTGGTTGAACTTGTTGGAAGCCATGGAGAGCTGAACCATCTGGCATCATGATGAGCCCTGGGACCAGCTGCCTGCCTCCACCAACTGGTCCTCCCATCTGGCCCATATTATTAACACCACCAACCACTGCTGCATCTGATCCTCGCTGGTCACCGCCATCTTCCAGAAAGGTTACCTAAAATGTTAAGGTCAATACGAGTGGAACGTCATAACAACTTGGTTGCCTACAAGTTAAAAGCTAACTCATTCACCTGCTCTCCAAAGATAATATGACCAATTTCCCTTGTTTAAGTTTCCCCACCACCTCCACGTTCAGAACACTTCAATCTAACAGCACTACAGGTTAATACTATTTCAAATACAGTAGATTACAGAAAAATATTTAATTCCAAGAATCAAAGGACATTAAATGGCTCGCCTTCCTTGTTTTGTCTGGATCAGAGTTTGCACCATCAGTCTTGATGGCCGGCTTGCCTGGTTGTGGCTGAGGACGCGAGTAACCCAACAGCTGCAGCATGTTCTCAGCAGCAGCTCTCTTGGCTAATTTCTTGTTGGGTCCACTGCCTTGTGCACTCTGACTGCCAACGGTCACCTGATACATGGATAAGCAACAAATCACATAAAACAGGTAATTACAATATTTGTTTAAATGTTATTTAGATAGTACACCGGCAACCTCAATCACTCATACAAACAATATTTGAAGGAAAAAACAAAAACTTTCCTCTTGCTGATGATTAAATTGCCCAAATCCACACAGCAACAACACAATTGTCTCCTACAACATCTTCATTTTCACTTTCCTGTTTCTAATACAAGTATATTCTATTTAACTATTCTCTGACCTTTATAATTTCCCTAAGGTGTGATATCCTAGTTTCCATTCTTTAATATTTCTGCCTCTGTATTCTTGCAGTGACAACCTTCCTTCATCATTTTCAGGCATTCTTGTTTTCTTGTGCTGAACCAATTGTAAATTTGCATGATGATTGTACACATATCCCTTAAACTACAAGGGTTTAAACAACGCTGCCCTCGCCCCTCTGTGGACTGCACTATGGGTTGCAATGGGAGCAAGAGAGGTTGTGTAAGTGTGTGTGACAACTCCCACTACTGGCCGCAAGGCGTCTCTATGGTGACGTGGGAGAGATCCGTGAGTGCGTTGCCCCGAGTGCTACGAGTGCTGCTAGCAAGCCAGTGCATCTTAGGGACAAAGAATACACACCAATGGTCTTCATATTTCTTTATAGCTTTATATTATGTTTTCTTTAATTTTAAGTCACATTAGATGATAAGAGTATTGAAATGATTTTTTCACAACTTTTATGGTTTCATTATATGTAACAATGGCAACACTCATTCCATCTCTCGCATGTTACAGCTGACTAGCCTGTCAGCCAGCCGACTCCCAGCACACATCTCAGGAATAACGGAATTATTAACAATTATTCTACTCTATAAAAACGATGTGGCTTAGAAATAAAGTAAATATAATAGAAAACTATAAAATAATAAAAATGAAGAGCATGGGTATGTGTGTGACAAGTGAACGTGTGTGCGTGTAGATGGTGGGCTATAACTACGTCTCCGACTCACCAGCCTAGCCGCCACATTTATTGTTGCTTTTAATGAAACTACAAGTGGTCCAAAAATCATTATAATAGGTCTAAAAATCTTTTTAATACAGTACTGTACTATAATGTGGCTTAGAAATAAAGAAAATATAATATAAAAACAAGAAAACAAAGTGCATGGATGTGTATGTGTGAGAAGTGAATGTGTATGGAGGGGTTCTAGCCAAGGCCTTGGCTATAAGTTATGTGGCCAACTCGTCAACCCAGTCACCTCGTTTATTATTACTTGTAATGAAACTATAAAAGTTGTAAAAAAATTCATTACAATACTCTAATGTGGCTTAGAAATACAGAAAATATAATATAAAACTAAAAAATAAGAAAAATAAGGAGCATATGTGGGAACTAAGACTGCCATGGAGTAAGATTTTCTTTGTTTTTTGGCAAATTTGGCTTCCCATAGGTGAATATCGTGGTTTTGGGTCTACGCGGGGTTTTCATAAACCTAACCCCCACATTATTTTAGGGAAACACATACTGAATAAATATCTTTCTTTCAATCCAAGCAAGTGGTAAATATTTCAGTAAACCTGATGACCAAACTATGGAAAAATTTCAACAGTGTAAACTTAATGACACATCAAAGGCTGATATGTCTAACGAGGATCCACATTATAATCACTCCTAATGTCGTATGAGAGAAAGAAAGAGTTATCAAGGATGAAGACTGCTAGACAGTGCCTAAATGGTTTGGTATCGCTGTTTGTAGGATAAAAAAGGTCATGCAAACCAATGTCAGGCTTGTAGACATTCAATGCCAATGTACAATTAAACCAGTACGTATTTGAGGAACTAACATTGAAAACAACATTATATGACCGTTATTCAACATTTCGTCATTGTACTGTACTTAATCACAAACCATCTACCTCTCAAATGACATGGAACAATTAGTAGCTATTTATTAATTACTTCACCCAATATTAACACATTTCATACAATGTTCCATACCTGCATGATAAACTCTCTCCTGCGGGGTACACCTCTCTCAGCCAGGAGTGTATAAACAGGTTCCTTCTCCTTCTTTGCCTGTTGGATCTGGATCAGCCTGGAGATGGGGTTTATACCTTGGCCATATTCTGGGGCAGCCTTTTGTTCCTGTACATTTGAACAAAAATAAAATATAAATCTTGACTAGATGTGCATAAATTTACCCAGACAGATCTTATATCATAGGCTTGTAGAAAAATTATATTTATGCAGTTTAAACACTAGTCAGACCTTTGTTGCCTATACAAGACTAATTTTTAAAACTGTTTTACCTAAACTTGAAATACTTAAAAAGAATAGTTTATCTAATACAGAAATCCCAACTGGCAAAGCCTGTAACTGAGCTAACATTTTGAAACATACATTTGGGATGGTGAGCAGGGATGGCACAAGATAACTGCAAAAAATAAGATAAAAAAACAACACAAAAAGGTACATGTAAGTAAAACCAAACATCCACTCAGAACAGTTAGGGCCCCATATATTCCGAGTTATCAAGGGTTTATTGTAACCAGTTAACAAAACACCAAAGGATAGGTAGAACAATTCTAATAAGGAACAGTCTATAACTAATACCGTACTGACTTGGTTCACTATAGACAAACATTAGATGACTTGAGGCATGTTATTCTAAAAGAAGAACAAACCCTTTGGAGACCCAAAGCATAACTATATGTATCTAGTTCCCTTTCCTGTATAACAACAATACAGTACTGTACAGTGATCCCTCGGTTAACGAAATTTCGGTTAACGAATTACCTTCCATAAGAATCTTCATTTCGGTTAACGAACAAAAATTCGGTTAACGAAATTCTTACGAAAATGTTTCGACATGCTTTGGCTTGCTCACCAGCTGGAAGATTAGTCCGCCAATACAGAAATCGGTTCTAGGGCTTACATTCGTTAAAATTGGAGTAAATATCAAGAAGGTTGTACTATTCAATAATTTTCCAAGTTTTATAGTAAATTTTGTAGTAATTTTAACACTTATTTAACATAATTGCAGTATAGGGAACTAGTTTCTGGTGCGCCCATCAGCCACTTCACTCACCCACCAAGGCCTCAGTTTGTATCTCTGTTCAGTGGAGGAAACATCTTGCTTATGGGTCTCTTGAACACAGAGTATTTTTACATTTTTACAGTACAATTATTTGGCATTCTGAAATTTATTTAACATATTGACAATATATAGTGCAGTGCAGTGTTGATTTAAAGAAAATAATCTTGAATTACACCTAGTGAACTTAAAATTTATGGGTGAAATGACCGCATGAAGCATGGGGTGATTTCCCTTCCACCCCCACATCCTTCTCTTCTCCCTTCTCCTCCACCCCCACTTCTAATTCCCATCACCATCGTCAACCAGGAGCCTTCTACATACACACCTCAAAGTAAGTGTACTTTACTGCATTTTTTTTTTTACTTTGTATGTAATTTTTGGTGAGCTGGAACCAATTACCCAAAATCCCATTGAAACAATGGTTTCGGTTAACGAACGACCTTCTGGAACGAATTGTGTTCGTTAACCGAGGGACCACAGTATTTAGTGCATCAGCCTCCACTTGGATTTAGGACTACTTCAGCAAAGTACACAGTCTACACCAAGGTAGGTAGATGCCAGGTAGCATCACTCCCATAGGCTCTACGCTAATAAAAATAAATTTGAAATTTTTATTTACTTATTTTTGAAGGCTTATGATGGTATTAAGAGTTGTACAATAAATGTATGGAATGGAGATTTTTTTGTTTTATTTTAATTGGAGCCACAGATTAAATATATAAAATAAATAAATATCTTTCTTGTGATGCTTGCGACCGCTGGATTCAATCCAACGTCGCTGATTGGCTAGGGATGACATCACTTATTAAGCTCCGCCCACTTCGTTACATCAAACAGTAGAAGCGGGATATTTACAAGTGAAAGTGGAGTGTTTTTCTTTTATAACAATGATTTATTGCACTGTAGCCACCTGCAAATTCAACTCGGAAAAGAAGAAAAAGTTTGTATCTTTTTATTCATTCCCTCAGGACATAAAGTTACGGGCAAAGTGGCTAGATGCCTGCAAAAGAAAAGATATAAAGAACACCAAACAAGTGAAGGTGTGGCATACGATATGTTCAGTGCATTTTAAATCTGAATGTTTTAATTACCATTTAGCAGTAGACAATGTAAAGCTTTCTTTAAAGCCGCACTCACGTCCAACAATAAATTTACCGGGATTAGGAGGTCAAATCAAGAATGCTACAACGTACGAAGATCATATGTTGTAAGTACATTAAATGTGCATACGTTTTGTTTCCTGTTTTGTATATAATGTATTATGCATTTTCAATTGTCAAAATATACAGTACAGGTATAGTAAAAATCTACAACAATTATATATTTCATGGAAAAAAATTATCTACACCAATATATTTTGCTTCAGAAAACTGCTGCCGATTCAAGTGTTCCTGAATAGAAAAGACGCTTCACGCATGAAGTGACAAAGGGGGCGTGGTTTAGCGAATTCGAGAGTAAAGTTGCCAATTAGTGATTTCCTATGGGCCTGCGTGACGCTACCTGGTATCTACCTACCTTGGTCTACACAATATCAATTTTCACTCTTTTTCTGCTATGGGTAATCCATACCCAAAACCCAAAAGACCTGACTCGTATAAATGAATATTAAAATTGTACCGCATTCATTCCAAGGAGAACTTTTGACATTATACAAAAAATTTGATTACATGCAAAATCACTTCAAAAGTTAGTAAACAAAATGGATTCAGCTGTTAAAACAATCATGCGGGAATAAAAGCATCGATGGTATACTTGCCTCTTGACCCACCTTGATGAGGTTTCGGCTCTTCTTCTTAGTGGTGGGTTTACGCTTGATGCGCACAAGAGTGGTTGGTGGCAGAGCTGGCAGCTTACGCAGCTCCTCCAACATTAGTTCAGCCGCTCTCTTTTTGCTCACCTGTTTGTTATAGTCTTAGGTAGTTTCATTAACACTAAATGATGTTCCCTTTACACAACACCAACACCCGAGATGTTCCTCTAGTTTATACCTGTCAGTCTATACAATCCAGCACCACATACAGTATTTGAAGAGATTATGCCATGAACACCCATAAGTCTAGCAACATTATATATAACAAGTTTTCAAGTAACTATGACAATTATTTTCTCAATTAACACCACCTAAAAATTTTTTCCATTAACATTTTGTTGGGTGAAAAACAATCAGAATAATAATGAGTCACATTTTGCAAAAGAGAAGTGTAGCACCTTAGCATGAGTCAAATCTAGAACTACTGTGCATTCAATTGCCATCACATAGCAGATTTTGCTATAAATTTTTTAAACTACTGTATTTCACTCCTTGTCCACAGGTCACGTCAAACAATGTAAGCAATAAATCACTTGGCCTGACTCGCCTAAGCAGTAAATACATCTGCCTAAATATATTTTGTGTTTTCTTTCTCAAAATAATGCCTATTTCAATACTGTATTATTATTATTATTAACCCGTTGAGCGCCAGCCAATATTAGATGTAATAGACACCCCAGTGCCGGCCAAAATTTATTTTTATTTTTTTCCCTAAATCATCTCCAAATGGTCCAGGAAACATGAAACTCACAAGAATTCCCACGTCTGTGTGGTAACACTGCGTAGTGAATGGTGAAGGTGGTAGGGAGGGTCTCACGGCGCCCATCACCATGGCAATCGGCTGAGTCATGATCCTCCCCCACGCTCATCTGACAGTTCTTCACTTTCCTAACACCTCTTGTGTGTGTGTTTCTTTTGTTTTAATTCTGGTTATTCCCCCTACATCAATCATTATTCAATATGCACGTTAGAAAATGAATAAAACACCATGAGTTGAAATTTTTTTATATTTGCTTATCCAAGTTCTCCCCAATTGCATACAATTGGGTATTATCTGTGTCTGTGAATGGTAAAGGCTACGGAGGGTGTCAGGGCAACACTGCCAGTCATTGTTGCCTGGTTCACATCATATTATTACACTAATAGTTCTGAAGAGTGTGATAGTCCTTGAACCATGGTGCTACTTTATACTCATTATAGCAGTAACGAGTATCCTTCCTTTTCTTTGTTCTTTGTGATGTGTTGTAGCAGACGTGACACTGCTTCTGTGCTTTCTTCTTGCCAGGTGTTGGTGGTAAGGTGGAAGGAAAGTGGCGACCTCTGAGGCAGAGGTGTGTCACGAGCTGGATTACGAGGTGTTACATGTCGTTCTTGCCAGTACGTCTGAAACATCTCCCTCGCCACTTCAACAAGATGAAGTATTCTGATCATAGAGTGGGTCATTATCAGACTCAGAAAAATCATCTGGGGTAAGCTCTGATGTAGGTTCACACTCGACAGTGAGTTGCGCGTATTCCGCCTCGGTCAGCCTGGAGAGAGAGCGGTGTGAAGTGTTCATGTGTGGCAGGAGTGAGCGTGACTCACCGAGTGATGAGCACTGTCGCCGCTGTGGCTTGCAGAGCATGGAGCCACGTGGCCCCGGGAAGCAGCATTACTGGTAGGCAAGGAGAGGGTGATAATGTAGCTCTAAGCACATCTCGTTACTACCACAAATATAAGTTCAGGACAATGCTAAATCTAGCCACGTACTTTTACAGGATTAGCGTTGGTCGTGGCTGGTCACCCACCCCGTATAAGTACAGGATTAGCGCTCGACGGGTTAATAATGACAAAAATAAAATAATAATAATAGTAGTATTTTTATAACCATACTTTCATAGCAGTCACACCTATGTGTGCTACTTAACCCACTCGGCATATTACCAGTTTATGCCTAATACAGTATCTATGTAGAATATAATTTTGAAGTTAATATGTAAACCTAAACTGAAGAAATCAATATCCTGTGCAGTACATACCTTCTTCCCTGTACCTTCTCCTTCAGTCCGATATTCCCCAACTAAGCACACTGTGACAAACGTCCGCACATGTGGTGGCCCCGACTCACGAATCACCTCAAACGTCACAGTCAAATTACGCTTCAATGCAATTTCATGAACAAGGGATATTGGTGATTTCAAATCAGCATTGGGATCCAGGTCAGAAAGGTCTGTCAAGAGAGAACAATATTTACTATCAGAATAACTATGAAAAAGATGAAATTTTTACATTATAAAGACCAATGCTCAATGTATATTCAAAAGGAAATTACGTAAATGTCAAATATTTCAGTGGAGAGCCCCAGAGGTAGGGGAAAAGCCTGAGTGATGCCAGGTATATTTATTTAGTTTAATCTTACCTATGTTAAGAAAAATATGATTATAAGTTCATAAGTTCTAGGTTACAAAGTCATCTTACATTAATTCACCTTGTACAGTCCCTCAATTACTTTTCTACATTGTTAAAATATCACTTTTTTTCATATTTCTTCAGACATTGATATTACTCCATAATCTATGCAAATCATTTTCATTCATCCTCTACCAAATCTTTCTTTCTTTCTTTTTTTTTTTAATAATTTCAATATTGTATATTACCTTACTTTCAATCAGCTGAACACTCAACTTTTTGCCAGCTGCTCCCACCCTGAGTTGACATTAGGAAAGGCATCCAGCCATAAAATTTTGCTTCAACATGCCTGATGGCAACTGGGTCACCAGAGCTGAGCCCGTCCCCTGATCTCTACCATATATTCCGGGCTGGGGCCCTGGGTTAGGGGTGGGAGACTTCCAATTCTGATTTTACCCAACAGCTATCCCATGTAGGCTCCTGGACAGATGGCTGAAAGACATTTGGCCGACGGACGTTTCACCGACGGACATTTGACCGAACGGACATCGAGCCGACGGACATTTGGCCGAACGGACAATAGACTGAACAGACAAATGGCGGAATGGACAATAGACCGAACGGACAAATGGCCGAACGGACATTTGGCCGAATGGACAACAACAATAAAAATATCGGCTTACCTTTACAACCTCTGAAGAGCGACTGCATCCGAGTCCAGGCAAGCAGGGCTAACGTTTGGTTGGTTTGGGGCGTGGCTTAAAACTTCACCTGACTTAACATGACTAGTTACGTCGCCCTTTGTTTTGTGTTTGTGGTGGTGTTAGTGTGTGGATTAGCGGATGTCATGTTTTTGACCTGACCTCATGTTTTGTAAGGTCACCCTGTGTACATAAACCTCTCTCAGTCCTTGTAATTCACTAGTTAAATTGAAATTGGGGAAAATAATGCCGATTGTTTCCGAATAATGCTGACTATTTCCGAGGTCTACCAGATATTAAGCACAAGACTGAAGCAATTTGTATAAAGCAATTACATTTCTATTAATATCTTTTATCCTTTAGTAAATGTGTAAAAAATACATTGCAAAGAAGAAAGAAAAAAAAATTAAAAAGGCCATTTGTCCATTCAGTCTATTGTCCGTTCGGCCAAATGTCCTTCGGCCATCTGTCCGGCCACGCCCATGTAGGTGATGAAAATAGCCAGAAAACATTGACAACGATTCAACAACGCTTTACCCTCTAAAAATTAACTCACTGTTGTGTTTTAGTATTGCTTACATAGTCTATTTTTATTACAAAATAATGATATATCTATAAATAAATTATGATCAGAATATATTACAATAGCCTAAAAGTACGCACCTCCCTGAGTACATGTGGTGGCATTTTCTGGCATGGGGAGGGTCTTCATCAGTTTCAGGGCTTTAGATGCAGCATTATGCTTAGCTTGCTGGGCTGTTGTTCCTTCTCCGATAAACTCCCGGGTGCCGACTCTTAATGTTACAAAGAATATTGGATAAAGTGGAGGTCGGCCATAGTACTTCTGTTGAGAGGAAAATCACACAAAAAATTAGACAATACATTATGTCAGAATTAACAATTTATTCAAATGATTTTGTACAAAAGAACTAATAACCTGATTACCTAATATACTTTATGCAGTATATCCCTGTACTGTAAGTAAGATGTTGAGAAAGAATGCTAATGAAAACAATGCTGTAAAGTTTAAGTACAGTGCTGTACCTGGACCCAAAAAATAAAAAAGAACTCACTACTAGAGGTGTATTTTTTGTGAAAATGGAGAACTGTTGTGTGAGCTATAAGAGTACAGTGGTCCCTCGGTTAACGAGCACAATTCGTTCCAGAAGGTTGCTCGTTAACCGAAACCATTGTTTCAATGGGTTTTTGGGTAAATTGGTTCCAGCTCACCGAAAATTGCCTATAATCAACAAAAAAGGTAGTAAAGTACACTTTCTTTGAGGTGTGTATGTAGAAGGCTCCTGGATGATGATGATGGGAATTAGAATGGGGGTGGAGGAGAAGGGAGAAGAAAAAGCATTGGGGTGGAAGAGAAGTCACCCCATGGCACCATTTCACCCTTAAAATTTTAGTTCTCTTGGTGTAATTCAAGTGTAATTTAAGATTATTTTCTTTAAATCAACACTGCACTGCATTATATTTTGTCAATATGTAAAATAAATTTCAAAATGACCAATAATTTGCTTGGAAACACAGAAAAAATGCATTTAGTTGAAGAGAGTCTCGAGCAAGATGTTACCTCCACTGAAAAGACAGAGACTGATGCCTGTTTGGTGTGTTGACAGGCTGTTTGGCGTGCATAAAACTAGTTTCCTGTACTTCAATTATGTTCAATAATTGTTAAAATGACTCAAAAATTTAATATTAAACTTATAAAATTATTGAATAGTATAAACTTCTTGATATTTACTAAAATAGTTAGGAATTTAAGCCGGACTAATACTACAGCTGGTGGACCGCCAAATGCAAGCAAAAACATGCTGAGGTCTGCTCGTAAGAAACTCGTTAATCGAGGGATTGCTCGTTAACTGAAGTTAAGAATCTTATGGAAGGTAAATCGTTAACCGAAATCTCATTAACCGAGGCGCTCATTAACCGAGGGATCACTGTATTGTACTGTACTCAAATTTGATGTCTGATACACATTGTAAAAAGTTGTGAGGGAGTGAGACAACCCTGTGGTACTGTACTGTCTGCAATTGTCTACAACACAAGTGATACTGTACTAACCTGGTTATACATGGCTCTAATATTTGGAGGCATGTTGAAGTACGGGTTTGGAGGACGGGGTGTCTCCATGAAGGTGTAGATGGCAGCCTCACCTCGCTTCATGGCAAGAGCATTTAGTTCAACTGTGGGAGTCAGTTTAGCTGTAATGAGAGAAAAAAAAAAAGAAAAAAAAAAGCAACCTCCTTAACAGTGGTACTGTACAATACTATAACTTACATTACAGTACATTCAAGGCAAGGATAACGGCTGGTAGTTTTACTACTATAAGTCTTCTTCTGTACTGCAAGAATAGCTAGAACCATAAGTACAGGCAGTTTCCGGATTACGGACATTCTTAAGATGAAAATGTACTCGAGTCAAACCATGTAACCTATGTTTTTGTTTTGTTTTTTAATACGGGGAATAGTCCACCCGGGCACAGTTCATTGACCCACAACTGGCCTAGGGGGCAAAAAAATAATAGTTAAAAAGAAATAGAAAAGAAAAAGACCATATTAATATACACCACAAAGGTGCCGGAAAACACAGAAGAAGACAGAGCATTCACACTTTGGCTGTGTGAGGAAAGAAAGATGCACTATAACGGGTTATTCTAGTGTGACCGACATCCACACAGAAACGGTGGGCACCGCAAGCAAGATGAGAGTTACGAGCCCATGGCCTTGTCGGTGGTACACAAGATGCCAAATCCACCGAACATTGCCCGTTAAAGTACATGTAAAAGAGAGTGAAGCAACATTGCGGCAAAGAGAAAGGGAAGAAAGATTGTCAACTAAAGGAGGAGAGTTAAGATGACAAAATGCCTTTGATTCCACCCTATCTAACAGTTGGACAGAAGAAGAGCCACCTCAGATATGAGAGCAATACTCCAAGTTAGGAGAATGAATCCCTCATAAACTTGGAGCAACTGCTCAGGAGTGAAGTAGCTACGGCATCTGTACAGCATTCCCAGCTTTCAGAAGGCAGCTTTAGCAATGTTGTGGATGTGGATACCATGCTTACAGAACAATGTTTAAAATACCAATTTATCATAGCCTAAGTCCTCATATACATCTAAAATCACTTAATTTAAGAAAAAATAAGAAATAGAATGAAAAAATACAGAAATGAAAGGAAAAAATAAGTCATCAGGTAAATAAAATACGGTAAATTGAAAGTTTAACCTCCTATGAATCAACAGATGCTTGTAAGTCAGACGTACGTAACCTGGGGAACCTCCATGATACCCACTCTCTCTCTTCATTTTGTCATTCGTACTGCCCTAAAATAACCATCTGGCTCATCACCCCCCAGCACCACCTGTCAACAACAGGTATATACCAATAAACCACTCGATGCCAGGTCCTCATACACACCACGATTCACTTAACGTTTATCGACTTCACTTGTTATGCATCCTTCACTCTGACTTAATTTTTCCATTTCCTTCCCACTATCCACCCCTGAATCATAAACAAATATATATATATATATATATATATATATATATATATATATTTATATATATATATATATATATATATATATATATATTCTTTTATCAATCTTTCACTCCACAATCTCTTAATACAAACCACCCTAGTAAACCTGGTCACCTTACAACTGGTTCCTATAAATCTACCAAGACTCTCTCTCTCTCAAAAAAAAAAAAAAAAAAAAAGGGGGGGGCAGAAACTAATATTTTTGCACATTTTCTGAGTTAAATATTACTTACTCTGCTTGTTCTGCCTCTGAGTCTTTGGTGGAGGATGTTTAAACTGTGTCTTCTCTAGAGCTATAGCAGCAGCTGAGTGTTGGGCCTTCTTAATACTGGGACCTGAAGCAGTGTACTCCTCGCTCTCTCCCAGTCTTAATGTTACTGTGAAAGTCTTTTTATGAGCAGGACCTTTTTCATCTGTCAGGCAATACTGGTGTTGAATCTGTCAAAAAATAATAATCGATTTTAAAGTCCCCTTTCACAGCTAAGCACAGCCAGGTGAGATGTGTAATAAAACACATTTAGGCCGATAGGTCATAAGAGTCATGTGGCTGCATAGTATCCTCTGGTTAGATCTGTCCCAATTGCTCTTACTCAAATATTCAGATGTTGTATTCTGAAGTCTCACGATTTTAAAAATACTCCCAGACTTCTCTAACAGGCTTCACCCCAACATGTTATTCCTAACTCTTGGTTGATATCTCTGTGCAATGTTTCTGTCCAATCACAAGTGAAGCAACAATTACAGGTAAAATGAAAGGGAAGATTATTCATACAGTAATACACGTCTGAATACCTGAACTAGCCAAATTATGCATAATCCTACCTTGTTGTATCTAGCAAGTTCGTTGATGAGACACATTGGTGTTTTCTCTTTACTCGTGGCCGAGGAATCCCCGAGAGGGATACAGACGGACGTCAGAGAGGATGAGTTCGTAGGTGATGATCCGCCCACGTTGACTCCATTGACAGTTGAGTTCATGCCCACTACACTGCCTCCTATCATGTCTTGTTGTTGTTGCTGCTGTTGTTGTTGCTGCTGTTGCTGTTGTTGTAGTTGTTGTGACTGCTGTTGCTGAGGTGGTGGTTGTGGCTGCTGCTGTTGATGCTGCATTGTCTGAGGCATAGGCTGCTGGTGTACCTGCAACCATAAAAACACTTTACCTCACCTTTACAGTTCTTTTTCTTCATTCTCACCCCAAACCCATTTTCCACAACAGTTAAGGATGCCTGAAGTGAGGTGCTTTAGAGATTCTCCTTTCATTTCCTGCAACCCATTATTCCTGCCTTACCTACTCTAGTGTGTTCCAACAAACTTCTGATTTAAGTGAACCATTAGAAATCTGGTCCTTTTTATCACGTGTTAAGAAGCAAATTCCTCATAGGCGAGATAAGTTAGCTACGTGTGTGTGTGTGTGTGTGTGCGTATAGCTCGAAGTTCAATTATTTAATTGAAAACACTATACAGAACAGTATAAACATTGAGCACAAGAAGGAACATTACTATACTTTCCTCATTAACCAACTTGCCAAGAGTAACTCACTTGTGTATGATGTGGAGGTGGAGGCTGTTGTTGTTGTTGTTGTTGTTGTTGTTGTTGTTGTTGTTGCTGCTGTTGTTGTTGTTGATGACTACTACTTGGAGAACTCCCCATCCCCGCTGGCCCACCACTACCCATCCCACCCATCTGAAAACGATTCAAATGTTAAAATTAAAGCAAATTCCTCCTCAAATATAAAAATCAGGTCCAGGAAATTCCACTTCATAGCAGAGTTAGAACAAGGGCACCTAATACTGATGGCTGCCACTAACAAACAATTAATACGTCTTTCCAATAGCAAACGACTCCCTCAAAAATTGAGAAAGCGGTGAAAGTTAACCTAGTGCAGAAAGGGGATTGAATCTTGCACATCACACAAGTCCCTTGTCTGTCATCAGTCATATTCCAATAACAAGCCTCAGTTCAGCTGAATTGTATAATCAATCTAAAAGATGGAGAGCTTTCATCCTCCTAGTCTTTAACTTAATTACAATGCATTACTAGTTAGCAGTGATAAGTTAAAGACCTTCTAGTTATCAAAGTTCAAACAGTATTTATATTGTATCACAAATTGACACTATTTATATATAAGCAGGTGCTGTATCTTCTATTTGTGCAGTAGTATACTGTTTACTTAATAGTATAAACTTCAATAAAGGTTAAAAAAATCTGGCACAGCACTAACCTGGTGAGGCGTTGAATGATGCATAACAGAGTGTGGAGGATGGGTCATGTGTGGAGGCCCAGCAACAGTGGCAGTTGCTTGTAGATGAGACTGAGGGTGTGTTGGTCCACCATGGTGCCCTCCGTGTGGCCCACCATGAGGTCCACTGTGTGGCCCACTACCACTGTTGCCACTGTGTAGTCCCATGTGTGGCCCAGAGTGAGGACCACCATGACTGTGTGGACCACCATGGGGGCCTCCGTGTGGGCCAGAATGTGGTCCACCATGTGGTCCTGAGTGAGGGCCAGAGTGTGGACCAGAGTGCGGCCCAGTGTGTGGGCCTGAGTGAGGGCCGGAATGTGGACCTGAATGTGGACCCGAGTGTGGGCCTGAGTGAGGTCCTGAATGTGGGCCAGAATGTGGAGCTGAATGTGGGGTGGTGTGTGGGGCTGAGTGATGAGGGCCATGATGCGGTGCATGAGATGGATGACCATGATGTGGGGCCTGTGCTGGATGATGGCCTGGATGATACTGTGAATGTGGGGGTCCTGTGTGTGGGGGAGGACCTGTGGGGGGAGGCTGGGGAGGCCCACTAGGGTGATGTGGTGGAGGACCAGGGTGGTGTGGGCCTGGAGGACCATGGTGGTGATGAGGGTGGTGGTGGTGGTGATAGGGAGCGTTGAGGGTGTGGTGGTCCGGACCAACACCTGAATCTGGGTGACTCATGGCCTGAGTCATGACAGCCATCCCACCAGCGGGAGCCATCATGGGCGCCATGCTCACCAGACCTGTAAAATTGTACAGACATTAGCCTCAGGTTAAATGCCCAGCACATGTCCCCATTAATTACTTGTATTATAACATGAAAATCAAACCCACAGGAGTAGAAGCTTCAGCAGTGGGTGCTGGAATCATCCAAGGGGCTGAAAGGTTACTTCAGTACAGTATACTGTACCGTATTTATATCAATGCACTGAAATAAGTTTCCATTGCCCAGTGAATTAATTTTAGGTAATGACCAAACTCAATCCCTGCAGCACCTTCCAAAGATCAAGTGGTGACACTATTCTTCACAACAAATAACTTTGGAGGCAATTTCTTCACTTCCAGTCATGTCACTATATAAGTTAACTTGTGAAGAACAGATAGCCATAAGTCATGTTAAGATGGCATTGGCAAACTAGCAGCCATAAACATTGATAATAATGAGCCAACCTTGCATGGATACAGGTGGTGGCTGTGTCATGGAGACCATCATGGGGGGTCGCTGTTGATGGGGGGGCACCAGGCTAGGCTGAGCCATGCGCATGGGAACTTGAGCCATTCTGAAATACAGTTAATTAATTTAATATTGTCATAAATTCTACATATCAATTAAATCCATACACAACTAACACTGAGCACCAACTTTACTGTTTAGAAATTATTATAGTACAGTACTGTACATGGGATTGTTAGAAAAATAAAGGAAACCTTTGGTTATCATTGATGATAATGAATACAATTGCAGAAATCACAGGCCAATCAGACCTACAATTTTCACTGAACTGTAAATATAGTGCTGTGAAGCTGTGTTGCCAGGCTGTGGTACTACAGCATGAGAGGAAACAACTTACTAAAGTCTGTTCCCTCGAAGCTTGCAACTAAGGACGAGGGTCAGTATGTAGCAAGGTAACTGTTTGGTTGACGGACGGACACAGGAAAAGTCACTTCCGTTCTTTTGTATTTAATGTATCGTATTTGTAATATGATATTTTAAGGGGTAATAACTATTCTGTCCAATCTATGGTTTCAATCTCCATAGGTGACATATAAAGCCTCTTGTGATTTTCACAAAGAATCTCCTGGTAGAGACATTGTACTGTACAGCTGAACTTAGATTGGCCATGTAAGGAAAAGTTAAACTGCCTTCTGGATAATACAGTATTTTAGAAGACTGGTGCAGATAAACCAATTACAGTACTTTCAATTTGTTTTTTATTGAACAAAACTTTCCTTTCTACCTCAAGAATTTTACAAATAATGACAAGAAATTGCAGGGTTTTTTCCTTCAGACTTCTTGTTATAGATAATGGACTTACATCCACCATTTCCAGCAAATGCCATTTCTAGTGTTGATCCTGTTGACAAATACTTCCCAGTAACCTCTCCATACCTAAACTAACCTAAATTACAGGTTGACAACCCTTTATCCGAAATTCCAAAAACCGAAAGTTTTTTGTGGAGCAATATTTTTTTTTTTTTTTTTTAACAGGGATTAGCCCACCCAGGCATAGATCATTGACCCACATCGGGGCCTGGGGGGCAAAAATTTAATGGTAATACTAATTATAATACCTGTAATAATAATAATTATAATAATAATTATTCATGGTAAATAAATATTTTAATTAAAAAATAAACCAAAATAAAATAATAATGATAACAATAATACTGTATTTATAAAATAATAATAATAATAATAAAGAAATACAAGAATGAAAAAAAGATAAAAAGTGAGTAACACGACCTAGACCTATGAATTATATAATATTATTACCTGTAATATTATTATTATATTTTCGCCCCCCCCAGGCCCCAATGTGGGTCAGTGACTTGTGCCTGGATGGGCTAAAAACATTCTGAAAACCGAAAAATTCTGAAATCTGAAATGCCTCTGGTCCCAAGGATTTCGGATAAGGGATTATCAAGCTGTAATACATTTCCATCCTAAGAAAAGTAGGTTAGGTTGGTTCAGCTTATCTGTGATAAATCATGTTTATAATGCAGAGGTGAAAGTAAGTGTTTGTGTACAGTACAGTATATGGAAGTCATACGTAAACAATCAAAATGGCATCATTGTTAATAGTAAAATTACAGTTCTCTGTCACTACAGTACATGTCTCCTCAATAATCACGGGACCCGATAATCGCTGATCTGGTTTATCACAGTGTCCTCAATTGCGACCATGTGTGCACTTATCACTGATTGATCTGGGTTATCACGGAATTATCATGGGACAGCGGCGGGTCTGCGAGAGCCAGCAGTAGCAGCAGCAGATGGCAGCACGGCTCGTGGTGCCAGCTTCCAGCAATAGCATTTGTTTCCCCGCGCTGTTTTGGTCGGTGTTTAAAGACGGTTTCCTGCTCCATGCTTGTTTTTGGTGCAACTTTTGTAACTTACCCTCCACCATGGCACCTGTGAACAAGAAGAGTGTTAAGGTTCCTGATCCAGCCAAGCGACGAAGATGTGTGTATTCTCTGGTTGAATGTTCCGATGTTCCCTACAAGGATAAGCATGCACTTGGCAACACGCCCATTATATGTTACCACTTCCTTCCACTCCACCTCTCTAATCACCTCCACCTTTCTTCTTTCTCACTCCATAATTTAAAATTTATGTAACGTAATGTGGAAGGAATACAACGCTCTTCATTTACACTTACACTCAATTCTGTGAGTAGACATCAGTTGTTCAATTGTGTCTGGCAGTGCTGCAGCCAGTGTTATCAAACAAACCGATTGACGCATCATCTCCTCACCACTTACCACAATCTCCCCCTCCACCACCAGCTTCGTGATCACTATCACTACCTCTATTATTACCACTTAAATCATAATTTCAGTGATGGCTTTGCTTTAGCCAGAGCAGATTAGCAAGATATCCAATGTCTCCCACCCACTTCCACCTTCCTTCCCCCTCCCACCCACTGCGTCTCACCGACACTCTGCCTCTCTCACTCATTCAACTATAAGTCATTCATGATCCAATATTGTACAGTACTGTACATTTTTTATTTGTTATTCATTAATTAGTAAGGACATGTTACTGGTATTATATCTTTTAGTGTACCTCCCTATTTTTGGGGGTATACTTTGGTCAGTTAGGGCAAGGGTTCTCAAACTTTTTTCAACCACGGACCCCTTATATACCATGAAGCATACAAATATTGTCAATAATCAAAGAATAAATCATAGTCCAAAGCATTTGTTCATCTCAACCCAAATCCAAAATATCCTGCGAATTGGAATCGCCAAATCTCTCACAAATGCACTATTTCTCAAAAACTTTTTGCGGACCCCAATTTGAGAATCACTGAGTTAGGGGATGCATTTATGGGGTTGTAGGACGAAACTAATTTTTCCCATATGTTAAGTGTTTCGATATGTACGGTTTTACTTATCACGGTAGTTTTCAGGAACCTAACCCCTGCGATTATTGAGGATACATGTACTTGCAATTTGGGGTTATTATTAGGATAATAACCATTCACTGTTCTTCATTGAAAATGAGTTAAAAATACCCATTCATCACTGATTTTATTGGGGATACTGTAATATGTTGGGAAAAATAAAAATAATGGCTGAAACCATGTGCAAACCTAACCTATATCTTAACTCACCTATATCTCGAAAACTAAGCAATTACACTAGAAAGCAATCCGCGTACAAACCTGTGTCTAAGAACACCCTCCATAATTATCCAACCGCTGACGGTCACCAGTCATATATTAGACCAATTTTTTTGTAGTAGAATTAAGTTGTCCACAAGAGAAAACTACTCAAACATACTGTCCTTGGTTTACCTGCACAAGCATCCATGTATTAACACCTAAATCCGTAGCCTACATGTCAATAATATTAATCGAACAAACTTGAATAATGTTCAACCTGTTTTGATATTATATAAATCACATATTTATTTTTTCCTAGACACTCACCCAGGAGACTCTCAGCCCCTCCTAAGGTCACTGCTCTACAAAATGATGCCAAGCAAAGTACTACAGTACCACGAACCTCAAACCAGTGTGTTAAGGATCCGGGCTATTGACAAGTCATTTTCACTGCCTTTTATTATTACAGTACAGGTATAGGCATATAAATTTCAAATCTGGTTAGGATGTAGGCAAGAAAAAATGAAAAGGTGGAGAAAATGGTTTAAAAATATAAATAAACAAATGTCATCTTTTAAATCTCACATGAAGTATATACATACAGTTCAGCACTCCTTTGCTATGGCACTAATGCATTTCTGAAAGATGACAAAAATTAACAAAACATATCCTCTCCCATAATATAACCTGCAACCATTAGTTTATTTCATTATTATATCAAAAATGGTTTAAATCACAACAAAATGAACAATGCCCATCATAATTGTTTTAAATACCATCTCTTATTCAGTTCTGTTTCAGGAAGATAATTCTGTTCAAAATAGGAATCATTAGTCACGGGTCACTATGGTTTTGTTACCACTATTTTGTATGTTTAATTAATTCTGCCATGTCACTGGTTACATTATGATCGCAGGTAACAATTCCTTATTCAACCTCCAGTGTGTTATTAAAGGTTAAAAGATTATTTCAAACTGAGACGATTATCAACCTGTGCAGACGACACTGTACCAGCCTCCCCAAAACACCTTAATTTATACACTCACCTTATACTGTTAGCCTCTTACTTCACGTCAACCCAGAGAATTATTGTTGTACTTAAGGTTGAAATGAAATCAGAGGCGAGGGGAGCAATAATTAATGGTGAAACGTATGGCAAACAGAGACAGTATCCTACAAACTAGTGTGCGGCCATGCTGATGTGCGGAGCTGACAACACTGACCGCGTTCACCACCTGACGAGTCTTCAATTACTCTACTGAAACCTTATTAAAAACCTCACATTAATTACAGCATCTAGTGATTTTAGTGTCGCTAATGAGATACAGGGGTGTTTTTATAATTATAGCTTAATTTGTGAGAATTATATGGGTATGTTAGATAAGATATCATTGAACTTATTATACAGATCTTAATTTCTTATGTGGTGTGAACTCAACCTGTTTTGGCTTGTGAGGGAAATCATTAATATTTCAGTAAAATTGATGAATCTAATCCATGTTATGTCTATGACAGGACACATTTTACCTTAGTTTAATAAAAAAAAGTCACCATTATAAGTTCTGACTACAAATGTATTAAATTAAAAACGATAGTAACTTGGGAAATATTAACTTAATTGCTAAGGAAAACTTAGCAATCTGAAAATAAACAAAACCTCTGAATCATATAACATTATTAGTCCAAGTTATTAACAAAAATGATATCTTGCACAATCTATAGCATTCAGAATTCCAGATGACGATAAAACAGGAAACATTACGACCTTGTTAAGTATATTGGTAACTACAGTCAAGGACTCTTTACTCAACTGAAGAGGATGGCTCACCCCCTGTCCATATTTTTTTTATCCTTCAGCAACGGTGGCGTCGCCGAGCGGCCGTTGGGTATACTTTACTTCTGTCCTCTTTGCCACGATTTTGTGCCATTAATCACTACACATGCTTGCGATCATAGAGAAAGTCTCCGATCCACGCTTAGACACTTCTCCAAATCCCGTACCCTTCCAGTTTAATTTTTAGCCTTTCCTGGAGTACGCTGTCAAAAACCTTGGCAATTCTCTGAACTTGGGCTTCTTCAACAAAGCCTTAGGTGTGACCCCTGGTTACTTGGGTCGGGAATCCACCAAGCTTCAGGTATGAATACTTGACTAAATAATAATGTCCTCTGAGGTGTTTATGAACTTCTATTAAGTTACCCCTTGCCAGTCTATAGTATAAGCTAGACAACACTGCAGGCGTTCTAATTTCTCTGGGGTCCTTTGAACAGACAGTTTCTAGCATATCTCGGGGACCAGACGGGGTGACAGTACGTAATCCAAATCAGGGATGATAATAACAAGTAGAGAGCTGCAGAATGACCTCTGTGAGCTCTAAGAATAGTCGAAGAAATGGCTGCTGAAATTCAATGTCACGAAGTGTGAGAGGATGCGTACCAACGGTAAGGAGGCATATCATATGTCCCAACGGGATGAAGAAACTGCACTATTTGAGACTGGATGTGAGAAGGACCTAGTCCAGAAAACTGTGGGGGCAGACTTTTTCGGAGTGAGGGTTGTAAACTCTTGGAGCAATCTACCAGAGAGTGTTGTGACGGCACCGAGTGTGAGCTCTTTAAAGACAAGACTTGACCAACACTGGAGCGGGTTCAGGTACATTCAGGAGCCGGTGCATGCCCAGTATTTGCCAACAGTGCGTGACAGAGACGTGACCGATCGCCCGGGCGGCTAGCGAGCCGATCTTTTGGTGAAGAAGGTAAATGTAAAGGAAAAGTAATCAGAGACGTGACGTGACCGATTGAGAAATATGGTTTTAGTGTCGCATTTAAAAGGGAATCAAGTTTATTGTATTGATGTTGTGGGGTATGGGATATTTGGGTTCACACTCAGGATGGGATGGAGAAAGGAAACTCACAATGTGCTCTCTGTATACATGTTGTATTGGATGTACAATGCAGCTTGGTGCTGGGAAGTGGCAGCGTGGTTACAAGCGTGATATAGAGAGAGCTGGTTGGTGAGGGTGCTCAGAGGAGGACAGCTTGTGGGTCGCCATGCTCGCCGGCGGGAGCGAGGGCCGCCAGGCAGCGGAGGAGGAGGAGGTGTTGCTTGCTGCAGCTGTAGCTAGAAGAGGGAGGGCACCACGAGGTCAGGTCTTAAATAGCGGGGGTAGGCGTGGCTTAGTATTTGACCTCCGTGATGTATAGCGGCGCTGGTTGACCCAGACCACGAGGCATACACTGGGAAATTCGCGGGGTCGGCTACTCAGCGACAAACAGCGTTTGTAGGGGAGAAATCCACTACAATGTAACAGTACACATGGTCTCCCTGCACATTTCCCTATTGGTGTGAATATCTACAAAGGCTGTATCTAACTTTCTTCCTTAGTGGGGATATTCTATAGCCAATTAAGTGAAGAAAATAAGTATGTCTTAACACAATTAAATAGTCATGGTGAATCTTGCTACAGTACTGTGTTAACCTTAACAATATTGCCATCATTGTGTTTTTGCTGGGAATGTTTTTGTGCGAGTTGTGTTCGGTTCCCTGCATATACTTTAATGAGTTTAATTACCTTTCATGGTGTATTAGGTCTTAACTTCACGGTGAAATAAAAGAAAATTTTAAACTTACCGAATAAATAAAATGAGTAAATTTAACAAAAAACATTACTGGTGGTTAATTTTGTGTTGTATATATTTACTGAACATTTATGTATTAAACAAACGAACAATACTTATATTTTCTACATACATCCTCTTTTATTGAATAAATTTACTTATTTGTAATTTATTCATCTGATTTTTGTAATAGATATAAGGGATAGATAGGTTATAGAGTTAATATAGAGGAGATAGAGATAGTACCACAGAGGTGTAGCTCATCAAAACATGTCGTCGTGGAGGCCGTGACATATCAGACGACATGATCAACATAACAGACACACAGAGTGAGTCTCCCTCTCTTATCTAGTTTACTATATTAACTCCACTATTTTCTTGCACTCTATTTAGGATTTTCTTGAAATGTGGTGCATGTGAGAGTGTGTTGGTGGCATAGAAAGAGAGAAGTGTTGGAGTGAGGCAGGTGTTGGAGCGGTTCGGTGTAATGCTTTCAGTGGTTATGTAATGTTTAAGGTAATTATTGTAATGCTACCCAACAAAATACTATGTTAGTAATATTGGGTTGGTTGTAGGGTGAGTGTGGATGTGTATTGTATGTGTGAACAGCTGGTAGTTGTATATAGACAATGTTCTGTCACTAATGCAGGTTTTAAGGTGATAATTTAAAATATTGAATACACATACTTTAACATTAGTTTGGGAAATAATTATATAACTGTTTAAAGCTATGGTTAGCATTGACGACTGACCCACCGACTCCTTATTTGTTTCGGTGTTTATTTTCTAACTATTTTCATCAGTGAGTACTGATATGATAATCATTTCATGTGCGAAGGCTACATTTGGTATTTATTTTGGCACCGAAGGTGCGTACTACTTTGTCATCTCAGTTGTTGTGTGGCGGTGACATCTCATCCTCACATGTAAACAGCCAATTTTGGCAATATTTTCTTAAGAGTTACTGAACACACCCAGTGATTGTAGAAACAGGTATGAAACATTGGGGAAAATTTACCTTAAATTTACTTTAGGTGAATTTATAGTATCACACCGGTCTTTATTTCCATATTAAAAATATGTATCGTAATGTTTACACAATTATAAGACATTTTATTTCTATGATATTTCCTCCGGAAATTAAGGATAACCGAGATGGCAGAGGTGGCCTGAGCCTCTGCTCCCGCATCGCTTCAGGCTTCAGACGGGGGTTCCAGGGAGCTCTGCCCCCCTGGTTAGGTTAGGTTTTCTTGGTAATATAATTTATTTCTAAAAAATCCAACTTTTTCCGTTATGATTGTTGGGTGGGGGGGGGGGAGGGTTATTTACAAAACACGTGATTTCCGGTGGAAATGAATATCAATTTCGTTCGAAACTCATCAAAATACATAGGAAAAACCTATTTTTAATATCTAAGTAAAGACTGGTGTGATACTATAAATTGACCTTCCTTTGTACTATAAATTAAATTTTCCTAATAACAGTGATGCTAAGTGACATTTATGTTGACACTAGCTGAACCACGAACAACTCTAGCAGATAAAAGCAAACAATTACTGCAATAACCAATTGGGTATTTATTGTTGACTGACCTGTCACCGATTATTCATTAGAGAACTATTTTAAAAACTCCGCAATTTCACTGTTTTATAATGGTCCTCGTAGTTTTGGCAAATGTGTTAAAAAATGGTTATTTCTAAATTAAACCTAATCTAACCTTAGTTGATAAGAAAAACAAGTGGCAGAAGCATTGTTAGAAGATCTTGCCAATCTAACCAAAGAAACCTACCTAACCTTGCCTAATTTCCTAGCCATGGGGCTCTGTCTCCTGGACTCCCCTGCATATTAAAATGAAAACTTACTATGATATGATGTAATTTTAGATTTTCTGTGGATGTGAGAGCAGCCACCCTGACCATGTGGCTCATAACCATAATCTGGCATTGATTGGCTGTTTACATCCGAGAATACGGCATCACTGACGCATTACCGCCGAGAAGACAAAGTAGTGCGCACAAAGGCGCCTAATTATCTACAAAACGAATCATTATCCAAAGAAATGATTATCATATCAGAACTCACTGAGGAAAATATAGTAAGAAAAGAAACATCAAAACAAATAATGTGTCGGTGGGTCAGTTATCAATATTAGCCGCCAATTTTTTTTCTAGGTTAAATTCCAGAAGAGTTCCTCAAACTTAGTAGTAAATCTGTGTAAAGTTTTAGTTTCGGTCATCTGGGAATCTTAGGAATTTAACTATTGGAATCAGTAGTTTAGAATTTTCTTATATGACATTTGTTTTGCAAATGACCTGACTTTATCTCCTAACTGGGGGGGCTCTGCCCCCTCCCCCCGGCATATGTAAGTCATTTGTGAGGGAAACGTCAAAGCAGAAAAGTGTCTTAGAATTGTCTAAACTACTGATTTCAATAGTTAAATTCCTAAGATTCCCAGATGACTGAAACGAAAATATTACCGTAAATCTGCAGGAAATTTACTGAAAAAGATGTATACTGGTCGAGTAAATATCAAATAAAGATGACTGATCATTTATTTTCATTATACACTACCCTGTATTGCCCTCAAACATTGAATTCTTTGTCAGTTTAAAAATGATCACTGGAGTTGTCTGGTAGTGCACCGTATTGTAATAGGAATGAACCACTGAGTGGTAACAAAAATGCTGTACTGTACTGTCAAAAGTTCTTTAAAGTACTGTACTACTGCCTCTGTCTTGCAAACTTGTGATATATGTTTTCATTTGTCTCGCCCCAGAAGATTACTGACAGGAAGTATAGTAGAGTAACTGGCTCTTTTATCATTTCAGAGATTGGGGTCGGGTTTGCTGCCTTTGGGGTCACCTTCATCTTTCTGGGTGTCCTCCTCTTTTTTGATAAAGGACTTTTGGCTATTGGTAATGTAAGTATGTTGAAGGTAATGGTGAACTGTGTAATAAGAGATAATAATGAACTTGTGGTGTATGGTGACATGAATGAACTAGACTCTTCATGTTAGTATGTTAAGTGAATTTATATGAAGCATTGTCTGTTATTGTGAATGATATTATTAACTGTTTAAATAAGTTAAGGATGTGAGCAATTACATTATATGTGGTTATTTCTTCTTTTTGTCGTAGTCCAAACCTTTTTGCTTTCCACACACCTGTCTTGCACCATACTTATTTTCTTGACTTGGAGGACTTTGCACTTGACACAAAAGTGGGACAGGAGTAAAGGTAACACGATTCATTTTTCTTATAATTTGACGTAAGAGACGTACCCAGTACCGTACATAGAGAAATGATATGGAATCTAATGACATATACAAGGATAATAATTTTTAGGTAATTTTTCTATTTTTATCTCGACATTATATGCCCATCCATCCCTTCTTGAGATGTAATGTTGAGGGAGTGGACTAGGATTTAATATACAGTACTGTATCTTTCATTATATTTTTATTCATTGTATGTTGATATCCAGATACAGAAAGTCCTCGTATAACGTCGGCCCTCTTAACGTTGTTTCAGTACTACGTCACTAATCTTTAGATACCCAAAATTCGTTTAACGTCCCGGCGACTTGGTACAACATCGTTTTGCATCATCACGGATTACTTTTTACGGCGCATCACCCTCTCTCATCTGGCCGCACTACACTCTCTCGGCTCGGCACAGTCTCGGTGACTCACCACCCTCCTCTCCCGCCCTCCTCCGCTCCCACCCTTCTCCTCCACTCCCGCCATACTCCTCCCCTCCCGCCATCTGCCTCCTCCACTTCACTACCCACCACACACACGCTCTACCACCTTCGCCCATCGGTGAGTACCAATACAAACTTAGTAGTTGTATATGCATGCACTATTTTCTATAGAAATGGAAATGATTTTCTGTATATGTAATGTATTTCATGGAGCAAAGGATGGCTCAGGAACGTAACTCCCGTATTTTATCTATTTTTTATGGGGAAAATTGATCCGCTTTACGTTGCTTCATATAATGTCGCGTTTTTAGGAATGTAACCCCGACGTCAAGTGAGGACTTAATGTAGTCTTCACTCCTAACCAGATCCTTCTATTTCACTGTACAGATCCTCTTCCTGGCGGGCCTGGCCTTTGTTGCTGGTCTAGAGAGAACATTCCGTTTCTTCTTCCAACGGCACAAGTGGAAAGGCTCCGGGGCGTTCTTTGGAGGGATTCTCATCGTCCTCTTCGGCTGGCCGTTGATTGGCATGTGCATTGAAGTGTACGGTTTTGTCGTGTTATTCAGGTAAGTTTCGTTGTACCAGTGAATCAGTGAGCAGATTTGAGCTTCTTGCAAAGATATTAAATCACAGACATATTAAACATACTGTATATAGGTGCTGTATTGTAAAAGCTAAGTTGCAGGTTAGCAATATAATTTTCTTTATTGTGTTTGTTAGAGACATCTGTAGGACTTGAACTTGCTTGCGTGCTTTTACTGTTGGAGGCAGACCATTGTACTGTATACTGGCCATATTAATGTATTAACTACACTTACTGTATGAAGTCATGTATAAAATTAAAAAAGAAAAATACAGGTTGGCAATCCCTTATCCGAAATCCTTGGGACCAGAGGCATTTCAGATTTCGGAATTTTTCGGTTTTCAGAATGGTTAGGTTTTTTTTTTTTTTTTTGTATTAGCCCATCCGGGCACAAGTCACTGACCCACATTGGGGCCTGGGGGGGCGAAAATATAATAATAATTATAATAATAATACAGGTAATAATAATTCATAGGTCTAGGTCATGTTTCTCACTTTTTATCTTTTTTCATTCTTGTATTTCTTTATTATTATTATTATTATTATTTTATTAATACAGTATTATTGTTACCATTATTATTTTATTTTGGTGTATTTTTTAATTAAAATTTTTATTTACTACGAATAATTATTATTATAATTATTATAATAATTAGTATTACAATTACATTTTCGCCCCCCAGGCCCCGATGTGGGTCAGTGATCTATGCCTGGGTGGGCTAATCCCTGAAAAAAAAAAAAAAAAAAAAAAAATATGCTCCACAAAAACTTTCGGTTTTCAGAGCTTTTCGGTATTCGGATAAAGGGTTGTCAACCTGTATATAAAATAAACTACTATATATTCATTTATAAGTAAAAAAAATTAAAGAGGTTGATATTTTACTATTGTATTTTTTCTTTTACAGTGGATTCTTCCCCGTAGCTGTTAATTTTTTGCGTCGTATGCCAGTTATTGGACAGATACTCAATCTTCCGTTCATCAGTGGAGTAAGTTGATGACTTGTGTTCTAAATCTGTTAGTTGTAATTTACAGTTTGATATACACAGTATAGCTACACATGGAGCTGAAGATGACCACAAAGTTTCTGTCGGTTAAAACCAGTTACTTATGTTTATGGTGCTGCTTTTTGCTGTATGAGTCTTTATTTTTTATTCTACAGTTACCCATCAGAGTGTAGACATTATGATTATTTTTACTATTATAATTGTAGTTGTAATCTACTATACTTGAAGATGTCTTAAATATTAGAGACTCGTACTTGTGGGGAAGATTGAATATTGCTGTATTATGATGTTTGTAGTGTAGTGATATAGGTTAATTGAAAACATTTAATAACACATGTCTGGTGGGCCTGGGAGGTTGATTACTACTTGTATGAAAGCTTGTGACAATACTGTATTCGTGTTTGGACAAAATTTAGTTCCCTACTATATGTCAGAAATTAGTGTAGATAAATTTTAGGTGTGGTGTGGTGTGGCCTGAGAAGATAACAGAATTAGATTTTATGAGACATTTGGTGAACTTAATAGTGTTGCCACGCAAATCATACGACATGGCTCTAAATACAGTGGTCCCTTGGTTAACGAACACAATTTGTTCCACAGAGTCGTTTGTTAACCAAAAATTTCGTTAACCGAATATATTATTTCGATAGGATATTGGGTAATTGGTTCCAACTCACAGAAAAAGTACATACAAAGTACTGTATACCAGTAATAGAATTAACAAAACATTAAATATAAACAAAATACATTACTGTCCTGTACAGTATACTGTACAATAATAAATAAAAAAATAATAGAATACTGTATTTTAACTTACTTTGAGGTGTGTATGTCGTATTACCGGCAGCTTTGTTTACATATCAAACAGCTGATTGTAGAGGCAGTCGATGATGGCATGCCATATTCTTTACAGAGTGCATTGGTTCTAATGCCTTCTTCATGTTTCATAATAATTTCTGCACTGTATATTATCAATATGTTAACTAAATTTCAGAATGACCATAAATTTTAATGTAAAAATGCAAAAACATTCAAGAGACCAACAAAATCGATGTTCACTCCACTGTAAACAAAGTTAAACTGAGAAGCTTTGTTGGGTGATTGAATCAGCTGATGGGTGCACAAAAACTGTTCCCTGTACTGTCTATATTATCAATATGTGAACTAAATTTCAGAATGACCAATAATTTTAATATAAAAAATGCAGAAATATTCAAGAGACCAACTTTCTTGATATTTACTTCACTGGAAACGAATGTAAACATAGAACAAATTACGTACGTACTGTATTGGCGGTCTAGCCGATCAGCTGATGCGCACAACAAAACGTGTTTGTTGTAAGGATTTCGTTAATTAAAGTTTTGTTCATTAATCTAATTGAAAATCCTTATGGGAGCTAATTCGTAAATCAAAATTTCGTTAATCGAACTGTTCGTTAACCGAGGGACCACTGTAGATGTAATGAACAGGGTTGGCCAATTTAAACCATGTTTTAAAACCTTTTTTTATTTATTTTAATGTCCTTTTTTTTAGGTTTTAGTAAGTGTTTTGTTGGTTTTTATTACTTAGTGATTTTAATAATTTATAGTAGATTTGGAAGAGGCATATGATAGGTTGAACAGAAAAGTATTGTGGAAGGCATTACAAGTGTATGGGGTGGGAGGAAGGCTATTAAATGCAGTAAAAGCATTCTATTATAACAGCAGGACAACAGTAAGAGTAAATGGGAAAGAAAGTGAAACATTTGAAATAAATGTGGGTGTTAGATAGGGATGCATTATGTCCCTGTGGTTGTTCAGTCTAGATGTGGATGTGAACTATTATACACTGGTGAAAGTGGTGCTAATAAGCTTTCTTACAGGGCTGTACAAACCTCAAATCCTGATTATAAGGGAGCCAAGTTGCCACTGTTTAGTATAACTGGTGACTGTTTCTGTTTATGGTTGATCCTTTGATACTAATGTGTTCAGTTCGTGGGTCCAGGGGAGCCAAGTTGCTACTGCCCATCACTCACTCTCTCTCTCTCTCTCTCTCTCTCTCTCTCTCTCTCTCTCTCTACAACTGTACTTAAATAAATTCTTTAAAACTTCCAACTGTAAAAGTAGAATAGTTTTTTCATGCATTAAGATGAACTTAAACTTAGTTTTCGCTTTTAAGCATGTGGGATGAGTCTGGGTGACTGATCAGAGCTTGTGTTTTTAAAATTAGGCCTTTGCACAGTGATTTTTTTGAGATGCAAATGAGTATAAATGATTGCTAAATTATCCTGAATGTATTGTTTATGATTAATAGTATCTTTAAAGTTATAAAAAGGGGTACAAATACTTAAAACTTAATAAAACTAACATAATACCATTAATTTTTTTTTTTAAGTTGTTCTTTTTTAAATCAATGGTTTTTGCCAACTGTGGTTTTCAAGGTCACTTTTTGGTGTTTATATTATTCTGAATGCACTTAAGTAGTTACACATCAAATTTCAACTCTGAGAGAAATAGTGTTTTTGGCCATTTCAGCCATAATCATAATATGGGTACTTCTGAATTTGCTGATTAAGGATCTGTTGTCTGCAGTTTGATATCTGTATAATTGCTTATCCAAATGACATCTCAAAATTGTTGATTACTTTTCTAACTCTAATTCCTCGTCGTGTATGGTTTTCTAATTGAATGGTGGAAATTGTTAATCTTCAGGAGAAATAAGCTGGGATGGTGATTCTTTAGGCGATCCCAGTTTTATCCTCCATTTTCCCTCAGTCTCTACTTTAACCACCTCATCTTCTGTTTCACTACAAGTTTTCACCATATCAACATTTGTATCCCCCCCCAAGCCCCCAAGTGTTTCCTCGCCTGGTTTATTTTGGCTCTAGTTATGTTTTGCCTTTATTCCTGCGTATGTTTATTTTACCATCTCTTTTCTTAATCACAATGGTGTTTTTATTTTCACTCCCATCATCATCACTATTCTAATATTGTGCTGTACTGTACTTTCCATCTGTAGTAGACTTCAATATATTTGACAAAGTTGCTCTATTTTACTGTATTATCCATTTGTAAAGTTCTAGCAACTGATCACTGTAAGTCATGTCCCAAGTATAGTACAGTATTGATTAATTCTATACAGTTGATGTGATCTCTGTGTCTTTGTATCAGTTATACAGGGTGTCCATAAATGATTATCCTAAAAACAGTATGCTTTCATGTTTTAATCAGGGTAATCATGTATAGACACTCTGTATTTTATGGGCAAATTCCTCATTAATATTTAGAGATTGGGGAAAAGGTACAGAATCCTGTTATCAGTACTGTTGATACACACTATTGTACTCGGTATCAGTATTGGTGTTTGTTTTGTTTCTCAAGTGGATTCACTCTAACATTTCAGCTGTTGCCCCCAGACTCTTCTGCTTGAGTAAGCCAAGGTAATCCTGCACTAATATCTTTGGTGGTGGGCACGAGCTCCGGCTCACACTGTTCTGCCTCCAATTTTTCTTTGATCCTTGTAAAATATTTTTTATTTGATCTTTAAAACATTCTAGAAATTTGAATGTGTAGAATGTTAATAAATTTTTTATATCACTTAAAATGTCACATAAACAGTATTCTTACGACCACTCAGGCTTCATTCTACAGTATTTTCCAGTTTCTAGGTTATGAACAACTACAGTATTGTATATTGCAAATAATGTTTTTTTTTACAAAAGGTATTACTAGAACAGTGTTTTATAAACTGCTGTTTATGCATCCTCTTTGGTTGGTGATAAAACACAAAATTTTCTTAATTTATATTTTATTTGTATGAGTTATTGTTGTTGTGCTTAGCCTCTATACTGTACTGGAACATAGATGAATTACTGTCCAGCATTAAACTCGCCCACATTCATTTTTATTCCTGTAAACAATTAGAATTTACCTCCTTATTTATTAATTGTTTTCTGGCATTGACTACTAAAGATATCAGTTTATGTGTATTAGTGCCAGTACTGTACTAGTCCAGTTGTTGGTGAATGTCATTTCCTTGTAAGACCACTGTACTGTACTGTGAGAAGTTTTCTGTAGCTTATACATTTCCCTAGAAACTTACATTTTGTATCTCTAAATGTTAATGGAACTTTATGAATAAGAATATTTCTGTATGCATTTTATAAAAAACTTATTTGTTAAAAAAATATTTGTATAAATCATCATTAGCTATACAATATAGCTTTTGCCTTCGTGTATATGAGTTATCATGTCTTCAGTACAATATTAGTATTCTGGGATACACTTCAGATGAATCCAGTTATTAAGCTTTCTGGCCAAACCATTACAGTTCATTAGTTTTATTATATGTTAAGACAAAGATTTGCAAGTTACCCGGTCTCCTCTTGTACTAGCACTAGATAGACCAACCACCCAACGGTTAATAAGCTGAAAAGTGGCAAAAACGATGTGTTCACATATTAACAAGGGTTTACTATGTGTGTTTTGTTTAGGCATTTGTAAGAGACATTGATGTTACAGAGAAGATAAATAAAGTACAGTACTGTATTGTCTTTAAAGAAGTTTTGGCCATTGACATTGTTTTATGTAATCTGCAACCAATATATTTCAGTCATTATCCTTGTGCACACTTTTAAATAATAGTCACTAAAAGTACAGGATTGTTCAAGGACTTACTAATACCACAGTTTGACTTTCACATCAGCACTTCATATATTTGTAGCTACTGTGAGAAATTTCTAAGAGCGTTGGCTAAGCACTCTTGCACAAGCGAGATGGAAGCACAGAAAGCCAGGAAAGCAATGGTTTGTTCAGTGAATGACAATACAGTAGTCAGTTAAGGACTGTGTGGATAATTAGATGTCTCAAAGTACAGAACCAAAATGTAACCTAGTAACCTAATTCTGAGTAGTCTAATCTTACCTAACCCAACCTGTCATGTCAAGTGATACTCAAAGTGTGAATGTGACCAGATAAAAGAACCACAATCTTCCTCCCAAGTAGACCAATGACATCACCTGTATTATTATAACATTTATTGAGAAGAGCAAGTGAAAGGCATTATTGAGATTTAAGATTACCCGAGTGTGGTGTCAGACAATCAAATGTTGAGAAGTTTACTTTTGACACAAACAGTACAGTATATTGACCTTACAGTTTTCCTCAGAAAAACTGAAAGGTTGAAACGTGTCAAGAGTAAAACGTCCAACGTTTGTTTGTTTTCTTTGCTACTACACGTCCATCTGTCCCAATGAGTCATATTTACCTCAGTATATTATTAAAAATTTGATTCTTGAATACATATTAATTAATGCAGGCCATCAGAGCTTCCCAGGATTACAGTAAATTTAGAATTGTGGGTTGTGAACATATTTTGGAGGGAGTCATAAACTTTTGAATTATAAAAGACATGCTGTAATATATTGTGAATACAGTCATTACTTTTATTTTTAGGCCTAAATTAAATGATATCTTTAATTTTGTAAATTATGTTTTATACTGTATAGTATAATTAATTTTAAAATTGTTCTTCTTTTCTTTCAGTTTGTTGATCGATTTTCAGGAGACTCCAAAATGAATGTCTGACAAGAAAAGAATGCTTGAGGCATCTTGTATTTAGTGGTTAGAGGAAAAGTCAGCATACTGCTACAGGTGTGGGTAGTACTGTACACCACACAGGTCATATGGCAATAGATAAAAGAGAGAAGACACCAAGCTTGTCACAAACTGTTTCCAAGCAAAATGGTACTCTATGATAGCACTGTGTTTATGTACTGTGTGTGTGTGGCTGTGGATGTGAAAGGCACTGATGCAAAATTGGTTTCAAGAAGTACAGTACAGTATGCATTGGAATAAAAATAATACTTTTTGAGAGCAATGTTTGGTCTGAAGACAACCATTTTCCCTGACTGTGTTCTTGTCTTGTTCTGGTACGGTACAGTACAGTACAGTACAGTACAGTACACGGGTGAATGAAAACCTCATTTACATGGATCTTGATAATCACATCAACAACATTTACTGTAATTACTAAAATATTTTCTCAGTCTGTTCACTTAACATTTGACTTACAGTAGATGTAAAAACATTTCACTATAATTCATCTTACAAAAGGGAACTTATTTTCTTACTTATTTGTATCAGTAAATTATCAACTAATTCTTATATAAATACTATTTTGCCAAATGGCATCTCTCCAGTGTTCAGGTAATTGCTACTCAGACTTAGATAATTATCTAACCCTTATTACTAAGGAATATTGCTGTAGGATCAAATATAGTAACCTTAGATTCTGTGTACATTTTGAGTGTCAGAATTTATAATTATTACTATGGTGATGATCTTTAACTGAATACTGTATGAACTAATCAGATACACTCAGGATTTCACTACATATAGTACAAGGTGTCTCAAAAATACACACACACACACACATTACCTTACAGATTTTCACGGAGAATGCAGGAATGCCGGTATTACAACACCAACATTGTCCCTGAGTGTGGAAGACCTAGCACATCAACAAGTGAGGACAGTTTGTCTGTTGTTAAACCTATACAAGTATTCACAATTGCCATAAAAGTCTGTAAGGCAGTGTGTACAGTATACATTTTTCTGAGATGCCCTGTACAGTACAGTATTTAAGTAGAAGGGGCAAAGAGGATTTGAAGCTGCTTGGGATGAAAGAGCCCATTGTTTACCTGGTGCAAGGTCTTGAACGAACTGAACAAATTACAACAGTTGATTGAATAAATGAATACAAATATGGTGTTTACAGGTAGATTAAAATAGGTCAGATTCATAATACTGTAGTATACTGTATTTCTGTTCTCAGTAGGTAAATGAATATGTTCTTCCTGAAACAACTTGAACTGGTTTTGACAATACATGAATCAGTCAGTGTGGTTGGCAGCTGATTCAGAATAAAAACCTGCTTGCTCTCAGTAAGGATAATATGGATATGATTTGGGATTCTTAAAATGGACAGACATCATCATCATGTGTTTAATTGTCACTTGTCTCATGAGATGTATGGCTGATATTTGCTTACTACTGTATAATGACACCAGATTATAAAACATTATAAATAGACAGAGATTCCTCTGAGATAATGTTGGATAAAAATATGCATTTCTCTTGTGATTTGTCATTTTCTACTATTTGACCAAGTTATGTTTTTCCGATACTGTAGTACAGATTGAAAATGATGAGGGGGCAGGTCTGGTCCTGGATTGAGTGTCACCACCAACTACTGTAGATGATAGTGTTCCTTTTTTGTAAGACAGTCTCCTTCCTTTCTATTATGTTTAGAACTTTGAATAAAATATTTCTTTTTTGTAACTATATAAAACGCTTTATGACAATTAGTGTTAAATCAGACAGCTATAGTAGTTCATTATAAAAATTTTATTAATATTAAAATATTTAAGGAAATTTAAGCGCTTGATAAATATTAGAAAAACTGTGAAGCAAAGTGTAATGAAGGATTTCAACATGTGCCTCACTTACTGTAATGATAATTGGAGGAAAGTTAGTACTAAGTTTCAGAATTCATTTTACTACTTAACTGATGAGAAAGGAGTACGGTACATATAATGTTCATCACGGGGGACATAGTTGTAGATCATTATCATCTTGAAAAAGTGAATCCTACAGGAGCTATAATACTCTATGATAGTTGTTTGCAATTTAAAAAGAATGAACTTATCATTTGTCAGCAGACTTAACTTAAATGGTTGTAACTTTCACCGTCATCACATTTTGTATTTTGAGCAACCTCACTGCCAGCTGTTTTGTGGGTTGCTTGTGAATTTATTCACTCTGCACTGTGGCATTTTACATAGTATAATTGGCCCTTAGTTCCCAGTATTTTTTATGACAAGTTAGATGAGAAACATTTGTGTTTTCTGTAAAACGTGTGAACATTTAAGAACAGTTGGGTTAATGTAAGTGAAGGCATTTTTACTTGTCATTGCAAAATGAAAACAGAGCTCCTAAATTTTTGTCTTGGAATAAAGATAAAAACTTACAAGTTCTCTCATTTTTATTTTGGTGTGAGCCATGAAGATATTACTGTACTACCATGATTCCATTATGAAGTTATGGAAATGATTTTACTGTATGTATGAGTAAACTGTTTCTTGTAGAATGTGCCAAACATAATGAAATTAGATGACTGTAGGATCAAATTAACTCATTTTGGAATACAATATAACAATTTTGATATAAAATTATTTTGTGATATGCAACAGAACTGATGTTGTGGATAGTTAATTCCAGTATTGATTTATTTTTCTGTGGCATAATTATTTAGCAGTGGTTGAGAATATAATCTTTAACATGAATTCCAACTTTGGTGAAGGACCAGCACATTTTCTGAGTCATATCATTGTATATTTCTGTTGGGGGAAGTCCAATCTGAATCTACAGAGGCTGCACTTATTGTACAGTAAATGTGTGATTATCTTGTGAGAGTATTTGATGTGTTGATAGGAAGTTATTTTGCCTCCTCCCACACTTTTCTATATCCTGCTGGTGACTCTCTCAATGCCTTACATCCATCTCAAGACATCACACCATGCACTCCTACCCTCTTAAACCTTGTTGTATGTCTGCCTTGATTACAATTTCTTGTGTATATGTAATGGGCTCTGTACCACGCGTCATTCTCACTACTATATTTGAATACTATTAAGTTTCTTGTTATCATTATTTGTATTTAGGTCTTACTAAGCTCGATAGTATATTTCATTCCAAGGGAATGTCAGGGTAATGGTTTTCAAGTTTTCTGTAGCTTACCTTCATGTTTTAGTGGTGATGATGGTGATTGCATTTTGTCTTTACATTACATAGAGGTTAATTTTGTCAAGAGGCTGCCCGTAAAGTCTTTTACAGTATATTTTCACGTAAATTTTTGTTATCAATGTACTTATATAATAAGGAATTTTTAACATCTCGAGTATTGTTTTGAAGGTTGACGTCGTAAACATTGATCTAGTTCATACTTTTTCAGGACTTAAATTTGGACTCCTTTACACTAAATAGCATTGACCTTGATAACTGTGATCAGTTCTTGTGTCAATGCCTATTCCTCCCTGACAGCTTGACAAATCATATTTTTCCTCCAAATTCCTGTACCGGGTAGGATCACAATTCTGGATACATTGAAAATAATTTTAATACAATATAAATTCCATATCTGTATTTACAGGAAATCTTGTTTAATTTTGCTATTTTGTTGCAAAGTGTAAAGTTGTAATGAATGGACACGTTAGAACATAGCACCTCTGGTATATGTATCTATTTATGTAATACAAGAACATATTGTCAGGTGAAAGAATTTTGATCTCAAGGCTAAAGAGGTTGTCACTTAACCCTTTGAGGGCAATGGTTTAACTCTGATGATGATGATTTAACCCTCCAGGACTCGAAGGGTTAATTGAGAGCAGTGAAAAGTGTTCGGACATGATTCTTTGTTAAACATCATAACGAAGTTTCATCCACTAGTTTAGTGTCATTTGTTTCATCAATGTATATAAGTATCATTGCCTAGGCATGGAAATTTCTTATCTTCTACAACAGATGCAGTGCCAATGTTAATGTTCTTTTAACCACCACAGAACAAACATTATTATTATTGTGCTTTGCCTCAAAAGGAGAAAAATTACTTCAGTATGTAGTGTTGATCATTGGAATAATTGTTAGTAATGTTACCAAGGACGTGTCATTAGTCCTGTAAGCCAGTTATATAAATCTTAAAACTATCGTAATTAATCTTTGTGACACTCGGTTGTAGGTAAACTTTAAGCTCTGGTCGCCTGCCGTTCAGTTTGGAATGAGTGGAGTAAAGCTCATAATAACATTGGCGGAGCATTGGATCAGTAAGCCATGACATCTGTAAACTTAGGTAACCACTTGAAGTACTGCAGCAGTGTCTGAAGTTTTAAGCTTTTATATAGTATACCATAGGTAAGTGTGTCATCTGCCATATTTTCACTTCCCTCTCATTTCATGTACAGTGCAGTACTCATCCAGTTAATGAGGTAATGTAGATTGTGTGGTGCTAATCTCAGTTGGATGTATTAACAGTAACATCTCATCGTGGGGAACTCGTTCATTTCCCCTTTGTTGTTAGTGGATGGAGGGAGGTGCCAAGGCTGAGTGTCTATAAATACTGATGCAAAATATATGGAGATGTAACTTTAAAAGGTAGGGGGGGGGGGAGAGGGGGTTTATAGGGATAAACATTCAGTGTGTTCATTTAATTTTGTTTCTTAGAATTTGAGTGTAATGTCCTTAGAAGGCACTCCTAAGATTATGTATGGTATGTATGTAGTATTGTTTTGAGCCATACTGCTAGTGTACAAAGTATACCCTATTCAGGAATAGTGTGAGTGTATGACAGTTGCATTTATGCAAACACACAAACATTTGATACTGAAACATAGTGCAATAGGACTTTGACTATTTCTACTAATTAGCGTTAGGTTGAGTGTTCGTATGTAACAACCCTGTTTATGACTGCTACTGATACTATGAAACTAAATCACAGTAAAGGTTGTTGTCAACATTCAAAATTATATCTACTGAACGATGTCAGGCTCTGTGTTTCTTGTACAAATAGGCATATACCTTGACAGAAAATATATTACCATTTTAAAAAGTAATTTCATTAACCTTTGTATTGATAATGTTTGTATAGGGCCAAACTAATCCCTAGATTTGGTTAGGTTAGGTTAAATAAAATTAAAGGTTCTGAGATTAAAGAGTACCAGTTGGAAGTGTTTGAGGATATAAGCAGAAAATGTAACACTTCAGCAATTTCCAAATACAAAACTGAAAGCCAAAAAAAAGTTTTGTGTGGAGTATTTGCATACAAAACTAAATGAGGTGGATGAGAACTGCTGCCAAACAGTATCGTAAAAAAGATAGCTACTAAATAAAATGAAAAGGCGGAAAGAATTGCTATAAAATGAAAGACTCGATACATTACTGTACATAATATTACACCATATTTGGTACACAAGCCAGCATAATAATACAAAAAAAAATTTGAGAGATTATTCCATTGTGTAGCTGTCTGAAATGTCTTTGCTGGTGTTGTGTCATGTATAATAATACAGACGCTCCCTGGTTTACGGAGAGGTTCCGTTCCTGGACTCTATCTGTAAGCCAAATTTTCTATAAACCGGAAATGAGCCTCCCATAAGGGGATGCGCTCAGCTACCTTGTGCATAATTCTCCACAAATAGTGTCATTACGCCACACTAGTTACTTTCCGTAATATGAAACTCCTGTGCAACCTGAAAATTTTTATAATGGGACTTATGGAAGGCATTCTGTAACCCAAGAAAAGTTTGTACACTAAAAACTCAACACGCCCTTCTATCACTTCTAGGATCTAATGGGATATCAACCAATGAAAAAAAAAAAAAAAAAATCAACTTAGAATATTTTAATAACATACTGTATGTGCATTATTTACAACCATTGAAACTAATTCCTTAAAGAGCACAATAACTAATGATAACTTAGACAATATAATAATACAAATAAACACATCAACATTGAACCTGGAGAGAACAAAATATATACTCAACAGTCTGGTTAAACTGGTGTTATACAAATTTATGTATACTGTACTGTACATCATAAGTTTACACACCGTAGGTTAATTAATTTGGTGTGATACAAATTTTAAGTATACTGTACAGTGAACTACTCAAGTCTGTTGGCATATTCCCCTGAACCACGAACACTGAGATTCAGACTTGTGAACCTGAAGCAATACTGATTTATTTTTGTCCATAAAGCTTTGGATTCATGAGTCTGAACCTTGGGGTTCATGGTTCAGAGAGAGAGGTGAAAGGACTTTAGTTGTTGACTGTACATCAATCTAATTAAATTGGTGCTATATTGCTATATAAATTTTACGTACACTTCCTGAGTTTCACACAATACAGTATACTGAAAAATACCATAATAAAAAAGCATTATATTCAATAAAAGATAGATCTGTGCAGTGACCATTATAGAAGATCAAACCCAGTGTACGGTAATTATTATATGATTCACTTCCTTGTGATGAAAGCTACTGAGCATTTGTGTTTTCTACAAATCAGTGTTGTGTAAAGCCCCATGACAACAGGTAATCTTTATGAAGTAGGGAAAATATCCATGACAAGTTGGTTCCCTTGACTACAGGTAGTCTGAATTAAATATCCTAATACAATAACTTCACAAAATTTAAAGGCACGAGAATCCTATTAACGTACAATCATAAACCAGACTTATTTGTTGATGGGCATTAAGTTTCACATATCATATAAATCAAGTATGTTCCCATAAGCCTTGCAATAACAATTAATGTACAACAAAATAAATTACATTAGGTAGCATTCCTCCGAGTATATAATATAATATAGCTTGCTTGCACTATGATTATTTCAGATCAGAAATTATTTAGTCATGGTTAGAAAAATAAAGGGAAAGTATTATTTATGGCACCGATCCTGATGATGATGCCAATACTGTACTGTATCAAGACAAACAAGAGCTGTTCTAGCAATTTAGAATTCTCTACCAAACCCTGGTCAAGTTACTTTTATGCCAGAGGCACTAACATAATACATTGGCTTCAATAACTGCTTCATGACATTAAATAATTTACGTTTCAGATAATGATTACACATATTGAACCTATTTTTTCTCAATAATCAAGTTAGGAGGTCTGTAGAGTTGGCCAAGTGCAACCTGAAAGAAAAATATATTTCTAGTGATATGTCAAAGTGTAAAACTTTGAAAATCTTTTGCCTTAGCAGTTACTTCTAGGGATTCAATATCCATTCTCCAGTACATAATTTGTATTCCCTTAAGAAATGTACAGTGAGGGGTGATATGATTGAAATGTTGGGCAAAGGTGACATAAAAAGTGAACTCAACTATCTAAATGGGAGCTAAAATTAGCCTGGCAACCATGTTCGACACTATCTAAACTTTCTTCAGTAGATAATTAGGTATGCAGACCGATAAAGAGCTACAATAGTCAACCCGAGACAAAATATAATGTAATAGTGTCACAAGACACTGTCTATCCAAAAACTGTTTCCCAGAATATTGATTTCAAATATGAAAGTTGCAACTCTTAACCACAGAATTTATATGCTCTATAAAATTGCATTTTGAGTCAAAGGACACTCCAAGATTACAAAAAGAATCAACAAGACTGAGCTGTACTTCCCCAAAGTTTAAAAAGAGCCAAAATGGTGATAATTTTAGTTTTGCCATCATTCAGTACTGTATAAGTTTTCTCCTCGCCATCAAAATCTTAATATTAGACATCAAGTAGGATTTCATTATCTCCTCTGCACAATATGTGAGTATTTGTCGAGTAGAAACACCAAAATACCGTACATTCTACTTTACAAGTGGCCACAGAACAGTACCGGGTATCTCATTTACAGATTTTTTTCTCTCTCAAAGAATCTAGCTCTCCCTCCATGGCACGGACAATTGAACAATGTCTAAAAGATGTACACCCATAACAATTTCTGCCTGACCAAAACATTAATAAAATTTTCAACTCAACAAAATACAAAAAACTCTTGAAAACAGTCTTACTTGTCTCTTAATAACTTCCAAGGATTCTCTAGCGTGTTGTAGTTCTCTCTGTAGAGTCGCTTCCTCTGTCACATTTCTTGTTGCCTTAAAACCATCACGAATTCTCCGCAAAGCGTATTCTCTATAATGCCAGAAAATACTTGATGCTTAAGAAAATACAAAACTTCTGAAACCGAACACACAATTTATAATAGCCAGGTTTCAAATTTTCCATAAAAATGTTTTTCCTGACCTCGGACCCCCTTCAGTGTCGATTGTGTTCTTACCTTACAGCCTGGCATCGATGTCAGACTCTTCAGTTCCTTGTTTACCTATTGCCGAGAACAGAGTTCTTCAAGGGGTTGTTGTGGTTTCTTGAACTCGCTATATCTCCGTATTTTATCAGCGCAGAAAATGTCATAAAAGAAATTTGTCTTATTTTTGTTAGGTAATATGGTTGCAAAAATAAAATAATGGAATTCGAAACCTGGCTACTATCCTAAATTGACCCACAAGATCTAACCAAAGATCATTAAGTTTAGTTTGGTTCGTTCTTTTCTTGTTAAATTTATAGTAGTTCACACAACAATGTTAGAAAGTCAAAACTATGTTTTTCTAGTGTTTTTTGGTGTGTTTTGATTGGTTCTGACCTTGATTTCCATCGAAAATTGCTTTGTTTTTATAGTTATCACCCCCTTCTACCCCCAACAAGATAGGGAATTCTGTGGGGAACCAGGGTCTTGGGTGCAGGGGAGAACCAAGCATTTTCCGACAAAAATCTTGGCCCAGTGAATACAAAACACACCAAAAAAACACTCGAAAAACATACAAACCTAACCTTTTTTTGGATGACATGACCTGACCTAACTCTAAACGGTGTTTTTACGTAACCAGACTCTCACCAAATGAGGGTATCACTGTTAGAGACCCAAAATCACAATCGAATCTGATTGGACAAAAAATACCCCAAATTCTAAAAGCAGGAACCACAATTCATTTTAATTGGTGGCAAAAAACAAAAACAAAACACTCTTGATTGGCCACGTGACGTGTACAGGAATGCGTGTGCATGACGATTCATGAAGGGAAGATTAATGGAATTAAATAGAGAAAGATTTGACATGCGCTATCTCCGTTATTATACGCTTCCCACGGTAATGTAATATAAGAAAATTATCATAAAATTAGACGCCTTTTTCGAATATGATAATAGATTTGGGGTAGGGATGTTGTGTGAACTACTATAAAAATACCCTTTTCTTATCCTCTCAGAAATTATTTCGTGCTGAAGTCTATGAAATAAAACTCTAATGTAATATAATAAAATACCTCCGGAATATTTCAAGAAGCAAGGAATCATTTAGCTTCTATACTGAATAATTTCCTCAATATACGCTGTGTGGCGCAACATAAAGTATTACAGAAATATCACCTAATAAATTACTCGAGTCAGGCAAAATAAAGTGCCATTAATAACACTCAGCCTGGCTACAGCCCTTACCTTAGGTCTACCATAACGTATACTGTTCATTAACAAAATACCCACTATTTGGATATACACACATGTTACTAAAATTCCTAATAAACTTACCTATAATTATAAGCAAGAAACTTTTGACTTTCTCTTAACAAAGACTTATACAGAGCCAAGGCCTGGCGTCCACCCCCGGCTGCCATGCTGCTGTTTACTGTTGTGGCTGTGTCCCAACCCACCTGGCCCTGGCTTTGGAATAATTGTTATTCTTTAAACATCTATTTCATTATTGTGATTAAATGATATCTTTCGCATATTTAAATATATTTATTACAATGTAGATCTATTATTTTAATAATGTTTAAGTAAATTGAAATGGGTGCTGTGTAAGTGATAGACCGCGGACAAGTCATTCATGGTCCGAATGGTTGCTGATGATTATGTAAAAAAAACATTTGTCATGCAACAGAAATGAAACAGTAGTGAAATATTGTGCTAGTTAGCCGCTAATTTCATTATTCACAGTTAAAAATGAAAAAAATCTGAAATTTCAGGCGATATTTTCCAAGTAAATTAGGCGATACACCTAACTGACTTTATCCTCATTCCTCTTCACCACTGATCGACCTGTTAGCTGCTTGGGGGGTCTATTACGACTCTGTTGGTAAGAATTGTGCATGTATATGATTTAATGACTCTCGAATGTATCTTTATTTGCTGATCCAATGTGAAATGCTGAAAGTTTTCTAAGCCTTAAGCTGTAACCCGTCTAGTGAGGTGGGACTGGTGACAGTGGCCACCGCAGGTTAGGAACAGCTACTGAATCATGTTTTCTGAGGTGTTTATAAACTTCTATTAGGTCACCCTTCGCCCGCTTTTTGTACAAGCTAGACAGTTGCAGGCGTTTTAATCTCTCTGAGTAACTGAGGTGAGGTAGTGCCGACACCACCAGTCTGGTGGCCCTCTGACGTTTTCAATCAACTGACGGGTATAAAGCCGGGGACTAGGGTCACCCCTTCTGGTCACTGTGAAGCACCTCACTCTTGAAGAGCATTACGAGGGACGGACCACCAAGGTATGTGGATGCCCTGCTTATAAGACCCACAAGTTTAGTTGCTTGATTTACCTTCTCACAGAGATCCGAGAACTTCAGTTTGTTGTCAACTTACACATCCCGGCATGAGCGTCCGCAAAGCGGTCCGACTAATTACCCAAATGTACCCAAATGTAGCCGCAATGAAGTCAAATAATGGTCCTACATGAATAAATCGGACTGCCAATCACTTCTCGACTAGTATTTGGTGTCACAGTCACAAAAAATTGGTAAACTTAATTTAATCTGAGTTGTGTTAGGTTAGGTTAGGTACATGCACTTGATCTATTAACCTTGCACAGGATGTAAGGGGGTGCCCAATAAACTAGCCCCCTCCGGGGCAATCTGTAAAAAACCCTGTATGTTCACTGTATGTTCCTTTTCCTTTCTCTAATGAAAGCTTTTGTCAATGTATGTAATAAGTCATTTATGTCCAATGTATATTTTCAGCCTTCGGGCTGCAGAACTTAAAAAAAACAAAACAACGTTAATTATTATTATTACATACATACATACAAACATACATACATACATGCATACATAAATGCATACATACTTTGACAATACAACATACATATATCGTTTCTCACTATTAATCTTTTTTTTATTTATTTATAGTCCTTTATTATTATTATTATTATTATTATTATTATTATTATTATTATTATTATTATTATTATTATTATTATTATTTCGCCCCCAGGCCCTGATGTGGGTCATTGACCTGTGCCCTGGTGGGCTAATCCCGTAAAAAAAGAATACATATATACATACATGCAAATAAATCACTGTGGGTGCGCGTGATCCAGGTATATGCTGATAACCACATACATACATACATACATACATACATACATACATACATACGATCTTGGAACAAACTAATTTTTCAATTAGTAGATTAATCATCGGAATATTGTTTATATTAATAAATATCTCAAAGGAGCATATTTATTTTTTCAATTAATGAATTAATCTTTAGAATATTTTTTTTCAGTTCGTATTCCTTTGAAGAAAATAAATAAGAGGAATAAATTAAAAAAAAATTCGGACCACCTGGAGATTCCCCCACTAGAGAGAGAGAGAGAGAGAGAGAGAGAGAGAGAGAGAGAGAGAGGGGGCCGTGGGCAGGTGTCAATAATACTCGCTCTGTCAACAAGACTTAGAGACAAACATTTGACGCAAAAAAGACAATTTTCTTTTTACCTGAGAAGATTATCTGGGAGGTAAGTAACACAAACGAGGTTTTAATTACTTCTCCAGAGATGCACACACACACACACACACACAGAGAGGTTAGCGTAGGTTGGGTTAGGTAGGGGAAGGTTAGGTATCGAGTTACCTATGCTCTGGCCCCCAACACCACAGTAACGTAAGGAATCATCACTACCACCTGTTTCCATCACCCCACTCCGCTGTCCTTCCTCGTATATCTCTCAGTCGAACAACTCGGCTTACACGAAAACATTTCCACGAGCACGACTAATACACAAACATCCAATAATAGATGACTTGTTTACGAGAACGTGAGCACAGCAGCGGTCATCTGGGCTCAATAGTCATGAATTATACCAGTGCAGCGAGGACATATACCTAGGAGCCCGGTAGTAGGGGAACCGCAGGCTATAAGAACGCTATCGTGAAGACAGTCGACAAAAGCGAGACTGCAGTCAAATGTTGTGTGTGTGTGTGTGTGTGTGTGTGTGTGTGTGTGTGTGTGTGTGTGTGTGTGTGTGAAAGAGAGGACGTAGTCAGCCTCGCACAGACAGACGCACGTACGTGGTATTGTCATTTCTCCAGAGATTGCACTAATGTACAATTCAGATGAGGGTGGGTGGCACTGGCCCGGGCAAGGGACGGCCCCCGGGTAAGCAGCTTCCACACAACTCCCCAACTGTCTCCCTAAGTCGATTAAAACTTGGTAATTACGCTCTAAACCTCTTTTCGTTTCCCCTCTCTTGTTAGTTTACTCTTCTTTTGGACGCTTACTTGACGCTTTTTTGTGAGTCCTTGGCGGAGTTGGCGTCACTTAGTTGTGTCGACGCCCAGGTGGGGATAATACCGAGTCATAACCTGGGTATATTTTATTGGGTTTTCGATATCCGTGATGAAGTCAGTGGGTCTGAAATACTCGAGTCAGAGAGCTGGGGAGATTGGCCAAGCTGACTAATGACAAAAGTCACTTTGGATGTTTTTAGGGGGGTGAGTAGTGTGGGTGAGTAGTGTGGGTGGGTGGTGTGTGTGAGTGGTGGGGGTGAGTAGTGTGGGTGAGTGGTGTGGGTGAGTGGTGTGGGTGAGTAGTGTGGGTGAATAGTGTGGGTGAATGGTGTGAGTGAGGGTGAGTAGTGTGGGTGAATAGTGTGGGTGAATGGTGTGGGTGAGGGTGAGTAGTGTGGGTGAGTAGTGTGGGTGGGTGGTGAGGGTTAGTAGTGTGGGTGAGCAGTGAGGCCGAGTGGTATGGAGGGAAGGGAACACAACATTGCTCACTGTTATTAGTGGAGAATATTCATGTAACTGAGACAGGTGTGCCAGGAGACACCTGTAGGTTGATGAAACACCTGTAGGTTGATGAAACACCTGTAGGTTGATGAAACACCTGTAGGTTGATGAAACACCTGTAGGTTGATGAAACACCTGTAGGTTGATGAAACACCTGTAGGTTGATGAAACACCTGTAGGGTGATGAAACACCTGTAGGTTGATGAAACACCTGTAGGTTGATGAAACACCTGTAGGGTGATGAAACACCTGTAGGTTGATGAAACACCTGCAGGTTGATGAAACACCTGCAGGGTGATGAAACACCTGCAGGGTGATGAAACACCTGTAGGTTGATGAAACTCCTGTAGGTTGATGAAACACCTGTAGGTTGATGAAACACCTGTAGGGTGATGAAAACACCTGTAGGTTGATGAAACACCTGCAGGTTGATGAAACTCCTGTAGGTTGATGAAACACCTCCAGGGTGATGGCTACCTGCAGGTACTCCCAACCATGTCAAATCAAATCATCAGGTGCTCCCGAGTCAGTCAGGCCAACCAGTCAACCAATCAACGACTCAGAATGTAAATTTTCTCACTAACTTGGAGACGAGAGACCTGATTGGCTCACTTAAGTTATGACACAAAGATCAATTCTCAGAGTCATTCTACTTTTTTCTCACTTAACTAGGAATGTTAACTACGCATTTAACTCACTTAATTAGAGATGTTAATCACGCATTTAACTCACTTAATTAGAGATGTTAACTACGCATTTAACTCACTTAATTAGAGATGTTAACTACGCATTTAACTCTCAATAACTCTTATCAAACTGGCGTCTTGATTACGCTAAGACTCAACAGTAATGAGATGTTATTTATTATCTCCAATGAAGGTAAAATTATTGTTAAAACTTAATTCTCAAGGGTTGAAACACCGTCCTCAAAGGGTTAAAACATCGTCCTCAAAAGGTTAAAACACCGCCCTCAAAGGGTTAAAACATCGTCCTCAAAAGGTTAAAACATCGTCCTCAAAGGGGTTCAAATACCGTCCTCAAGGTTAAAACACCGTCTTCAAAGGGTTAAAACACCGTCCTCAAAGGGTTAAACATCGTCCTCAAAGGGTTAAACACCGTCCTCAAAGGGTTAAAACCGTAATCCTCCTCAAAGGGTTATAACACTTCCTGTTAAACCATCGTCCTCAAAGGGTTAAACATCGTCCTCAAAGGGTTAAAACATCGTTCAACACCGTCCTCAAAGGGTTATAACACCGTCTTCAAAGGGGTTAAAACATCGTCCTCAAAGGGTTAAAACATCGTCTTCAAAGGTTTAAAAACACCGTCCTCAAAGGGTTAAAACATCGTCCTCAAGGGTTAAACACCGTCCTCAAAGGGTTAAAATACCGTCCTCAAAGGGTTAAACATCGTCCTCAAGGGTTATAACACCGTCTTCAAAAAACACTGTCTTCAAAGGGTTAAAACACCGTCTTCAAAGGGTTAAAACCTCAAAGATCCTCCAAAGGGTTAAAAATACCGTCCTCAAGGGGTCCTCAAAACACATCGTCCTCAAAAGGGTTAAAACATCGTCTTCAAAGGGTTAAAACACCGTCCTCAAGGGTTATAACCTTTACCGTCTTCAAAGGGTTAAAACACCGTCCTCAAAGGG